TTTTAGTCTTAGATGTAGATGTACAAGTCTGGAAATGAGCGAGGCAGGTCGGTGCGTGACACTAGTAATGATTGATAGATTTTAACAGTGCACTTTGTAATATTGTTGTGGTTATAAAATTTAAGAATTGCGTCTCCAAGTTAAAGAGTCACAACTGTGACACATTCCATCTGACATACGACTGACATGTAATGGAATAGTCGTTACAATGAATGCATGCTTGTTGTGAAGTGTCATGGGCGCCAGAACAGCGGGCTATTTTTTTAAATACAGCTAGGCTACTTTAAAATAAAAAAATATGTCGCCGCCCCATTTTGGTTAAGTTGTAAAATGAAGTGTTTTTGCTATTCGAAGATGAATTCCTGGCGGGATAAGGGGTGTAGCTTGCGCGGTGTGTTACACTCCCCCAGTTTTGGCAAGGTTGTCGGTTAAACGCGACGTCGTAATAGCTCACAAACGTCGGTAAAAAGCATAATTTTGCTAAACTTGTTTATAGTCGCTTGCGACAACTCAACAAGTCATCCCGTGTGTTCATAAATCATTTATAAAATGATAAAACAGATATTCTCAAAGTCAGTTTGTTATGTATGCTAATTCATGTACACTAACACTTACACTTACAAAACGCATATAACAATTGGATGTATTTTTCAGCAACAAATTCTAATCCCATGCATTACACCTTATAAAAACAGTCGGTTCTCCGTTCTCATGCCTTTCTTTAGACGCGCTTCAAGTGCCGGCCCCGTGTTCGTCGATAAAACGTGCGACTCTCCGGTCGCTATTCATCCCTTATATGATCGAAAATGGCAAATGCTGCGACCAAAACCAAATTGATTGTCCGCTAAAAAATTTAAGCACGAAAACACGTCTTAACTTAAACACATATATATGATAACAATATATATTTATATATTTTAAGATATATTCAGCACACGTAAATTTTCAACCATGTGAAATATTTTTCAGCTGGTGACCAGTATGTGATTGTCATTGGATTGCCAAAAAAGTAATGATATCATTTTTATCGCGTTCCAAATAACGCCCCCATATACACCCCATATACAACGCCTTATATGGCCTACGTCGTCTAACAAATACGGTTACATATAAAAAAAGAAATAAAAAAATAAACACACCAGTTCAGTTTAAGAGAATTTTGATAAAAAGATTTTGACAAAATCTTAATTTGCATCTCACGGATTGAAATTTGCATTCGTGCAACACAGACAGTTCACTGGAAAAACTCTGCATGGAAACTACTGCCCACATGTGATAAAACAATCACAGAAATACTTGTCATTGCCGAATGAAAAAAACAACGAAATCGTCAGACTAAGAAATAACTATAATCTATTTTCATTACACGATTCTCCTCCCACAAGCCCGTTTCGCTTCTTTCAGCACAGTTGGTAGTAAAAAAGGAACAATAATACTTTATAATTATAAATAATTGAAAATGAACAAGGTTTGCAAGGTCATCTCTGAGATGCGAGTCAATGTTTGTTCATGTTTTTGAAGTCCAATAAGCTTCAAATACGAATGAACAATAATTAGTAATTTACTTTTAAATTAGAATCTGGTCATATAAATAAGTAGGTTTGCATCATATAGTCCAAAAAAGATCAAAGGTGTTGGAGGAAGACATCTTTTATTGTTCTGTCAATGCGCATGACTGAAGTAGTCTTTCAAGAAAAAGTCATAAGCGCAAGCATACCGTTTCCCGGCTGTAATCAGTTACGCGCGGCTTGTGCAAATTAGATATTAGCTACATTAAAAGTCTGGATTTTTTCCCGATCAATTGGAGTTTGCTGGAAGACGCTTTGAAGTTCACCGGCACTCTTTGTCCAAGGTCATGACAGTGTGGGTCTTAATTATTCTTAAAACATTCCATAAATTTCACTATGAACTGAAAAGAAAATATTTTAATACCTATTTCAACTTCTAGAACAGACATCTAACCGTGATATTCAAGATTAATAATCAGGGGCCAGTTGTGTGAAAGCCGGATAGCGCTATCCACCGGATAGTGTTTTTTTTCAATTGCTTCAAAATCGCCCGTTGTTAGGAATAACTTTGATTAAATCTTAGTATTGCTAAATTGACGGACTCTTCAACAATTGTTAGTTTATTCCAAGCATTTTTAAAACGGTTGAAAACATCACTATCACCAGCCTTCGTACAATCGGCCGCAGAAGACGTTTTAGATGTGGATCTTAACAATATTTCAATTAACTTGCCAAACGAATTCCGTTAAACATTATGTAAATTCTCACAATTTTTTCACTGATTGTAGATGAGAAGGATTCGCTGTCCTTCATTCACTGTCAAAGCTTTCACAGTCCTTCCATTGTTACCACTGGAACAATAGATCGGGAAAGTCACGCAGAGCCGAAACCCTGGTGTTTTTTTTTATCAAAAAGCAACACTCTATGACCCCGTTTACACTACAGCGAAAGTTTCCGGATTCATCACGAAAGCGGAATGTTTTAGTACCGGATTCATGTTGCTGTTTACACACGCAGCAACGAATCCGATAGAAAATGTACTCGGTTTTAAGCCGTATCCGGAAACTTTGAATCCGTAAAAGTTTGTGGAAACTTCGTATCCAGAAACATTTGAATCCGGAAAATTTTCTTGTGTAAACGCTTTGCACGACGAATCCGAAGAAATTCGATATGACGACCAAACAATTCTCCAAGAACAAGTAATGTGAGTGTAAACGGACAAATCCGCATACAGAGACAGCTAAAGTGTAGTGTAAACACCTGATGAATCCGATACATGTGTGTAACAATGAATCCGGAAAATTTTACAAATCCGGAAACTTTCGTTCTAGTGTAAACGGGGTCTATATCCGGGCCTTACTCCGTAACAATGCAAACAATTTTGTGGGACTAAAAAAAACTACCATTAACTACGAAACTGCTGCACAATTATCAAACGCCTGGGTCAAGGCCAACATCTATGACATTCGTGTCTATAAGATGATAATTTTAGTACAAATATTCAAATAATAAAGTATCGGAATCTGATAAACATCATATTAATTCATGCATATTACATGTCAACCATTTTTCAAATAATGACTATGGTGAAAACATCTCCTTCATTTCAACTTAAGGTTGGTAGGTTGGCAGCACAGATTAATTTGAAATCTCCCTCGAAACTGGTAATATTACAATGGAAACTACCGAACTAGGTTTGTATTCGATTAATGTCTGAGGGATAATCTAGTGTAGTCTAACCCATACTTCCAGATGTGGCTGTCCATGTGCGCCCCTATGACAAAAAACAAGGAGACATCTTCCATAATATGGACTCAGGGCATTTTTAAACATATCACTACTGCGGCATTTACCCCAGTAGGCCTTAACTGTGCTGGCCCCAGAAGAATGGACCTTTCTATCAATGTGCGAACTTAAAAAATCTGTTTCATTTAACCTTGTAGTGCTTTTGCTGTAACATACCAGTCTCTATTAAGAATTATAGAGTAGAATTATAGCCAGGTCAGTGTACGTAACTTCCCCGAAGGCTAATACTTCCACAAGTGCTCTATAATAGTCAGATTTCCCAAGTATTCGAAATTCTTTAAGAACAAATACCCTGCCTAAAGCAGGAGACACACTCGTTTCTGGGCACACGTCAGGGGCCGGTTGTTCAAGAGCCGGTTATAGCTTAGCCCCGGGTTAAAGCAAATCTTTACATTAATTTTTTTAATCGTTTGTTCACAAAGTTGAATATCTTTTTTCATGAACAGTTTTTGGACAGATAGAAGTAATATTTTCTACACTTTTAAAACGAACAGTGGTTCAGAAGCACGTAAACTAAAAAACTGAATTAATATTTAACCATGCAGGGTTAGCGATAACCTAGCTTTAAACAAGTGGCCCCAGGAAGATTTTACACGTCGGCAACGTCAACGCTGTGGTAGATGGCGTGGCATGTAAAATTTTACTAATGACATAATGTAGCACTCTTCTTTACGTCCTCTTGACGTCTTTCCTAAATCTTTACCTAAGACTTTCCTAAGTCTTAGGTAACGATTTAGGAAAGAAGAAGAAGCTATCATGGAAAAATAGAGATGAGAAGCTATCATGGAAAAATATACGCAGAAAAAAGTTTTCTGAACCGTACGCTAGTTAACAACGTATGAGAAAAAACCTATCTAATAAACATGAAAACAGCTGATACATTTTTGGCAGAAGATTATTTTCTTTTCCGTCTTTCCATTTACGTCATAAGGCCACCATGTTGTTCAAACTTTAAAAGAAAATGCATAAATTTTGAAAATCCTGACGAGTGAAGAGAAAACATAGACGTTTTGTGAAAAGCATCTACATACAATCCTTCTTACAACGGATCATAACATCAGCATTGTTCAATCTTGAGTTTAAAACGGACAAATTTTTGTCATTACGAAACTATTTTTAGCAAGCCAGTTTAAAGTTCAAACCTGATACATTCGGCCGCACATAGTTGAGGCAGCTTTGCTTTTTCGCTCAGATACTTGTTCTTATTCGACTATATACAGTCTATATGTATCGACAAGTTATCGCCCGTGAAAATTGTCTTGAATGCGTAAAACATCGAAAATGAAGACTAAACATGAAAAAAATCGAGGAAGTGCAAAAAAACATGTAATAAAAAATCGAGCAATATTCCTAAAGCGTAATATAGGAAAAGTTCAGATAGGCATACTCATGCATACCAAGGTTATGAGAAAAACGAATATTTATACCCTGAGAATAAAACAAAATAAATTTGTGTGGTTTGATCGCGGTTGTGAGCTGTTATTTTACACAGTCGGTTAACAGTTATAGGCTAAAATTTCCTAAGAGCTGAAGGAGGTGAACATTACTAAATACGTATAAACTATTATGATTAATGTTTTTCAATCCACGGGTGATCGATAGGACCCCAACAGCGCGAAATATGAGGAATGATTATGAGCTTGGCATTTACAAATATAGGCGCATTATTGATTCCGGTACAGACGAGTGGACAGCCTTTTAAAAGCGGGAGGAGAGAAAACAAGACAAAGCTTTCCTTGAAGTTTCGACATTAGCAAGTCAAAATTGCATAACGGTATTGCCAGGTTACTACTGGTAGACGGTTATAGAAGGTTATATTTCTTTCTGAAAATCCTTGACAAACAAAGATATACCAATCTAAAAAGATGAATGAATCGTATACTATCGTGATCTTGACTTTCTTAATTCTAATGGCAGATGGAACATCAATTAAGGTAACTGGTCAATGAGGAAACACGATATCAATGCTTGCGTTAAATGCACGATTGAAATTCTTTTGTTTTTGTTGCGCGGCGTTGTAGAGCGTTTTTTTGCGAATTGGGGTGTCTTGTAACGTCAGAGAAACCTCTCATAAATGTTAACACTAAGCATATAGTACGTACATATACGCAAAAGAATATATACTTATTCGATATCTTTGCATCAGATTAGTGATTTGGGTGAGTTGATAATTTCGTGCGACATGTACGTATATAAAAACGTGCAAATTAGTTATTTTGATTATAACAGTCAATAACAAACGCACTATAGACGGAATAAATGTGAATTAACGACGTTATCTCAACCATGCCCCCTCTGGTGTTATTCGTACGATGAGACAATATAGAATTTCTTGGCTTATGATTTAGTAGTTATTAACGCTTGAAAGCTATTCGGTGATTTTTAGAAAGGATTTTTTTTGTAGTCTTGGTTTATACTTTGTAATATAATGAAATTGTTAATGAGTCTGCAGGCAGAGATGGAATGATCCAATAAAACATTTCCTGTTTTACTACAGATAATATGCGTGTACTGCGCAGCAGACGCCTAAATTAGTTGAAATATAACATATCAGGAAACTACATGTGAAATGAAATATTTGTGATTGGCGGTTTAAATACAGAAATATGGTGTTTAGTTTTAAGCGCAAGGCCAATTAAAAAATTGTTTTTCATCGCCCGCCCCTGGAGAATTAGTTATTAGCCATTAGGAAATTATTTCAAATAATAAATTAATAATTGGACGGGAGAGGCTAAAAACCGAATTCATGATAACGGCGGGCATAATTGGCCACACCCAACGGAGAATATCGGGAAAGAAAATAGTTATACTTGATGTTATATGAATGAAATTATAAAAAAAAGAATCATGCATATGTTGGTAAATGAATTCTGCTTTGATCCACTTCATAAAGCCTTATCATTACTTTGCATTGTGTAAAAATATTAGTTTGAGAGGGGCATAGAGGGTTGACAGGGGCGAAGGAGCAGATGAGACAGCTGTTCCTACTGTCCGCTACATGGACAGTCCTGGCCTGTACCCTTTGCAACTATCTATAGCAATATCAAACATATATAGTAACATACGCTCACCATTGGGTCCTGATTTTTAATGTTAGATTATGTTATAATTATGACATGCGCTTTTTATAAAACTGACCTATATAAGTACGTTCTGGAATCATCAGTTTAAGTTTCTTTTTGGCTGTGCATGTGGTTGTTGAAGGTAATTGAATTCGCTCTCTATGCATGCTAAAATTTGGTTACTTTTCAACTTTCTAAGTAGTGAATTATTATGATAAATCAATAATTGGACGGAAAGAGCTGAAAACCAAACAAATTTTATAAAAAGAGAAGTGAATGTTGGGCTGGAAAAATTGCGATATAAAAATCTTTTGCGGCAGGCGAAGAACATCACTTGATGGAAAAGATCCTCTAGATTGGTCAAAATGGTTTTGAGCAGAAAAAGGGGGTTAGTTAAATTGCATGAAAACAGCATTTAAACCAATTCTTCAAATACGTTTTTTTATAGAGAAAAAATAGCATACCCGCCCTATAATAGAATAAATTCTCTAATTGGGCCAACTGGAAACCAAAACAGACTTTTGATTCAGGGCATTTTGCTACAGGAAAATCATACTGAGTAATGTAATTATTCCTTCTGATCGTAATTACCCGGCCATTATGACAGCAACTTTAATGTCATATCCGCAGCAATATCATTACGACTTTTTCTTTCTTTGAAGCTGGACTTGTGATGATATGGGCGAGCCTTTTTTTGATTTGATACAGTCAGGAGAACTGTTGAGAACTGTTGTGAAAACTTTCATTAATGTCCACGCAGAAATATAAAACCATATTAATATTTAAAAAACAAGGTAACAAAGCTGTTTTTGTAGACAATCACCGAATCTATTTCCAGTTTTCCCACAGGAAGACCCTTTGCATAAAAAGAGGATTTTTAATTTTTATAAATTGAAGCAGGCAATAAACTTAACATGCACCAGAGTGAAACTCGTGGGATAATGTCAACAATTGCAGATCTTAAAACATTATGAAAGGAAGAAATTATTCACTAAATTGTTTAGTTTACAAATTGCAACTTTCTTAATGTGTTGATATAAATCTTTAAGTGTATGCATGACGTACGCATTTGCACATAAAAAATAATAATCATGATTTAACTTGTATTGCGCTATCAACTGAAATGTGCATGGGAATAGAAATGTGAACCATAAAAACCATGTTCTCATAAAATAATCATCACCTTCGTTAAAGGAAAAGGGGAACTTTTAAGTATTCCTCACGCGGCTCTTTCGTTTGGCTAAACTTTGACCCCTCATAGACTATAATGGCCACTTCTCACTAGGGCTGATTTATCCTTCTGCACTCACGGACATGTTTCAAAACAATATAATGTCCCCAGGTGAAACGTTCATGGACGTGATGTATTAAAAATACAGCACAGTCGGTTATATTGTGAAACAATTAACTACAGTAAAATCGACTAGTGTTCTTTTTTCACTCATCACGATTAGCTATCAACTAAAAAGGTGCATGGTTACGAGTGATACGTCTACGTCTACCCCAAAATGATTCTGTATGTGTTGATTCTAATCATATACACGTTTCAGCCACGCACGGCTTGTAAACAGTGAAACAGAGTTTTCAAAAAAGAAAATAGCCACAAGCCTTTTTATTGCTTCATTTTAAAGATCACATCGTATCATATTACAGATTTGAATATTAGTCATTTAGTTTATGTATTTCATATGTTGCTTGATTGTGACTGAAGAAACTGGTTTGGCAATGAACTCAGTTAAGATATGCGTGATGACGACAGTCGACAGGTGCTGAGAACAACTAAGAACGTAAGTTTTCATTTTGATAGCCACGCAGACATCATGCAGAATTAATTTAAGATTAATAGAAACATTAAAAAAGTCCACAAAATGTTATCTTTCGAATTGCAATGTATGCATGCATGTGAAGATGCCAGGAACGTCAAAAGTTCGGTATAAGATTTTCGGTGTATCACATGCGTCCTCTATGAAGACCAGGCGCTATGTAATTAGACGAATACGAATCGAAAGCAATGATCTTTGTTTGTCCTCAGTATATTTAAGGATACAAAACGCATCATACCATTATACAACGAGACATCCATACACTGGTATAAAAGCAACCCTTCTTCATCCCTCCTTACTAAGAGGCGATGTGATAGATAGATAGATAGATAGTTCAGCTTTATTTATCGAGGGTAAACACCGAACAGTATGATCAACTGATTAACAAGTGGCCTCCTACATACTAATATATTAATACATTAAGAATCAAGATTAGAAATAGACTATCTTAAGATAATAGTAGCTAAAAGCAGTATGTCTATATATAAAGTTAGTTAAAAAGTAATCAAGGTATAGTAAAAAGAGTCGATATCGTTATCACCATTAAAAAAGTGATTAAACAATTCGTCTTTAAAACGTCTATAACAGATTTCTCAAACATTCTTATGTGAGATGGTAACGAATTCCAGAGACTTGGAAAGATCTACCTTCCTCACTAACACGACTATAGCGTGGGTGATGAGTGTTAGCAAGAGTTTGGGACGAATCCTACCAAAAACATGCAACTCATTTAACTCATTTTATCAATTAAGGGAAGAATCATTTCTGTAATTATTCTATTGTTTGACGTGTTTATTCGATCTTGACGTAAGCAACCTAATCAACCACTTCACATAAATATCCTGATGTTTACCTCAAACTTTAAAAAAATAAATGCCTGACCTCTTAGGCTAGCGTTTAGAGAGTGTTATGCATGAGTTGCGAAAAGGCATCCCATTTTAATAGGTTCTCTTTTAAGTTTTAAAACTACCTAAGACAACGATGTACCTTCTGTTGGGAAGAAAAACATTTTAGTAACGACACATTTTTAGGTTCTTGACCAGGTAAGTTTAGTCACATCACAAAATAAGTATAAAAGTGCAGTTTGAAACCTTTTTCCTGTTTATAATCACGCAGTTATAACACTTGGCACGCTATATATGCACTTAGATTAAAAGATGAATTAAAATGACTAATTTCTTGAACAAAACAATGAAACAGTATACGTTACTGTTTATACACAATTAGCCTTTGTTTCCATTTGCGATAAACCAAAACTAAAGGCGACCAAGACGATTTTTGTTTATTCAAAGTAGTCACATCACTCACATGCAGCTGTACACAACATATACCTTTGATTCTCATAATGACGTCAACCGCGAAAAGTTTGGTGTCTCTTTACCAGGCTTTCCGCGTTTGACGTCATTATGAGAAAGGTCTATTCTATTTAAACCTAGTGAGTTAAAAAGTTTCATTGTTTTCTTACAGACTTGCAAGGAAAATGCAATGTGTGGCAAGGAGGAATGTTGTGTCAGAGGATTGTGCATGCCTTTCATACGTAATGGAAGGAGATGTAATCCCTTAGCACAGGTGCGGAAAATAGAATATAAACCTCATGCATGTGTTGTGATTTATGCAAACCTGATAAAAACTATAACAGATAAAGCAAGAATATTGCGGGGTAGCCCCACAGGACAGACTGAGATTTCAAGCGTGAGATTTCATCTAATTGTCCCAGCATATATTGAAAGACAACGGTATTACGTTGGAGTAGCTCAACTCAATGAGCGCGTCATGATGACGTGCAAATACGTGACGATAAGTTACTCATCTATTCAGCCTATTACTAATCGTCTAAATATCGCTATTTGGTGTAATCAACAGGGTTTCCACAGCTTATTTACAGATGACTGTCCTCATAGGGTATAGCAATGACAAAAGAGAGAAACAAAGACCTTTTGAAAAGAATGCATAAAATATTCTATTAACCTAGATCCCTCCCTCCCTCGTGGTTGCCAATTGCAAGGAAATTTCCTTGCATTGTGGAACTGACCCTGGACTAATCAATGCTTATATATATACAAACAAGTATATATACAATAGCGTAAATATGCACATGTTTTTACAATCGAGAATAAAAGCACAAAAAATGGAATTCAGTGACTTATCGACGGGAACACAGACAAAATATTAATAAAATGCTTCCCTTTTCACGCCAGATCTTGCGCCTACAATGTCCATGCGCAGTTGGCTCGTCATGCACCTTGGAGGTCACATTTCCCATGGAAGAAAAGATGTATTGCCACAATATTAAAAATCTGAATAATTTGAAAGAGATGGTGGAAAACAGGGATATAAAACACATCGAGAGCAATAACATCGAAGACTAATAACAACTGGAATTTACCATATCCGCTGAACATAAAGATATAGCTATAGAAAAAAATATATATATTATATATATTATATATATACTAAAAGTTTGATAAATAAATTATATAGAATGGTTTAATATCTTGGATCTATACTTTAATATTGTTAGCCTGCGTATATTATGCAAACTTGAAAATCGTTTTTCTTAAGTGAAATGTGTAGTATATGTGGGCGGAATTTGACAAATTAAAAAGCACTTGTTTCTATGCAAAGTTATAGAACACAGGTCAGGGTGAAAAATAATGCACCTAAAATGCGGAATTAAGTATTGAAGGATTTTTTCCTCGTAAGATCGCAGAAAAAGTGAGAATTTCAAAAGGTGGTATGCAACTAACCTTGGAGAGGTTTGAAGAAACTAAATCCTACTCAAGCAAACTTTTAGCTTCTTCGGTCATGCTCGGTTTGGCAATATTGAAAGATATAATAGGAACCTATTTAAAGTAAAGTATCATCCAATTCTTCAAGGACATGGAATTTCATCTGGTACAAAGATGATCGCGTGTCTAACTAAATGATAATCCCCCTAAACACCTGCACATCTTCTATGTGCCAGAAATCTTTTAGAAGCAAACTCGTTTTGGTGATCTCGTTCTCATGGCTTTCCACCTCAAATTCCAGATCTGAAACCTATGGAACACTTGTAGGACCGTTTTAACCGGAAAAGGGCGAGGCACAGACCCGCCAGCCAGAATGACTTGAGGCAAGTGGTCAACGAATGCTGGCAAGGTATTAAATGTGCGACATTAAAAAACCTATGGAGTCTATGCCAGCAAGAAAAAACGTCATTTCAAGAGCAAAAAAGAGGGACACTAGGCAATTGACATGAAATGCATTTTTGCACATTAACATACGTAAAATGAATATCATAACATCTCATAGTTGTTGTACAGCATGTATTTTTCTGTTTACTCATTTACTTTTTTGTAGTTCACTTATCGGTAAGGTTTTCTATAGAATATTAATATATGCTGCTAAAACAATGAAATACAGTCACTGGACTCAAACTTTTGCCTCCTACTGTATATATGTGTATATATTCACATTTATATAATTCAAATTTTCAGATTAATCATTGATAAGGGGACTTGTCTAAAAATACAGGGCATGAAATTATTGCATGTTAAACTAAGTTTAATCTGTGATTTGCTATTTAAATTCGGGCTCGTATGGGAAATACGTCACCTTTAATCGAAAATAGAAGCCAAACATGGCCATGGTGTGTCACGTAGTTATTTTGATGTGCGTGCAGGCGCGTGCCTTGAGGACTATACCGTATACGACAATATTTAAGGACTCTACAAATCTGTTTCCAACATTCCGCAAAGATACGTGAGCTTCTTAAGAAAATGAGGTTTTACAAAAAGCGATTGTATTTATAGCATACACCCATCTGTCAAGTTCAAACCTTTATTGATTACTGCAAAAATTACGCTGACAGGTGGCTGAATAAATTATAATAAAATCTGCATGAAAACGTGGGCTCTCATTGGCCGACTGAGTTTACTTTGCAATTTAAAGTGTATGCTATTAATATTTAAATAAGTCAAGACACGCGCCATTGAAACAAGCCGTATTATTAAAGCAAAGGACAACACACTGGGCAAAGAACAGTCAATGTGTGCATTGGCAACATACAGAAGAAATACTCGTTGTCGCATTCCAGTGAATATACTTCCTCAACGAAACCGCTGAAGAGTTTCATCGTAAAGTAAGTATGTACATAAAAATGCAACAAGAGATGTTTGAAATGTTTTTATTTTACCACCGTCAAGCGTATGGGAAACAAAAAGCATAATACGCAGAAACCCAAACAATTACGAATCTGATAAATAGCAAAGTTCCGTTCAGTCTGGGAAGGAATAGCCCAACTTTGATCCATTACGTAATTTGCAAAGCGAAAAATAGTAATCAAAACTATCAGGATTTGGAAAAGTGAGAATTTGAACAAAATTTGTGTTTGTCTCAAAATAAGAATTATTGATAGGTTCATAAATAATATAGCATCTTCAGAACACATGCTTGGAAAGCAATTATATAAAATACTTACTTAAAGGACATTGGGTAGAAATATGAGAATTTTAATTTGCACAGCGACTTCGCCGCAGACATATTAAACACTATATTCAAATGCGAATAAAATTGCAAAGCGGACAACAAGTGAACAAATTTTTAGAGGCTAGAAAGTAGTATATGTATATGCATTAAAACATGCAGCATAACTGTTTTTGTCTAAAAAGGACAATATGGCTTACTTCGATAAACAATCAAAATTGACAGTCCGATTGCTGCTATAAATTAACGGTCCGGAACCTCCTCGACGTTCTTGTATGAATCCTTTAATTTGTACAGTTGGCGATTACAAAAGACAAGAGGTTGTTTTATATTACGCATGCTATAGTGGTTTGACATTTGGAGGAAAAACATCATCATATATATACATCGATAATTGCAGAGGACTAGCTGACATGAGTTTGATAAATTCATAATATGGATGTTTATCCGAAATATTAGCGAAGATAGCTTGCCAGGCATTAGGTATAGTTGTGAACTACTTGAAAAAGGTATATAGTGTCCTTTAGGAGGTTAGAAGGAACTAGATTTTAACTAGCATTGGAAATCACCATTTTTGCGGAATATATCTGCCTAGAAAATAGATATGCCACCCAAAATCGTGGACTTTTTTCGAAATACGTCATGCGTTATAACAAGTTAAACTTCCTTGCAGAAAATCTCATCGGGTCAGTTTATCAAATACAAAGACTGGTACAAAAACTGGTCATTTCGCCGAATTTCGATGATGGAAATAACAGGGAAAAAAGCTAACAAAGATCTAACACCTAAATTTCACGCTCTTTTACAAAATGACGCTCTGACCGAGCGAATAACTTCAGAGTTGGAACAACTAAACTATGCACAGATTCTAACATCCCTTGCAACGGGGTTACTTCAAAATGACGATAGTTTAAAAGATTCGGTGAAACCGGAGTCGGGAAAGAATGAATTAAAAGCATCTCAGACGAACGATTCTTTGAATATGCGTACATTTGAATTGGATGAACAGACATTGGACAGTGAAAACGGCAAACTACAAAGTAATTTCTCATCCCGCCGAAAACGACGGGTAAAACCAAGCCGTAAAATGCGCGAGATTCAAGAAATCAAAGACGTGAAACGTCATGGTTTCTATGCCAACGAGTTCGGACGACCAAAGAAGGTGAACGCGAAAATCGTCCGGGAAAACAGTAAGAATTCTGTTGAAAAACGAGTGGCAAAGACTACAAAAAAGAATTCAGAGGGAGAAAACTCATCCAGAAACGAAATGAAATTCGGGATCATTGTTGACGATTGTGTCGATGCGGCTCAAACGGAGGCAAGTGAAGATTTCAGAAACAAAATAATTTCTGCTGAAAATCTGGACGAAAATGAAAGAAATGAAATGGGGAAAATAGAAAAGGACAACGAGTTGACAGGAAATGAAGAGGACGGAGTTTATACGAGAAGAAAATCCAGGAAAACAACAAAGCATAAGGGAAATAAAGCAACCGAAAAGGGAAGACGATATTGGGACTTGACGGAGGGTCAATCAAGGAATTCGAAAGAAAATGAAGATGAAAGTTCAGGTCGTTATCAATGTGAGCAATGTGGGAAATTCTTTAAAACATATTACACATTTAGTATTCATATAAGAATGCCAGAGCACACAAAAGAAGCGCCTTTTGTTTGTGATGTTTGTGGAAAAGGATTTCGTCTTTCAAGCACTTTATGCAGGCATAAAATAATCCACACTAGCAACAAACCACATGAATGCAAAGTTTGTCGGAAAACGTTCAATCGTTCATCCACCCTGAAAATGCACATGCGCACTCATAGCGCACGCAAGCAACACGTGTGTAGCACATGCGGCAAAGGATTTCATCAGAAAGGGAACTTAAGGAATCACATGTTTGTTCATTCTGGAGAACGGCCATTTTGTTGTGAGACGTGCGGTCGCCACTTTAACAAAAAGTCGAATTTGAAACATCATCTGAAAATTCATGAGATCAACGGAAAATACTCATGTACGATTTGCAAGAAGATTTTTGATGATCATATCGGTTTGAAAGAACATATGCAAACTAAACATGTTCATTTGTAAATGCATGCAGATGTTTATCTGCACGTCACTAGAATTTGAATTTCAAACTATAATTTGCACAGTATTTATTGTGAAACAATCACCCAATAAATAGCATATAGTTATTTTGTATTTCTTTACCACCAATAACAAGTTTAAGATTGTAAATAATGTACAATTTTGCGGCCATTTACAGAGCACATGCACCATATACACTTTGGGTCAAAGATATTGTTTCCCACTCTGGCATTTTACAGCATTTGTCTTAGTAAAATATATAAAAAAGAATAATTCAGAGTTTTTTTCACCACTCCACGGGAGATAGGGTGGGGGGGGGTGGAAGTTTGACTTGGAATTCCAGGTAATGTACCATGCCGGTAATGTTGCATGACGGAGACTTCTTATCCTGGCACCCTGCTGAGTTTTCCCTTTAACTTTCGCGATTTAATATGCTCGTACTAGATATGAAAGTGATCTCAGTCAAGTCAAGTCTTCGTTTCGTAAAAACGTGAAATGTTTCATGGTGATTCGTGAAACTATCAGGGGCCGGTTGTTCGAAAGGTGGATAAGTCGCTATCCAACGGATAACTCGCTATCCAACGCATAAGTTTTATCCAGCGTGTGATTTGCGTTGCACGAAGCTTGGATAACTTTATCCAGCGGATAAAAATCGCTATCTACCGGATAAATTTATCCAGGGTCCGGAGGTGGTTTAAATCCACTATCCAGTGGATAAATTCAAAGATACAAGGTAACACTGTAAACATTTATATAAAATTGGACAAAAATGCAATATTCCTGTTACTGTGCATGTTTCAACAAACTAATACACATCATGATTGTATTCAGTATTAAAAATGTTTTCGAAGTGCAATTTGTCGCAGCAGCGTTTCACGTTGCCTACACATTCCGTTCCGAGCGGCGCTTTTTTGGACATCCTCGAATTTATAAGAGGCGGTAAATTTACTATACGCTTCTAATCAGTTTACAAACGTGAATATGCAAAAAAAGATTCAACCTAGTCCAAGGAAACTTGCTAATATCTAAGTAATTTCATTCACGAACATTAAAATAGTGTTCCTAAATTTGCTATGGAACCGAAAAGCAAAGCGTTGCAAGGTCAAGGAATAAAATTGCAATGTGTTTAATTAATAAAATCACTATGATGTGAAGTGCAAAGTTCGAGCAAATCACTTGTTCAAGTCTTTTCCATTCAGTAACTATACTCGAGAATTCGTAATGATTATGAATTCAATGTAAATGCTTAGCAACAGCTGACGTTGCGGTACGAAATTTCAGGATAATCCTGTTTTCTTCTGGTAAATTTTAACTTATAGTGAAGTGGATAGCTATCCACGATAGTGAAGTGGATAGCTATCCACTTCACTATCCACGCTTCGTGCAACGCGTTTTTATCGAATGGATAACTATCCACTGGATAGCAGATTTATCCGTTGGATAGGCCTTATCCGTTGGATAAGTTATCCATCTTTCGAACAACCGGCCCCAGAAACTTAAGTATCACCCTATATTCACACTTTATTTTTATATTGAATTGTTTTCGTAGATTTTGCCTGTAATACGCATATCATCACCATAGCATACTATAATCACTGACCTAACTATAGCCGGTGACGCCAGGTAGCATGAATTAATGATACCATATGAGTGGATTTTAGATTAGAACAAAAACATACGTGATTTGGAGGGTTCGATCCTGGAGGTCACGTGTCAAGCTTAGAAATATCTTCATACGGGAGTTTGTCCACTGTCCGTCCCCGGTACTCGCCCTATAGGGAGATGATCCAAAAAATGAACGATACAGTACAAAGAACCCGCAAAAGAAAGAAAGAAACACATGCAAATATTAGAGGGGGGAGTAAGGGGTGCTGGATATCGCAAGGGGGGAAGGAAGGGATATAATGAAATAAGAGACACAGGTAATGTACTTAAGGGGATGAAGGGGTGCTGAAATAAGATTGTTACAGATACAGTAATCAACAAACATTACCTCATTTATCTCAACAGAAACACTGAATGTTTTCTCATCCAAGTTTAAGAGAGTTCCTTTCTGACCTCTGTAGCGGCCATTTAGAATCAAAACCAACCTTCCTAGAAAACATGCAGTATCTTTTAGTTGCAACGAATCGCTCTAAAGCAAAATGTGAAAACTAGAGAATGCATTATATTAACTCGTACGAAATACCGGTCCAGTTATGTACTGTATGTGTGGAAACCAAATGTACACGGTAGCGTACCTATGGCGGGTATAACGGTCTCCAAATATGTTTGATCAATTTTTAAGACATCTCCGGTGTCTATCATTTTGACAATTCCCGTAAATAACTCTTTCACCTCCTGGAAATATTAAATAAGTTGTTAGCAATAGTCCGGCTGACACCAACTTGAAGCAAAAGACGGTTGCGTATTTCAAAGCCGCAATACCTTTGTGAAAACTTACATAAAAAATTTCAGTTACCTTTACAACTGCCTTCTTCTTGTAATACTTTTCACCCAGTTTCTTATGAACAACTTTGACTACAATTCCCTAAAAAAGAAGTGGAATGTATAGTTCTTAAACATGTCATTGCTATTGGTGTATAAATTCCAGGGGCCGGTTGTTCAAAGCTATAGGTTAGCGCTAACTCTGCATGGGTTAAATTTTAATCCGCTGTTTTAATTTACGTGCTTCTGCACCGCCGTTTGTTTCAAAACTTTACAAAATATGATTTCTATGATACTCATGGTAAAAATATTCAACTTTTATATGAAAAAGCGATGAAAAAAATTGATGTAGAAATTTGCGTTAACCCTGTGTTAAGTTACAGCCGGCTTTTGAACAACCGGTCCCAGGTTATCTCTCGCTTATAGTAGGGCTGTAGAAATTAAAATCCATTCTGCAGTATTTAATCGATCATATATCTTTTGTTCTTTATTCTTTAAACCAGACGAAAGTTTAGTTATGAGGACTATATAGTGAGCTAGCATAAATTTGAACCGAAATAAAGTATATTTCAAGATATATTAGAAATTGTTTTCTAATCTCAGATCATCGATTGTTAACAGTTCTATAAATACAAATGCTGAGAAAATAGGCCAACCTTCATCAGCCAATTTTCTTTGCGCGAAGTTTCCTTCTTTGCTCTTTTCGCTTCTTCTTCCTGTGCAGTAAAAAAATTAAATGATAAATACTAAAACGTTTCGACGGATAAAATAATGGCTGCATGTTTCATATCTCAACCTACCTTCATTATCTCATCCAAAGCTGACTTTCGCTTTTGTCTAGAAACAAAAACGTATCGTAAATGTCCATGTAACTATTACCCTGCACCGTTTATCAGACTATCCCAATACTATACGCACAAGCACTGTATATGAATCTTGAAATAACATGAAGATTTTTACAACACATTTGAATATTCAACCATGCATAGCAAAGGCGTATATGCACGATTTGTCTATTTCAGCAGCTTATATACAGTACCTATAAAACTTAAATTTACAACCAAAAACTGGTTAGCACATACAAGCATTAAGGTATTGATGCCAATGTAAATATATTAAGACTGTACATAACGCCTCCTCGCATGCAGAGGCCAATTTTCACTATACCATTTATAAAATATTCTGTCTCTTGACGATTCGGCTCTTGGGTGGGAAAGGTCAAGAAATATCAATTTTAGGCAGTTGTTATACAGCTTTTTTGCGGAATTATCTATGCAGTTACTTGAATATTTGGTGCTGTACTATTGCTCTTTGTGAACTCACGTTTCTTTATCTTTCTTTTTGCTGTCTTTCTCAACTGCTTTTCCCATGTCCACCAATGGGCTTGGGTTGGAGATAATATTTTTGCTGAAAAAAAAGACCAATAATGATTAGAACAAGGATTACATATTATAAAATGATACCTCAAAACCTTCTATAAGATCGAAACTTATTGTCTTACCTTGTGGAAGGTTTTAGCTTTTCTTTCTCCCCACTAGATTTTAACGCCTTTGTTGACGCCAGGCTAAACGTCACTGAAAAACAAATAACTATATTATGCAATATAGGACCACGCGGTGAACGACAACGTTGAATTTCCTTTTGTTTCCTCTTAAATTTATCATTATACTAGCTCAAAGTGTCTAAACAGGTTTTCTAACACCTGGGTGACAAATACCTTTTTCCGCTTCATCACTTCTTTCCAATTCGGTTGCACATGATTCAGCCTGAAGAAGATCGAACAGCCTCACTTCTTAAGTTTACTGTTTGCACACAAATGTATGATGTGATGATGTGATGTGATGACTTACATGTAAATACTTTAGTTCTCACTAAAATATATACTTAATGTAGATAAGTTATAGCTAGTATCATTCATACATTGTAGGTACTTCACTAAGGGTTGGTTGTACTAAAGCTATCTATCCACCAGATAGTGATTTTGTTACTGTTTTAAACATGGTTGAAACGCAGTGAAATTACAAATTTGGAGCTCAAACTTATAAAAGAGAACTTTCAATTGAAGAATTCTAAGGTTTAATCCAGGATATTCTGAACAGAAATTTTAAAGCGATTGAAAAAAATAGTGCTATCCACCTTCCATACAACCAACCACAGAATTTTACATTAGGCTACATTAGGCTATCAGTCAAAACACATGAATCCTTAGCATTACTCTACCTGATCACCTCTTCTGGCCAGTTCTTTTTCAATTTGTTTCTCAATGAACTTGGCTAAAACAACCAAAATATCTATCATGAGGGGCTTTACTATCAGAAGAGCAATCTTTTCCTAATCTGTGACTATGTGAATGGGGATATTGCAGATACAAGCAGTAAAAGTTACTAATATCTGACAGAAGTGTAAACAATCATTGAATAAAGCAGCATATAACCTGTTTTTTCATCATCATCCATTTCCATTTTCTCTTTATTTTCTGCTGCCTGGTGTAAAAAAACCGTCACTATTTTTCATATGAGGCTGTTCTGACTGAGTGAAATTTAAACACACACAGTGAAAAGAGAGCCAATGTTTTTAATTTTAAAAATATGTATATAAGGCCAATTTTAAAAATGTATCCAGATGAGAAAGTGTATTTTATTATCCGACTTAAGACATTTTTCCTGTTTGAAGTGAAGTCTCAGAAATGTAGAAGAGGGGAGACTCAACATTCACTCAGCCTTGGGTGGAAATTAATATACTGTCATTATGAGAAAACTACCTTTTGTCTTGCCAGTGTTTCTGGATCTCTGTCAATGTAAGCGATGAACCATCCTTTCTCTGTGTTGTCAACTTTACACTTGCCTATATTATTTAATTACATATAATAGAGAGTGAAACATTACTTATGCAATTTCTTCCCTGGCATAGTGTGAATGTAATAATCCTGCTTGCATCTTTAACATACTCTTCTTTCTAATGTGTCAAATACTCAATCTAGCTTTTTCCTCTAACATACTATTAATCTCAATTGCTAAAATATAAAGTGTCAATGTTGAATTGGTAACGCAGTACCAGTAATACTTGGGCAGGGTTTACTCAACAATTCAATTTAGATCTAAAACATGCCAAACATAGCATTATAATACCTTCACGACCTAGCCATTTCACAAACTCTGTGAGTGTTTCCCACTAAAGAATTAAAACACATTTTATTACCATCGATACATTTTTTAAACAATTTTTTCTGATTTTAAAAAATTAATGGTTACCTGAGTTGCATTCATGTGCAAATGATTTCTTTCACTGATATATTCTTGGTACACAACATTTGCATGAACACGTCTTGTGCCTAAATGCAATCCATCAATATTGTATTTAAGAATAAGTTTGGTGGCTTCTAAAGTTTCTCTTGGAATAGAACATTAATATTTAAATGGTTTATAATATGGGTGATTCTCCAGTTACACACACTACATTGCAGTTTCTTCAAGCTTCATATATCGCCTGTGCTCAGTGTCACATTTGTGACCAGAGAGTCACCCATATGAATATAATTACCAAATCGCCTCCGTAATAGAAGCATAAAATCATCTTCAAATTCCCTGAAAGAAGAGAATATTGAGAATTACATTTTACTTTTACATTACTTACCATTTAATTTAATTACGCTTACAAACACAAGTATAATTGAAACCAAGTATGAATTATGTTGAAAAATTATATAAAACATACTAACTGTGAAAAAGTATCAATAAATTTATTTGGGTTATCAGCAAACAACAGAAGCTGACGTTGATGAGATTCAGACATGCAATGGCACTTGAAACCATTCTATAAGTAAATACAATTTATTGGAAAATGCAATTTATGAGTTCATATAAATATACAACTAAATGTGAAGCTCTTCTTATGCCTTCAGCTATATTGGGGAATGATGGGCCATAAAATCCCTCCCCCAGTAGTGTGCAAACCTTGCTGTGGTTAGCACCTTGTGTGTCTTAATGAGTTACGCTGGAAAGATACTAATCTTGTGGTAGGGCCACCCAAGTCACTGGTCCTCCAGGTTTGAGGCATGGAAAGAGTAGACATGTTTAACATTTAAAGGGATAAGTTTGGGAAGGAGAGTAGGGTTGATGGAGAAAGATACACAATATTGAAAGTTTTAAGCAGTGTTTTAAATGGATTATGTCATATATCTATACTTTGGAACTACAGTTAGGTATAACAGTATAACTACTACCATTTTTTGGTGCAAAAAATCATGCATACGCATACCTCATCCCGACATTGTTTTTGACACATTTGACAATACCATCGTAATTTCTGCAACCCTTTTGCCTTAATTCTGTTGCTAATAGCTTTAGGTGTCAATGCTCCAGCCTTTTCTTTTCCCATTTTGATCAAAATTCACATTTTTTGAAAACTTTGAAATTGTTGTAAAATTTGTTTCTATCCAATTCAACGACGCATGACAGATTGTAAATCAACCGCTAGCCAATTAAACATGTATCCAGCCTGCAAGACCTGGCCAACCCTAAAATTGGGCAATTTGAGAAGTTGTGGTGAGAATTTCTAGGATATTTCTCATCGTTGTTTTAGAAGTTATCCTTGTCTGTTTTTCTGTATTTTTGAGTTATATTCATGGAATCTGATTTGGAAAGTGCTGTTGAGGAACTGTAGGCGATAACTTCTTTCCATTCTGTTTATTTTTAGTGTTGATTTGTCAACAATATCATGTGACCTGTGACCATTAATTTATTGTGTATTTTTATGAATATGTTTTAGAATGCAAGAAAGAGGGGTGGTTGGTGTGATTTGCACCAACGAAGAAGGTCTAGCACTTGCTGGTATGGTGTCCTGTCATTTTCTACCATGGTTGTTTTGTACTAAACTGTCTGGTTATTTTGATTATGAAATGAGTCAAATGACTAAGTAAACTAACCCTTGTCCCTTGGTATCAGATGACCAGCCTTAGAACAAAGCAACCAAAATTGGAGTATGAAACTATTACTGACTGCAAGTATAAGCCTGATTAAAAATTCATTAGTATCACAACTTTTTATTTAGTTGATGGATCAGCATTGGAAGTACATGCTGGTATTGTGTCAGGTTTAGCACAAGAAGCAAGAAAAATTTACCCTGAGATCGACTCTTCACCTGTAGTAGTATTAGAATCTGATACTTGGTGAGATTTTTTTTCAGTTAACAAAGTACAATTTTTCAGCTCCCTATAATTTCACTAAATTGCTTAAATATCAATCATATCATCATATTTTTCTAGCAATCTTTTGATCAGATCTCATGAAGGGACAACAACTGGAGTATTGAAGGTTCCATCATAATCAGCACAATAAATGAATAGCTAGATAATTTATCAATAAATAATAAACGCTTAATTCCAACTGTGTAAATAGAAGTAAAATAGTCAGTCATTGAAAGATTTTGATGATGTCTTTGAAATGAATGATTCAGTCATTGCTTGAAACAACTTTTAGGGTGTGCAGTAGCCATACTACAGTATATATAGTATATAACTAACAAACTAAATCAACTATAAACATTTTTGATGGGTCATGGAATTTATGGAAATCATGGAAATGTTTACACCGAGTGGAAACACATGCCAAGATGGCGGATTTGACAAGTCAACAAATTCAGCAGGATTGGGAAAACCGTGAATTTATTGAAATCCTGTCAGAAAGTATAAAAAATATAGCCAAATTTTTGAACAATTTTGGTGAGGATTTTGTTTTACTATTTGTTTTACATTGTGTAGATACGAGGCCAGGCTAAAAATGTGTGAAAGATTGGCGATTTGGTCGGTTGACTCCGATAGTTTGGGTGTCACTTTAGGCAAAAGTGCTGCACGACAATAGTCTATTTGAGTATAGATACACATAAACACGTCCAATTATAGACACGCTATTTTACATAAACATCTTACTAGTGCATTCTAATTCGTATTGTGTGTGACAAGCTAATTGTTCATTTTTCTAGATATGTCTTGTCGAGGAAAGCTAGCTAAATTAGATGAAAAGTTGACACTGATGGAACAGAGGGTGGAATACATAGAAGCAAGGGTAGGTTTGATTTAAGTGAACATATAATTATATAAAATACGTGAAACGCGGGCGAAAATGATATACACATGGAAGTACACAACATTTATTTTCACAACATTCCTCTAAATCCTCTAATATTCTCTATGTCTGTGTCTGTTTTATAGGTGACAAAGGGAGAAGCACTTTCTTAAAATAATTTGCGTGATGAGAACATAGAAAAAAAGAATACATATAACCAAAGAAAAGAAACAACATATGCTGTTGCAAAGTGATGCTAAATATGGTCATTGTTTCTTTGTGAATATTTTTTAAATTAACTAATAGTAATGTTTTGGTTGTTACAAATGGAAAACCAGGGGATACCATTGATACATTAGACCTGATAGGTTAGGCAACCACTTTTCGTATCAGTCTAGACAAGATACATATTCCATAAGATGACAAGCCCTCTAACTATTGATACATATATATGAATACCATTTTTGTACGCAACAAAAATTTTGCAATTTGTCTGTAGGATTTATAGTAAATTAGTACTAAGAGTGTAGGGCAATAATTGTCAACGCGTTTGTAATATATGATAAATGATTGGATCAAGTATTTTCACATTAAATTTGTTAATTAAACAGTTGGTGAAAACTTGTATTTCTTCAATAGTTTCTACACCTATGCCCTCATTCCCAGAGGATGTTCAGCTGGAAATTTGAGTGCATTGAAATATAGTCACATTAAAAAATAAAAAGATTTATTCCAAATTTTGCATTTTCCTACACATGTAATATTGCCATTGATGAATTACAGTGAAAACTCTTTATCTAAGAATAAGTTTTAATAATAGGTACCACTTCAAAAATACGTGACATGCTTGAGGTATGTGTGTTTAGGAGAGTGCCGCAACTCACAAGGATGCGACACAAGTTGATAATCAGTTGATGACAAAGTTTCAAAATAACTGACCAAAGCCGATTTAAATACTACCAAAAATGGTTGTCGTAGCATTTTTAATTGTAGTAAATCACGTTGCGGAATGCGTTGTTTTTCCCTTCGCGCGAACAAAATCGCCAGGCGTTACGAGTATTTGATATAAATGAAGCCTGGTCTAATAGTCTACTTTTAGTTAAGCTCGGGGGTGACGAGTGCCAAGAAAGGCCTAATGAACGTCATTTGTGAACGGCCTCGCAGGTTTCTATTTACAATCGAGGTAGCCGGGGGCGTGGCTCGTTTGTGTGGAACAATCTTAGTCATCTTACGATTCTAGTCTAATAAAAGAAAACTTTCGATGAATAATTGTTGTAGTTTACGCTTTTATCCTATTTGGCACATTTGTGAGAGTTTCAGGGTTCGTATATATATTAAAAGTTTTTTAAAACAGTCTTTAATGAGATGCAAACTCTTCCAGTTTTGCTTGTGTGTGAGTTCTCGTAAGAATTTGCAAACCAGTATCATTTTCAATACAAAATGCGATAATATAGAAAACCTTCATGTTTCTTGTAGAAAAAACTAAAAGTTTAGCGTAGAAAATGTTAAATTCTTTACGAATCGCAGATAAAAAAAACTCACGACTCTTGCGGACTCGCAGGTTGCTTATAAATAATTCAAGCATCAACAACACTTTAGCGTCTTTGCTAGAACATTTTGCAAAACCAGCTAAAGCGATAAAATTTCCTGTGGCTAGTTTTTAAAAACTAAGATAAGTAAAAAATGTCTGAAGAAGAACAAACGCCTGCAACTGATCCACCAGCTGAAGAAGAAGCTGCTGCTGCTGCTGCTGAGAAAACGGAGGCTGGCGAAGGAGCGGAGGGTGAAGCAAAAGGAGAAGCCAGTGGCAGTGCTGACGCGGAAGGTGAATATAACACACGCCTTATTTTAGTTTTGGTTCGAATCAAAACTCTTATCCTTATCTATTTGTCAATGTTTGTCAATGGTTTACATGAGATATTGACAAATTATTTTGAAAATATGGTATTTCCGTATGTTTCTACACCTGTTGATTCTCTCCACGGAAATGCAAGAACGCTCCATCATCACAGTGAATGCTTCCGAGTGCGTATCGTTTGCCTACCACACAGTTTCCCATGGCCAGGATATGAGTTTTAGTCAGAAGTGATTCTAGTTCATTATCCTGATTAAATGGATATAAATTAGATCACCTAATGATTATAAAAAGATAAATTCTGTTAGCAACAGGACTTTCGATGTCGTTTGTCAGCTGTCAGTGTCTGTATATTATTGTCAATTTGTCATTGAGTTGTGATTGTCAATCGACTTCAGTCGACCGTCACTAAAAGTAAAACTGCCGCTTATTATCTCTTCGTTAGCTACTGGTCAGTTTAGATTTTGTATTTGGTCCATCAGAATATTTAGTGAAGATATCAGTTGTTGGCCGCAAATCTGTCACTGTCGAACTCATTTGTTATTGTTAATTCGAAGTGCCTGACTTGGCTTTGTCATATATTTTAGTGCTCGACAATATTTATACCATGGGGGGCAACCAGCGTCGTATAATTTTAGCACAACAAAACACGGATGTTATCTAAGACATAAACACTGTAATAAAAATATGATATGCTATCGTAAAAGCGTTTCAACTTTTGGACCTGTAGTAGTTCAATTATGTTCAAATCGCGGTTACAGCTCAGCATAACAGCTGACTGGCGCCTGTTTGCATTTGACAATACTAGCACAAATGATAATTATCATAAATTGAGAAGTTTACTGAAGAGTACAATTCGAGTATTCCGTTTAAACACAGGAAAGATTTCATAAGGTTTACAAACTTTACATCTTCTTTCTCATGTGACGTCATGTCTGACTATGAAATGAGAGTGTCAGGTAGCTCTATTCATAACATTTTTTATCTTTTTCAAGCTAAAGGAGATGAGATTAAGGGTGACGAGGAGAAGACAGAGGAAACTAAAGGATCAGAAGGTGAAGCGAAAGGATCTGATGGAACGGCAGAGGACACTGGCGGAGGTACAGAAGATGCCAAAAAGGAGGGAGACAAGGGCGAGGAAAAGCCAAAAAACGAGGAAGAGGCCGAGGGGTGTTGTTGTATTTTAATATAGAAAAAATAATCATTACACTGAGATACTAACTGATATACCATGTAGCCTTCTCCGCAGACATTAGTGTAATACTCTTCGATACAGTAAGATTTATAGTTACACTCTAGGTATAGTGCAATAAAATGTAATATACCTATAGTATAGAACATAAATAAACACAGAAACTTTAAATAGTTTTGACATTATACTGCGGAGAAGGCTATATCAAATGCACAACTTAGGTAGGTGGGAATAGATCTTCATTCTTCATATAGGGCAGCTGTAAGGAACTTTTCATCATTTTACATTAGCATATAGTCGCATATATACAGCCAAAGAACTGAATCTAACGTGAAGTGGTTTTCCACAATTAATGCATGACATCACGAGATTTTCTAATCCATTTAAGCTTATCTTAGCTTTAACTTTATACTCTACGATTTGAAGAATCTAAACGTTTTGCAATCTCGGATCCAAATAAACCCCAAAATAGTGGTGCGAGGAAGCTACTGTTTTTGTTACAATAGATGATAAATATTTGATGAATAGTCCTTACGCATGAACTACGCATTTTCAAGCACGTATTCTTGTAGTTAGGCCATATTTTGTATTTTAATTTGAACTTTATGTCGTAATATTGTACATGTATTATATACTATACCAAATTTTACAAATGTTTTACGGACTTTTACCGAAAAATTTTTCCCTAGAAATAACAGACATAGATATCCATAATGGTGTATCCAGATTAATTTCTTCAGATCGACCGCGACCTGCTAAAAGATACCACTAACACTTGAAACGCAACGTGGAGTTTCATCACGCACCTATAAACACGCCGCATATGCTGTAAGAAATCTCCATTTTTCTTGCAAAAGGATTTTGGTTCCTAACAAACGTTTTTCACTTTGATTGATTATTTAATTGGCTAAATGAACTCAACAGGCAAGCTTATCGACGAAATATATAAAATCGCTTTAACACTGAATTTAGATGCTCAGAACTCTTGAAGGTCGCCCTAGCGAGGCAGCACAGTATTCTTGACGCATGATATTTCGGCCATGCCTGTAGTTCTCACATGTCATCGAGTCACCGACAGCTCGCGACGTTTACTGTCGGCGGTCAATCATCCAGGGCCCGGGTGTTTCGCCCTTTCCGCCTGCCTTTGGTAAAACGAATTTTTAAGCAGACATCTTCCCTGCACTGCAGCAGTATCTTTAATTGTCCTGGCTAATCGATTTTTAAGAACGGCATGGAACTGGAAGAGCGAGACAAAGAACCTTTGTAAAGAACGTATAATTTTTGCTTTAACCCCTTCCTCCATTTTGATAATCTCCTGGGAGGAAATATAATAAAAAAGAATAACAATGAGTATTTATATTTTTTTAATATCTTAAAAATATTACTACTATGCGACTACGGAAATACACAACATGCTTAAAGATCTTAAGTCCATCGCATGAAAGACTGTAGGGTTTGGTACATTCGCTTTCAAAATTACAAGAGTAAAAATGCTTAGTGGCTTTATAGAGAAGCTTGCACATTGATCTCTTCTACAAATTTTGGCATCTTCAACTTATCTCTTATGACTGGGTGCTGTCCTAGGGACCTCTCCATAGTAAGCTACAGCATCTTTGGATTTTTATGCATGTAGTACAGTGGTAGTTCATAAGAACAGAATGTACCCAATTTCAATTATCATTGTCGTCTGATTTCACAAACACTAAAAGCTCCCCACCTATCAATATTAAACTTACAATATTTATAAGAAATCATGAAAAGGGTAATTCCTTGTTTACATAACTAGTATACTTTATGTATGTATGTTCATGTTACAGATATTGTCACACATTTAGTCTGCTTCACCTGGTGATGAAATTTATATGCAAAATATTTAAATATGTTAAATGCTTTTACTGTTTTCCTCACACTATATCCCATGAGCCATGTTATTACTTTACAAAATTACACATCTTTTCAAGAAGTTTCTACTGGGTTTCTTTACTTCTGGGGTTTTTCTGTTGATCTGTCGTACAAGGTCGAAGAAAATTTCTGTCACATTTATTTTTGTCTTTGCTGAGGTCTCAAGGAATGTGCTACAAAGAGAAAAAGTGATTTACCCACTACTAAATGTGTTATGAAAAAAAGATGTTTCAATCATTCCTCACCAATTTCCAAACTGTTTTGCTAAAGCTTGTCCTTGATCTTTCCCAACAATCCTTTCATCTTCTAAATCACATTTATTACCAACTAGAACCATTGGGACCTGAAAGAAGTTGATTATTTTGAAATAATACCACACTTGAATAATTAACTACCCCTTACTATTTCAAACTTTAAGGCCCAACATGCCTGCCAGTTTCTTGGCAAGGAATTACACAAATTACAACAAAAAATTGTGACCTGCTGTGTTGCAAAAAGTAGTTTTAGAACCAAGGTTAAAACTTACATCACTTGTATCTTTTACTCTAATAATCTGATCACGAAGATCTCCCAAATCATTAAAAGAAGACTGTGACGTTATTGAATACACCAATACAAAACCCTGACCATTTTTCATGTACAAATCTCTCATTGCTGTAAATTGTTCCTATATGTTGGAGATAAGAGGATTAATTCTAAATAATTTTAAGGGTTTTTCATCAAGGCTGAAAAGCACTAGTTTCAGTAAACAGGAGTTTCCAAAGAATTATACTTTATAGACAAGCAATATAGAGTTATATTACACCAAAAATTGATTAGGTCTGAGAACATGCCAACCAAAAACATCTTGTTTCTTATTAATAAAATATCTGCAGTTCTTGCCAATATTCCATTAATTTCAAAGAAGTGGGTGTCAATTGAAAGAACTATTGAATGTATTCCCTACTAGGCCCACATTGTCTATGTTCACTTGTGATTCTTTAGTCTCTTCCCACCATGATAAAAATTTAGTGAAAACCTAGTCTAATGTGCAGTGCATTATAAGGAAATTGTCATTTGTGGCAGGTTTCCCTGTAAGGTAGCAAAATCTGTAGTAAACTCTTTTATAGGTAAGAAAAAGACTGAAAAAAAGGTCAAATTATCATTTTTATACCGATACATGCTTTAGCTCATATATGAAAAATTCCAAAGAAATTTCCCACAGTGTGATTTTGAGGAAGTCACTGTGAAAATTCAAATTAAATTTGATTGAAGTTAAGTGAGCAATCAATATTTTATTTAAATTTCTCACAGCTTGAGGGTCACTTGTATATTGTGAGCTGATCACTGAGAATTCTTTTCTCACTTCTTTAAACCTTGGGAATTTTAGTGACATTCCTCCAGTAGAAAAGTATGAATAATGACTTGAAAGTTAGCAAATCCTTGAAAACTTATGAAGTGGGAATTGTACAAAAGGGGTTGAGCCTAAAATTTAATGACTAATAATCCAGTGATCACATAGTTATAAAATGAAGCTTCTGGAATATGGTTTTGTAGTGAGGTTCTGTTAAAATATGCTTGTCAATAAAAATATATTCTTTGTGACCATACACAGTATTCAATGTGCATGTTACAATGCTAAACTAGCTATGAAACACAGTAGAGGGATTTTTCAAACTAAAACATATTCCAGTGGGAAAATGAGGCACACCAGTATGTTATCAAAATAATGGCCACACAGAATGTGAACTTTAGCATTCTCAAGTAAGCTTTGTTTAAGCACTGTATTGCTACAGAGTGCAAATCATACAGGAGCAATATTTGACTTGATCGTGCTTCATTGTTTCAATGTAGACTTTCATTTACAAAGTTCTATTTTTGAATTGACAGGTTACAAGTAGGAATAGTTTTAAAATGATCATTTATCTAAGGCCCAGGCATCAAAGCAAAGAAAATTTTATGACAATACCGTTCCAGCGGTGTCCAATATTTCTAACATACATTGCTGGCCATCCACTTCCACTTGCTAAAAGGAAATAGTAACGATTATATTTAATCAAATACTTCAAGTCATTTCTTGCGCATATATGAAGATTTCAAAAAACACAATACGTTCATTTGTTTTGAGATCACAAAAGTTCTTAAAACCTTGATAAGGCTTTTGAAATGTACATTTATAAAAGGAAACTTTTGCCTAATTATCTAGAAAAAGGTGGTGTTTAAATAATAATCTACAAGATCAAAGTAACAATTTGCTATTTTATAAGTTAGATTTTAAATCCAGGATGTGAATTTATTACTGACCTTTCTATAAGAGTCTTCGATCGTTGGGTCGTATTTTTCAACAAAAATTCCTTGGACAAATTGAACAGTCTGGGAAAAAAATTTTTGAATTAATGTACCCTTATGAACACATTCAACACGAAAAATACAATCACAACAGAATGGCACGTGAAATCGCCAAGGAATTTGTAAGATTGTGAAATCAACGAGTTGATGCTTCTGAGGTGTTGTCTACACGACTGGCTTAAACACGAAAATTTGAGGGATACTTGAAAACCCATGTCTTTCCTTACCAAGGCACTTTTTCCGACCCCACCACTTCCAAGGACGACCAATTTATACTCCCTCATCTAAAAACATCAGGAAATTAGACCAAAACACACCTTATGTTACGAACTATTAAATAGCTCGCATTTCGAACGCTCTATGAATACTTCTCACCAACGTAAAAATAACAATGCCGCAGTAAAATATACCCTACGCGATATTTATGAACGAATACAGCGATGTATATGAACGAAGACTACCTTTTCTTCTATCTAAGATGACGGTAAAACCTTGAGGAAACGATTTAAATATTTTCTTATTCGTTTTGTTGTCTTGGCTTCTTGTGTTGACTTATAAAAGGCGTCGGTTTTATATTCTATACCAAGTTGCTATTTTTACCATCAACGTACTCTGGGGGCGGAGAGTTAGGACGTCATGAGTTTTTACATTGCAAATTCTTGAAAGTTTTTTGCTAAATAAACATATTTTTGGCACAAAAACATGCCTTTTTACACACATCTAATTACTTTAGGCTTTAATTTTAAAGTAACTTTTAACGGCGATTAAAATACTTAAAATATAATCAACCCACCCTATCCTCCCTTCGTAAATTTTCTCTATGCTCGTCCTAGTTCCCGCGAGCACTTCATGCGCTGTTTCCACTTGTTACAATAAATCAAATAATAAATGAAAAAACTAACGAGAATTTATTTACCTATTTGGCAGAAAATTTATTTGCAGTACTTCTGAATTCTACGTTTAGTAAATGGGGGTGTAAAAAAAATTAACTGCCTGTGTTTCTCAACTCTCAAGCAACATTACAGAAAATCAGCAAAATCTGTCATGATGAAAAAAGCTTTTATCGCCTGGTCCTTTTAGTTTTTCTCTCTTCGTCATGTGTCTAAATCTTAAACGGAAGGGAAATTTGTTCAGTTCTGTTGTTCACTTGTTCTCCGTTTTGCAACTATGTTACGCAATTTTACAGTAAGGAAATTTCAAACTCCATGAGAATCTTGGGAATTTTGACTGCTCACAGTCGAATGATGGGAGCAGAGTTAATAATTTGCAACATAATTACTTCGAATCGCTATAATATATATGGTCAATGGTCAATGTTGTTGTTTTTTCACCATTTTTGGGCATTTCCAGTCGTTTTTATATTCATCTCGACATTCTCTTCTGAACTAAGGGTCACAAAAAACATTTCTGAAACATGGAAAGAAACAGCAATTCATCTGAAGAAAACCGTTCCAATAGTCGGGGTCAAAAATCTCAAAATGAACCCAATTTAGAGAGAGGGGCTTTAGGAAATAAAGAGGTTTCGAATCGGCACAAATGCCCTGATTGCGATGGACTAATTTCAAAAGAGAGCAACAAATCGAAATCTCGCGTTTGGAAAAGGGTAATGTGGTTTACTCGGAGAGGTAAAAGTGCTAAAAATGATATTTGTCATTGCCGTACAAATGAAGTTCTCAACCCTAGCATTGCAGACAGACATTCAAATTCTTGGTCATTTACTCGAAGAGCCAGTAGAAAGTTTCGAGCTTCATCACGTAGAAGGCAATGTAAGGCAGAGTCATCTAAAAAGTCTCATGAAAAACAAGATGAGGCAAGGGCTTTTTGTGACAGTTCACAACCAAGCACATGTACTGGTAGTGCTTGCTCCAGCAATCCAAACAGCCCTACAGCAACTGGCAGTTTCTGTGACTTTGGAAGTGGTAATGCAGGTGGAAGGGGTTCTAAGCACCATAAAAATTCGTCTGTATTGACTGAAATAGCCCGGGAAATCAACCCTCCTATCAAAAACAATGTTTTACCCCCTTGTGACTATGTTCAACATCCTCCAAAGCAATTATCAAAATCTGTTTCTTTGGTGAACTATATATCTTGCCGTAGCCCAACTTTTGGACATGTCCGTCGCTCCAAAAGTTTCCCTGGGTCACAGAGCTGTATATCTCCATCAAAACGCAGGTTCATAAACATAGCAAATAAAACCTTTAGCAGTTTCTCTCCCCCTCTTAAGCAAAAATGTTATGGATTACAGCACACAGCAACATTTTGTGGGAAGATGAATGCAGAATTCCCAAAACCGTGCATGAAGAAATCTAAGAGTTTAAACACCACAGAGTTGACAAGGCTTGAGAAAACAACCTCATTGGGTGAAATCCGTGATCAAAGTGGTAGTGTGGTCGGTATTGTGCACTTCTATAAGTCTCCAAAAAAAATGCTAAGAAGAATGAATAGCTTGAATCATGAAGTCAAAAAAGATTCTGCAATAGTAGAAGATGAATGTGAAATACATCAATCAAGTTTAAACTCTGCAATTTCTAATCTTCAAGATGGCAATGATTGTCATTTGAATACTAAGAACATCAGTTCTGAGTCTCACAGGACATTATCAGAATTGTCTTCTTCAAATAAGTCTGAAAAGGAAAATATGAAAGGTAAAACCATGCTATATTCTGATTATCCTTCATCTTTGGAAAGAAGTAAAATTTCTAAGAATTTGAATGAAACATCACAATTGGAATGTTCATCTTTTAATGATGATGAGCCAGTTGTTCCTGATGTAGAGTGTGAGCAAAATAATATAGCATGTTTGAAAATATCTAGAATGAATTCTAACCACAATGTGGATAGATTGATTCAATGTGTCAGTAAAGATGATGTTTCCAGTGTTATAAGTAGTGGTGTGTTATCTACGAGGATTGATGGAGAGGAATCAGTTATTTCTGGTATCAATTCTGATAAAACAGCTATGACATGTTCACAACAGTCAGATGAATGCTCTAATAAGCACAACCAATTGGCATGTGAAGATGAAGAAAATGTTAATACTATTATAGATATGAAAAGTACTATAGATAGCAATGGTATGCAAGTTGAGAAGAGCAATATACCAGGATCACAAATGTATGTCTTTTGCTCTGATCAGAATAAGTCCACTATGTGTGGTAACCAGTGTGATATACTAAATTCAGAAAATGATCTTCAAGAATCTTTCTTAGATCTTGTTGATAATGTTGTTACAAACAATGTTAAAGGTGCTTCAACAATGGTCCATGAGCGTAGCTCAGTAAATGGTAGAAGCATCTGTACTTCTTTAGATAGAAGTGACACAACAGATACCACAAAATTTGAAAAGGTTTCTCAAACTGCCCAATTTCAGTGTCCTTACAAAAGCTGTATGACTTCTAATCTGGTGGTGGAACAGCCATTACAAAGAAGTTTGGAGGATGTTAAACTCTCATGCTACAACCACATATCTGACAGCAATAGTTTGGGTAGTCATCATTATGGAGACTCTATTGGAAATAGTAAAATTCCATGTCACTGTGATAAGAGTATGTCAGATGACTGTGATAGCAGTGATTTATTCATGAAAAATGTGTGCCTATCATCAACTCTCAACAATGATTCTAAAAATTCTGAGGAATTTGAGTTTCAAACAGGGATTACAACTTTATCTGATGTTGAAAGTGTTACAGGAAGTGTGACAAATTCCTGTAGTAAAGACGTGATCAGTTTTGACTATGAACCAGAATTTACGATGTCCTTTGATGAAGATGCGTTGAATACAAGTAGATGCAGTCAGAAGTATCTGGAGAGTAAAACAGTAAAAAGAAAACAGTCAGTTGATACCGTAACAGCATCTGACGGTCATGATAGACAAGTTGTGGACAACATCAAGTTGAATCATTCCACTAGAGAATTCAAATTAAGTCATAAAATGAGCAATAGTTGCATTGACCATGAGCTGATTGAGGTTCCGTCCAATACGTGCAATAGTCCAGTTACGTCTATAGAGAGTGAACGAGCACATCGTACTAAAGAAAGTCCAAACGATTCACTTTTGTGCGAGAGTGTTGCACCTTCAGTCTTGCACCTGCAGTCTCAAGAGGAATTTCAAACGAATAGTCATTCAAACGTATTCACAAGCCTTAAGACTCCAATTTCAGAAACAGAGCGATCACAAGAAGTTGTAGAATGCCCTCAGACCTCGGATTATGCGTCAATGTTTGATGCATGTTTTAGTCCTCCACAAAAAGAAGATATTCCTATTCATACGTGGAAAACATCGGAATCGGATTTGAAAAGTGAGGAAATCGCACAACCTGTGCCTGGAGAAACTTTCAAGATGCGAACTGAAGTAAGTTGATCCTCTTTTGGTCTTATCAACTCATTTAAGAGTGGAAATTTTGTCTAATGGTAGAAAGTCTAACTGGGAGTTAATATGCAACTCCCCGAAGGTTACTGGCAGTGTGCAAAAAGGTCCAATCTTCATGTATGAAATAAATCCAAGGAACACAAAATAGATAGAGAATATACATTTGGCAATGATTGCTAATGAGCCAGGAGGCAGCTTGAAAAGAATATTTGATTGATGATTATGACGTCGTAGTGTTCGCTGCTGTAAGGCCTTTTGAAGACTCGTGTCATCTTTAGTTTTTACAGTACATACTGTACGTTCAATGCCAGATCATTTCATCGCTGAATTCCCGTTGGGTACTTATTTAAAAATAATTCTTAATATAATTTTTCAGCTTATGTTAACGTGGTTCAAGGAATTCAATGACGAACAAAGAAATATCATTTTGAAAAAGATTTTGGTAAGAATTTCATATTTATGTCTGGTAGCTATATTTGAGAAACGAAAAGGGACGCGGATCTCCTGTCCTATTCTGAACGTTATCATGCATGTTAGGCAGTACGAGGACCTGTATATAACGTGTTTTCGTGTCCAAACTGCTCCTGTATGTGCGATATACATATCTTTATTTTTTCTCTTAAGAATCGCTGTGAGCTGCCCCAGATGCACCTTTTATCTGTGGCAATGGAAAACAATCTTCACAAGACCTGTCCGCCAAACTGTCAAGATATGTTAGTATGGTTGCCTTACACAGTCACGTTGAAAATTCTCATGTATTTAGATCCAGGTAAGGAGAAGGTATCAGTATCATTTCCTTCCACGAACGGACGTAAAGCCCGTTCTCCACTCAGAGGCGAATTTATTCGCGCGAACAGATAAAAAGTCGGAAGCGATTCTACTTTTTTGCCGCGAATTTTTTTGCAAACCAATCACATCACTGGATTTCAGATATCGCTTCGCGTAGCGCAAATAAATTCGCCTGATGGAAAACGGGCTTAATTAAGGTGTTTATTTAAGAAAAATGTCTTTATGTTTCAGTGAGTTTATGTCGATGCGGTCAGGTGAATCGAGCTTGGAACGAACTCGCAAATAATCCATTAATATGGCAGCGATTGAATAGGCAAGTTACCTTTCCACGACTAACCAGCTTGATCTATAATAGAGTTGAACAATGTTTGTAGTTTTCCCCAGTGCATGTTCATCATGATGACATTGGATATTCCTGGGGGGGGGAGGGGTCAGTCGGCTGGGTAATATATGTGCAGAGTGTTCAATATGAAAGGTACCTCAGTATTATCGAATATATATCTTTCGTTTAGAAACCCCGATTATCAGTTATCTGAGGCATGTAGTAAAAGACAGTACCAGAAATTTAACCAACCAAATGGCGAAATTCACGTAAGTGGCTTTCATTGTATTTCCTTACGTGAAGTCACGCGAGACAATTCTTCCCTCCTGATGTATGTGATTTACTGAATTTGAAGTGGAAAACAATTGACTCGCACCACAGTAGGACTGCACTAAGAAATATTTATATATAAAGTGTAGCTGTAGGTTAAAATTCTCATATTCAGTGAGGAAAATCATGTTTCGCTAACTGTAGTGTACAATACATGTAGAAAAGTCTTTCTGAGGTTAACAACCTCTGTGGTGAAACAATTGGAGAATATTACTGCCAAAGAGAGTAAAACCCTTAAATTACCATTTTTGCAACAATGAATATTATTATAATTCTGCAGTGGAAGAAAGTTTTTGCGGAGAGATTTTTACTTCAAAAAAACTGGTTGAATGGGAAATACAAGCTGCGAACGTTCGAGGGACATAATCAAGGTGCGTTGAAGTAACAGCAATGAGAGACTGGAAATCGGATTACACTTCTTCAACAAACATTGAAAATATCTTCATGTTTTCTATCCTAGGTATCGCCTGTGTTCAGTTTGATGATACAAGAATTGTAAGCGGTTCGTCTGACAAGACAATAAAGGTACTGTATGCAGACTGGCTTCTTACAAATATTCTTGGTAATCTATCAAGTCTGACGGCACACTGTAGTTGTTGACTAATGCATGTGTCTTCCTCGCTAAGTTTTATCATTTACACGCTTCATTTCTAAATCCTAACGCCTTAATTTGTTACAACTGTCAAACACAGATACTGTAAAAATGGCATATGGTTTCAACTGTGCAAGAATTAGTTATGTTCATAATAATTAATGGATTTCCATTTTTTACTTCTTCAGCTGTGGGATATCAGTAATACGCCATCCGAACTCATGTTGACACTTGAGGGACATTCTGGAACAGTTCGTTGTCTTGATCTAAACGGAAACAGATTGGTCAGCGGTTCGACGGATCGTACTATAAAGGTTGTCACTAAATTGGAATATAAGTTACTGAGTTTTAATGGTTATTTTCTTATAGAACAAACTCGCAAATAGCTGCTTAATTAATACGTTGTAGATATTATCATTGCATGTAGATGTTTGAGTAAGTAACGTATACGGATGAATTAGAGTGTGTTACTGTATTTTTTAAAGGTATGGGATCTTTCGTTTGCTTCTTACTGGGCTGGTGCTTCATGTAAAGTCACTATGGTGGGTCATCTTCATACAGTGCGTTGTCTTCAGGTAACACAATTTTAAGCACTTGTCCCTCTTGCTTTGGGTGGATGCACTAACAATTTCAATCGGTAATATCAGTGGTGGCCAACTTGCAGCAGCAAAGCTGTGACCCACTGATAAAAAATTGCACATGTATACTGTATTTGCAATCAAGCGCAAATCCAAAAGATACACTTATGGTGAAGAATGAACTCACTCTAAATACAGTCTCGATTTCGAGATTACCACCACAATCTATGACGTCACATGAAACTAAATTTATCATTTTTATTCCGGGTTTTTTTAGTCTTATTTTAAACCTTCAGTTCCTGGGTGATCTCCATGCATGCGAATACTTGCAGCTTTATTGTGAAATCTTTTTACTGAAACTTTCAGGCAGATGAAAAGAAATTAGTAAGTGGTTCCTACGATAAGACGGTGAAAGTCTGGGACTTGAAAACCGGGGATTGTCAACTGACGTTAAGAGGTCACACTGCTGCAGTTTTATGTGTCCAATTCGATGAGCAAAAAATCGTTTCCGGCTCGTACGACAAGAAAATTAAGGTAAATAGTGTTAGGGACTCTTATATACACTAAGTTTAACCTACATAGAGGTGTGCTGTACTTCAAATATCTCAGATATATTAGAAATATATTATAATTAGCAATGATTGTTTTATTGTCAAGGTTTGGGATCTTGCGGAAGGAATTTGTCTGATGACGTTGGACGGACACCAGGATGCGGTCACGTGCTTAAATCTAACACATGATGGAATGAAGATTATAACTGGATCATTGGACTATTCGCTCAAATTCTGGGATCTGTCAACTGGCAAGGTTCGTCTTGTAGAATCATGAAAACGCATGCATGTTTCAAATACCGGTAGCTACATATAAAGTATTGGATATAACTCCCTGGGCAAACCGGGAACGTTGCGATTTGGACTGTTTCCTAAAAGCCCTTTTACACCTGCAATTTTTGTTGCGATTTTAAGGGCGGTTTTATCCTTTTGATAGATGCAAACGAGTAAATAAACTACGGATGTATTTTAAATAAGGACACTATAATGCATTTATACAGCATTCAATGAACACTCCTGCGTTCGCTTGTTATTTACATCTTCCTAGCGCGGAAAATGCAGTTTCACCGCTATATTCCTAACGCCGCTCAAAGGAAAGCGCCCAAAAATATCCCGAGGATGATTTTTGTTCAAATTCTTACATATGGTCACGTTCATTTTACAGTGTTATGGAACGTTAGATTGGATAACATCTGAGGGACATACTGCTGTAGTAAGGTCTGTAGGTTCATTGTGTCATGGTATAATAGCAAAACGACCGAAAGGTTGTTCTTTCTAAACTGTAAATTCTGAGCGCCGAAGAAATGATGGGTATATTGACCAACCTATATTGATATCTACCTCTATTTTACGGGTAAAACCGAAATGCACTCTACCGCCTGCGGAGGAGGTAGTATTGACATGATGATGGGCATATTATTCTTTAGAGAGCAAGTATAGGTTTTCTGTTGTGGGTCATCTCTACAAAGCAAAATTCCTACTCTATGTCGACGTCTATTGATTTAGCTGTATTTTAAAATGTTGACTTCCATTGTGATAGTAATATTTTATCATACTATCAGATTGATTCAATATAACCCTCGGTGGAAGACATGCCGATTATCCTAGGCCCCTCCACCGCACCTCGACCATCAATTAAACAAGATATTTCACAATAATTGCCTCTTATTTACTATTTTAATTACACCGTGTATATTTTAGATGTTTACAAGTTGACAGTTGGAGAATAGTCAGTGGTGGAGATGATAAAACCTTGAAGGTTTATACATTTTATTCAGTATATTCATTATACTATATCGTATATAATTCTGCAATTATTTTCAGGATGAATCCTCAAATATATATCTTTCAGAAAGTCACCTAAAAATCAAAATCTAGAAAGTACTCTTTTTCATTTTACTACATTTATAAAGACTAGTCCTTGGCCTCTTCCGCTTCCTCCGATGGGAAACAGTAGCTACGTCAAAATATTCATTAGCTGCACCTGACCATGCATGCATGTCCTGATTCACGGTAATCATGCATATGCCTTCTGTCCCTGAGAAAAAATAGAAAAATATCTTGTCTCGACTCCCCACTTTTAGGTCTTTAAGACTCCCTGTCCAGTGTCCAACCTATTTCGAGAAACGTAAGATACGAATTCAAAAGCTGATCATCCTCAGGGCTAAAATTTTCTTTAGAATTCTCATACATTTTAATATTTTATTTCTGTGGTAGTTCAAAGTAAGTGAAACCAATAAGCGCTATACAGCAACGAAATGGTTTTTAGCAATGAACGCACCTGTACTACATGTGAACTATGATTTGAACAATTTTATTACTAAATACTTTCAGGTGTGGGAATTAGCAACTGGACAACGGCTGCTTACGCTTCGTTACCATAGTGATGGGGTCACGTGTATGCAATTTAACGACTTTGCAATTGTTTCTGGATCGTACGATAGGACAGTGAAATTATGGGATTTTACTCCGAAACATTCATATTTGGAGGCAGTAACTTGATGTATATAGTAAATCTCTTGTACATATTAAAAATAAATCATTAAGCTTTCATTCCTTTGAGAGAGAGAGAGAGAGAGAGAGAGAAGGTTATGTTTCTATCCTAAACTGAAAAGAAATGTGCAAACCGAGGCTTTTCTAACGTATATTTTTGGCAAATTATTGTTTATTAGGCCAAACGAATTATTTTAATATTCTTTATCAAGTCAATAACTTCCTTGAATAAAGAATAATTCCTAGACTAGATAAGGGCCCGTTGTTTGTTCACAAAGATCATTCACAACGATCAAGGTCAAGGAGGTGGCCGTAGAATTGAGCAGGAATGACGCAAAACGTCATTCTGGCCCCGCAGACAAGAAATACTTGTAGGTCTAAATTGTCACGAGTGACATGTGTGCGCTAGGCTTTAGTAAAAAAAAACTGATGTGTCCTTTCATATCCAAATTTTTTGAAAGCATATGACTTGGCCTAATTTGGCAATTTCCTTGTGTCCAACCAACAGGATGTATTAACTCAGTCAACATGACGCGCGTGTTAGCCCCTGGGTATCCCATAATCGCATTTCACTAAAGGAGAATCACCATGCCACCTTCGGGAATACTTTGTGAGGATAAAATTTATTATATTATTCGTTGTTCAGTGGTCAGTTAAACCATTTTGTGTTGCCACCAAGTAAAACTTTTTCCATGCAAATTTCTACAAACAATTTTCTATCATATTACAACCACCAAGGAGCAAATTTGAATATGAGATTGAGAGCCCTCTTGGTTTTACGAACCCATATATTAAGCATGCTGTCAACTAATTTTAGGAATAGTATGACTTTGCAGATCGTTATAAAGTGAGATCCGTTAGTTCTTGAGTTGCCCCAGGCCGAACAATAAACGACGCCAATTATCGGTCGTTAAACATCTGGCCGAAAATGAATGAAAATATTAGATTTTTCTATAAAGACCAAAATATAAAAAAAAGTCGATACACGAAAGCAAATACTGCAAAAAGGTTTTCTAGTGCACAGTGTGTAAACTCAGTGCTGCATGATAAGAAAATTATTGAATGTAATAACACCTTATTCTTATTTCAATAATTCTTATTGAAATAATTATGATTAAAAAATGTGATTCCTCAGACTCGTGTGTGAATATGAAACTAGTTTTAGTTCGTATTTGAATATTTGTGGAAAAAAAGTACGTGCCAAGTGGCAAGTAATATAAGAGCCGAAATTCTTTTAAAATAATCCTCACTCAGTCTTAATTTCTAAGACTCTCAGTAAAAATGAACCTTATCGATAATTCGTATTGAAGTAATGATCAGTGTAACCTTCCAAAGTAACTTTAAAACACATGCAGACAATAGTTTATGAGTTATATTAAGTAAAACCGCTTTTAGCCGGTTATGAATGTAATTTTTCAGGGGTCGTAATTAAGAGGGTAACTAAGAGTATACTTCACTTCAGCTGTCAAAATGCCAATAATTAATAATAGCGTAATACTAAGTTTTTCTTTCTCAACGTTACGCTTGAAAAATTACTTCTTAAAGACAAAGTTTCTTTGATCAAAAGAATTTGCAATATGTGACCTTGTTAAGTCTTAACCGAACTTTCCCCAAATGTTTCAACCTAAGGCTACCGAGATTAGACCACTGTTGGATTAGCAAGATTGGATTCGACAAGAATTGATGTTTCTAGTGTAAACAGGATTCGTTGCTATAACGCCGTTCGTTCACTCACTGAACGCTAATAGTAACACTTTAATATTATACAAATATTTTTAATTCAACCGTAATTAGATTCTCTCAAAGCATTTATATTTCAATCCAATGCTTTGGCGGTCTTCATATCTTTTGTCGTGGCTTCTACCCAACACCTGTCTAGCCTTTATATCAAACACTTGCAAAGGCCACGTGAGGACAAAGTACGATAAGTGTGAATAATTTAGTGCGTGGCATCTGGCACAGTGAAAAGCGAGGTGAAAAGTTCAATCGTTGAATTTACTCGGAAAGGCGACGCACTATCTTAAAGTTACTCGAACAAGCAGAAGAACGTATCCCCACTACGTATACCTATTTATATATTTAGGGATAAATTGAGTGCTGGAATTTTAAAACGCCAGACTTTTTTACAACGTAAAAAATCTGACCTTTCAGCTTTGGTCGACACTGTTGTCACACAAATGCAAATTATACTTTCAATTCGATGACGTTGTTGTAATTGCTGGAGCATATCCAATCAGAAGCTAACTTTGACCTTTCATTGGAGCGAGATAGTTCACAAACAAGGCCTCTGGACATCATCCTAGCATCATTTGAGCTTTGCTTTTGGTAATAAAGGTTTGGCTCTAAAAGGCAAAGCATCATGGCTACGATGAAGAACGGTTATGTTTCTCAATTAAATGGCAACCACGGTCTTTCAAATGGTTTCCACAAGACTACCACAAGTGCTATTAAAGGCTTACCCTGGTACAATGTCTCGTTTAAGGCTCTGTTCGCTTTGATCCTTGGGATTCCTGCCCTTATTCTATACCTCGCCCATCTACCATGGTGGCTCTATCCCGTCCTAGCCGTTGTGTGCATTCTGCCGATCTTCCTAGCGTTTATTTTGGTTTTCAATTACTTCAGTATGGGCCATCAAACAAAGCACTCGAGATTGCCTGAATTTGTCGAATTCCGTGATGCATCATTTGGCAAAACCTACGAATCGAAAACGATACCCTTGGAAACGTTGATTGAAGCATATGCTGACGAGAAAGTTGATTTTAGGGGCGATGTCTTAGAGTGTTTTGAACAGCGGGAGAATTTCTCAAGTTTCGCTCTTACTTGGAACCACGTTAAAATATTTTGTTGTAATTTTCTGCCCGAATTACTCAGTCATACACGTCTACAAGATTTGGATCAGGTTCGTGACCACTACGATCGGGGAAACGATTTTTACGAAGCCTTCTTAGGGTCTATGATGATCTACACCGCCGGTTTTTTACGGAGACAAGACGAAAGTTTAGAAGAATTACAGACAAACAAACTCAATAATGTTTGCGATAAGATCGGGCTGGAGTCTGGGGATAGGATGCTGGATATTGGGTGTGGCTGGGGGACACTAGTGAACTTTGCGGCAGAGCAACGCGGAGCAAACGCTACTGGTGTGTCGATTAGTAAAAACCAAATCGGATACGCCAGGAGTGTTACCGAGAAGAAACAGCTGACTTCAAAGGTTAACTTCATGTGTATCGATTACAGAGATATCCCTCAAGAGAGCTACGACAAAATAACCTGTCTTGAAATGGCGGAGCATGTTGGAGTACTCCATTTCCAGTCGTTCCTGTGCCAAGTCCGTGATCTTCTTAAAGATGATGGCGTGTTCTTTCTACAAATCGCTGGCCTTCGACGTGCCTTTCAGTGGGAGGATTTCGTATGGGGCTTGTTCATGGATAAGTATATCTTTCCCGGTGCTGATGCCAGTTGCCCTTTAAGTTTTGTCGTTCAGCAGCTAGAAGCGGCTGGGTTTGAAGTGGCGAATGTCGAAACCGTCGGAATCCATTATTCATACACCATTCATCGTTGGTATAAGAACTGGGTGCGACCCGAGGTGAAATCTGCGATTTGTGGGAAGTATGGCGTAAGGCTGTATCGTATCTGGGAGGTTTTCCTTGCATGGTCAACCATCATCGCTAGACAAGGCAATTCAACCTGTTTTCAGCTTGTCTGTCACAAAAATCTCAACGATTATGACAGAAGTAAGTACTTTAACATTCAGAAAGAATAAATCATACTCACCTGCGTGCAGTCGCCAAAAGCTAAAAAGTATGTGTAAATCTTCTTGTGGGCTTTTTCTCTTAATTTATGTGTTACCAAAAAAGTTAGTGTTCATAGGCCGTGTTGGGTGCGGGTTAGGATCGGGGATTAGGATTAGGATTAGTTAACGGCATAACAAAGCCAGATTTCACCCAAAAGCGTTGCCGGTATTTGAAATTTTGTTGAAGGTTGGAAAAGAAAATACAGAAGATTTGCCCATATTTGGCGATGGTGAATATTTTAATTGTATATGTAATCGATCTCAATGACTGCCGGGTGAGAATTTTAGTCATATAATATAGCCAAAGGACGAATTATTTTTGCGATAATTTTGAAAATAATAGGCTAATAATAGGCTAAGAATCTTCTTACAATTTGGTTCTTTGTATTGGTTTGTGCCTCTGCATTTTAAATTACCATGTTAAATTACCATAATTGGATACAATTCATAATAGTAAATAGAATCCGCTTACTTATAAATTATAATCCTATTACGTTAGCTTAGTTCGCTGGAGAAACTCGCTTTGTTTTCAGAGAAAGCTTCGCTAGAGCCGAGAAAGGGAACGTGGTGGAACTCAAATAGTTTGTTAAAGTATAATGACTACTTACGATGTAATTTGCAGGGTTTTTCTCGTGCACGATTTCGGGATCGGAGTTGTCTTCTGTTTACGGGCAGAGCTCGTGGACACCCAGTTTTCAGCTTCTTCAGACAAAGTCGGTTTCAATCATATCTTGACACTATTGGGAGAGGTTTAAAGGGATCAGTATTTGAAGTCATTCGCTCCCTAGCATAGTTGCAGGTTCAACTCGGGATCGGATGAAAACTGAGACTCTTTCTCTGACCTCAGTATACTTCGAAAACTGTCCAATTCTTAAAACCAACTTCAAATATTGTCATTTAATCTATTATCGTTCACATTGCTTTACATCTTATTTTCGGAGGTCACAACAAGATTGAAACTCATAAAAATCACACATTTAGGAGCTGAAAAGTCAGCTGAAAGCTTCTGCATTTGCTGGTCCGGCAATTTCAATATAAGTGTTTCAAGGAATAGTCATCATTTAAACAATGTCAACCCAATTTAACTTTTAAAACGACGAAGCACAATGCAATTCGTTTCAGAACAAATTAGGACCAATCAAATTTTGCATAATCATTTTTCGTGCATGTATCGGATTTATTTTGAGCCTGGTTCCCAAAAATGCTCAGTATCATTTGAAAAATTAATTTCAGCAGAAATCGTCTATAACCAAAGTTATACAGGGTGTATAAAAAAAAACGCAACCACTTAATATTCTAAAATTCATATTGTTCATAAGCTCAATAGATTTTATGCCCCTGGGATTTTAAAATGGCTTCTAATCGTACAGTTCAACTGCTAATAGTCAAATCAGCTAAACTAATAATGGTGCAGCTAACAACCGAACAACGAGTTTTTATTGTCGTGCATGATAACTTGAATGCTAACTGTCGACCTTGTAAAATAAATTGTAAATAAAATTTTACTCGTTAGATACTTTCAATTCAGCTCGTTGGTTTACCCACCCGACTTTGTTTACCGACGATTGTGCCGCTAGAATATGATTATAAGCTTTCTCGCATTCCAGGGGCCAAACGTCTTTTGTGTTGTAGAACAAAGAGGATATTCATGAATATTAAGTGGTTGCGTTTTTTTTGATACACCCTGTAGATAAAGTTTTTTTTATTGTGACGCCCACGACAATTAACGTGGGCGATTCCATTAAGGCATTATCGTTAATTACTGCATAAGCAAAATTTTTTGCATGCATCTGAAATCATATCCTTCAATAATTACCATTAGTCGACTCGGCTATGACTTTTACTGCACACTTGGGAACTAGGCCTGAACTTATACTTAGGCTTATTTTCAATGTGATACATCAAAAATCATTTTTCTGTCTTTCAATTGTGAAAAAAATTTACATTCTCAACGCTTTGAGTCAATACCTGATAAACAAATCTATTAGTTTTTGCCGCAAAAGATTTTTATCACTATATTTGTGGAGAACCACGGTTTGTTAAAGGTCATGGGTAAAATTAACAGCACCTCAATTTATGTAGTTATTGAGAATTCCGAGTGATTTTATATATCATTTAATCTTTTCCTTGGTAGGCTCAACTAACATAATTCTTTATCTGAATATGTGTATTTAACTGTGGTGTAGAAAGGAACTCTAGTATTTATCATAGACATAAAATAGCTATATAGATTTGCATATCTGATTTTAAGATTATATAAGAGTGTAAGAGCTTGAAATAAAATTTGTTCAGGGGGCGGTTGTTCAAAAGCGGTTAGCTTAACCCTAGGTTAACTCAAATTGTTACATCAGTATTTTTAATCGCTCGGTTATACAGTTGAACATGTTTTCCCATAAATAGTTTGTGGGTAAATAGAAGTCTTATTTTGCAAAGTCTTGAAACGAACAGCAGTGAAGAACCGTATAAACCAAAACAACTGAGTAAAATTTAACCCAGAGGTAGCGCTTTAACCTAGCTTTGAACAACCGCCCCAGGATGTCAAATCTGCGTGTTTTCTTGTTTCATCAAATATGTCCATGGCGTCGGCGGTGGAGATAAACCCATGCCCTATTCCGCTGTTACATGTGACGTTATTCACATTCGGCGACTCGTGATTAAATATTATTTGTGTTTCTTGATTTCAAAGCACAGTTCAATCGGTTTCAAAACATCCCGGACATACTTGCATGCACTTTGAGTACTAAATTCCTATATATATATACTATATATACCATGCAAAAAATACCTGTCAGTACCAGTCACAGGCAGTTTTAAAATTAAAAATAACATAAAAAAGATGTTTTGCAATAAAATCTATTTTCAAGTACTGAATTTATTTTCAAGTTCCAAGTAATTTATTTTCTAAAACTGTCGCTGGTACTGGTTTTTGGCGCAGGCTAAGGTTAATGTGGTCCACTACAGAAAAATATTTTTTCTTTAATTTTGAAAAGTATATTGTGCGCAATAGTAGATTTTAACGTTCTAACGGATCCTAAGGCTCACATCAGTACGATAGCACACCGGCTCTTACACTATATTTTTGCCCGCTGCCGATCGGTAGGGATGGAGACGGTATCCGAGCAGTGGCGTAGCCAGCCTGACGATTTTGTCCCGCTATGTAAATTTCGAGTTATTATAATTATTCATGTCTTTAGAAATCTATTGTTTTCACAGTCAGTGAACACTAAAATATTAGCATAGCGGGACAAATCGACAGGCTGGCTACGCTACTGACCGCACTTACAGCTATGAGCTATTAGTACAAAAATCAACAAAACGAAGCAATTAATATTGGAACAAATCTCAGTCAAACATTGCTGAATTATTCGTACAGTACGCTGAGCGGTGGTCTTCGCTACCACAGATGAAACACCCAACAGGCGCCGACATTGAGCCGAAGGGAACACGAGTTGTGCCAAAGTTAGCGTTGTATGACGAAGATGACGCGGGTTGAATTTCTTGAGATCTGCTGAATATCCAAGGTTTATCATACGCAAATCCTCTCACATCCCTTCCGGTACTCTGTAGTCTACCACCAGCATTCCTGAAAATCTCCGGAGAACTATTATCATTCCATTGAGGATACCCTGTATATTCAATATTGTTCCCCATTACCCCATATTGGTATCCCTTCATGTCTCTCGAATTCCACCTTGATCCACGTTTATCACTTGAATATCCGTGGTATTCCCTGTCATCCTTTGTGTTCTCCAATAATCCAGTATTATTCCTCCGCCCACGACCTCTTCCTCCTTTGTATTTTTGAAATGAGCGTTCATTTCCACCATATCTCTTTCCCTCACTTTGCTGTGTCCAATTCACAACAGGATTACCAGCTTGTGTGGTTTCATCCTGGAATTCCGCTATGTTACTTCTCCTTTCTCTCGCAAGCGAGACCTCCCTTGTTGAAATCTCATTTGAGAGATGATCAACCTGCAATATCTCATTCGTACTTGTTTGAATATCTCTTGAAGAATCTACTATACGGTCTTCGTTCTCCGGACACAAAACCCCGGCATCCTGGTCTAAACTATTCTGATAATCCAACAGTTTCTTTTGCAGTTCTTTAAAGTCCATTGATTCAACATTTACAGTATTACACTCGTCTATTGCCGCTTTATCTTCTTCTTTTTACCTGGGGATCATTAAAGGAATACCAAATGATTTTCCGTGCAGGATTGCGTGATCCATGCACGCGGGATGTTGCTCGACTTTCGGAAAGCGTGAAAATACACGAGCCGTAGGCGAGTGTATTTTCACGCTTTCCGAAAGTCGAGCAACATCCCAAGTGCATGGATCACGCAATCCTGCACGGAAAATCATTTGGTAATTGTTTTATAAAATAACTGTAGTGAAACAACGGTTAACTTTATTAAAATTAAATTTCGCGTGCAGGATTGTCTAAAACGCGTGCAGGATTGTCTGATCCTGCACGGCTATTGACCAATCACATTGCGTGTTTCACTATAGTTATTATATAATTAACATTACTATATATTCGATCAATGCTATTACAAGATGAACACACTTTGACAATGCCTTAACCAGCATTTTCTATTAAAATACAGTAAGACAAAGTTTGAGAAATTACCACAAAGATCTATTCCTTTGAGATCACCCAAGGTTTCTTCACTTTGGCAAGTGCCATGGAATTTAATAGTGTGCTTCGCTACAAATCTCATGAAGGGATTAAGTTTGCAATCGCATACAAGAGGCACACCTTTCAGGGCGCTGAAAAGAAAAGTTTAAGCAATCAAAGAAGTGTTCTTGCAAATCTACGATTATGATCTTGCAACGATTACATTACATTATGAAGATCACAAAAATGTCTTTCGTTTGTTGCTGACATTTATTTTTCATTCGGTAACCAAAGTCGAAATTGTGAAACGAAAAATGATTAAAATAATCTCGACTTTATAGGTTGAAGGAATTCGTTGAAATTAAATATGTAGGAGGGAGGCAGCTGCCTTTTGTGGTTTTGAAAATTCTTTGTTAACAACGGGATGCATCGGGACTCTTCAAATCTTTGAATTCATGTGCCTTTATTACAAAAATTCTACTATAATCTGTTGAGCATTGTTGAATTAAAAATGGACTTGAAAATGAATGAAAATGTTTCGCTTGTTGCACTAGACAGCCTTTCACAAATCATGTCAGAATTGGATGAACTTTCCTCCGAGATACAACGTCTTATTCAAAACATTCATCTTCTTTTAATGACGAAAGTGGACTTTGGAGACACGTTAGCTAAAATTCTCATTGCTATCGGGTATTTGGTCGAAAGAATCGGTATTTGGTCGAAAGAATCGAGATTAATTTAGCGAAAGTTCGACGATTTATGTTTGAATTTATACGAACTTTGTATCGGGTCATGACCGTCCTCCATCGTAATCTTAGAGCGGAACATATCAGTCTTACAAAAGTCATGGTTGATGTTTACGAAGATACAAAAGAATTAGAAAAAGCCAGAGGCATTAGAGATGAAAGATCTCAAACATGAAAACACAGATGGTCAAGGTTATCAGAAGCCTTGATCTTGCATTTGGAAAATCTCACGCAGAGATTCTCACATCTCTACTTGCTACTTACATTTTCTTCAGGGAAGTTAACTCATCAAATGTTCCATTTAAAATTGTAGTAAAACTGTTGTTTTCCAAAAATCTACAGCAAAAATACATTGGTAATTTAATGAAATAACTGTCTTTACAAAAGTGAATGACATCACAATAACTCACTTCAGAAAACTTAATACTTACAATTTTGTTAATTTATTTAATCCATCAAATGCTTTTTTATCAATTTTTTTAATTCTGTTGTTGCTAATATCACTAAATGGAAAAGGGAATCATTGACCAGAGGTCAAAAAGCAGTAGTTTGGAAAGTGGAGTTTTTTAAACCACAAACAATTTGTTTACACAACCAATACTCACAGTGTCTTGAGCTTCGGAAGTCCTTCAAATGCTTTATTTTTCAGTTCAACCAGGTTATTTTTTCTTAGTTGCCTGCAATATTTGAAGAATTATAAATTTTATACAATAGTTTCTAAGATAAATCATCTAGGCATTGTCAAGGGTGAACATTGAGAAGATATGCTTTGTACTTGGCCCTCAACCTATCAGGGTATCTTGGTCGAGAAAGCTAGGGCTGAAAGAACTCGGAGACTTGGACGATAAATATTTGGAATCAACTGATACACATATCACCTTGTCACAATCAAACAGGTTTTAAACAAGAAAATGTTGAACTTACAGTCGCTCTAAGTTATCAAGACCAACAAATGCTCTCTCTTCAAACACACTGATAGAATTCTTGTGCAGATATCTAAATGAAAAACAGTTGTGAATATTTTTGTTGTAAAACACCACTTGAAAAGATATGCAAAAGCTAACTGAGGAATGGCTTTTCTGATATAGAAATTGGAACATACAAAGTGCTTTAGTTTGTAATTTTTAGACTATATATAATATTGTTTGCCAAACAGACAACCATCTTGATGACTTAACTACATACTAGAAATTCTATCCCCCTTGTTAAAAGTTTCAATGACATTCCAATGCATGTCATCTTAAGAGATAATCAAATAGTCTCAACACTGATATGTATAGAAATATACACAAATATTTGAAACTAATACACAGTGCTTTTTATTGTAGAAATATTTCCTTAAAATAACTTATATTTTGTAGGTGTAAGCCACCAGCTCTTGTGATCAATGCCAGCAAGCTACTGAAGGTGACATTTTGCAGACAAATAGACACTGTCAAACTGTGTACCACATACTGCACAGACCATAGCTAAAGCACACAATTACAGCATAAAAATACCCTTGCTAGACAAACTATATTGACAACCTATAGCTTATAAATAAAGGAAACAATGCTAAACATTTACACTGCCCACAACTATTTAGAATATAATGCAAAGATGACAGACAGTTGCATTCAAATGCTAAACAGAATTTTGCATGAAGTGAGGCATAAAGCAGACATTCTTCAGAGAAACGATAATCTTATCATTGTCAGATTCAAAAATCCAAAGGTTAATCTAAATTATCACTTGAACCAACTACAATTCAGAAAAGGAAGGAGACGCTATAAAGACATGCGGATAATGAAAGATTTCATTTCCTTTACGAATCACATGAAAATATGAGAATCATTCTAAATGTATCAATTAAAAACGTATTTTTCCTTTTTTGAAACTTTATCGACAACGCAGATGAAATTCGTAGAGAGATAATTAGTTTTTAGAACAAAATCTGGCGAGAAAAGCAAATTAAAGTGCACAGATTGCTGTTGGGAAAACTAATTTTGCGGTTTTAATCACAGGAGCACAAACAAAAGGAAGGAATATCTGAATATGAACTCGACTATTAAATTTCACGATGTTTAATGTAACTATATCCTCCGCTTCGCAGTTACAAATGAAGAAAAAATCGATAGCAAAGCGTAGAGAATTCGCTTTATATTTGATATACTCTATCCACCTAAAACCACTTCAGAATATAATATCGTTCAATAGTAGAGAGACAGCATCAAAGCGATCGCCGATCGGTAAATTGGCGATATTGTGTCAAGTTTGTCAGTGTTGTTTGAAACAATTTTATGTAAAAAAACCCGTTCAGAAGCCCTCAAAAGCAAGTATTTTAAAATAGAGAATCAATTCAATAAACCCCATGAAATTTACCGGCAAATCTGGGTCAAACAGGAACGATGTAAATGTAATCATGTTTTACCCAAATATTGGGATGTATAAATTACTCACAAGTTCCTCAGTTTATAATGGTTATCTAAAAAGTTTCTTCTTAAGATCGTAATGTTATTCCTTGAAAGATCCCTAGAAAATATAAAATATCGTCAGGTATTTTGTGTCAACGTGTTAATGCAACCTTATATAAGGTATAAGCACGTTTCCCCACATACAACTAACCAAACATAAAACGTAAACAAACTCATGCTGGAGAATTATTGACATTGAACTAACAGCAAAGAACAGGCAATTTCCGCAGAAATTATGTTAGTAAATTTCGCTTAAAGACCACCTAAATTTCTCTTTTTAATCTACAAAAACTGCTGTACAACATAACGTTCAAAATGATGACAAAAGCCCTTACAATACATCCATATCATTTGGGAAAGTATACAGATTTATATCCTTTATGCCTTTGTTCCGACAAATCACTCTCCACATTTTCATTCGAAGGTAACATTTACATTTTCGTTGACAAACATCGCCATAACACACTACCACGTACAGCAGCAGCAACAGACGAACTATTGGGTCTATACTAGCCATAAACAACCAACTACAACTTCAACTACTTGAGTACTGTTTATGCAACCTCGCAAGCCAGGCTCTTTTACCTACGCTCCACGGCCCACGCTGCGGCAAAGACCACTGAGACCCTGGTCAAGGCTGGTCATGTGACCTCCCAAAATATGGGAGGTTTTTAATTAGCGCTTAGTTCATATCCATGGGAGGAGTGGGAAAGTCGATATACCATTTCTGCTATTTTTAGCACTTGTCACAATCCAGATGACTTTGTACTAACGCAACTAAAAATAGCGGTTCACGCAATAAACTAAATAAATACAGCTAGTGTGGCGCAGCAAAAAACTAAAAAGAGCAATAAACCGAATTTAGATTCAAGTGCTATGTGTAGACTGTATCATCGTCGATAGAATCGGTTTTAGTATCGTCACAAGTTCAGTTGATATTCAATACAGACACTCGAAGGCCTGTGCTATCCTCTAAATTTGGGGGTTGATGAGCGAATTTAGAGGTCAAAAACAATAACGACACAGGTTATTTCGCTTTGCGGTACAACAGCGCTCAATATTCAGGCCTTAGAAACACGCTGTTTTAACTGATATGATCTATGCGCTACTTGTGTCCCACCCATCCCCACACGGGAGAAGCGTAACAAAAGAATCACGTGACCAGCCTTGACCAGGGTCTTTGCCGCAGCGTGGGCCGTGGAGCGTAGGTAAAAGAGCCTGGCTTGCGAGGTTGCTGTTTATGCAAAGCACTGGCGTTCCTCTCAGCGATCTGTCAAAATGTAACGATATGGAGTAGCAACTTCATCTCTCTTCAACAGTATAGGTTCTGGGAGTCATAAAAGGCATCAAAAAACACAAATATGTTTGAAATATTATCCAATGATGCTGGTAATCAGATTGGAAGACAATATATTCTTCAGCAAAAATGATCATGCCGCATAATTCACCTTTGATCTTCTTACCGGGGGTATGATAGTCAGTCATTTCATACTAATGGGGGTAGGGTAGCTCCCCATAGTTCCCCTGATTAATATACTAATCACCCGTTCAAATTTTATAAGAGATCAAATATTTCCTTTAATTACATGTTTTCACCAGATTGCGCTGGTAAAAATTGCCTTGACATGGAGGCAGGTATATTGTGCAAACATGTAATTTGTTGAGAAAACAAAAAATAGCAAGCAAAACAAACTTTTGTTTATGTAAAATCCTAGCAAAATACTCTTAGACGCATTTTATGACTTATGACTTGATGGAATTGATGCGCTGTGATTTTACACAAATCTCAATCATCTTATATTTCTGATAATACAATTTTTCAAATTTGACAAGGAAACCGTAGATAGGTCGAGATTTCGACACACAGAGCAGAGCTGGAAGTACAGCACTTACAGCTATGAGCTATTAGTACAAAAATCAACAAAACGAAGCAGTTAATGTTGGAACGAATTATTCGTACAGTATGCTGACCGGTGGTCTTCGCTACCACAGATGAAACACCCAACAGGCGCCGACATTGACCCGAAGGGAACACGAGTTGTGCCAAAGCCAGCGTTGTATGACGAAGATGACGCGGCTTGAATTTCTTGAGAATAATATCCCCAAGGTTTATCATACGCAAATCCTCTCATATCCCTTCCGGTACTCTGAGGTCTACCACCAGCATTCCTGAAAATCTCCGGAGAACTATTATCATTCCATTGAGGATACCCTGTATATTCAATATTGCTCCCCATTACCCCATATTGGTATCCCTTCATGTCTCTCGAATTCCACCTTGATCCACGTTTATCACCTAAATATCCGTGGTATTCTCTGTCATCCTTTGTGTTCTCCAATAATCCAGTATTATTCCTCCGCCCACGACCTCTTCCTTTCTGAAAATTTATTTTGTGAATGTATTTCTGAAATGAGCGTTCATTTCCGCCATACCTCTTTCCCTCACTTTGCTGTGTCCAATTCACAACAGGATTACCAGCTTGTGTGTTTTCATCCTTGAATTCCACTATGTTACTTCTCCTTTCTCCCGCAAGCGACACCTCCCTTGTTGAAATTTCATTCGAGAGATGATTAACCTGCAATATCTCATTCGTACTTGTTTGAATATCTCTTGAGGAATCTACTATACGGTCTTCATTCTCCGGGCACAAAACCCCGGCATCCTGGTCTAAACTATTCTGATAATCCAACAGTTTCTTTTGCAGTTCTTTAAAGTCCATTGATTCAACATTCTCAGTATTTGACTCGTCTATTGCCGCTTCATCTTCTTGTTTTTCTTCGCTATCTCTTGTTTCCTCATCATCCTTCTGTTTCTCTGATTCAATATTCAACAAAATCTCTCTTAAATTACTTTCAACGTTCCGCAGCCGTGCCTGAGGGTCGATGACAATGTCGCGACTTGACTTTGCTTCCGGCGATTTCTCGGGAACATTTCCATTAATACTGTCACCTAAATCAATATATATATATATGAACACGCATAATTGAGAAAAAACTAACATAAGATATTTTTCCGCTGTTTGAGGTGAAAGCACCCTCGCTGTGTTCTCAAAACGTGATATAAAGAAACGAGACTCATGAAAAAAGGTTGAACGGAAACAACCATTTTAAACATACCATTTTTCTCAAGATATAACTGTATCTCTAAAATTGCACCAGGAGCGAACGATGCTTCCTAAATAATAAAGAAATAACCGGCTTAGTCATTGCGAGAACTCGCCGCGTATTTGACAAATAAAACATCTCAACATATCATCTCAACCTGCAGCGTATTCTTTAACTCGTTTTTCTCAACACAAAGCAGAGTATCCTACGAGAAAGGAAACTAAAATCACTTTCAATAAACCAGGGTGATTTACTAAACTCTCCAAATATACTGCTGCTTTGCTTACGCGGATTAAATTATCCTGAAACTTCTCAAACAGATGGCTCAATTCTAGGTCCGTCAGCATTTTCTTAACAATTCTATACGGGTCATCTACGAAAAAAACAGAGTTTTATTATTTATCCCTTGAAAAAAACGATTATCTTTAAACAAAAAGAAACCGTTGGAAAACGTCTTTCTATGGCGGCTATATGCCTGTGCGAATTTCTGCTGGAGGGTTGCCTTTTTTCATACACCATCATCTATTGTCTTTTTCATACACGGATGCACCATCTATTATCTAAGGTCATGGTTGTTGAATTGTTTATGAGGTTTATCATCTTATTATCTATTGTTTTTATTGCATTCGACGCGACCAAAATGCAACGTATAACCTTGGCCTACGGCCTACCTATTATGTTTATCACACTGGGCCCGGTTGCACGAAAACTGCATGGATAGCGCTATCCACCGGATAGTGATTTTTTCAATCGTTCTAAAAATGCTTGAAAAGCAATGTAATTTCAGCTTTGGAACTAAAAATTACTAAAGAGAATCCTCAATTTAGGAATACTAAGTTTTAATCGAAGCGAGTGAAAAAAATACTAATCGTGGCCGTGGGCGTTGGATACCGTTAACCAGCTTTCATACAACCGGCCCCTGGTGCATATAGTAATTTCTATCTGTTGTCGAGAATGTTTTGTCTCCGAGACTACGGTGTCCTCGACAAGTCACAAGTTGAATAATAATGAAGATATTTATTATAGCTTGAATCACACGTTTAACAAAATCACAAAATCTCGCTCACAACTTATCACAATAGTGCCCATAATTAACCCTACTCAAATTACTTAGTCATTTATATCTGTCAGTCTCCAACACTGTTTTTCAACACAAGAAAAGCCATTGTGATCCCGGTCCCAGAGGCCTAGTGAGTTGCCTTTTTTTATACACCCTGTATACTAAACATGAAACCGAATGAAATTTTTAGTTTATTACTGCTCTGAGGGAACTCAGGGGAGGGAGGGGTGGAGGGTGTAACTTCTTCTGCCTCTCGCTTTAGTCGCTTAGTAGCTCTATTAACTATTATACTTAAATTTCACTCACAAATGATAAAGCTTTTTGTAATTTAACGATAAATAAGATAACCCCCACACGTTTTACTAGTGTTGACCGGTGATGTTGACCTCCTGTGATTGTTTGTGGCACTTTACATTACGTAACTACCTGTAGCTGCGGTTTGCCGCCAAATATGCAAGCTGGAATCGATCCTGAAACAATACGAATTCATCAAATAATTGTATTCGAAAACTGTACACAGCTTGTTCAAAAAGATTAAGGACTTCTGTTGTAGTAAATCCATTAAAACAGTTCTTGTATGTCCTTGGGTATACATCTATCATCAACCATCAGTTATCAGACACGAGTCGCGCATGTGATACGTGTTGTGATACGTACAGTAAAATGGCACTGCCGTTTCAAGACAGGCAAAGACCTGACGAAGCTACTAATCGCTACCATAGTTTTAGAAATGACTTTGATACCGTCACTGTTTTAGGATTTTCTAGTTATGTTCATCCAAATCAAATTGTGTAAGTTTATAAAGTTGTCCGTTTTCTATTACACTTACAAGAAGTCCTTTTACCTTTAGGCTGATACATGTTATGTCTTTTTTTAGGGACTTTTTTACATCGAAAGAGGGGCATTGTTGGTGCGTTTCAATAAATAATTATCCCCCAAGGGTTGTGCTTCGATTCAGTTCGCCCATCGTAGCTCAGAGAATCGTCTTAAGGCAAGTTTTTTTAAACTAATTACGTGTAAACGTAGTTTACATTGTTGTTTTGCCTCAGGCTTCGCGGTGTATAATGTAACTGGAATCTGGACTGGAGTACGTGCGTTTATGACGTTTTATATATATTGATACTTGGCTAAATAATTTATCTTTTTCAATGATAAAACGCCAATTTAGCACGTTTGTAATGCAACTAATTTATTTCGATAGTGTCGTTTGTATACAATTGGCAAATATGTAAAAACTCACTGTACTTCACCTTTTTGAAGTACAGTATGTATTGCTTATTTAGTGACCGAAAATTATTAATTTTTACTCAGGTCATTGACCTGAAAGAGATAAACAGCCACCTGCAACAAGAAATTTAGAGCCATGATTTTTGCCTGCAGGTCTTTCCAGTGGCGGATCTAGGAGGGTGTGCAGAATAAATTACGACAGCTTAAAATCTCAATCGCATTGGCAGATTTTAATGTAAAAATATTCTTTTCAAATCTATAACCAATAGCGTTGTTATTAAGGTGATTAGAATTTAAAATGAAGCTGTGTAATTTATTCTGCAGACCCCTAGATCCACCACTGGGTCTTTCCCCTCAAAAGCTCTTTGTTTGAATGTGAAATTTGGTATAAATGAGTATTGGTTTGTTTTAAAAAATCATGTTGCTTTAATTTGCCCAAAGGTTCAGCTGCCCAACAATTTATACAATTGCAATTATTTCCACAAGGTATGACAATGCTAATGTTTTTGGCCAAAGGCTTAGAGTAGTTCCAGCAAGTATTCACAGAGAACAAGAAAATGAAAGAAATATTTTACAGCCTGTCAGAATTTCACCTGCATTGTATGGTTCATATACACCCCGCATATTCCCAAAACATGTTCAGGTATGTCACCAGCAAGCATATAAGCCCGAGGGTACGTTATAAAGAGATGTTAAATTATTAATTAGGTAAATAGTGTTAAAGAGTATTAGGTACATCATCACTTGCATTGTACCAAATTTATGTCTGCTAAATTTGTTTGTGAGCATCTTAAGGATAACTTGTACTCCTAACTTCCAACTAAAATGAATTAAACTTTTTCCTAACAAGACTCTTCAACTTCTCCAGCCAAATTCAATGGCTATGTCAGTGGTTAATAATGGAACATCATTTTTAAAACTGGCAAAGGTCTTTCTTGTTCAAAAAGCTCTGCAGGATGGCAAAATCCAAAACCCAAGAAAAATCGAGACACCTTTATTACAAAATCAAGGATTTCAATCACCAATGCTGGGAAACACACCAAACAGAAGTACATTGTTAGACACTCGTCATCAGAATTATAACAAGAATAATCCATGGAAACCTTCAAGTTGTACTGGAAATTTGCAAAAGAATACAAGCAAGGAAAGTTTAACAAGCAAGAGCAAAGCAGATGAAAAAAGTTCCCTGGCAGGTAACAAGAAGACTGCAAATGATTGTGATGAAGGGATACGCTCGAAAGATCAAACCATCATCAACAAAGAGGAAGATAAAAAAGTGAAAGGTTTGTAATGGATAGTGCACTTTCAAATAGAGACAGTTAAAAAGCAAATGACAAATAAAAGTTTTTATAGCTTACATATATACAATTACATATGGTTGCTACAAAACAATTGTCACTGCATGAAGAAAAAATTCTAATAGACCTTTCTGGTATATGATCACATCACAGAAGCATTGTTTTGACTTGAAGCCACCACCTTAAGTAAAATGAATTTTACTCACAAGAGTCGTGTGTGCAGAGATACAAATGCCCTTCTTCACGTGCATAAAAAATAGCATAAATAACCAACACTAAGGTTCTAAAAGTTCTGACGTTAAGCCGATTCTCTATTACGTCCGCCCCAGGGTCCGGTCCGTCCGCGCGGGCGAAGCGCGCTTTGTTTTTCAGGCCCGTCACGCTCGCATGGGCAGATTTTCAAAAACCGAAGCGGACGGTAATGGAGAATCGCCTTTATAGTTTCGGAAAATACCGTTTACAACGACTACGTTATTAACGAGGAGGGTTGACAGGGCAGGTAATTTGTGGTAGTGCATTAGGCAGTTTTTGCTAAAACCATTCGCGTTTAACAGTTGTTAGAAGCATTTGAGTTATGCACTCGTAACATAGATGTTCAACTTTAAATTCGTAGAGGAAGAGAAGGGAGTGGTCAACATAATAAAGAAAGGATCTCAGATCAGTGACGGTTGTAGCAAACTATTTAACTACACCTAGTAAATAGCATATTTAACCTAGTAAACTCAGAAATACACGACTCTGATTGGCCAATTCTGTCCTTAACTACAGTTAAAAGTTAACTAGCTTTTTATACAACTACCCGGGCCAGGTCTAAAATCAGACAATAATAGACCTTTTTATAATGACGTCAACGTGCAGCTGTTTGTTCTTCAATAGGATGTAAATGAAGCTTGGAGAAAATGTAAATAATGTTTAGACAACTTTGTTGACAATTATCTGTCAAACAGACGGTGACTTTGACTCGGACTCAACCAGTATATTCCTGATGAACTATCATAGGTTCTGCCTATCTAAAGATTTTGATGTTGGGTTATTCTAAAATCTTCCTTTGGTGAATTTTTAGGGCCTTTCATAAGACGGAAGAGACGCAGAAAAAGTCGGGGGCGTAAGAAAAACAGTATTAGTAGTAACACTGCAGCTGATTTTAAGAATTCCTGTTCAAAAGCTGATCTTCCTGCTGATAAGAAAATCGTGAAAGGTAATGAGGTATTGATGAAGGAAACAAAACAATCTGTTGGCGTTGAAGTGAAATGTCCAACATCGGGAGAAAAAGAGATAGATGCAAGATGTCGAAAAACTGCACAGAGTTCTGGCAAAAATTGTGGCATTATGGCAGCCGTAAGCGATAACAATGATAATCACACTGAAAGGAAGACTCTAACGCATTCAGATAATAGTCACACGAAAACAAGAGATCAGTGTGAGGAAAACAACGTGAACGTTTCAGATATTAAATCAAGCAATTGCCCAGTCGATGGCAGTAGGAACAAATGTGATAAGGACGAGTGTAAACAGTCTGTTATTGTAAACAAGGAGAGTAATACGGCTAAAAATTGTTGTCTTTATAACAAGGACGATGGTAGTGGGTTAGGGACTACTAAGAAATGTTCAACTGATAGCAGCTACAAGAAATTTAGTGGTGGGAACAAAAGTGATAAAGCCGATCAGCAGAGTTCTGGTGCTGGCATGTACACTTCAAAAGGTAAAGGTTGCGGCAAGAATAATGAATCAAGCAAAAGTATGCCAAAAGATAAAGGTTTCCTAAAAAGCAGTATGACAAATATCAGTCAGGAGACAAACACGAATGGTGATGGTATTAGGACGAGCATTACCAAAGGAAAGCTGGAAGCAACACATGGTTTTCCGAAAGCAAGCGGCAACAAGAATAGTGTGCCACAAAGAAACATGGCGACTGAAAAACATTGGGTTAACACAAGTCGTGGTAAAGGCAGCCAAAAACGAAACCAAAGTGATGTTGCTGGTTTAAAAAAAATAAGCAGGGTGAAAGTAACGGCCATAACAAATGTAAGTCAAAATATATTAAGAGCAGTCTTAAGAACGACCGCTATATTGTGGGAAAGGATTCAATGACAAGTAACAACGCGGGACAAGGTACATCAGGTAGCAGAAAACCTGCGAAAGACGTCGTACCTTCGGCCAAAATTAGCCTGCAAAACAGCGATAGTAAAAAACCCAGAAAAACTCAAAACGTGCCAAATCCTAAAACATCTTCAAAAGCCAACCAAAAGAAATACGAAGGGGATCAAATGAAGGGTACACCGACAGAGGATAGCTTGGAAACGATCTCTGATAAAAATACATCAAATAATAGCAGTCAGACGAGAATCGACATTCAGAATGCAACACAGAGGAGTATTAGCAAAGAATATCCATGCAATAAGAATTCGTCAAGCAACTCTAGACAACCAATTATTCTAAATAGTGGAAAAACGAACTTTCAAAGTCTGATGTCCATTGAAACTCACAGGCCTCAGAGAGGCAATGGTGTCAAACGGAAAAGAAAAGAGACTACACATCTTGCAGTCTCTCCATCAAAGAAAACGTGTCTAGGAAACAGAAGCACAGAAGTTAAAGGAAATGATGTTTGTGAAACTACAAAGCTCCTAGCTCCCGAAAGAGACTGTCCAGATATAATGCGTCGGGAGAACGTCAGCAAAACTACTTCCGAAGCCAGACGCCTCGTTCTCACCTTACCACCGAAAACGCCTCCGGGAACCAAAAGCATAAAAACTACCCATAAACCAGCTACGAAGAAAGTCGTTGGTTGTAGAGATTTACGTGATTTGTTAAACAAGAAAACAAGCGTAATCTTTCCAGCAAAGAAAATTGCTACCGGAGGCAGTCAGAAATCAGGTGCCAACAATGTTGCTAAGAACACTTTAATGAAAAAAAACAGAGAGTCGGGTTCAGCAGGAAAGTCTGGAAAATCTGAAAATAGGAAAAGCAGTTATGATTGTTTAAATCGTTACGAGAAGCAGGGAACAAGGTTGAAAAATTCTGATGAAAAACAAAATCCGTCAAAGAATATATTTATTGAAGCCAAGGGACAGGCCATAGTAAAACCATCAGTGGGAGATTCAAAAAGCATTTATTGTTCAAACGCTGCTGGTGGTCACGGATTTGGTCAGCTGAAGAACTCTGGCGCAAATAATGACGCTTCGACGGAAAAGAATGCAGAAAAACAAATGAAGACAATATCAAATACCTTAACGAAAAATGTTACTGTCAAAACAAGTAATGGTACAACTAGCAACGGTAATACACTGAAAATTTCAAAGTCAATGAATAACTTAAATAAGCTTGAAGAAGGAAAAGGTTTAACTGCAACAAAAAAGTGTCCATATGTTGATGAAAAACGAGTTGCTTGCGGGGTGTCAGAAAATTCGGATTTGATGAAGAGCACATCAGAAGATAAAGAATTGTCTAGCAGAAAGAGCGAAATATCTAGTGAACAAAGTAACTCTGGTATGGACGGATTTGGAGAAGAAAGTCAAATAGCTATCGAAGAAACGTCTTTTAGTAACCGTAACTGTCTTGAACAAAATTCACGTAACATAACACGGCCACGGGTCTCGTCTGGTTCATGTCTCATGAAAGTATCAAGTGAAAACCAAAATAACTGTAGTATGCAGGAAAATGTGGTCAAAATAAATGCAGACATTGACAAGCCTTCGTTAATTCACTCAAGAGATGGCGCTCAGGAAGACATGTGTGAAACAAATATTAGAAACAAGAGTAATCAATCAAACAAAGAAAAGATAAATCAAAGCGAATCAGTCCCTGCATCAAAACGCTCTGAAAAAGAATCTTTGAAAAAGGATCTTCCGATTATAGCAACCGTTACGGAAAACCAACAGCAACAAACTACCACGCTAGGGCAAGCGAGTGTTCAAAAAACCAATGGTCTTATTAACACGACTGTCCTTGCCAGACTGAAAAGTTTGAATTTTAGCGTTCAAAAGAGCATCAAAGTTCCTGAAGAAAATGGAGGTAAATCGCTAAGCGTTGATCATGGAAATACCAAATCTGTTGAGACTAAAAACAAATTAGACAAACATTTCGCCTGTGAGGCCAAGACTATTGTTAGTAAAAGCGCCAGACACTCTCTTAGTCTATTACCAAAAATGAAGAAATCTGCTGAAGCAAGCAACACTCTGGATTCGGAAATATCGAAATATGTATACCGAACACGTTTAAAAAATAGCGAGATCGTCGATCCTAAAGCAGTCACATATACAATCATTTCCGGAAAAGTGTCGCAGGAACATAAAAACAGTGAATCACAGTCAAAGAGCATCGCTTCTTATGCTGTAAGTGGCAAACATGTTGAACAACGCGATATTGTGAGTGGTTCCAGTGAATCACCAGCTCCCAATACTGCTGACTTCATTGAAAGATCATCAACCAACGAACCTCTGGCCATAGAGGAGATAGAAAGATTAAGAACAGGCGAAGCTTTTACACAGGACAATTCAAATCATACGTCTAGAACTGGAAATTTTGTGTCTGAAGTTAAACAAGAAACGCAGCTTCAAAATGATGAAATTCTAACGAAAAATAACCCATCTTATTCGAATGAAAATGATGTTCCTAATTTTTTGACTACTAAGATAAGAACCGACCAATTGTCCCAAAACTTGGCTACAGTCTCTCACAGTAACTCCGACATAGTGAAGATCGAGAAGACCACTACAGAGAATGAAGAAAATTTCAATCGACCAAATGTTCCTGAGAAAGTCAACGAAAACCCTGACAAACCAAACACAGACTCCAAAAGTCTCGACAAAGCTGCCCCTTCCTTTTCGGGTGATATTGTTCAAGTGATAAAGTCAACTATTGATGAAACGTTGTCAGAAGACAGGAAAGGGTATTCAATTAAAAATGAACATTGCATTTCAAAATCGGAGGATGTGCCTGTCTCACAAAGCATCGTTTGTAGCAAAGTCTGTGCTACGGCAAAGACTACATCAGCTTCTAGTCAAAAGATTGTAGAGTCCTCAATTGAGATGAAACCCCAATACCTTTATTTTCAGAAACGAAATTAGATAGAGAAGCCAGCACTAGTGGATACCACAAGCACCGTATCCAAGAGGTTACACTAAATGCTAAGAGGTTTGGTGCTCATGGCAGCGATAGGAATTTAATGAAATCAGGACTCGTGGAGAAAAGTCCGTTACCAAATTTCACGGGGGATTCAAGTTTGGTGATGAATTCCAGCAAAAACACTCTTGACATCCTAGTTCGAGGGAGTATTGGTAGCAATGGAATGCCACAAAACTTTGGTTTCAGTGAAAGATATCCAGCCCCTATATCTTCTGATCCACGTCTACAGCAGACATGCAATCAAAATTATATTCCATCGTCGCCATTGGCCAATGCAAAATGTAATACGCAAAATGATTTAAGTAAGAAAAAAAAGCAATGTCGCCGAAGAGAAGCAAAGAATAGGCGAAGGAAACGTTTAAGAAAGATAAAAATTCAAAGCTTAAAAAAAGGAACAGAAAGTAACGTTCAAAGTGAGAAGAGTAATGGTGCTGTACGACCGTTGAACGAGACGAAGTGTAGAGCTGGGGATGTGAAAGAAGCTGGAATAAGTATGAACAAAAACGTTTTGTCAGTCATGCATGAGAGCCAGGCAACTAAAGATGCATTAAAAGAGGTTTTTCAAACTGACCTTTATCAAGGAAATGGTGGGAGAAATTCGGTTCGAAACTGCCAAGAAATTAGTATAAAGAGTATCAACGAAAAAGCAGAAAAACAGACTACGCAAGCTTCTATGCCAGAAACTCGTTGGCAAAATAGTGAAACTGTTTCCAATGATTCAAAGTTAAATGGCGATATAAGTGAACCAGCGCTAACCCATTCAATTAAATGCTCAGGAGCTCGGGAGGGTATGGAAGATCCTAGTTCCTTCGCACCTGTTGCACATTCTGTTCGATGCGAGAAAGGGTTTATTCAGAGTAGGAGAGAAACAAAGTTAAACTACCCAATAGAAGGAACTCGAGATGAAAGTAATTGTGGAACATTGTTGGGGGTTTGTCATGAAGATAATGACGGCTTTGCAATCTCAGGGAAAAGAAAGCAAAAAGAGAACATGAATGGGGGAAAAAGAGAAGATGAATGGGAGAGTAGCAAACGCCAAAGGTGTGATAAGAAAATGGAAAATATTGGTTTAAATCAAGCCGTTGTTGTTGAAAACGTGGAATTAAGCGAAAAAGAGCATCGTGGGAAACAACAAGAGAGCGTTTTTTTGTGGACAAACATAAAAGCCATGGAGGTGGTAAGTCGTAAAATTATTCTTTAAGTTGAAATTTCAGTTTGGGTAAATGGATTTAAAATTTTCCTTTCAGGTACATGCAGTACGGCTGTATATAGTGCCTATAAAAAACGCGTAACTTGTGTTTATGGGGCCATACACTTTTTTGTAATTTATATTCAAAACTTATACTATGGAACTTTGGCTATACATGCACATACAGTTTCCATGCTATAACCATAGAAACCACTACCAACATGACTGCATTATACAGCATAGTTGCAGAACCTTTCTTACCTATTTCACCTATTATTGAGATATAAAAGGAAAATAATAATAAAGTAATTATTCTGTTTTAGCAATACAACAAGGAGTGTAATTCGATGCTAAAAAGCGTAAAAATGCTAGCCAGGTACGTGAATTGTTCGACTTTCTAAAATGATAATAGAACTATTCAAAATCTAAGATTCCAAACTCTGTTTTTTAAGCATGAATCCTAGTTTGACCGAAAGGCTGAAAGTCACGTTTAAAGAGAACCTGGAAGAGATGGGGCGAAAGTTGTTGTCGGAATTATATAAACTAAAGCAAAAAAATGATGAGTGGAAGAATCAACATCGTGCAATTAGACTTAAGGGTAATGTACTGCATGGTGCTGGTAAAGATTTTGGCGAAACTAAGAACGAAGAAAAGGTTACTAAATCGAATATGTATGATAAGAACCAGCCAAAGGTGCATCAAGATGCCTGTTTCAAACTGAAACAGGGAAAAGTGGTTGCTCAAATTCAAACTAGTAATGAAGAAAATCAAATCCAGGATCCACTTAACGGTGCAAAGGCTACCATTACTCAAAGTTTAAAAACTTGTGATCAACAAGAGATCAAGACTGAAAGTGGACTTCAGAATGATGTGCCTCAGGAAAATAATTATCAAACAAATCCTGACCAGCAGGATAAAATATTGCATCCCATAGTATGATCTATTAGGCAATACACCTTCGTGATACGGAAGAAATGCATGAGCCTCAAACCTTTTTGCGCGTGAAGTTTGCTAATATTTAAAAAAGATTGCGTGTTAAGTTAAATTAAAACTTAGTTTCATACGCCGTGTTCAAAAATACATTAAAAGGATTAAGGATTATCAGGAATATTGTGATTGAGATAATATTGGCTGGAATGAAACATGAACGATCTCTGCGTATACGAATGAACTTGTAACATCCATTGTGTGCTAGTTAGTCATAGAGTTTTCAATGCCTTTAGGCAGTGTTGTGCCACGCTGTGACGTTTTACGTCAGATGTGGAATGTTTTATGTGATTTTTGGAAATATATGGCATCACAGTTTACGCCTCTTTTCATCCATTGTATCATATTTACACCAGGGGCCCTTAATGGGGAGATTATTGCGGCATTTTGTGTATCGTTTTGCTAATAACGGGAGCCCAATGTTTTAAAGGGTGTACCTAGCCTCCCGATCGGCGGAAAAACTAGAGAGAACTTAAAAGTCCGAGGTATATGCTTGACAATGCTATACTTTCTCGCTTTCATTGCCAATTAATGCCATATTTTCTCGCGCCAGGCCGAACTTTGTAAATCAAAGAGGCAAATAACTAGAATTTTTGCAAAAATTGATTATAGAAATGTTTAGTAATTAACCCAGGAGATTCACCCCGGGTAAAAGCCCCTAGGTGAATAAACCGGTTAGCTGGTAGTTGACCTAGTAACATTTTGTGCAAGTTTGCGAGTGTACAACTCGTACAAATTATACAAATATTTGTACATTTTATTGGCTTTTAAAAACAAGGCAATGGGAAAAGATGTGTCAAACATGCAAAATATTTGAAAATACCACTTGACCCATGGAGAAATCCAGTGAAATTTGTCTAAATTCTGATAAACTGAAGAAGATATCGATTCCTTCTACCGGTTTTGTAGAGAATCATGTGGTAACGATTTTCTTTTTGAAATACTATAAAATACACATTTCGCGTTTCGAATAACGTCAAATATTCTAATTTAGTATTATATTAGCATATTTATACAACAAATTTGAAATTTTGATTCAATTAACGAATTTAACTATGTGGTTATGTTAATATACATGCTTTCGCTTTTTGTGAAATATTCGAATTATTATTATGATTAGGAAGATCACTTTGCATAGGTTCATAATTTTTAATATAGGTGCATTTAATAATAATTTACAGTACATCAAATACAGGGTAACAAAAACCCCACAAAAATATTGAAATCACCCATATTGTGCATCTATATTAAAGTACCCTGTTGGGACCCACAAGTGTGTAAATGTTTGACATAAGCATTTTTACGCATGAATACAGTATAACTTGTTTGTACCCACAAATAATTTTTATTACTAAAAATTACAATTTACAGATATGGATAATAAGATTTAAATTTACAACATATCATTTTTTTCTAGCAAATTTTGAACTTTTGTAGGCCTATTTGGCATTTCATAACTTCTGTACGTCAATCCCCACGAGCAAGTCATTCAAAGTTTAACAATACAGTATTTCAATTGTTTTGGGGTTTTTTGTATTTTTTGGACACCTTGTATAGCAGCTAATGCATGTATAGTGTAACTTCTTGAACATTTAGTGTGAATTTAATTGACGATGAATTTAGACAATGGCCATTTCTACCATTTCAAGTGATCCTAAGCCAAAATGCTGGAAATTCCATGACCAATGCTACACGGCCAAAAATTGATCAGGTTGTCGCATCAGGGGTGAACAATGCTGTGCTGTATCCTGTGAACAGAATTGTTAACAATGTTGGTGAACCTTGTTGAATCATCAATGTTGTTGCAATCACAATGCAATTTCATGCAATATTGGTGTAACAATTAAGTTGCCACAACCTTGATGATTCAACAAGCTTCAACAACATTGTTAACAGTACTGTTTACAGGGTGCAGTAGAACATTGTTCACTCCAGTTTTTAACAACTTGCATCGACATGATGATTTTAATGTGTGTATGTATCCGGTGTGGAGTGCATAGAGTGCCCACAGGTTATTTGTATTGATACTTCAAGTCTCTTAACAAATCTCACTAATTTTAGATATACAGTATTGAAGTATCATTGCATGATTATTCTTGGACAGTCAATAGAAGGTATCGAGAGTTTTGGGAGCTTCATGAAAAGGTTGGTTATAATATGTTATTATGCATACTTGATTACTTACTTTGCATATTTACCATAGCTGGTCATTATAATTACCAATCATTATCATTGCTATACCTTCAATTTGTAAATGATCAGGTCCTAGTCACAATCACAAATGTAATAATACCACCAAATAATTATTATAATTGTCAATTTAACATAGCATTATCACAATGTCTATTCATAAACATTTCTTAGTTAACGGAACAATTTCCAATACTGGAGAAAACCACATTCCCTCCTAAGAAACTATTTGGAAATTTTGATCCAACACATGTTGAAAAGAGGCGTAAATGCCTTGAAGATTACTTGCAAAGCATTATTGCTCACTTGGGAAAAATTCCAAGACCACTGCAAATATTTCTTGAATTTCACGTTTATGTAAGTAAGCTCTGATCATTTGTAAACTCCAGTTTATAGGTTATGTGCCATATTCCAAGAAACAGTGGTGTAAGAAGCAGGATAATTAGGGAGGGGGCACATTGACTGTAAAGACAATCAATTTAAAAAGAAATTGATCATGCAGAACATGAATATATGAATATGCCGCCCCCAATAATCCTGTTTCCAACGCTACTGCCATAAAAAAATTTGTTTCACTAGTAAGACCAGCCAACTGTAACTTTTCAGCTTTGTTGAAGCTTGTAAAATATGTTGAAATTATTTAAGGATGTTCTTGCTGTGACACAGACACTTGCTGAGGAACTTTATACAATAGGTTTGTGAAAAACATTGTTTTTGAATCAATGAAGAATTCAGTGAAGCATTGTTTTGAAACAATAGTCAGGTTCCTAGGCTAAAGAATGGACTAAAACAATGTACTGGCTAGAAGGTTGCATGAGCAGCGAACTGGTACAGTTGGTTTTTAAGGCAGACATCATTGGCTGGTTAGGAACTGGCAGACAACATGGAATATGTAAAAGTATACAAACACCAGTGGTTTTGACTCAAGTAACTCTTCTAGAGTTGACTATAGTACTCATCATTCTACTGTCACGTTTGCATTCGAGATATCCGAGTCGGTTAGAAAGTAGAGGAATGCATTAACCATTAATTCCCTTGTGAAATTGCAACATACTAATCTAAACTACCGAACACCATCTCTGAAACTGAAAGTTTTTTTTTGTTTTCAACAACCGCTATCGGTTGTTTTCAACTACGTAATTTACTGATCTCAGTTGGAGTTTGGAGTGTAACAAATTACGGATACTTTATTGTTTTGGTCGAGCGTAAAATCTTAAAATATGCATAAGATTTAATTGCTTTTATGCAAAGAGAATCGCCCTGCAGTTGTCCATCATTTGAATAAAAAAGCGTCAGTCACAAAAAAACAATTCGTCAGTGGCCCAAACAGAAGCAGTCGTCTTCTTGAAAGGCTCTGTTCCAAGGGATGACTGATTCTGCTAATATCACTTTCTGAATGACGTATTGATAAAATTTACCATCATCCATTTTGACATGAACCTAGATACGAGTCAAGTCTTCAAGTCGCTCTTCATTTGCCACTTTTATTCAACATCTTTATACACAGTAAAAAAGTATTTTCTTATCTTTCAAGGTGACACTTTACTTGCAAGGGAAGAACCGTTTGTGTTTACACCGCTGCAGCTCTACTGCATTTCCAGAAGATTGAAATTACCTCTACCAACCTGTGGTATGGTGATTAGTTTTTCTTAATAAAACTATCATAAACCTGATTATAGATTTGTTTCATGCAACATTACTGACTCTATATGCATGGCTAATGTGATCGGGTAATGTGATTTTGTCGGGTAAATGAGTTTTACCGCGGTAATGATTTTATAATTGCAATTTATAAGGTGGTGAAGGTTATCATTATGATGTTGGCAATTTGTATGATATCGTCTATTGCTTACAAAATCTTGAGGTAATGCTTGTAATACTCATATTTCAGCTACACGCCTAAAAACGATCAGGTTGATGCAATATTGATATGAACAAGATGGAACAATGTTGTGCTGCCCACATTGTTCAGACTTGTTATCAACATTGGACAATACTTTCAACAATATTGTTCAATGTTGTTGACAAGTGTGAGCAATAATGGCAGCACAACATTGTCGCATGCTGATAAACCGCAGGCTCAAAGTTTTTAACCGTGTAAAATTCAGTTGGTAATTTCACCAACAATCGGATTCCTTAGTTTACTTGAAGTTAGCACGGTTGTTTTTTCCCATCTCTTATAGATCATGGAGGATGACAAGCATAACTTGAACAATTTTTCCGATGAAGAAATCTCATTTGATTTGTCCTTGTTCAAAAATCTTAAAACATTGCAGGTTGGACACAACTTGATGCAGTTAATAAAAATCTATCTAAGACACGAAACTATGTTTGAAACCAATTATACGAGTTCAGATTCCTTAAAATTTTATAGATATCTAAATGCAACATTGAATCATTGCGAGGCACGTTTCATCTGCAGGAAAAGCTTGAAAAGCTTTCTGTGCACAATTCGTTACATTTACTAAAGGTGGGTTAAAATGTTTAAAAAAAACAACCTACTAGTGTTTTTACATAATGACTGAGGCAATGTGCACACGAGCGTCGTTTTCGAGCGTTTTCAAAATCGTTTTGGTCTATTTATTGTTTGGACGCCCTTGTCCACACGATCCAAGGAAAAATATGCTTAATATGTTAAATTAGCTTCAACTTCTATTGAAAATTGGCGGTGTTTTGAAACCGTTTTGGCATGAAAAATTGAAAACGCTCGAAAACGTTACCGTATATAGCGTGAATACTCATCAGCCAAAACATGTTTTTACGATTAGGAGATTCTCATTGACCAAAATGTTTGGACTCATGGTGATGATGTTTTAAAGCAAGAATGTTTTTCCGTTTCGACATGGAAACATCTCACAGTGATTGATTTAAGTCATAATGATATACCGCACATGGATGAATCTGTGGTAAATAAAGCTAGTAATGGATGCAATACTGCATGTAGACCACCACTAGTCATAGGACGAGATTTTGTACAGTTAAAAAACAATATTTGTAATACCATTTAGATTTAATCGTAAAGTCGTTGACAGTTTTAACTGCATTTTTCTATAGAATATTCACTTGTTTTTTTTCAGACTTTACTACATGAAGTAGTGAGAATGGATCTTTCCTACAACAAAATAAAAGAGATAACTCATTTACAGGTATGTACTGGCCTTTTCCCAGGGCTCCTTTGTCGTTACATTTTATATGAGATAGTGACATTGCATAGTTAGCATGGAATGCGTTTTTGATCATGTGATAAATTAAAAGCCTATATAATAAAACATGAAGTAGGGATCCGTTCGTTCCGTGGTCCCAAACCTGACCCGCCTTTGTGAATCAAGTGACTTGGAGACATGAATCCAATAACTTGGTCGTTTGGCTAACCTCTTCTTCACTCTTAAGGCCCACGCAGACAGGACGCGATTTTGCAACGCAGCGCGATTTTTCCTAGTTTCTTATTTTCCAAAAGCAAATTAATTTTAAGCTATCATAATATTCTTGTAGATTACTTAACGATAATGCATTTTGACTGCTCTGGCGTCCATAGATTCCAAATTTTGCTGCCAGAATTTAATTTATATGCTTCTGAAAACTGAAAATACGCGCGTTGCCGCATCGCGTCCGGCCTGTGTCGACCTTTAAAGCTTGTTTACATGGAGCGAATTATCCAGTTGAAAACTGCATATAATGAAAGACTAATTAGGTTAAGCCTTTGATGTGATGGGCTTTTTACCTCGCCTAGCCGGGATAACTCGCTCCATGTAAACAGGCTCTTAGAGGGGGAGGGGAGAGGAGGACAAGCTTGGAAGAATTTTCAGTTGTTGATCAATGAATGAATAATGAGTAATGGCTAAATCTAACTCTTATTGGTGAAGACGATGTTTTGCAGGGCCTTCCGAAACTCGCAGAACTGAATTTATCTTTTAATGAGATTGACAACCTGAATGCTGTGAATACTAAACTTGGAAACATCACGTCCCTAAGACTTGCTGGTAATAGGCTAACCAACGTTGGTGGTGAGTGCGTCATATTTCACATCAATTATTTACGGACAGGTTACTTTTATGTGTCAGAAGTCAGAACCATGATCAGAGATGATGAAATGCATGTACATTTGAAATGTACATTTGCTAAATTCACTGAAATATTTATTATAACAGTGTGAATTTAACAAATTTTCCAATCCTTTAGATTTACCGAAGATGTTTTCTCTAGTGAATCTTGATCTTAGTGAAAATTCTATAGGTGATGTAAGTGAAGTCGTCTTACCAGGTGTTTCCAGGAGGGCAAACAATATTCCTTGAGTAAACAATGCATTCATTTTTAGTTGACTCTGACAACGTGTGTCATTTTCGCTAGAAAGTTATGATACATAGTGATTCGCTACTTGATAGATTTCTGATGTCATGTCACTTGCTCGGCTACCGTGCTTGGAAAATCTGATTCTACTTGCAAATCCTGTCAGACACACATCAATGTATCGCCTGCAACTCCTGGCCGCGTTTGACGACCAACTTTCACGGGCAAGTATTTAAATCAGTTTCAGTCAACTCTCTATAATATTGAGTTTTATTTGAGTGAATTGAACGAAAGTTTTCAACTTTGCCTGTCACGAACAGAAGCAAGCCATAAACACTTCACTACGGACATCACTGGAAATGCAATTTGAAAATGCATAGTATTTATGATGCATAGTAATTGTGTGATACTATGGATCTTCCGGGGTCAACAATTGAATGTAAAGGCCCATTTACACTTGAAATTTTCGCTGTACGATTTTCCTCTTTTGATAGATGTGAACGAGTGAATTAGTTACTGATGTTCAAATAAGAGCTCTTATACATTAGTGCATTCGTAACTAATTTCTTCTTCACATCTATCAAAAGAAGAAAATCGCACATGAAACCGCAGTGTAAACGAGCATTAATGGCATTGGCATAGAGTATAATACCAAATGATAAACTAATAACGTATGAAGAGGCATTGTGTTTCATATTCACGCATGTGCATCACGCTACGGTGCAACCTGAGGCTTCGAACGAACGAGTTGATCATTTCCAACACGTGGCTATTGTTTTTAGATATGCCTTGATCAAGTGGTTCCAACAGAGAAGGAAATTGTAAGTCGAACGGAGTCTTCTTTGAAAAACTTGCATTCTCGATGTTTTCAACTGAGCGTTTGTTTTCCATTTTTTAGAGAACTGTGATACAAATGCTTGCTGAAGAAGACGAATATGAGTTTGTGAAAATTGATGATCCTACAAATATAAGTGGACATAGAAAGGCAAGTAAATAATAGTAGAGAGAGGCACAACAGGTTGGGTATCTTATGTAGGGTACCATGTACATATAGTATATGGAAGGAACAATAGAACAGGGTAGGGTGCAGGAATAAAATACGGCATGGTAGGGTAGGGTAGGGTATGGTAGTGTAGAGTAGGGTATGGTGGGGTATGTAAGGTAGAGTTGGATAGGGTAAGGCGTATTGAGGTACTGTATAATAGGACAAAGTAGGATAGATAGCTACAGTGAGATAAAATCTGTGATAAAAGGGTGGGATAGGGTGTGTTAAAGTACGGCATTACGTTGTGGCTGATATGGTATAATTTGTCACGATTAAGGCACCTAGACGTAAAGTGAAAACCAAACCTCCGATCGTGTTGGAAAAAGAAACTAAAACGGAAGGTAATAAACAGTAATTCTAATAATTTTAGTTACTGTTATTAATTATAATTGTGAGTTAAATCTGTTTTAGGCCCGTCGTTAGCTGTACAGAAAACTACAGACACAGATGAGGGGAAGGAATTTCGTGACAAAGTTGATAAAATACGTAAATTAGGGGGCGATGATTGGTTAACATTGTTGAATGAAATGCAGAGTGAACATAAAGTATGACATAAATTATTACGAAATACAGATTCTATATTTTTATATAAGATACAGAACAACGGTAACCCAATGTCGTAAAATACCTGAAATAAATTTATTTCAATTCGGCTGTGGTGTAGTCATCTTCAGGAACGCTACCTTAGTCTGTTGTTATTCAATAGACACTAAACTGTTAATAGAATATGAGTCATTGAGTTTTTCTTTTACATTCACGCTGTATGACACAGCGATTCTCAACCAATGGTTATCATCAGCTTTGTCAATTATTTTATAGTTTCTTAGTGGCCAACTACATACCAAACAAAATATCAAATTCCTATAGAATTATTTTACAACCTAGAGTTACTGTTGTTTCCTTTTGTCCTGAATGAATCATAGACTCTGTTTTTTCATATTTTTTTTTCAATTGAAAACAAACGCTGAGTTTGTTATGATTTTAGTTTATTTCCTGTAGTTAATCTTGCTACTGATTAGACAACCTTGCTGAAATAAACGTTACAATCTTTATCTCACCTTCAAGCATCCAGGCAAGACTAACAGTACTTCTTTACCTGGAAATGCAGCGTCTGCTTGTGTGAAAAATGGAGCTACTACTTTGCCTTCCTCGGCTAAGGATGTGAATGGACAGCAATCAAAGGTAGGTTATATGGTCTTAATAGTGTGCTTGATCTTTATTTGTAAAGAGGTGGGGTGGGGTAAGGCATTTGGTGATGTGGTCATCTGTGGAATTTCAGCCACAAATTGTTTGGTGTTTTGTTGTTAGAGTTCTACTGCGCTGCAGTTTGGATTTTCCCCCGAGCTTGAAGATCTTGTGAAAGTTACTATAGAGAAGGATAAAGATGTGTAAGACCTTTTCCTTTATTTATATGAGGGTTTATATGTGCTGAAAGATGTATTTATTTGTACTTAACTGAATTGTAAAATACGAGATAACCAGTCCCAGCTACAACTCAGGCTTGGCAAAATTTCCAATTTTAACAACGTTTTTTAGTACAACTGGAACGTTTTTCGTGAGGATTGAAGGTGATGTCGGTGACGAAGAGAGAATGGTTGTCGTTGATTTGAAGAAAGAAATTTTAATGGCGATTGCTCTCGATACTGTGGAGACATATGCGAAACACAAACTTGGTGAGTGAATTTTAACTAATGTTGGAACTCTGCAATAAACATCAATTTATAAAACTTGAAAAGGGAACTGAGAAAGTTTCCAACAATGATCATATTTATTGATCTTTTATCATTGTTCTGACCTGAGGAACCTCACACATTATCGTTATATTCTCAGCTGATATATCAAGTGTGGATATTTTGGAATCTTCGGGGTGTTGGTATGTAGATCTTTTACATGCAGAACACAAAGAATTGCGTCGTCATGCTGATCTTCACGTTGACAGCGGTACAAGCGCCTCCAAAGCTAATTACAGACATGTCGCAAAATATCGCATGAGGTCGATGAAAGATGCCACTGAACTGTTTGTATTGCTGTATAAGTTTATTTGGGACTCTTTGAGCGAAAGGTAAGGGTAAATTATGGTGAGACATACAGGAATGAAATACAGTATAGTTAGACGTACAGTATAGAGGAATGGCATGCGGTATAGTGAGACATACAGTATAGAGGAATGACATGCGGTATAGTGAGACATACAGTATAGAGGAATGGCATGCATTATAGTGAGGCATACAGTATACAGGAATGACATGCGGTATAGTGAGACATACAGTATAGAGGAATGACATGCAGTATAGTGAGAGATACAGTATAGAGGAATGACATGCGGTATAGTGAGACATACAGTATAGAGGAATGACATGCATTATAGTGAGACATACAGTATACAGGAATGACATGCAGTATAGTGAGACATACAGTATACAGGAATTGACATGCATTTAGTGAGACATACAGTATACAGGAATGACATGCAGTATAGTGAGACATACAGTATAGAGGAATGACATGCGGTATAGTGAGACATACAGTATAGAGGAATGGCATGCATTATAGTGAGACATACAGTATACAGGAATGACATGCAGTATAGTGAGACATACAGTATAGAGGAATGACATGCAGTATAGTGAGACATACAGTATAGAGGAATGACATGCATTATAGTGAGACATACAGTATACAGGAATGACATGCAGTATAGTGAGACATACAGTATACAGGAATGACATGCAGACTGATGCAGTATAGTGAGACATACAGTATAGAGGAATGAAATACATTATAGTGAGACATACAGTATACGGGAATGACATGCGGTATAGTGAGACATACAGTATAGAGGAATGACATGCAGTGATAGTAAGACATAGAGTATAGAGGAATGACATGCAGACTGATGCAGTATAGTGAGACATACAGTATAGAGGAATGAAATACAGTATAGTGAGACATACAGTATAGAGGAATGAAATACAGTATAGTGAGACATACAGTATAGAGGAATGACATGCAGTATAGTAAGACATACAGTATACAGGAATGACATGCAGTAGAGCGTTCAGCTTGCAGTCAGCATTCAGCTGCAAAAATGATGATTTCATACTTTACATAGGCCTTCAGAGAGATCGAACTCGGACCCCTCGCAGACACCACAACGGACAGTCTCAAATGACGTCACGTCATTGTATAGCAATCCTATTGGACTACCACCTGATTTACTTTCTAAATTCCTCAGCTGTAAGTTTGGTTGGCCAATAGAAAGCGAGCTTACAGAGTCTGCACGTCATGCAACAGAGACTGTAAGAGAATGTGTGCACGTGATACTTTGGCTCAGCTGTCTTCCGTACGCTTTACCAGAACACGAATTTCCAGTTTGCCTCATCCTGACGAATATGAATATACATTTATTTCATCTCCTCAACTTTGTCACCCCACCAAAAAAGGTTGAAAAAATGGACGAAATACTGTCATTTATGTGTTGTCTACCGCTGACAGAGATGGTTAGTGTTAAAAGAGGTGTTTTCAATTTGACATTTCGCCTTGAGTTTGCAAAGCGTGCCACACTCGGTACTTTCACTTTTCTCACCCGTGATTCGGAAATGACAGAAGCGTTCATCAATGTTTTAAAAGAATTGACAAGTGGAACGACACCAGTGATATTCAATGACGACTTCGTTAAAGAGGAAGAGTTAAGACTTGAGAAACTAAAAAGAGAGATCGCATTGTCTTGCGGGAAAACATTTAAAGATGACGAATGTGTGCTTATATATTCTGTGGTTAGGGAGCTTACGGAGGAGACTTCATCAAATGACAACCACGCCCTTAACACCATTGAGATGACGACATCATCAACTGAGAGTCATATATCGAGAACGCGAAGTTTGATTCTTACAAACAGGAATCTTTTCCTTTGCGAAGAGGACCATCTACACTGGCCGTTGCCTAGTTACGTACGTTTTGCACCATCAACCCCACAGTGGGTGGTTACCAAGCACGATGACATAAAGCATTTGATTGGGATTGAGGTGTATGACGTCATGGGTGGGTGTACGTTCGTAGGAAGCAGCGGAATGTCCTTACTTTTAGCTCTTTAGCTACCAAGATAATTTTTTCCGATTTTTGAAATTTTTGGGAAGTTACATAGAGTTACTTATAATGGGTATTTTAGTGCAGTTAGATATACAAAACTATATATATTTAGAATCTGCAGAACAAGGTCTTTAATTATATGCATTCACTTTTATGCTAATTAACAAGGTATGATGTCACAAGTCATGTGCTTATTTACAAATAATAAAATTTTATGCTAGAAAAACTAAAAATTTAAATTACTTTCCCTATAAATAATTAATGATGCACAATATCCCTACAAATGCATCAAAATATCAATGTCCTATCCCTACCGGAATAATTAAAATGGGTTATCTGTATACATAAGTTAACGAGCGGCCAGTTATTGCTGAATAATGTGTCATCACATTCTTCCCAAATTGGAATTATTTTACATTGTTCTATAATAATCTACCTTACACATATTTTTTATATGAAAAGAACTCAAAACAACTTTGCAGAGAACCTATCACACTTTATGCAATAGTTTTAAAGTTTTTGTGTGCTTAAATGTTTAATTTTCGACTTTCTTGTACCTCCAAGATGCACATCTTCCACACTTAGGATGACGACTTGGTGCTTCTCTCAAGAGTAAAACATTGTCGTCGTTAGTGAGTTGTAACTGCACTCATTCCTATGTCTAATGCTTCCTTATAGTCTTCAAATGCAAAAGATTCATTTTCTCTGTAAAATTCCCGATCAGAAACTAATATTTCGCTTAAAATTTCGTCTAATTGCCAACGAGAACTTGCCACCATTTTGTAAATCCAACATGGCGAAGGAAAAATAACAAGATTTATTGAAAATACTAAGAATTTCGAAATAAAACGTGAAGAACTTCATGTTAGCTACAATATATGTTAACTATAGTGCAGAGACCCTTTCAATCCCTTTTTGTCCTCAAATATGGGTAAAATATCCACATAAATCCCAGCAGGGTCGTTAACGACCCTTTTGGTAGCTAAAGAGTTAGAGAACAACGCGCGCACTTGCGAAGATTTGTCTGGCATGACCGGACACGAATCCCACAAGATAGAATGCGAGTCACGCAAGACCAAGACGTGGAACGTGATTTTTAAACTTAAGGAAGAACGGGAGCAATTTCAACGGTCGCTCTCGAAAATTTGGTCATACTACTTTCATGGCGATCTTAAAACTACGGAATCTAAACCGATCCTTGCGACAAATATTCGCCACGTTCCCCGAATCGACTTTGCAGCAGAATTCTTTCAAGAAAGGTTGCCTCCATCTGGACTAGATTGCCCTGAAAACCGAACCAAGAAGAGTCATCGTCGTAATGCTTCCGGCCAGTTTTCCCCGACTAAACACTCGATGAGGAATTCAATGCAGGTTTTACATAGTGCAAATGCTGAAATATTAGAAACGTTTTTCATCGAAATATTAAGACAAAAGTCTGGAAACGATACTTTAGAAACACTCGTGTCTTATACATGGACAGGCTGCGTGGCATACTCCAACCCCTCGCGAGAGATCCACGTATGGCTAGTCTTATCAAGTACAAAGGTTTACATTGTGGCTGACGTTGAAGATCGTAAGATTATAGGCGCTTCTCAAGATGTAGTTTTTGGTACTGGAAACAAGTTTTGTTTTCATTGGCTAGCACTGACATGGTTACGCCAGGTGTGTGTCGGCTTCTTTGATCAGACTTTCCGATTGGAAACAGATGACCCCGAGGGTACTTTTATTTTTATCACACGTGATTATCAAGTGACTGGTTGCTTTTTAGAGAACCTCACAAAAATCTTTAAAGAGATTGGTGACGAAGGGCCCCCTCCAGTCGCGTCATCTGACAGCTCTCCGAGTATCTACGACGCTTATCCGAGCAACTCGAATGCGGACATCGATCACTCTTCGGTAAAGAAATTCCATCACTCGAAAGGTGTTGTGCAATTCGTTTATACAAACGATGATACCGTTGAAATTTTAAAGCATACTATTCTAGGATATGCGAAGGAGTCGGAGTACTGCGCCTCCCTAAATGATATAGATATCTATGGAAGTATTCTTGTGTATCTGCTAATGTTTCAAGTTGTAGACGGCAAGAAATTGGCTCGCACTTTTATTGTCTTCGACCGTGCGCTGTGCACATGCGTGGAAAATCACGTGAACTTCCCGCTGCCGCTGTTTGTTAAAGGTCTGCCCATGGGTTCACGTTACGAGGTTCAGTGTTTGCGCCTTATTACGGACATTAAAAGAATCGAATTTAGTGGTTCTAATACACAAGATTTTACTATTGTATTCAAGAAACAGCGGATAGAGAGTGAGACTAAAATCATGACTGTGGATGAGGGTGACGTTAAAAACAGCGCTTGTCGTGTTGGAGAAGAATGCTGGACTATGGTAGCGCAAACGTATGAGGAGAAAGAAAAAGCGCTAGGGATAATTTTACGATTCTGGAAAGAGCATGTTGGCGAAGACTTGCCTGTTTTAAATATTTCATAAATAAAAATATTCGATAATATATACAATTATATAGTTTGTGACAGCATAATATATAGTTTGCTTGTTCTGTTTACGTTATTCTTGTGTGATTTTCAAAGACAAATCGCTGGCAACCAGCAATTGTGGTTGTCGTTTCTCCCCCCCCCCCCCAACTTCGTACTCAGGGAAATTTCAAAAATCAGTGGTTTTCTTTCATGGCAAGAACAAGCAAATAAGTTTTAAATGCCCCGACATTTTCATATGTATAAAAAAAAAGAAACCGAAAGAGGTGTTGCAAGCGTAAAAACTGAAACAGTCATCGCAAAAAACCCACTAGTAACTAGTGGGAAGCTCCCGCAGGAAAACGCCGGTGTTTGTGAAGTTTCAACCCGAAAATCTAATCACTGGTTTACAATTGTGCACTTCTGTTATTCTGTATCGTTATCAAACAAAAAACTATTATTACAGCTGTGAAATGGCCATTTTGAGGTTTAAGGTTGGACGATTTCAGACGATTCGTTTTTGTCGTGTGCAAGCTTTAAATCTTTTGTGCAAGATATATTTTTTTAGTATTTATAAATCTTTTTTCCCAACCAAATTTGAAACCTAAAGGCTGTTTTCCACTTACGCGTTTTTCATACGCACGTACACGCACGTAAAAGTCTAAATCCTTGTACATGCTACCTTTGAAAAAACCAAGTGAATAAATCGAAGGAACTTAGTTTTCTGCATATTTTAGTATGCATTAGTTGACCTAGATGTTAAATAATAAAAATTTAAAAGCATTTAAAATTTTCCGTACGTGTACGTGCGTATAAAAAACGCGTAAGTGGAAAGCAGCCTTAAGTATTGAGAATTGCGGCTAATTATTGAGAAGTTTACCAATTTCTGCGGTGTCCCGCAGAGAACTCTTTGCGATAAACGAAAACGATTCAGAAATCAGAGGGGCCAATTTATTTGATTTTTTCCTGTAATTAAATCGCCTGGGGCTTGTGAATTATGGAAAGTCACGAAGTTTTCTTGATAGAAAAGACTGCGCTACACACTTGCGCTTCCCCAGTTTCTCACTAGTTTCTCTTTCCCTTTGATCCACATACCGTGAGTCATTGCGCTGCCACTTCCGCAAGTTGGTCGCCATATTTGTTGAGATTGATCTCACTTCCTTGAAGAAAGACGACAGAAAAAACAAATTATGGCCGATTATGAGGGGCAAATTTCGGATCAGGAAAAGGTAACAAACATTAATAGCTAAACGTTTGTTTGACGATGTCTCGGGTAAAGAGTTTCGCACGAAACTAGCCTAATTCCTGGATAATTATTGCTTTGTTATAGCTTCGAATAGCTGAAGACTTTATAAAACACGCCCCTCCGGGAGAGTTTAACGAAGTTTTTAATGGTAAAGAAATGTCTCTTCTGCTTGTTTTGACTTAAGACCTTAAACTTAAGACCTTAAAATTTTGCTTTTACTCTTGCAGACGTTCGAGTGCTCTTCGACAACGATTCACTGTTAAAAAGTGGTGCAGCTAGGTATTATGTTTGTCAGATTTTAACCTTTCGTCACTTCGAATTGTACACTTTTAGGTACATTAAAGTGAAAATAGCAAAGAAATACAATTAAAACTTTCGTTTGTTTTATATTTTATGGCGACTTTCTATTTTATTTTTCGAAAAACAATTTTTACCTGCTGGCTAGTTGACAATTTGAATTACTTGTTATTGTATGTTTGTATACTTTCGTAATATGTGCATAATTTCTGAAACGTTTTTCTGTATTATGATTTTCTGGTCTTCTCTGATTAAGTTAAAATTTACAGTACAAAATGTACAGCAGTTCCAGCAGTTCATTTATTGGCTTCAATTTTTTTTTCTGATGTTCAATTTTGCTTCTTGAGGATTTACTTTTATTTCCTCAATTGTTAAATATTCAATCTATTTACCATAAAACTACAATCAAGTGCCACTAATTCCATTAAGGCAATACCAATTACAGAACTACATATTTGGTTAAAATTTCATACAAATGTGCTACTGATATGTGCTACAAAATTGCAAGAGTTGTGAGAGATAAATAAACTACTTTGGTAAACAAATTTCATTCATGCATTGAGCCAGCACCACTCAAATGATAAAAAATGTATTGACCCATGAAATCATTCTAATTAATGAATTCAAACAAAACTATCACTTTAACCTAGTAAAGAACTTGTGCACATGAAATTGTTTTATATTTGACTGTTGATGAGTTAATAAGACATATATTTGATGTGTGTTATGTATTTTTCCTGCATCTTTAGGGCAGTGCTACTTTGTCAATAAGCACTGATTGGTGCAAGCCTAATTAATTGGCCTTAATAAAGTAACCAATACCTGCTCTAATTCTATTGTTAGTTCTTTTCAACAATACAACAAAGAGCAATTCACACCAGTTAAAGTTGAAGGTGCAGAGCATCAGGTGTGGTATTATTTAAACCTTGCTTCATGCTTGTCAGAATTGTTGGATTTTTATCAAGTAGAGCAGTGAATCTGATATTCTTCCATCATTTTTAGTTTACATAAAATTTCCACTGATAGTATGAGCATGCGCTGTGCAAGCAATTTTGTGCAACTTTGGACCAACGTATTTTCATATAAATTAATCATATCTTAATTATTGATTAATTTTGACAACAAATTTCCATAGGTTTTAGTGACATCACATGGCGAGCTTCCGGATGGGACATTTCTTGATCCTAAATCCAAGCAGAAGTTTAGTTATGATCATTTAAGAAAGGTTAGTTATCATCTGAATTTATTACTGGTGAAGTATTATGCTCTTTAGGTGGGCTTTGCTTGGCAATAATATTCATGTAGGAAATTATATAATACTGTTGTTTTCCTTCTTTAGGAGGCAAGCAATGCTGAACCCATAGATGTAGATCAGGAGGCTGAGCCATGGAGGGAACAGCTAGATAGCGAGTATAGAAAATACATCCAAAGCCATTATCCACATGGCATTTGCACGGTAAACTGTTTTTAGGTCATATTTTTAAATTTATTTTTCTGATGTAATTTATATGGGTTTCATATGTAATTAAATTTAGCCTCTCATATAATTAGCACTAACGAAAAACTACATTTATAATTATTAAGATTTATGGGAAGAATGTCAATGGAAATATCACATTAATTGCATGTTGTGAGGACCATCAGTTCCAGCCCCAGAACTTTTGGTAGGTTATATGACTTTCTTTGAATTACTATTTAGAAAAATCACATTATTGTCTATCTATTTTTTGGAATTAGTTCCTAAATCGCACTTTCACTTGAATTATGACAAGTATTGCTTCTTTGAGTGTATAAATGGCAATATCTGTTTTTTAACACATTGGTTTTAGTTAATTTAATCAAGATATTTTGCCTTAACTTGCTAAACATTGATCATTATGTGGGAATTCTAGGAATGGTCGGTGGAGGGCAGAGTGGACAATATCATTTCAAGGTCCTGGCTCAACATCAGAACTGAAGGGAATAATCAAAGTACAGGTATATATTGAATTTTATGTAAGCCATTTTCTGTACTTGAATCATGATGTAATAGGTCCTGACTGAGAAATATGATTTTTCAAACTTCCTAGGTGCATTACTATGAGGATGGCAATGTCCAGTTGGTCTCCTCAAAAGAAATCACTTCAGAAATAAAAGTTACGGTAAGTTTCTCTGTCAAATTTAGTTATTAGTGCTGGGTTAAACACAAGTGAGCATTCATTTTTCATTGAATATTCACAGAGTGAAAGTGGAACAGCAAAAAGTATAGTTGATGTGATAAAAGAAGAAGAAGAAAACTTTCAGGTAAAAAATTGTGTATAGTTATGCTCAACAACTTTGATTCATTTATGATATCTGTTAAAATTGTAGTAAATGATTTTTGTTAAGGGCTCATTCACACAGTTTGCCTTGTTGGATTCCATTCAACAGGCATTAGGATAGTTTACATCATAAGTTTTCATTCTGTGTATTTCAGAAAGCATTATCTGAGAACTATAGCACTATGTCTTCAACGACATTCAAGGCATTGCGTAGGCAACTACCTGTGACCAGAACTAGATTGGACTGGAATAAAATTGCTGGCTACAAAATTGGTCAGGAACTCAAGACAACCTCATAAACAAACACTAAATAATCGTACAAGAAACTTGATTTAATTGTGGATACTTATATTATACCAGTATATGCAGCAAACCTAGGTGGCCTTTTCAATTCCTGTAATATTTTCATGATAATTTGGAGATTGAGTGTTTGTATAATTTATACTATTAGGGAGTTAAACCTTTATAAGCTGACTAAGCAAGCTGTTTCCAGTACAATTTCAACCCATTTTACTGGGAGAAATTTACAGGGAGCTATTCTTTCATGAAAATAAGAACAAGGGTTACAATTAGCCTACAACAGATGTAGTAGACATTTTCTGACATGTCTATAAAACCAACCAGAGCATTAGCATATTTAGATGATCATGTATATTTTCATGTTTGCTTATTCTGTTTATATGTTTGGTTTCATTGGCAAACATGTTTTAAGAACAACTACTATAAAACCTAGTCCAGCTGTTTAGAATGGTATACTTTAAATTGCCTGTATTTCAATTTATGGCAAGTGGTTGCCAATGAAAACTGCATGTTCTACCTACCATTATAAGTTAAGAAATGTGTACAAGTGTTGTATACAACTAGTCTGCCTATGATGTATGTTTGATTTGCCATTTCATGACCAGATGGTTGATTCTTGCAACTCATTGAAATTCTGAAATGGAATTTCTCACTAATTATTGTCTATATAATAATTATCAATCAGGTTTGACACTGTTTATCAAAACTGATCATAAAAACATAGACTAACTTTGTGAATTGATTTATAATAATTTATAACTTTTTAATTGTTTTTGTTTTCCATATTTGGTGGGTGTATTGTGTTGTAGTCTTGAATATTGAGTTGGCAATACCAGACTTTAAATTTAAACTGGGATGTTCAATACAGAGCCCCATGCCTACCTGTCCCACAGGCTCTTTTTCTGTGAAAACATGCAGCATATTTAAAACCTGCCCAAAATACTCCCCAAGCACCTGCAAAAGAGGTAGTCCTCCATATTTTGTAACAACTAACAACATGCCAAAAGCAGAATTAACCTTTTTACTGAAATCCAATTACAAAATTATGGAACAGACTGGATGTTTCAAACGTGATTCTTTTCAGATTATTTCCATTATTTACACTATCTGTTATTATTTTTACAAGAATCAAACAACACTCTTGTCCATTGCAGTGTTCAATGAATGATCTCTGTACATCCCACATGTTCCAAGATGTTCTGAGAATTTCTGATTCTTTGCATGAAATGTTGTTGGCATTGTATGAACTGTAGGCTGTCTTGAACTAGAAAAAGAAAACAGCATTCCCATTTAAATATTTTATGATACAGTGATTGCAGTCAGTGTGAAAAAAGTACTAGCCAGCTAGCTATCAGTGGTACATATGTATGTTGGTAGTCTGTCAATCATGGAGCACATAGTCATACAGGCAATTAGTCGAGTAAACATTTGTTTATTTGGTTGGATTAGTACATTTTCATTCAGTTTAGAAGTTTTTGACATTCAGGGTGAACCAGTTGGATAAGTAGTCGTGTAGTTTAGTCAGTTGGTTGAATATGTCAATAAGTATGCAAGTAATTAATCAAGGCAGTGCTAGACCTACCCATATTCCATTGAACTTGTCATGTACATTGGATGTTGTGTTTTTGCATTATAACCTTGAAAAACATCTAAAGAAATTTGAGGCAGAGAATGAAAATCAATTATTACTCTTCCACAAATGATAAGAAAAAACATACAAGGATGACAACACACCTTCACTTGCTGTCAATGTGGATGTTTGAGCCGTGCTTATACTATTTATATTTTTTGGGCATGAGAACACAGGATTTCCCAAATTATTCACAGTTTGTGTGTTCTCACCAGCAGAGATTGGGACATTGGAGAGAGATACTAAAAAAGATGAGAAAGTCAAATTGACATACCAGGATTATCAAAGCGTTCAGGAATATTTTTTGTGCGATAATAGTTTGAAGTTTTTGCACCATTACCAGGTTTTGTTGCTGTAAGTTCGGCAGACTAGAACAAATTAAAACAAATATATGTCAGTTTGCAAATTATTTACTGGTAGCGCCCTAGCACTATAAACCTTCGCAATTATGAAAGCAAATTTTAGTGAGTTTTCTTGACAATCTTCTTTCCATCGTAGTTTAAAGTGAATCATGTCGTTATATTAAAGAATACTCCATGCAAATTGAACATGATTTTTAGCAATATTTCTTTTCGGTTCCATCGTTTGAAAATTTGAATAAAATGATCTAGCTAGATGCCTAGAAGGGAATTCATAAACCTACCCTAGAAACCGTGGGATCCATTAGAAACAAAGAGCACCCTGATCCAAAATTCTCGCACAAATTGCACGTCTTTTTGATGTCAAAATCTTTATTGTGAATTTTTAAATTGGTTTACTAAAATATTATTTTTCTTGTTGCTAGGCAGTGTTGCATCGGTCTTTTTTTGTCTGGAAAAAAAATTCGTTCTCTGTTTCCGTATATTCTATACTGGCAGTCTGCCGCAGTTGGCAGTCACGTATTCTTTCAGCTTTAGCCTAGTTTACAAGTACGAAAAACAATGTCAAAAAACTTGTAGGAGTGGAATTTGCAGTAATGAAAGTAGATATAGATGCTTAAAAGTATTAAAATGCTTCGAGAAAGTAATACCAGAAACGACAATAATGTCGAAAGTTTGGTTTATGTGCAGCGGGGTTCCCCATTAGTGTAGAAAAATTTTACTGAGAATGTTTTGAAAAAAATACTGACACAAATCACACAATGAATACTTGGAAACAAATCAAACAATGTTTGTGGTGAAATTTCCAGATGAATTTAATTTTTTTCATTTTCTATTTTGTTCACATTATTTCAAATTTTCATTTGAACAACTTCTGGAATTATCTAGATGTGTATTTATAATTAAAACTTACAGTTAAAATATGACAGATTCTGATTCTGATGGGAGTATAAAATGCATCGTAAAGAAAGCTATATCCTTACGTGTTGGCAATCCTTCTGTGGAATTTAAATCTGGATGTTCAGTTATTGATGTGATCTTTCCTGCTGCAAAAGTAGTTACGGTATTGTATATCAGCAGTATATTTCAGTATTTATGTTGACTGACTTGATTTAGCAATGGTTGTTGACATTGTCTACCTCCTCCGCAGGCCCTTTTCGGGCTAATATGGCGGGCGGTAATATTTTTCGCAGGTATTTCCCGAAATCGCCCGATATGCTCCCTAGTGCCTGCAGAGGAGGTGGTGACATTGTCATTTATACTACTATCAGTAACTATCAGTGTCGATATATAATGATGGCAAAGACACTATAGTTAGCATCATGAGTAGACAGGGTAATTATTTTGAGGCCTAGCTTTACTGTCATGGGGCCCCAGGCCATCTTGACAGTCCTCTAGCTGACTGGAAAATGTACAAAAAGCTTGCCTGATATAAAAAAATGCTAGAAAATAAATAGAGGACCTAAAAATATCTTTAATTTATATATATTTTCCACGCTATGACATTCCTGATCATCCTAACAACTAACATAGTCCCTTTGTGACCATGATTCATGAAATCATTACCAATGACTTCTTACCAACATCATAAAATCATTTCTATATTACAACCACAATTACTCAACTCTTTCAATTAGAAACTATCAAAAGCACTACCACGATTAACATGCACTCTTAAAATATGCAGCCATCATTAATTATCAAAACCTGCCTTAATGCATTGATTATCATCATTATTTAATCTAGCTTTGTATAATTTGTTTGATTTCAAGTACTGTGCTTTGAACTTTTTCAGATTGGTTGTATTTCATTTGTGAACAACTACACTGCTTCAATGAGTATCAAATACAAAACATCTGGTAAGTTCAACAAACAAATATTTCAGTAATATGCATCATTGTGATCAGTTGAAGGCTTGTCATTTTCAGCATTTCTTGAAACTTATTTGTACAATTTACTCTGCAGATGACACATGGAAAACATGTTTGAAAAATTTTGTGTTAATGCCATCCCCACATTGTGAAGAAGGAAGCCAAAAAATGTTCAGTGTCAAAGCAGACCAGATGCTTTGTTCAATAAAAGATGCTGTGTTAGTTCGACTTGTGCTCAGACAACCATCACCTCACTGGCTAAACTTTTCTCTTGACAATCTCACTTTTTCACCACCAACTAAGGTGATAATAAATATAATTACAACTTTAGGGTTTTGTTTATAATTGTATAACTAAATGTTGGTTTTGATTCAAATAACTAATCTTCAATACACCTCATAATTGTCCTACAAACTGCTATTATATTACAAACTGGTATTATATTATTTAGATAAGTTCACATCTAACAGAAATTCTTTCTTCAAATATGGACAGTGAAAATTTTGATGATGAAGAGGTACTTTATTTTAGAGGTTCAAAGGGTCTTAATTTCAAGTGGAATTATACACACTTTAACAGTTGATGAAAAATGAGTCAACTATCGGTCCTCCAGCCGGAATCGAACCTACGCTTTTGCAATGCCTGTGTGTTGAAGCTCTTGCCATTGAGCTACAGAGGTAGCTGACAAGAGCAAGCGTGGTTAATGTGTATATGGTGGTAATGCCAGGAATATGATTTTTTCTTTTACCTTCATTCGATGCAGGTAAATTGAAGTGCCAAAAATCATCATTGATTTACCCTCACCTATTCCAACCATTACCACCACACACACACACACATATTAACAACGCTTGCTCTTGTCAGCCAGCTACCTCTGTAGCTCAGTGGCAAGAGCATTGCACCGGCATCGCAAAAGCGTAGGTTCGATTCCTGCCGGAGGACCGATAGTTGACTCATTTTTCATCAACTGTTCCTGGCTTGCATTTGAAGTGTGTATAATTCCACTCGTACTGTATTTCAGCCTGTTCGTTTTAGTAATTTGAGAAGCAAAATTATGTCTCATTTGCTCTTTCACATGCTCCATAATGCTCATTTTGCAAATGCAAACTATAGAATTTAAATGTGGTTGCAATTTTTTGCGTCATCCTAACACTTAAGGGACGATCCAACGTAATGCGCGATCAGCCCCAGGACTCTGAAAATTACTATAATTGATTGTGTGTGTGTGTGCGCGCTTACACTGGCCCACCAACTACATTATTTTTTCCTCAATTAGGATGAAAACAGAAGAGTTGTGGATATTGCTAGCAAACTTCAACAGCTGTGGGCTCTCACTGAAGCGACGGCTGCAAATGAAGGAAAAGATGAGGAAAGCCATTTTGATGTAAGCTAGGGCTCGTGAAAGTGAATTATGTGGGTTATATTCTAGGATTTCGATCTAAAGGCCTGTTTACACTTGCGATTTTTGCTGCAATTTTCTTCTTTTGATAGATGTGAAGGAGTGAATTGGTTACGGATGTTCAAATTAATTAATAGGAGCTCGTACATATCAGTGCATTCGTAACTTATTACTCGTTCACATCTATCAAAAGAGGAAAATGCGTGTAAACGGGCTTTTAAAGAGGTCAGAAATTACTTTCATACCTAGATTGACGGATGCTATGATCTCAACTTGTTATCCTACACGTAAACATCGTAATCGGAAAGTGCAAGAAACGAAAGGTACACTAAACTAAATTATATCATTCGAAATAATTTGTATATGAACCGCTCAATCAGTTTTGAACTGTTCTCCCGAGGTCAGCGATTCAGCCTTCACTATGTATTAGCGATCATGCATGATTACTAGTCACAATCCTGGCAGCAATCTTAACACGATTGTATAAGAACAACATCATGCATTGCAATATAGGATTTATCATTTATATTTGTATATTTAACTTACTTCATTTTTTACATTAATAACCTTCACTTAGACTATATAATATATACAATTTCTATCATTAAATAAGCAGCGAGTTTCAAAAGCTACGTCACCAAGTCATGTTCATGTTTCCAGCACGTTATTAAATATGAATAATTAGGCCTTGTGAGCGAATCGTAGAGATTAAAGATTAACTTTAATCCGTCGCTAGATCTGTTCGCAGTAGCCCGGTTAAAACTACCTTTTCCAGTTTTGTCAAACTAGTTTTAGGCAGGAATAAAGCAGATGTATTTCCGAAGTCGGTAACTCATCTTCTTCCTGCCGTTCAAAGTGTTTTTAATGGCGCTTTCAAAAACTTCATTTACTCCTTCGCCTTTTAAAGATGAACACTCCAGAAAATCAGCCGCTCCAATTTTCTCTGCCATCTTTTTCCCTTCCTCGAAGGAAACGAAATCAGTCTCATTTGCGTTTTCAATGTCCGAATGTCTGGCTGCCTCGCTACGCAAGTCCTTTTTCAAGCCTACTAATATCACAGGTACTTTGGGACAGTACCATTTCAATTCTGTGTGCCATTTTGTTTCAATGTTGTCGAAACTCTCGCGTATATCCATGGAGTAACAAAGCAGGATGACATCGGTATCCGGGTAGGACAAAGGTCGTATACTGTCGTAATCTTCCTGGCCAGCGGTATCCCATAGTACGAGCTCGATAGGCTTGCTGTCGTATGTTAAGTACTTCACGTAGTTCTCAAATACTGTCGGCACATAGTCCGAAGGAAACTCTTCATCTTTAAAGACCATCAGTAAACAGGTTTTTCCGGTTGAACCATCTCCCACTATGGTCAACTTAATACGTTTTGGCTTTGGTGAAGTCATATAGAATATATCTAAAAGGAAAAATATGCTATTTGTTAGTTGGATGAAGATACCAATTGACTTTATCATTGTGCCAAACTCTAAACTGTTGTCTGAATTTCGTCAAATGATAAATTTTTCTTCTTTACATATAATTACATGTACAGTGCTTTTTAGTTTAATTCAATAAAGCGAAATATTGAATGCCACTGGAATAGGTCAGAATTGAAACCAAGCCATCGGGCAAAATTGATTAAGGGTAAATTGATTAAGGGTAAGGTTAATTTCGCAATTTCCCACGATCCAATATTTCAGTTTCAATTCTTCTTTGAAAATCCAGACCAAAATTCACCAAAACGATGCTCGAAACCGAGGCGAATTCGATATAATAGTTTAGTTTTCTAGCACACACAAGTTGTCTTCTGGGAGAGAATATTGAAACCTCGATTTAAACAATACGAGCATTCCTGGGGAAACAATAACAAAACTTTGAACTGTTGGAAAGATACTATATCGAAAGTAGTTTTGAAGTGTTTTTTTGTGTTGCACTTCAAATGCCACACGTGCCCCGGAAAGCCTTATGAAAAACACGAAGGTGAACACAATAATCGGAAACTGTACCAATACCATGCTGGTATTTTGGGATCAAAAGCTCTTTCCTATAAGTGCTACAAAACGTAGCCAAAATTTACAGTTACCCGCCCGAGTGATACCGTTGCTAAGAATAAATGCTGATCAGTAAAACATTTTCTGTTCCCATCCCAAACTTGGTTGTTTTCAATTACTTCCTCCAAAAGGCGGGAAGGTAGCAACTGTTGAATCTGACAGGATTACCAGATGAAAGTTCCTAAATGCTTTTGACAGAAATTGCATGCATGGTGTTTAGCGTGAGCATGGACAGTGTTTTTATCATTCACCTTTCGTCCTTTCCCGGCTGCATTTGTGTGTGCATGGGTATATAAATTTAATTTGGTAGAAAAGATTCTTTGGGGATTAATTCATTTCACACAATCGTTATAAGGCTTTAATATCAGTAGGAAACAAGTCAAAGAAATGCATTAATAATTTCTACCGTAATAGGCTAGAATGGATTTCCGTATTTCAACCCCTGTAATGGTTAACTTCCGCCCATATATTTTACCCAATATAACATAGTCAATACAGTCAATAGCGTTAATTGGTCCAGATTCACGCAGCAAAATTCGCGATTAAATTTGTTCATAATTTTAAAGCTCTGAGTTCATTCATTCATAGTCTTTCGCTGGAGCTAGCGCCCGAAACCCTACTTTTTTTCATACATCTATGCAATCTCACTCAGTCTATAGTTTTCAAAGGTCAGTGCAGCGTATATTAATTGATTATCCCTCGAGTACATGTCCAACATCTATGTATATATACTATTTGAATATATAGCGTACCTCTTCAATTAAAAGTTTAGTAAAACTCTAGTCTAGAGCCAAGAATTAGTGAGGTGTAAAATATATTCCTATACGAGTTTTGTCTTTTAATTGTTTACAGCTAGGTCATGCTTAAAAATAGAAGAGTGACTCATTGTTCATTTTGCAAATATTTTCAACATTTTTAAAATAGCCAATTGCCTATCTAGGTGAATTATCTGTCGGGTGATTATACCTAGGTGTCGGGTGATTTCCTCATTTTCTCTATATAGGATAGGCAAGGCAAGCATTTTTGTCGTCATTTTCACGAAACTACCTTAACATGCACACTGATATTTGTACCCTGTCTAGCCCGGCCGCTTAACAGATGACATGGAAATATGTTTTGGATATGAATATTTGATCGCGTCAAAGTATAACTTCGGTTAGAAGTGTTTTAACGAAATTCGTGCCAGCGAGGAAATGTTGACAGCGCCTGTATTATTTTTATCGTTTTCACCTCGCGTGTAATCAGCAGTTCTCTTGAAATATCACTGTCACTGTCAGCAGTTCTCTTGAAATATCGCCTATCACTGTCACTGATCTATAGATCCGCAGAAAATACGCAGTACTTTCTCGAGCAGTTTTTACTGGATGCTTATATACCTGGGCGGAAGCCACTTAAGATGAAATCTTCAACGTTATATAATTAAAAATGTTCTATCTCTGACTGTAGCTAGGCGTTTCGTTGCTCGTCAAAACTGATAAACAACACGCCTTGTTGACTATGAATTATGTTGAAAGCTCAATATTAATCATTAATATATTCATAAGAAGTTAAGTTGAGAAAAACAATATTTTTGAATACAAAATTTTAAGATTACATTTAAACCCTTTGGATTTATAGCATGCTTGCATATGTAATGTCTAAGAGGTAATATGTAAACAATTCAAGAGAAACCTATATTGCAACTGTTATTTTGTGAGTTACACGTCATATGACATGTATATATATAGCCATAGGTATGTTCTTCTTAATTATTATACATGCAACAGTTCAATTTCTGCGTCCTAATGTGTTTTTTTTTCTAAACGCATATAGCCTAAAATGACGCTATATATATATACATGTACTACGAAATATAAGCCCAGTATTCCATTACTGTTAACTAAAATTTACTTTATTAAAGCGTATCGATATATCAGGTCAAAAGAAAGCTGTATGCAAATCGCATATTTAAACTACAGTTTTTATCGCTTGTGCTATAGAAAATTTGTTTCCACTCTGAGTGTATAGTCCAGTATATACATTTATATTAACGGTATTGCATCTTGGTTTGAGAGCCATGATCGAGTGGGTAGATATCCCCCATTTTAGTGAAAAGGCGTTTCGTATTAAGGGTTTTAACAATGTAGAGTCTGATCTGTATTTGAATATTTGATTTGCTTTGTCTTCTGTAAAGAGCTGCATGCATGTTCATGCATAAAAGTCGGTCTAACTCTTTTTTTCGCGTCGCGTAACTTGAAATAAAATTGCATTTCGCAGACGCTTTACGTGTGCGCAAACTTCATTTTAAGTATTTTTTTAGCGAGGTCACTAGGGGAATGTTTTCCTGTGTAATGTCTCACTCGTACATCAACAATCACCCGGTATTTCTTTTTATATATATAGTTCCATGGCTTACAGTGACTTATAAGGTTATAAATATACTATACAGTCTATACTTGCTCTTTATCTAGGTTCTGTCGTGGTCGCAGACAATCAGAGAAAGATTCTGACTTAGTTTTTTAATCATCTGGTTATACGTGGAGTATTCCGGCTTTCGTGTTCAGTTTCTTGGTATTTCCTTGTTTGTCAAAAATGCGTGATAGTCGCGAGAAAAGAGATATATAAATTTAGATAGAAACAACAGGAAGACCCCTTACCGAACGTCAAGCGAGAATAAGATTAAGGAACAAAAATATACATCCTTTAAATATAGCTTCAGAACATCTGCTGTTAGATGTTTTGTGTAAATTAAGTGCACCGGTTTATTCCAAACGAAACGACAAATATGAATTTCTACATTCACTTCACAAAGCAGTAAATTGTCGATGTATATTAATTTGCAAATATATAGAAGTTGAAACTTAAAGAATTATGAATTTCGCAAAAGAGATCGCTAACTGCCATGCATATACATGACTTGTGTATGAACGCAACTTGTTGTGTATATGATAATGTCTGAGTTCTTCAAGCAAAGACGTCTCTACTTGTTAGACAGGGCCGCGTTTTCATCACGAGAGACGGAGAGAGTCAGAGAGAGATTTCAATTCGCTGAAATCCCTGTTATATATAAAAGCTCAGACGGACAAACTATATATACATTGCATGCTTCGCTTAAATCTAGAGTTTCGTATCGATTTATATCTGTATACCGTTCTGTAGATTCTACAGTGTAGATATATAGTTGAAAATGTTTATATTAATACTAATACTAAACTGGTAGATTAGTAATAAATTCTATATGATATATATACATATAACTAACCACAGTCTATATATAAATATAGTTAGAACACTGCCACATACCTTATATGTTCAAACTCTAATATAGAAAATGTGCAATATATACTTTTATTTCTGCTAAAACGCGAAGATGCGTACACGTTGGCAAATACTTTCAAAATAATTACACCAGCTGGCAAAAAATTCTTTATATATTCATGTCTCCGGATGTGACTAAATATAGGGGGCTTTTGTCACGAATAATTATTTTAATTTTCACAAGCATTACGTCATTTTAAAAGTCATGTGCAAAAGAGATTTTATTAACAATATATTGTACATCAAATAGGATCCAAAACTGCAATGTTTTAGATTTTTCTTCTCGTTTATATCTATACTAGAAAGACCTTCAACAGCTAAAATCTTAAATGATTTTCTTTTTGTATTATTTCGACGAGAACTAACGAAATAAAACTTTGATTTCTTGTTTTGTTTTATTTTACGAGTTACGTTCATGCATGTGGTGAGTGACGTATTTTCGATGGACGGATGTTTAAAACTTCCCCTTTCAATCTGTTTCATTTTCGAGATTTTCGTTGATTTGACAGGTTATTATTATATATATAATGAAAAAAATATTCAAATGAAATAAAACTTAGAGTTGCCTCGCAGTAAAAGTTGATGTATAACTGTTGTTGGCTGTTGCAACATGACTCTTCGCTGACAAGAATATTGTGGCGGATGCACGTTTTCACTAACTTTTTAAGGCATTGTTTAGCATCATTGTTTACATGCACGATATCAAAACCAACTGAAATCAATTCATGACTTATTCAGCTGTTTTTTTATGTGCATCACATGGCCCACGATTCGTACACGTGATGCAAATAGCTTCAATCGTTGTTAAAAAAAATTGATTTAATATCGGCGAGCCTCTATTTGCCGTCATTGACATTGTCGAATTTATCTCTTTAACGAACGGTCTATAGCATTGCAATGATTGCATACATGTGTAAGATGCATGTGGAGGGTATCTGAGATATCAGAAGGAAACAAGCATGTTTTGTCCAGATTGCCGTCAAATTTTGACAAAACAGTTAGCAACTTAACAGGTAAGTTTTGCTGGTTGTGTATCAATTCTTGACCAACTTTGGTTTCACAGTCAAATTACGTGCATGCTTTCATGAATATGCGAGACAAATGATTCCGACATATAATAGTCGAGTTACCGTAGCTACATTATTTCTGGATCATTCTATTTTCATCCGCGGCAGTAACACTGAAATATTTAAAGAGAATGTTTTAATGTCGGCATCAATTCACTTCAAACTAAGAGAACTCTACGTGGTATATATAAAGAGTTTTTAGTTTCCATTAACTTTCCTTCCATAGTTACACTGTGCATCAATAAAGGGTCGGATGTTCAAAGCATATAAACTTTTTAATGATCGTGATTAGATTCAATTTACATCTACTGTTGTCAGTTGTATCGAGGCGTAGTCAATGGATTGTCTTCCTACGATAGACGGGGGCGTAGAAATGTGGAGGAGTAGGTTATATCTCAAAGACATGCATGCTCATGTGAAAGGTCTTTGTAATATAGAGCATCTACTTAGAATGACTCTTCGTAATTCGTATTGCTCTTTATGAGTCTTACAAAGGTTGCAAATACAGTCATCCTAATTCCTTTCAGTTTCAATCGTGATTTTTATCTAAAAGATATAAATTGACGGATTTCTCTCATTTTAGCAACACCCACACAAAGAAAACTAAAAATATAAATAAGGCTTCATTGACACTTCCTCGACTTAAATCGTGCCGATTTTCCCTTTTGCCCCGCAGATGTTAATTATGAAAAACCTTGGTGTATATTGATGTTGTTATGTCAATATAGCTACGTTGGCGTACGTGTATTTGCGATATCATTAACCAACATTTGGATCGCGTGATAAATTGCTACATCTAAACATGTCTTTCGGCAAGCTAAAATCGGATCGGGTAGATAATTCTTTTTAAAAAATTAAATAACGTAGGAATAGGCCTGTGTTTGTTTGGGTTCTAAACCTTGGCACGGAAGACAATTTAACTAGTACTAGTAGTTAAAATTGCTTATAACACATTTCTCAGTGGCGTCACGTGCTACGATACTTCGATTTCAAAAACAGTTGTATTATGATGTAATTTCGTCCATGCAAGCAAGTCGCAGTTATTCTCGATAGATTATGTGCTTGTCAGCTATTATTTCAATCACTTCTAACTAAACGCAAAAATTATCAAGCAGCCACGCCCAGTTCTCCTACTACTAATAAAGGTGGCATCTTTACAGCCACCTATGAGTTATGATCCAAAATGGAACGCCAATATCGATACTGTTCCACTAAAGTGTCTTAAGATTAAGATTTTGAGCCATAGAACGATTTTTAGGATCAAACAGGGAACGTTGCTAAAAATCTAATCTTCTGGCAGGAGTCGAACTTACACCTCAGCCTTGGCATACCATCAGCCTTGGTATAATGTACTTAACTTGTTACATTTAGCAGATGCATTTACGTGCATGATGACTTATTCATTTCAACTGAAACGTCTAGTTAGGCCAAAATAATGTCGATCAGAAAAATACCAAAGCAAATTGTTTGTGTCTAGACTGACATCACATGACATGACATGACAATACACGAATTTAACATGCATTATATCAAATTTGTGGTTAAGACTTGATATTCTATTGTACAGTTATGTAACGTCTTCAGTAATACCACGCTTGCATGAACCAAATAAATACGACACGATACATGGAGCCACTTCAGTCTTTTTATGACAAAATCTAGGAATTCCAACCATTCAATTTCTTCACCGCCTGGTAATTTTAGCGAATATTTTAGGGATCTTTTGCTAACTGAGATGGTCCTTTGATAAAAACGGGACAGCGGCTGTACGTAGGCTGGAGAGGGCTCCATTTACCCGATGGGGGAATTTTTTCTGTACTTCTGTTGTAGTTGTAGGTAAACGTTTTATTAACCACTAATCTCTTAGCACATCATTTAATTTATGCATATATTTTAAAGCATGTTCGTAAAGTTAAAAAAATTTAAATAGTTTTCATTCCTAATATAAGAAACATTTTTCAGAGCATATATAATCCTCTTAATGGCCTTGTCTCGATCCCTAGATAGGTAATGTTCTTTAGTAACTTAGGCCATTTTGAGGGTTTTTGAACATATATATACCATGCACTAGCTATACGTTGCTTGTTTTTCTACTTAGGCCCTTAGTTCCCTTAGTGTGTTTCAATATATTTTGTAAATTGTAATCAGCAGTCGATCTCTATTATCTCACAACGTATAACTTTCATAACGAAAGTGAAGTCATGCATTCATATCTTGGTTCAACGCGACACATGTTTATGATAATATGTTGCTTACTGGGAAAATAACAATGAAAAGTACTTTGAAGCTTTCTTAACAGGAAGAACGTGCTTCGAATATGTGCATAAATTCCATCAGAATTTACAACTTAAGAGATCTAGAATAGTTTTTAACAACTTCTGCTTTATTGACGTAGTATTGTTTCCTTGTTTGTTCGTTAGTATAGCATTTTGTTGAATTACTTGAATAAAATTTCAATGCCACCAAGGCAACATCATGCACATACTGATAATTTTTTTCCAAACCTGAAATTTACTCAAATTTTGAATGAGTTTCAATGCATGCATGCTCAATATAGAAGAGTAAAAAGACTTGCATGTATTGTAGGGTGAAATCGTTGTTTTCAGGTTGGATTCGACTTCATCGCTATGACTGTCTATGCATGTATATACAAGTTATCAGTGTAATAATTGCAACGCCCTTTATGTGATATCGATTAGATTTTTTTGGAATTGACGCACCACTGTTTGTTTGGCTCCAAATTCTCCTATAGTTTGAAACTAGTATACTAGAAGATTAGGCCTAAAGGCTGAAACACCTGACCGGTCTGAATCGATCAAACTAGAAGGCACCGAATACGTATTACGTAACTATAGCAAAATGAGCATGCATGTGCATCTGACTTCGACAAACTGAGCGTTATCATTCAATGTTTACATTATTTGTTCTTTGTGGGATACAAATCACTATGATTTAAAATATCCAATATAACTTTAGAGTCTGAAAGAGAAAACAGTTATAAATATGTGTGAAATTTGTGTGTCTTTTTCTAAAAATAATTATTGTTTCCGTTGGCAGCCCACACATTGAATCACCATAACTAAACAATCAATCAAGTATGAAATATTTCGAATATTTTCAGTAATCCTACATATAATATAAACGTTTGAAGTAACTTTGGTTGAAGCTTTTAAATGTGTACGGAAAATTTCAACTTGGATAAAATTCGGGTCGCCGTGTGTTAGATATGTTTGGTAATGATTGGGAATTTGGTATCAATAATTGGATAGTTTGGCTAGTCTTGACTGTCTTTGCAGTTTACGTGGTTGTTCAAAAGCGATTACAATGGATGAAATTACCACCCGGACCATGGGGTTTGCCTGTTATAGGTATCTCATGATCTGCAACATATACCTGATAAAATTGTCTAAAACGAAATTCCCCCTTGTTCAGTAAAGTACGGATAACGTGCGCACATACCAATCTTTTAGGGAGAACCGCTACTTTAGTAGGTTGGATAAAATGGAAATGGTTTTGATTTTTTTGTTTCTTTATTTTTAGGCTCCCTTTTTTGGCTTGGATTCAATCCTCATCTCTCGCTTACGAAGCTTTCCCAAAAATATGGCGACATCTTTACGATCACCTTCGGAAGTTATAACTCGATTATTCTGAACAGTATCGACAGCGTCCGTGAAACCCTCGTGAAGCGTTCGCGTGTGTACGGTGGACGTCCGCAACTCTACTCGTTCACTGAAATTCGTGCAGGTCTAGGAATTCTATTCATAGACCAAACTCCAAAATACGAACGACAACGAAAACTAGCGATTAGATCTTTGCACCGCACCTTCTATGAAGCTAAAAATCTGGACGTGATATTGAATAAGGAGGCTATAAAACTTTTAGGCGAATTTTCCAAACTGCAAAGCGAACCTTTCCACCCGAAGGGATTGTTGAGGCTTTTAGCTGCAAATCTTATACTGAAATCGTTTTTTGATGCAGATTTCGAGTTTAATGGTCCAGAACCACAAGAGGTTGTTGAAATGGTGGAAGATTTCACAAAAAATACCAGCCCTGTTAATCTTTCTGATATCGTACCATGGTTGCAATGGTTACCTATTGGTGACTTCTCGAAGATGCGAAAAATGTTTCAAGATTTTGTTGCCATGCACGAGCGTTTTTATATATCTACCAGACGAACTAGAGTACCTGGAGTACCAAGGAGTCTTACTGATGCATTATTGGATAACTTACCGCTGTACAATAAAGGGGTTTTGGGCACATGCTCAGAAATTACCGAGACGGACTTGGTTTATGTGTTGGCAGATTTAGTCGGGGCTGCATTTGAGACAATCGCCAACACGTTGAGTTGGGCAATAATGTTAGTGGCAGCACATCCCGATTGGCAAATCATGTTACAGTCGGAACTGGACGCTGTTGTAGGTAAGGATCGCTTACCAAGTTTGGAAGATAGGAATGAACTCCCAACATTAAACGCCGCCCTATATGAAGTACTGAGAATGAGTTGTGTCGTGCCAGTCTCCTTGCCTCACTCGACGACGGAAGACACCCAACTTCGAGAGTACAATATTCCCAAGGGAACTTTTGTATTTTTAAACATTTGGGGAATTCATCACGACCCGAACTATTGGGAAGCACCATACGAGTTTAATCCCGGGAGGTTTTTGCATGGAGACGGAAAGTTCTTCGTACCCAGACATGAGAGTTTCATTCCGTTCTCGACGGGTGGAAGGTCGTGTCTTGGCGAAAGATTAGCTAAGGATGAAATATTTGTCTTTCTTGCAGCAATTGTTCAGCGATTTCATCTGCGTCTAGTAAACAATGAAAACGTTAATGATTTTAATGGAGAGTATAGACTAACTCTTGCACCGAAACCTTATCTGCTTCAAATTAATGAAAGGCGATAGGAAAATGGTTTCCTGGTTGTTCTCGGAACCGTACTCCGATTCTTGTACACGCGCAATTTTAGTTTCTTAACACCTCGCCAAATGATTTGTACATGTAAAATGCACCAATGAAATAAATCAATGGGCGGTTTCCTTTGAACGGCCAGAATGGTCAGATTGGTCATATTTTGAATAGGATTTTCATTTTCCGTGCTAGGCAAATATGAAATATAGCTAAACGAGCTAAACGATATACTTGAATGCAAATATATATGCAAAATGTCAGATTACCAGTAATCTGTCCGGTCTGGCCGTTTTTACCGTGACAAAGGAAAGCGCCAAGTTATTTATAATTGTAACCTGAAAGATATGATAATTTTTAAGTAATTACAGATAATAAAGGTTTATTTTAACGATTAAATATTACGCGCGATTCATTGGATTAATTTTGTGGTACTAAACTGAGCGAAATTAACCCGGGTAGAAGGATGGGATTATTCCCAGACAGTCTTTAATTTCGAATGTAATCATTTATATCATATTACCAGGTTATTTATAAACAGACTATCTTTCTTTTTTTGAGCGATAGAGAAAGAATTTTATATTATTCCTCTAGCTTTTCACGAGGACGTGGACGTCAAAGAGGTGAAGTGGACGTCAAAGAGTGGACGTGAAAAAAGTGAACGTCAAAGAGGACGTCAAAATGGGAATAAATCGCGTGATGCGTCTATATATAGACATTGCAACGCCATTTATGATTTATCTTTTTTGGATGGACTCCGACGGTTTTCTCTATAGTCTTCTTTATCACACCACACTTCGACGGGCTCAGACGCAATAAATCCACTTCTTTCAACATCCTATCTCAACTCTTCCTTTTATCGTCTTCGTGCATAACTTAAATTTTCCAAATACGGATGATCTAATAAAGTACTACACGACACCATGAACACTCGTTCGTATTGTTCGTATGTTTACCGAATGTCCGGCAACGAAAAAGTATACGGCACTGCATGAACATCGGGCATAAGCAGCAAAAAAGAAAAAGAGGCCTGGGGTTTTGACCCATAATCTTGACCTTACGTTTAATATGGCTTATTTCCACATTTAATGGTCAAGGACTCAAGGTAAAAAAATATTTTTATATTATTTACATGTTGAAGAAGGATGTTTTGCTTCTTTGGACGTAGCCAAAATATAACCCGAAAGTTAATAAAGAACGTGAATGACATTTCATTAGAAAACAGTCAAATTACCCTAAAAGGTTTCTCGCAATCAGGCGCGTTTAGGGGGGCGACCCCGTGAGAAAAAATTATCAGGAGGGGTAGCACAACATTTAATATTAACTCGGTGTATTATCAAAGTGTATACAAAGATGGCAACTTTTCATGAGCAGGTGCAAAAGGCACTTTTAAACGTCGGCATAGGAGCAGCCAGTGTTTTAACTGTAATTTCAATCTTTCTTATTAAAGGAGTAATACACACCACATTTCAAACACCTAAAAAGCGTTCAAAGAATAAAGAAAATTCAAAATATATCCATTTGAACGATGAAATTTTATCAAGATTTTCGAAGGCCATTCAGTGTGAGACGGTGTCGTATAGCCAACACGAAACCGAGGGACCATCGTGTGCGCAGGAACTGTTGAAACTCCATGCAGTTATAAAAGATTGTAAGTATATTATAAAGCCTTGGCTAGAGACACAATTGGTGTATCAAATCGACCCTGTGCAATGAATTTTGAAGAAAGAAATTTCACATGTCATGTATTTCTTTTAATTTAGTATCCCCATGAATCACCTGAAATGCAATAGACCCTCTTCGGTTTAAGTGCTATCTTGCAGGGGGTAACAAAGTTATAGAAAATTGAATGGCAACATGCTAAGGTGGCACTTATTATTGCATAATGGTTATCAATCATGCATGTCACCATCCAATTTCCTATTTTGCTGTCTCTGCAAGATATTGCATACCATTGAAAATTTTTAATAGTATCTATTGCATTAGTGAAAGAGATGCATTTCAGTTAAGTATCTAAAATTATGATTCAATAATTCCTTACTAAAGATCTTTATTTGTGAAAAAAGTTATTTGAGAAACCATTTTTTTCCATGGTCACTCACATTGTTTATTAAGCTCACAATTATTACTTTATAACTTGCTAAAAGCAAGAATGAAGGAGTCCAACGCAGTTCAAACCAAGGCAAGATATGCTTTACAAGACGAAATTTAATAAAATATTTTTTTCACAAAATGTGCTCATGGAACCTACATCACCCACCACACCCGATTCACCACACCCGATTGGGGCCCCAGGAGTGTGTGAGAAAGTAACACACAGTGAGGGTCAATTTTTTCAAAAAATTTATAGCATTTCCACATGTGCATTTATCTCCTCTGGTTCAATGTGATGTGATCAACAAGTATAGCTTATTATATACCATCAAAGGGAGTGATCCTTCGTTAAAACCATATCTGCTAATATCACATTTGGATGTTGTGCCAGTCAAGGATCAGACTTGGGATGTACCACAGTTTGAGGGTCTTGTAAAAGATGGCTATATTTGGGGGAGAGGAACACTTGATGTCAAAAATGGTGTCATGGTGTGTTTATTAAGTATATATACTCAAAAATATGCATTCAAGCCAAGGAAGGTTATCAATTAAGTCTAATAAGTCTAATTTGTTTTCTGCAGGGGTCTCTGGAAGCACTAGAGTTTCTTTTAAAATCTGGTCATTTGCCAAATAGAGGTTTCTTCCTTGCATTTGGACATGATGAGGAGGTAAATTGATGTATTAGGAGTAAAATATGATTAGGAATGTGCACATTTAGATGTAATAAATAGGCTTTACATAGCTTTTTTTGTTTAACCTTTTTTACCATTGATTAACTATCTTGATCAACCTAGTCACAATCACCACTGCTACATAATATCATCCAATTTGAATGAATCACCATGAAAAATTTAGTTTGAATGCATTAGATATTTGGTTGGAATGGAGCTGCTTATATTGTCAAAGAATTAGTAGCTCGTGGTGTGAGTCTGGAATTTGTTCAAGATGAAGGCTTAATGATAATTGATAACCTGTTTCCAGGAATAACAGCACCAATAGCCTCGTATGTATCTTGTTTTTGAAATGTCTAAATATTTATCTTGATTATCTTGTCAGTGCAAGTTATCATTTTGAAACTATTTCCTGTTAGTTTAACACCTGTATAGTATATAGTATATATATATTTTTAAAATTTATGATAAATGTTTTGAATGTTTAGTATAGGTATTGCAGAGAAAGGTTCAATATCATTAGAATTGCGAGTCGATACAGCTGTTGGACATGCCTCTATGCCACCTAGAGAAAGTAGCATTGGCATACTTTCTAAAGCTATTACAAGGTGTGACAATACATACAATCATAGATGAGTTACTCCAGGCACAATTAAAGCTCTGGAGCTAGGGTTAGGGTTATCCACCGTATAGTGATTTTTTTAATTCCTGTAATGAAATTATAGATTTAGATAACAGTTGTGAAAGTGGATAATCAATTTAGGAATACTATTTATAAAGTTTAATCAAAGCTATATCGAACAATAAGATATTATAGAGTCATTGAAAAAGCTTCTATCCAGTGGATAACGCTATCCAGCTTTCTTACAACTGGCCGCTGCCTCATAACATAGTTGGTACCACTCATACTTAAATGGTCATTTCTTGTTAAGGATTGAAGGCAATCCATTACCTTCAACATTTGGTTGTGGACCAGAAGTTGATATGCTCTTAGGAATATCTCCTGCAGTATGTTTGTTGAAATTAAAGATTTATTTAAAGACTTATTTAATATTGTCAAAGTTTTGTGTATTGCTAATTACAGATACCACTTCCATTGCGGATTGTGACCTCAAACATGTGGTTCTTCAAACCTCTTCTTGTTTGGTAAGTATTAAAAAACATGACCAGCCGACAATTTAAAAAAGTAAAGTAAAAAACAAATTCTGAATAAACAGGACATCTTGAGAGTCAAAATATGAATCAAGCAAGACACAGGTTGAGACTGTAAATTTTCAACTTTATTTCAAAGTCATCTTCTGTCTGAGTGTATATAGTCATATTTTGACAACTCCTGACAACCATTTTATTGTTCTTATTTATCACACTAGTTTAATAACCCTATTTCATTTCCTCATCACACCTTATCAGTTATCACACCTCTTCACACCTTATCACACCTCATCACACCTAATCACATCAATTTTATAGCCACTATATCTATTTTTTTCCCCTTTATTTAGGATTTTAAGTAAAAACGTAACAACAAACGCGTTAGTTCGAACTACTGTTGCTGTTACAAAGATTAATGGTGGAACAAAGGCAGGTTCTTTATTAGAAAAATGCTACCATTATCTTCAATACCATTATAAAAATCATAATCATCTATTACTATCAGCATGATTATCATCATGACCATCGATCATCGTCACTGTCAGTGCCACGTTGAAGCGCAGATCGTACCAATTCGAGTCCAGGCAAAACGAACCAGTAGAAACAACTCTGTATAAACCTATTCCGTGACGGAACCCGGAACTGGGGGTGGGGGTGGGGGCTGATTCTATGAATCATGTGTATGTCAACATTCTCATCAATGCCTTTATAATCAATACCATCGTAATCATTCTGTCATCACAACCATTATCATCGCCATGATATAATATTATCACCATCAATGGTTCGTCATGAATCACTTTCAATAACTGTTTAGGACAATGTAATCCCAGCCTCAGCGACAGCGCATTTAAACATCAGAATTCACCAGGGTGATACCGTTGAATCGGTAAGAATTGCTTCAAAAAATTATTTATTGCATTAAAATTCATAGTGAAAGAAATAATTAGTTAAAGGCCTGTGCCTTTGTCGGATCTAATTCACTTCTGATGTATGGCTGTATGGCATGTACGGTTTTTTATTGATAAGGCAGTACTACATTGGCCTTAGTGTGAATTGGATCCGACAAAATTGGATCGTTTGAACACATGTTGACTCAGGCAAGTATAGGTTAACCTAAAAATCTCTCCATTTTTTTCAGGTTATTCGTCACTTACGTTCGTGTATAAATGATGATCGTGTTCAAATAAAGACATTGGAGGCACATTCTGAATCTCCGATTGCCTCTTGTGACAGCAAGAGTTTTGGTTACAACACCGTAGCATCTTCAATACTCGATGTCTTTCCAGATGTTATTGTGGCCCCAGGTATTTATTGCACTAGTGTGTATCGATAGTAGCTCGCTATTACGAAATTGTCTATACCCATTAAAAAACATGAACTTTTGTAAAGGGTGCGAACTCTCCCTGAGATTAACGTTTTATTTTCGGTACCAACTCAATTTCGTCAATTTTTCTAAATTTTTATAATATTGCTTGTCAGCCTGAATGAATTCGTAATCATTCAATCTTGAAGTTCCAGTTACCACATTCTCTTTACCAAGACAGTAAAAATGGATTATTTGTCGATGTCAAATATCTGTCAAATATATTATTGTTCAAAATGAGAAATGATTAGAAAAGATTTCTCGCTGTTTCAGGCTTACTGGTTGCAGGTACAGACTCCAAACATTTTCTACAACTGACGAGCGAAGTTTACCGGTTTATGCCATCACATATAAAAATGGAGGATGTATCGCGCATTCACGGCTCAAATGAACGGATTAGTGTAAAAAATTACGAAGAAACTATTAATTTTTACTATCGGCTTATGCTCAATGCGGATAAAGCAATGCTGTAGTTGTTTTTAATTTAATTTTCATTTCGATCATTCATTAATAACTGAAATATAGAAACCTTTTAATTCAAATATTACTATCAACGATATTATGGTTAATGCAGCAAGTCTTCTATCGGGTTATAATTATTTTTGCATGCATCATGCTTCATTCCAATATAGTAATTTACCAATAAAAATGCAGTATTGTACCTTGTATTGCGGAAAAAATAAAAAATTCAATTATTCCACGGATTTGTCGAATGGTGCATTTAGTCGCCGGCTGCCATGAGCGGTGACGAATTATTCTTTCAAATCATTCATTCACTACTGTCCTTATACTGTTCTTATGATATCGGTAGATATCCGGGTCAGACGAGTAAAAATGTACACACAATTGCTGGGTAATTTTTAGAGACGGAAATAATCCTCGCTACCATATCGGGTTTTAATAGCAGCTGTTCATATGAGCCCGCGGTTACCCGAGATTTAACAAAGTGTGAAATGATTTTGAGGTATCAAAAATAAGTCGTTTTTAAACCAGACAAGCACATGCTATTGTTAGGATGATTACAAAACTACCAGGATCATGTTATTTACTCATTTCAATACCTCAAGATGCATTTTTCGCTTCTTTAAACTCGGTAAACAGTCTCATGTGAACGGCCCCTTATTGTTGCATGTATCCGGGTTGCCCAACCATCGCCATCATCTTAAGGAATTTAATTCCCTCTACGGAGTTGATCACACGTTTGAAGAAGGTGATAATATTCGATGATTAGTACCGTGGAGCTATTTTTACATTAAGAGTTCCGGTAAAGCGTAGCTATAGGGTAAAATTTAAAAATGACGTTAGTAACAATCATGGCATTCATCTCTGTCATTTTTTTTCCGAGAAAAGCACGTTCAGTTTTTAGCGATTCACACACGAGATATTTGAAGGGCTGTTCACAATATTCTTTTTTGTTGAATCCAATCCACTTCTGATGGATGCTTTATAGTCTGATTTGGAATGTATATGAGTGTCAAAACAACTAAAACCAATGCAGTACTACTTACAGAAGGCATTCCATCTTCCCATACGTCAGAAGCGAATTGGATCCAACAATTGGGCCGTGTGAACATATGCAGCCTTAAGGCGGTTAATTAGGCTGAATTTTTGATCGACTTGATTTCCTTTCAATTATGACCGATCAAGGGAATCCGCTACGGTCGATTTCTCACAAAATGAATAAAAGAATTTCGTTTGGATTTCAAAAAATCCAAAGTAACTTCTCTTCGCCACGGTCGATACTTATCCCAATTTTTTAAAAGATACCCGCCATAGCCGCCGACATCCTCTTGCCGACATCCATAAACATCCATTGCGTCATTTTCCCTCATCGCGCGCGTGACCACGCGTGGACACGTTAGCTGCCACGTGAATTAGTGGACCGCCGCCATTTTGCTATCACTGGCAACGAGGCGTTGAATGTACGTCAGTGTAATAAACCGCGTTGCAAGGGAAATTAAACTCAAAATATCGTTTTTTGTCCGTGAAATGTAATAAATTCCCCGTAGGGACCATACTCTGCGTTTGGAGAATTCATGAAACGTTCTATATTGTTACCGAGGCGAACATATCTGCAGTAGTTGTCGAGCAGTTCGGGTAATTTGTACTGCGAGGTAAGTTATGTTGTCTATATGTCTGTTCGTTTTGGCCTTACGCGAAGTGTTTCATTGTTGTATTTTGAGTTATTTGTTCACGTTGCGGTCGATAAGGTAAAAGAGTTTTGTTCTGGTGTTGTATAACTGTATTTTATGGCTTTTTTGTTGTCATTTTTGAATCTGAAAATGTTTGGATTAGCGATGAACGTATGGCATAGAATAGCTGTATCTCTGAGGCCATCTTGCAAGTTGTTGTCAAATATAGGAACATATAATCGCAATAAAATACTAGGTACATGTCGATTTTCAATTAGAAAACTACAGCATATATACGCTAGGAGACACGGTTGGTACTTTTCTATTTATAATAATTTTTTACCCTTTCTGTTTGTATTATTACCGTTCAGACACAAAAATCCATGTCATAATCCACGCGCTTTTATAATACACGATTGCCGTATCTCGTATCGCGGTATGAATGTATTGTAATACTACATAATACGCTATTTTATTCGCGAATAAGTCGAAAAATCAATAATTTCGCCGTTCGAGTTTAAATTAGGGTGTTTTCTCACGTTTCTGAAGGAAAATTGGATATTTGCACGAAGCCGATCGAGTTTCAATGGCGAATGATGAAATCCCACTACCCCCTTGGAATGTGTATCATTTTCGCCTTGAAACTCGATGTGTTGTTAGAAACGGTCTGTCCGAGTTATATTGAACCAATATGCTATAGGCTTGGCATGAAAACAACTACATTTCTCGTCTGGTTAAGAATGCAAGCATTTCTTTGCAATTCCAAGGTTTCGTGACCTGAACACAGCCATGAAAATTGCTATGAATATAAATAACCCAGCAGGCCGGGTGACTTGGTTTGTGGTTGAAACCAACGCTTTCTTGCCTCTAAAACCATACACATTGGCCGGGAAAAGAAGTAATATAATGCCAATAACTAACTCGTGTGGTATTGTTTTATACTTAAAAAGGCCTCTTGAAAATCGTAGCTTCGATTATAAAGCGAACAGACAATTTTTGTTTGTTCGCAATAGTATTACGGTTTCCGATTTCCTCTGAACTGGGAAGTTACAAATATTACCCGCTGGAATGAAAAAGTAGAACATTTTCGCAGGGTTGTATGATAACAATGATGGGAACTTCTAAATGCAAATCATTGATCCGTAGCGAGATAGTATCTTAGTATTTTGGTTTGAAGTCTTGGCAAATCGATATAATCACTATTGGGGTGTAAATTGGACAAGATATAATGGATGTAGAATACATAGCGAAAGTATTCAAATCGTGAATCGAAATCAACCTTTTCGAAAGCCATTTAAAGGCGGCAAATAAAATTACAGAACGATTTATTGAATTCATGAGTCGTTTTGAAATTTTATATTTGTTTTTGGATAGGCAAAATGTTTTATCAGCGGCGGTATAGTATTGTAACCACGGTAAACGTATGTTTACGAACCTTTACTAAATTTTTGCAGCTGGCTTGCGAGACGATATGCTTCTAAATTCTAAGCTGGAATTAAAGACTATAAACTTTCATCAATTGTACGAAGCCATATTTTGTTTTATTTGACGACGACGCCATTTTGAGTGTACGAAAACCTAAAAGGCAAACGGCGCTTTAATTACGAAATAGAATCTATATACATTACCCTACATTTGATTCTCAATCAATAGATGTTTATTAATACATAAACGTTATATAACTTGACGTGTATAGATAAAAACGTCGAGTAAAAAAGCATTATCCACTTATTTAACGAGGGAACGTAAGAATGCAATACGCTACCACAAAAAGCTTTTGTTTACAAGGCTAACCTGTTCTTCATAACACGTTTGTTATTACTACAAATTGTATATACTTGTCGCTTGGAATATTCACTGGTTTTTTAAAACCTATGGATTCCCATTTTATGTACAAAAATAAGACGTATAAAGGCTTAAAATAAGCCTGCGAATACCGGATGATAAACTATGACAAGTATTCCATGTACGTTCTAGTCATTTGAGAGAAATTTTATACAATAATAACAACAATACCATAGCTCGTAATTATTGTATTGCGTTATATATATTTGCAGGTAGCGCATTTGGCAGGGAATGCCTTTGCTTGTAGTGTACAATAATATATTTGGCTACGTGTAAAAGCTTCTTTTGTGTAAAATAGATATGATTCGGTTAAATTGTCTTGGGGATATTAAATATGGAAACGCATTATATCTTGCATTATTTTATGAGTCTCCCACGCAGACTATAAATTTGTAATGGCCTACCTTATGCAAACTAATACGCGTAAAAGGATATTTTACCGTATCGTTATTAATTTCACACATTTCCATACTGAATACTATATATATGGGAAATTTGTTACAACCCTACATGAGTAAATGAGTCATGTTTTTTTCAAGGCTTTTTAATTAGAACAGGCTATCACATTTTCGTGTTGATGACATCTGATTGGTCCAAATGCAGCCTTACCCCTGGAAACTTTAATGTATATTCTAATTCGTTTTCCAGTTCCTGTCACAGGATGATTGTTTTGGAAAACATATTTGACGCTGATTTTATCAGTTTTAGGTTTCTTGCAGAATTCATTTTACTCTTAAATTCTAAGCAATCCTAAACGTTTAAAAAAAACCGTTTTATTGATACCAAAAATATTGTAATTTGATGTGCCTCAGTTCTATGGGCTAAACTAGAGCAATATATGCTATTATATTAGTATTTGCGTGATATACCATTTGCCCCATAGTTCCTAGCATGTACTTGTTTGCCGGATGTATATCAAACAAAGGTCCTTATGTCTGTGGAGAGAGCTGCCGCTCCAAATCAATACGAGATGCTTCTCAGATCATAACAAGCAATGAGAAAGTGCAAATTTACAGTTCAATGTTTGGGGATTTACCAAATTGTTGGACTCACAGTGACTAGTAGATGCATTGTCATTTCTCAACTGTGGAAATGTATTAGATGAGTTGAGTTGGATGGGTGATTAGACTCGATTATAGCATGGGGATAAAATGTATAACTTGGCTCTACATTTAGATAGCCAGTTAATTGTAAAATTGTGTTTCAAAGGTTTTGATTCGGCTTGCCAGTTCTGGGTTTTATTAAATGCTATGATGATAGACATATTGGACATTTATAGATTATGACATTTTTAAAACAAATGTGACTGTGTAAACATACTTCCAAAAGGAAATAAATTTAGTAAACACTTTCTGAAATGCTAAAAACTCCAACGGGACAGTTAAAAGATGATGAAACTTTTAAAACGGACTGTCTTATCTATCATATATACAAGTTTTCACTATCTAAAGTGTATAACCACTCTTCCTTTTTGCTAATTGAATTTTTGTCATTTAATAACAACAAAAAATGTTATGGCATGTCATTTGTTAACAATGTTATTTTACAATAATTGATAATGCTCTAATTTTTTTTAAATTTCTCACCTGCTTATGTCCTATATTTTCAGACAATTATATTGGAAATACTTGCAATGAATATATTGGACGTGGTTGGTGTGTCAGCCATACAGATTAAGAAACAAGTGAAGTTAATTGTCAAAAAACATGAATGGTGATGTTTTGTTTCAAAATGCACAAAATTGCCTGACTATGGCTGCTGGCTCTGAGTAAGTTGTGTTAAAATGATTGTGTTCAACAAAAGGTCTGTAAATGTTAAAAGTCCTAGGTATTTGTTCATGTCGTTTTATTTGGCTGCCTGTCATCATATATTTGCCTCTATTTCATGTTATCAGGCTAATGTAAGATAAACTTAAAGAATTTCTAAGAACTAGTAGTGTAAGACCGATTAAGTTGATGAAAATTAGTTTACACTATTGGTTGAATGTTTCTAAAAGAGAGCCCTGTGAGTGCAAAAATGTAAAAATTTATCTTGTATTTGTATGCTCAGTCGGCAGCCAATCGAGTCATCTGTTGTACCTGTCTGTGGAAAGCCTACATCAAACTCATTGACAAGACTTCCTGGTGTGAGGAACCATATACCATATTCGGATCACAACTATGGCAAGCCATTGACACCACCAGACTCGTGCAGTCCAGATCACCCTGAGGAAGCTGATACTGGAAATGAAGATGAAGGATTTACAAGATGTATCTGGTAATTTGCATTTTCAATTGAGTATTTCGATTTTTCTATTTCAAGCAAGAAACTGTTTAAAACCTTATAAAATGATTGCTCTATGATAATGGACATTTGGAGAGCTTAAGAGGTTATTGCTGAAATGTATACAGTTTTAATCAACTGCAATTTTTAATATTTTTTGTAGTGGCTTTAAACATGATGATGGTTATATGATATGCTGTGATAAATGCAGTGCTTGGCAACATATAGAGTGTGTTGGCATCAAAAGCAACTGTGTTCCTGACACATATCTTTGTGACATGTGTCACCCAAGACCATTAGATACGAAAAGAGCAATACAGATACAGACTAAGAAGTTTGAAGAGCCAACAGGTAAATAGGAAAACACTGGGTGGTTGTGACTGAAATCATCTGTAAAATGACACATCCTTCGAAAACATCTCAGCCTTTTTATATATGACTGATAAAAATAAACCAACTACCCAGTATTACAAAATTTGTTGTGGTTAATCACAATGTTATTGTATGAAATATAGTGTGTGACTTTTATATATGACTGATAAAAATAAACCAACTACCCAGTATTACAAAATTTGTTGTGGTTAATCACAATGTTATTGTATGAAATATAGTGTGTGACTAAGATTAGGTTGAAAGACCATTTAAGACATAGGCTTATGAACTCCGTAAGAACTCCTTCGTCCCAATAAAATAAAACTGATTTTATGTCACATTACAAGTTCATTTTCATCTCCTGTACAGATGAAGAAGATGATGATGATTGTGATGTTAGTGACCATGACAGTGATAATGCAGTATCCAGAGTATCCTTGCCAAATCCAGCATCCATGAAGGAAAATGTCCTAACGAAAGGCAAAAGAAAGAAACGAGAATCGACAAGAAAGCTTAACCAAAAGGAGATGAAACATAACAAGAGAAAGGTAAGCCCATGCCCCAGCTTTTACTGTAGGATTTTGCAAAATTGGAGGAGATAGTTAACACAGTTTATGGTGATATGATTGATATTATTTACAGAGGAGACTTTGTAGAAGAACTATGATGTGACAAACATTTTTTAGTTCCTAAAAACTCTTCTTAAGCATTTTGCTGCACAAAAATTGAAACTGACTTTTATCTCTTAATTACAGAGACGGAAAAGAAAGCATATATCAACTGACACTATTCCAGGTATGAACATTCTGTTTAGCAATTGTGCTTTATGTTCACGTCAGGATGTGGTTTTTAACAGTTCTTTAAACTGTTAATTCTCTAGTTGATGAGGAGACAAATGGGCCATGGAACATTTTATCGTTTCCAGAGTAAGTGTGGAAAAAAGCATTCTACAATTTCGTTTCATGTGTCGGAAGGTTGCCTTTAATCTCTTATGTATTTATAAATTTTAGACACAAGCAATATGAGGAAGCCAATAAGACAGTGTTTATTGGAGACTTGGCAAATCATTCTCTTCCATCCTTGGAGGTTTTTATTCATATTAATATTCACCTCTTGATTGAGTTCGCAAACATTCAGATCCTATTATTGACACTGACTCAATGTCTACATATAAATTGTGTCATAAATATTTATTACGTTTGTACTTTTTCACAGTCCAATGCCAACAACATTCTGAAGCCAGAGCAGATATGTAAAGTTGTGTATGTACAGAAAACTAAGCAGGGTGTGGTGGTCACAGAAGACATCAATGGACAGCAGTTTATAATCGAATGCAAAGGAAAGCTTTTGTTAGAGACGCAATTTAAAGAAGACCATCCTATGTTCTCTAAGTAATGATAATAATTTTCTCTAAATATTTTATGTTCTACGGCATTCAAAGGACTTCGCTGACACTTGTCTTTCAAACTTTCAGGTGTGATCCGTTTGTTCTGTACTATACAACGGTTGAACCTAGGCTGGTAATGAATTTCTCTGATTATGGAAACGACGCACGTTTCATTCGAAGATCCTGTACACCAACCGCAGAGGTAGTTTGCCAAGCTTGTATTATGGTACATGAATTTTATCGAATGTCCGAGCATAGGCAGCCTAAGTGTTTTCCCATTACGCGTTTTCCCATCACATTGTCTACTGCATTATCTATTCAATAGAAGTACCCCGGACCAGCTTATAATGATGTAAACGTATGAAATTTAAAAAGTGTAAACAGGTCATAGATGGCTAAGCTTTTGTTTAACAACATTGCCAAAAGTTACCCTTATTGTGAGCCCCAGAACGACGTCGTTTAGTCCTGTTTTCGTTCTTACCCTTGTCAAGATTACCAACAAACTCATGTTCGTTTTCCGCCACTTTAGATACGTCATGTTATGATTGACAACAAACCTCATCTTGTTGTTGTTTCCTTGACTTCGCTCGCGAAAGGAACCGAAGTAACCATAGCATTCGAGTTTCCATTTCACGAGTACAGACGCCAGTTGGATTGCGCATGCGCTCAAGAAAACTGCAATGTTCAGAAACATAACGAAACAATACAACGAGTTGAGCAGACGAACGGATTTCGTGGTAGCAAGGATGAACAAAGCTTGGTTGATAGCAGTCTTAGTAATCACGTACGTTGATATTCATACTCCCTATTCTGGAAAGGTTGTTAGCCAGGGTTCAAAATAAAGTGACCCCTCATTATTTCTCGTTCTCTTCGAGAAGCAAATTTATTGTTGGTCGTAGAATTTTTCAAAACGGCCTTGTATCCTTGGCCTTTGAGTTTCTACCAGGGTGCGGTTGTTCAAAGCTAGGTTAGCGTTAACCCTGGGTTAATTTTAATCCAGTGTTTTAGTTTATGTGCTTCTGAACCACTATTCGTTTTGAAACGACTATGAAACGATATGACTTCTATTGGTACAGGAAATATTTATGAAAAAAGATATTCAACTTTGTAAACAAGCGATTTAAAAAATCGATGTAAAGATTTGCTTTAACCCAGGGTTAAGCTAACCGGCTTTTGAACAACCGGCCCCAGAATATCTTGTAGTGAAAACAGATATATACCGTACATAACAACAATATGCATGAGCATTTGTCAATGAGCTGGTAGGTTTACCAAACACTCAAGTAGAGCAGATGGTCTTCATTGACAGTGTAAATAAATTTAGTTTTTCTGAAGCCATCTGATGTTCGCACGCAGACCTGATAAGAAAGTTGAATCAAGATTAGCCTACGTTTAACACGAAGTAAAGCTCTTGCAGTGATTAACCTGCGGCGCATCACGAAACATCAAACATGTCGCTTTTACTTCAAACTAGGGCAAAAGTTTGTTTCACTTCACTATTCCGCTTGCCGTTGGTGCATGAGGGACCTCACGAAACAATTTTTTTCATGTGTTTAAAACGTCAAGCAGAGTTTTAGCACCTGTAAGGGCGCGTCGAACTTTTTATGTGGTAATAATAGTACTATAGCGGTTTTCGAGAACGGAAGTGGACAATTGTTTTGAAATGTAATGTTCACTTTGTCACATAAAATGAAATATCTAGCCGTATAAAGTCATATATTGAAGGTAGTTGATTAATGGCCGACCATCTGCTGTCCTAGGAAACTGCAGTAATATTGATGATTTTTTGATTAGCAATAATAACTTAGTTCCTCCCCTAACGATCTGATCGTAAATTATGTACCTTATACCTTCAATATGTAGATGGACAGTGACTCTGATGGTGATAATGTGACGAAGGACAAGAGAAGTCGCAAGAAATTATCACGCGAAGACAGGAAACTGCAACAGTATTTACGACAATTTGAGAAGATGGAAAAAACGGAAAAGAAAAAGCTGCAACACTCGACTAATGGCCGCGATGCTCGAACTGGAATTCTAACACCACGGTAAGACTGGTCTGCATGGTCGCATCTTGTAAGTCTTTTTCAGGGCTCAAGACTTTCTTTAAACGTTATTGACTCATTATAGTACATCTATTTTCATGCTAGCCAATTTTGTAAATGTCATAGGAACTATCCCGAAGAGTTCAATGGGGAGACACCATCGAAACCCTGCAAAGCATTAAGGTATAGTTCATGGACTTGGTTGTTATGTCCATTGAAACTACGTTCACATGCAGACGTTGATTTCTCAGCCATTTCGGTTGCGGGTTTATCAGCCATTGGGCAATTTATTTTTATCATGTTCATCTTGCAGTCTGTCTGTGGCCATTTTGACAGTGTGCCCAGCGGTGTCGTAGTGGGCCCAGCAGGTATATTAGCGGGCCCAGCTGTATGGTAGTGGGCCCAGTAATATAGCTAGTAGTGGGCCCAGCAATATAGCTAGTAGTGGGCCCAGCAGTTTGATTGAGAACCCAGCAGTATTGTAGTACTAGCAGTATGGCAACGAGTCCGGCAGTATATTGTGCGTCTTTGGCCATTTTGATTGCAGTCGCATGCATAATTTCCATATCTGGATATTCGGTCATTTGTAGTTCAACTTTCAAATGTTTTGTCCAATAGGAAGCAAGGCCTGAGTCAACGTCAACAGCGTAAGATCCAGGCTATACGTCGGGCACAACGTCTTAGCTGTTCATCAGAACCACTTTCACCAGAAGATAACTATAGCAGTGCTGCTTCTACCCCAACAACACCTTGTGTGAATGTCGTTGAGGAGACCAACGATCATCATCATCTTCACGATACGACCGATAAATCCTTTAAATTTCCTAAATTCAAAAAGGTAGGTCTACCTGGGGTCGGTTGTATCAAGCCCGTTTAGCTTAAACGGTGGATAAGTCAAAATTAAAGAACACTTTTACATTTCTCTTGAATGAGTCAACTTGAATATTATGCACTGAATATGTAGTTGTAAACAGTATCTTTGTATTAAGGTTGAAAACATTTAGTTTGCTTGTTGAATAAAACGATAGACTTGCTTTCTATTATTAACTTATCCACCGTTTAAGCTAAACGGGCTTGATACAACCGGCCCCTGGAAATTACCTTTTATCAAACCTCCGATCTACATAGAGTTCGGCATTCTTAAGATGATTGTTTAAATTAGGGTTCGTTGAATGATGTGACTGCTTCAAGTATCGACGCTGCTTCCCGCAGCAGCAATCCTTCGCCCGAGGCCTCCGGCTATCCCAGTCCTTCAAAATCGCTATTTGAAACTCGGCTTGTGGAGGTTGACGAGCCAAATTGTGACAGACTGAGTGCCGCAATCAATGGCGCCTCATCACCAAGGACTGATCCCAACTGTTCGCCCAGTCCTTGTCATTCTACCTATGGTGAGTTACTGTTTCCTTAATTAGCTATGAACTGTACATGTAGGCCAGTGCACAGCTCGATGTGCTTAGTTATATTGTATAATAATATCCATTTTCATTTCTTTTTCGTAGCTTCTCCAACCCATTCAGAGAGTGTCGATCTTCCCGACATGTTTTCTCGTCATCATCTCGCCTCGCCCACTTGCAGCTCCGTAGCCTCATTTATTTTAAATTCTGGACTATACAGGTCCGATCCTACGCATACCACGCTGAAAAAGGTAAGTTTGTTTATAAAACATTGTCTTTTTAATCAAGCTCCAAAAAAGTAACGCTCATTCTGACCTTATTTTAGCGGTGGTTGTTACAATATGCAAACGAACGAGCTGAGAATAAAATGCCGGCCAATGGGATTGTTACTACGACGGTTTACAGACCAAGTCAAATATCCCGGGTTATCGTTTCACCAAGGACGTTTCCCCTGCCGTACAAGCGGCGCAAACTCATGGAATATCAGAGAACTGTAAACCATGCATTAGTAAAAACTTCACAGCCAAGTTCTGATTGTGCAGCGGAACATGCTAATACTAGTCAATGTTTGGTTGACAGTGCCGGTAATGTCTCGTCTACTGTAAAGATATCGTCTTCTATTCTATCAAAGGTTTCGTCTTCATCGATTACATCTTCGTCGGTTACGTCATCATCGATGATGTCATCATTTATGAAGCCTTCACCGACATCAGCATCGCCATCACTCGCAGTATCATCGGTGACTTCGATAAACACCGTGGCTTTAGCTTCCACGAATGACACCAGACCAACGATGTTGCAAAGCACGCTAACTGGACTAACCGTTACCGGAAGTGACGAACCAGTATTTCCACGTGTAACCGGAAGTGAGGAAGCAACCTGGGGTAGGCGAATTAGCGGCGGAAGTGACGATACTAGTGTAGGTCATAGTAGTTTATCAAGTATCAGTTCTACTGATGATATAAACATCACGGGAATTCCTAGTGATGGCGCGAAGGTTGAACCGAATTCAGGTAACGCAGTAGGAAGTAGCTCGGAGGTGAATCGTAGTTTACTGCCAACGTGTTCGCAAGACAGGCAGGAAAGCTCTCTCGAGTCGAGCACGGACTGCGCAACGAGAACGTTGGAGGACACGTCTAGGGATAAGCCACCTCAAGTAGGGTCAAGTGGGGTTATTGAAGGAAGTACAGGAACAACGAATGCAACATCAACTACACCTGGAGGGAAGAAAAAGGTTGGTTTTGCGAATTATTATTAGTTTTCGGTACAGTGTTGACCACTGTTTACCCTCTTATATGTAGATAGCTCTTCAGAACGGCCTTTAGTTGAGTAATGTCAAGGCAGGATATTAGTGGACATTTGCCACTGTTTTCAACTCACTTTTCAACATCTTTGTTTCAGGTCTCTTTATCAGAATATCTGAATCGTAAGCGAACAACTGGATCATCGGTGAAGAAAGATACTCTCTTTTCATCCGAGGTCACCTCGGCAAGCCAGTCACGTGTCTCCGAAGCAGGTAGCCTATTGGCTACTAGTAGTGATCCTGCATCGTCTGTCGTAAACTACCGAGCAGGCTTGGTTACAAGTGTGAGCACGAGTGGATATGGCACTACACTATTGTCAACGACGGGAGTCAGTAGTAGTACTGGAGGGGTTATGATTGAACCTGTGAGCCCTGACGAGGGATTTGATGATAGACCATCGTTACATAACGCTGGACTAGGTTAGTGTGTTGAAAGTATTTAGGTTATTAGGATTGAGTTTCACATGCAAGTCTGAGAGTGTTTAGACGAACATCCATTAAATAACAATGCTGTCGAAATGTGTTTGTTAGTCCTCTCAAGTTAGTAATCCCGTACGTACTCGTGTGAAGGATGGAAATATAGAAAATTTTTATATTCTCCATGATGTTTTCATCTGTAAAACGCGAGTTAAATTATAGTCTGACCCTGTTCACATGCTGTGTGTGTTTCTTGTCATTCAGTGTGATGTAACTGTCAGAGACATGTAATTCAATTGCTTCACGCCATTTTTTACAAGAGTACAAATGCATAAGGTAACTCAACGTATTTCCATTTTTCCAGCTTCACAAAGTTCGTCAAGTGTAGAACGTGAAGTGAAACCAACATCACTATCAACGACACCATCATTTCGTAGTTACTCACAAAATATCCCAACTCGACCTGTCCCGGAAACTGGTAAGTACTACAAAGCTTTCACTCGTAGTTGTCGGAATATACTTAACTTCTACTACTATAACTTCTCTTCTGTCATTTAGGATGCAATAGCGATGCGATGGATATCGATGACGATGAAGTTCCTTCGTCAAGTACGATTGTCGTCAACACCCCAGTGTCACTGCCTGGTGACAGATCAGCGGGGGTGACGTCATCGGATATGATGGGTTCGTTGGGTATACAACCTTATTCAAATCTTAGCCAGCCAATGAAATTTAACAATGTTGCATCAGCACAATCATCTCCAAGACGACAGGTATACACCAAACACTTGACTCAATGATGTTCGCAGCTAAAATTCCTTGATAATTTTTGACAAAATCTCGTGGTCAACTTCATTTGCTGCAATTTTCTAGTACGCTATGCCGTATTTCTACTATTTTTATTTCTTTGTAATCATGTAATGGTTCTTTATATCTTTCAAAGGTTACAAACTCAACTGTGTCGTTGGAAAATCATATTCGTCAACCAGCGCCAGCCGCCCAGATACCCAACACGTCATTACAAACCCTACCACGCCATCCTGACTTCCGGCCTTCGAGTAACCGATCTAGTCCCTTCCATTAACTTCACGTCTTATGCATTCGCAGATTCTAAATATACCTGTTCTTTGGTTGGCGACTGCTTTTGTTTGAAATGTTTGGTTTGCGTGTCCTTTCGGCGTGGTGTAAACTCTACACGTGCTTCCACACGAGGTCTTCACGAGTCACTGGAATGGCACGTGTAACTTTTACACCTGGTTTTCATTTGGCCTACGACGATGTTATGTCGTGGCCATCAAATCATAACTCACAACATTGCTTTGGCATTTTACTGATTTCAAAACTGTACAGAACTCCTTCCACACAAGTTGCGTCAAACGTGCAGCGTCCTTGACTATTGTTCAAGCACCGTCCATTGGTAGAATGTGACATTTTAATCTGTATAGTTCAATCATTAGATCCGAATTCTAAATAAATCGTGAAACTCAGATTTAAACGCTAGACTACATCGTATCACCATCATTTTTTGAAGCCAAATAGAAACCAAGTGCGAGAAAGCATATTAGCCAAACGTGATCCCTTATGTACATTTACTATCGTATTGATATTTGACTTTTGCTGAACTCGTGGGAAGTACATGCAAACAACCGTTGGTGCGACGTTTAATTAATGGACATTAATTTGAGTGTATGTACGGACGATGAGGTAGAGCTTGAGAATGGTCTCCTTGTTTTTACCGTGATCAAGCAAAGTGTACAAATGTGCAAAGTTATTTGATAAAATAATACCAAGTAAATTGAATGGTTTTGTTTGTGTCTTGAACGAACAGTATATTGAAATGTATCTGGAAGGCAAGTTTTCAGATGGTTCTTTATACTGCGGCAATTTAAATTGAAACCGCTTTTTAAGGAAAGACCGGATTCTACCGGAAAGCACCGAAGAAAAGATTGGGAGTTAGTCGCTTCTTTTCTTCATGTAAACGTGTGCATGCATAACATGTTACAGCGCTGTTTGCTGTACAAAAATCACTTTGCAGTGAATGAAAATCTTGACTGCACATTTACATCGTTTTTCCATGTGTGAACACAAACTATCCTCGATTTTTATAGCGTTTTGCATCATTTTTAACAATCGAGAATATACAACATTCCATTCAAAAATTGTTAGGTCATTATGTCCTACTATGACATACTCCACACTACATATTTTTCCCCTAAACAGACATTAACGAGTTTATAGTATGACACACTAAGTTTCATTTAAGCACCAAGTCTTCAGGATTTAAGCTGTGTATCGTACAATAATAACACGCTTCCTTCGAGGTCTTGTCAAAATTTTTGGTCCGGATTTCACGTTTGCATCTTTCGGGTTTAATTTTGCTTTTTGTGACCTAGTGGACAAAGACGTTTGAACCTTTTTCGATGATTGACAAACACTCGTAGAGCTATTTTTCTCTTCACCGCGAAAACGACGCAAGCGAGGCAATTGTTCAGACGACATCGACTCTCTCCTTCGTAAACGCATTTTTTCGTGTTTTTCACTCCCCCTCGAGGGTTTTGAAGCTAAGTGGTTTTGAGGCACTACATAAGCCTTTCCACGTTTGGCTAAAACTCCGGATTTGACAGCTTTCCGTAGAGCCAGAATGGCTTGCTTACGTGCTCCTGAGTTGGCTTGTCTTTTCCAGACGAGATAGTTAAATATTGATTTTATGCTCGAGCCGTTCCTTTCTGACAAAGCGACAACTGCGTCTCTCACGAGCGCAACCGTTACCACTTTTTTGGACTTTCTCACTTTGGCGACCATGACTTAAAACGACTTTCAATTGAGCCTGCTCTGACTTCCTGTCTAGTTTTGCTATCTTAGGCTAATCTCAATCTGTGACGTAACAATTACCATAATGAATACTCTCTGTGCTCAGCAGAATTTGAACATGTCTGCGTGCTTTTCGAAAGCGCATGCGTGATTGGTTTGGGAGGTTTTCTCTAAGCTGCAGCTCGCTTGTGATTCAGGAGAACTAAGCTCCTAGCTAAATAAAATGGATTATTGGAAGATAATATATTTTGTTTCGGTATTTAGATCACTACCACTATGATCAAGTCTAGCACTACCACTATGATTCATGTCTTCAGGAAATTCCAATATGCGTATTGTCTTTGCCATGGTAATATTGACACACGACACGTTTATGTTTGTAAATGTTGCACTATGTAAATTTGCTTTGTAGTAATATCAATGAAGAGAATATTTATTATGGCGATGACAACAAAGACAAAACACTTACCTGAAATTTATACGTAGAAGTTCAATGTCAACGGTCATTGACTCATCTTCAATATGAATTTTGGATCACGTCGTTTGATTTCAAATCTTGTATGTTTTGTGGCATTTATTGCATCTTTATCAGTGGTGCTATTCTATCATTTTGCAATAAAGGCGAGGAACAGAGTAATCGATAGATTCTATCATCAAAAGATATCCAGGAATTCTCAAATGCTTGAATGTGTGATTAGTGTTGATGTGTGGACCGTAAATATATGCCGTAAAACGTTTGATAATTTAGCATTGTTTCAGACATTTCCAAATTTTCCAGACCAGAAATATTGCTTAAAGAATTTTAGCAGTTTTGGAAGTACGGGAATATATAATACAGCGGTGATAAAGCGCATTCTAGTTTCGTTCTCCAATTTGAAACCTGGTTTCTATCAATTCCGTGCGAAAACGTCGCTTCCGTTTAAATTATATTTTCGTAATGACAGTAACCGATACTTTGACCAAGTACTTGAATCAAGTGGAAGAACAAAATTGATAACAGTTTTCACCAAAAATGCTTTCTTAAAAAGTAACTTTTACTTGGAAATTATATTATACTGTCCCCAAGGAGTGAACTTTCTGTCTCTTGAGTGGTTAGTGCCAGGCTCTGCACGCTTTCGTGCATTACGTTCTGATGACCTAGTGTCTGATTTCCACATGAATGTTTTCGAAAGATCGCCCGGTCGAGTACTTCCACCAGAGAAAAGCACATTGGTTGGATTTATTCCTCGCCGACATGTTACGGAAAGTATCCATGTTTGCAGTTTACACGAAACTCAAGTATGGAAGGATAATCCTGGGAAAATGGATATTACTGTGTATACTGACTCGGATCCGATTGACGGGTTTGTTAATGAAACACTCAAGCTGATTATGGCTCTTTTTCAAAAGGCTGTGCCCAGGTGAGAGGTTACTAATGGATATCAGACAATATTGTTTTTACGCATGTTTACCCAACTGTGCAAGGCGAAATGGCGAATGCTTTTTCCGCAGAGTCAGAGAAACTTTTGTTTGCGGTAAAAAGCGCCCCTATTTTGTTAGGCAATATTTCGTTCGACTACTTCAAACCTGTTTCATATTTCAGCAAATATCCAGCGTACAAAATCAATAAGCTGGAACTCACAAGGAACTCAACTGATGGGGACCTGAGTCGTGTGATGATTGATCTAAATTTGACCGTTGATGGCCTGGACTACATTGAAAGGTTTAGCGAATATATTTTTGCTTATCATCAAAACAGCCGACTCGAAATCTGTAGACCGTTATTTTTTCAATGGAAACGACCAGTTACTTTGACGTATGCGTTCTTAACGGATTGCTCAAGAAATGACCAACCCTGGGGGTTATATTTTATTGAAAACACAATTGAACTACTACAGAGGTCATTGGAAGTTAACATGATGGTCGTGATAACTGCGTGCAACGAAGAGCAACGCCGAAATTACGAATCACGTCTTCGATACTCGGACATAGATCGGAATGCTGTCGTTTTATTAGAAAAGGCGTACATGAAATCACAATCGTTGAAGTATGTGTTGTCATTGGTGGAAAACGATACCATTGTTGTGGTCTGTGATTCAACTGTTAGAATGCCGGCAGGGTTTTCTGAAGAAATTCGCAAGGTAAGGTGATAAACCATCGAAGTTGATTTTAACTATCGAAAACAAGCAAAGTTTTTCACGATGCGTGGGTTTTGTGACCCCACCTAGCATCAATCAGTTAAAAATTATTTTTTCATTATTTATTCTAGCACACGTTCAGGACATTAATGGCGTATTCACCAGTACCATTCCAACTTGAATGTGGACACTTTCCCGAGAGTACGCCCCTGAATGGGCACTGGTGCCCAGAGTGTGCTGGAGTGACAGCAATGTATAAAGAAGACTGGGAACAAATATTACCTGGGTCTTATGACAATGGTAGGTGCTTGAATATTAATAGAGCTACACATTGCATGGTTTTGTTTCGGTTGGTACTGGGTACGTTCAGGGTTGATATACACCTGAAAATGGTGGGACATCTGAAAATCCAATCAATCGAACATTCACTGGTTTTTCTATTAACATTTAAGGGAAAGATATTGTTAAAAGAGATTTTGTATTTCACATAGAAAATGAGGATATCATGGAAGACAAGGAAAAACTTCTGAGTCACATTAAAAAGACTGAAATGGAAATAGCTCAAGTAAAATTAAAACACCTTTATAGATTATAACCACTGATCAATCAAGGTACTGGGTATAACCAAATATTTTTTTAATCCAGCCTCGTTCCATGTGGTTGTCAGGGAAATTAAAGATTATAATCTTGTTTTGTGCCTTACTGACCTTTCGGATCAAGAACAAAGCAACTTTCAATCTCGCTATTTACGGGAAAACATGATAATCGGGTGAGAACTCAATAGACTGTTCAAAAGGCAACACAATTCTAATAATATTCAATATATACATGGCATATTTCACTTTACATGATTAGAAAGAAATACGTAACAATCTAAAGTTCTGTATACAAAAATTATCGCCGTCTGCGTTTGTGAGATCTGTGAGACTTTTTCTTGACATTTCTCTGCGCTGCTGACTGAACAAGATGTCGCTTAACTGCTGTTTGTTCTTCTACCAACTGCGCCAGCTGACCTTGCTCAGCGAGCATTCGAAGAAACGTACAAATAAACGGGTCGAAGTCATGAGTCCGACGTGAATGATCGATCTGAAACATGAAAAAAATGGAAAAGTTTCAGCTTTAAGGCAAACAGGAATAAGAGAAAGTCTAATTTACTGGTCTATTAGTAGCACTACACGTTTAGAACTGAAAGAGTTGTGAAAGAGCTCTGATACCTGATATTTCCGTCTTCTGTCTGTTTCTTCGTTAACAACTGTTTCAAATTTGTTGATTTCCTGATTTATCGTATCTAGAAGTGAGTACAATTCCTAAAAAACAAATAAATCATGCTACTTAATTCCGCGACTTCGGTCATCAATTCTTAAATCTTACCTGATATTACATATCACTTGGAACTTTTTGAGACGAAATTTATCACCAACAGTGCGCAGTATTTTGTCACGGGTTCCTATAACTGTTCACCACAATACCTCACACTAAAGCGTAGAACAGAAAGCTATGTCTGAAAACAAACCTGCGCATCAGGTGGTTCATCTTTAGTTACCAGCTTCATCGCCATGTCCACGGCCTCGGTCGGACTTCTCAGGGGAGATGTCGATGATTGCGAATTAAACACTGAAAAGTAGCTGGAATCTAAAGAAATGTGATAAACGTATCACGTACTAATGCTTTACGCACAGTCTGAAAAATAAAAATGGCAGAAATTTGCAGGGATCTAATGCTCCTGCTTTTTACAATCTTTATCACAATCCACGTTCTTACCTTCTGTAAACAAAGTCGCTCTTTTTTCAATAAAACCAGCATTGTTAGCTGTGTCATTTTTTCCACCATTTTCATCGTCCACTACAACCAACGGTGTATTGCAATTTGGTTTCTGAGTCGAATTCTCCGAGGTATTTTCTCGTGTATCGCCTTCGGATGAGCTCGGTACTGTCTCAACATCCACCTTAATGTCTTCCTCACTTCCTTTCACTGGATCATTTGTCCCACCGGTGTTTAAACTCCTCGAGATTTTGTCGTCGACATTAACACCTTCTAAAATATTTTGTTCCAGTTTTTTAACTTCGAAGTTAGTTCCACCTGGGACATTGTTCCCCAATGATTTTTCTCCATCATTTTGGATTTGCGACGATCCACAGCCCAAGGTAGCTTCAGTATCGGGAACGTTACTCGCAGTGGGTTTGTTTTCTGAACTAGTGGGTTGTTCTACCGTAGTACATTCAGTACCGGGCTTTTTATCCCTCAATAGGTTTTCCGTAGTTGCCATTTTCATCAGTGGAATCATTGAAACATATTCTTTTACAACATTTCCAGCAATTTCTGTCTCGATTTTCATATCGACCGGCAAGAAGAAAGTCTTATTTTTCTGTTCATTCTGTTTTTTAATCCTTCCCGAAGGAATTTTTAGTTTATGTCTCGCTTTCTTAACTGAGTGTTCTTGTGTTGGCTCAGGTTCTCCTTCTGATGCTGTGTCTGTACTGGAGTCACCACGACCAACCTTAAAAACAAACTCACTTAGAATAACTCATTAAAAAAGTACCTACATATTTTGCATTTTTACCTTATTTAATGTGTCCAAAACAATTTTCCTACAGTGAAAAAAATAGAAAGGCAAAATATTCAAATATTCACGATCTTGCAAATTACCAGTTCTAGAAAACCACTATTTATTATGTTCATGACAAACCTCTTCTCTTTAAAAGTTTTCAATTTTTTTTCACATTCTGGTCTTTTATCAGGGACGATCGCGATCAAGTTATAACGAATGTCATGACATGGTTCACTGAAAATAAATATTAACAAAAATTTGGGTACATTTATAAATGCAACCAGGTTCCTATAACCCGCTCTATGGAGGAAAGTCCTAATCAATATATACCATTGTAGACTTTCCATAAATTTTAGAAATTCGCAGTCAAGCACCGGAGAACGAGAGTAACAACAAACACACAGTTGAAGTCGTTGACAATTTTGAAAAATGAAAACATCCTAACGCTTTATGCTTGGTTTGAATAGCCACTAAGAGGACTTCATTCATGAAGGGCTACCTTTCCGTATATCACAAATATTGCTTATATTTCAAACAGGTCTGTCATGACCTCATTCAACAGAATATTTCTAACCCTGATGCTACTCCAAGGCGTTCTGTAATAACTCTGCGAAACTTTTCTGTCCACTCCTCGTGTTCGCCCCACGGACCTATGATAAAATGGAGAATGCTTGAAGCCACAGAAAAGCGTTTACTCACATGAATAATCGGTCGCCCAAATTACAAAAGCGAGGTTCAGATTTGGCTTTCACGACAACTTTTGCTTTAGCTATTATTGGACTCGTGATTGGTTAATTTGATAGAGTTACCGCATTTGATTGGTTCATGTTTGCTTTGAAGTAACCGTAGTGGAAGACAAATCTGACCTCACGAGAAATGAACAACTGCAGGAAGATTTAGAAACAGACCAACGGCCTGGCTGAATTAACGAGGCTAAAAGAGACTATTTTTAAAAACCCTTTGAAAAAAAACCCTTTTGAGTTGTGGGTATGGATATGCGAGCGAGTTATGACGTGGATTAATGTACTTGGATGTTCTTGATAGTTTTTATTATGGTCTGCTAACATGAATATATGAATATTCGCCCCCTCCCTCTCCCCACTTTCCGCGGCCCATGTTCCAAAATAATACTAAGGGAAAATTTTTCGCACCATGGTCTATTGGGTATGGCTTGAGTCCATCCAGTTCAAACAGTCTTCCATTGATTGGAATATAACTAACAAAATGGAAAGTTTCTCCAGCTTTGGCTGTTGATAATGTGTTCCCTGGCTTGCTGTCTGGAAGAATGCGATGAATTGGTCTAAAAATGGACAAATTATAATGTGAAAGCTGCAAATGGCACCAGAAAATGCCTTTAAATCGCCTATAAATGGTATGTTTTCAGGCACTTCTCAGTTTGGCATATTATGTTTCAGATATTCACCTGGCATATTTATTGTGTGCTATGGCAATCTCAGGGATATTTCCTATAGCATATCCTTTGGTCTAAAAATGAAGTGTAATACAATTAGACTGCAAAATACTGAGGGTTTGAGATTTACAAGTTCCCTAACAGTTCAGGGAATATGCAATGGTGCAAGCTATATTACTGTGTAGATAATTACAATTGTCTACATTACAAATATTGTAATGAAATAGAGAAAAGAGCCTAGTCTTGAATTGTTCTGAATCAACATATGCAAGAACTTCATCTACCTCAGGATCAAATCCTTTTGTGTCTTCTTTTAATTTGCTTAATGTTTCACCAGGGTGAAGTTCATCACAATTTAATAACACACTGAGCAAGGCATGTGTTGCACAGGAATTTGGGATTATCTATAACAATTAGCAAGTAAAATAAGAACAGCATAAAAATGTACATTATTTCCAAAAAGACTACATTTGAAGAGACCTCATGCAAGCAGAAATGAACCAAACAATAAACATTATAACACTTTTGTCCTTTTGGTCCTCTAACTTGCCTGCTGTGCAAAAAACATGCTATTAACAATGTCATCACTTTCAACAAATGCCTCGTCAAGTGGAGTAACTCCTTTTCTTCGTGAACGACGTTCTTCATTCCATTTGAATAAAAATACGAAACCATAGACAGGGCTAATAAAGTGTTTATAATTCATTACTATCTTGGTTTGTCAATATTAGATTCCTGTCAAAGGGCCCCAAGTAGTTTTTTCAAAGTCCTGCTCTGTTCTGGTTTATCTATGTTTAGAAACTTTGGTTAAATTTTTCTATCCATAAAACACTTTTAACATTTATAGCCATACCCTTTAATTGGTTTTGATAAGTCATAAATTTCATCAACTTGAACACCACGTATACCTGAAAGAATAGACATAACATAGGTTTGGTCTTATGTACTAGTGCTGATGAGAATTAATCCAATAAAATCAAGAATGCATGATTGCAAAATCTCACTCACAGAGTTCAAAGCTGACTTTATTACCTTGCTTATGCAAGCTAGCAGTTAATACATACTGTCTGTATAGTATTTATTTGTGACATCCAGTGAGTAGGGGCAGGAAATGGTTTATGGGGTGAGGTATTTATATGTATGGGAGTATATTCAAGGGGATCAGGGTTCTAGCAGTGACTAGGCAGTCAGTCCAAATTTATTTAAAATTTATCATTGTTCTTCAATGAGTTTTTCTTTCTTTCAACTATTTTTCAACCCCAAAATGTACCTCATAATTATACTTAGTTCATGCGCTCTGAGTTGTGGTAGGGCGGATTCATTATTTGACACGAATCACGAATGCAACCGAATATGTAGTTTATAGCTTTTCATGACAACAACGCAACAGGAAATTACAAAAAATTATAAATTGCTTACCAAATTCCTCGATTAACAACAAGAATACCCCTGGGAATTAACAAGAAGATATTATTATTCCTAAACAATAGTCTTCCTAAATGAGAAAATCGAGGCATAAATTACATAAGGCAAAAATTACCTGGGCCTGGGTCACTTTCCAATTCCAGCCACCCTTTGGCGGCCATCTTTCTGAAGTTTGTGTTTGGTCAGTGGTTGACCTTTTGAAAAATGTGCGGTTAAAGAGCAGCCTCGTCCCAGGCGCTTTCCTGCAATCTTTAAAGAAGTGTTATATTTTTATTATTTTTTAACTGCAGACATGTCCTAATTTCGTCATGTTTAGGGCGATTTCGGGATTTCTTTCCAATTTATTGGATGGGACAGTCAAAGAGGAGGGCAAAATAATTAAAAACGAACCAGACATAACTGAAAAAGAGTCGACAAATGCAAATTTATTTAGCGCACATGGCGCGAAATTTGACACGGATGAGCTCCAAAAAGTCCTTTTTGGAAAGGTGACTAAACTTTATGATGATTCAGGCCTAGTTGATGAAGAAGTTTATTTTAATTTTAATAAAGTCATCGGGGGCGTTAAGCCAACCCTAAATTGTGAAGTTCGAGTTGAGGCAAGCCGATCATCAGTGAGGAGTGGCTGGAGGGCAGACAAGGTTGAAATTATTAACAATGACTGGGATGAATTTGGTGATGATGGAACTGAAGAGATCCTTATTGGTGAAATAACAGATATAAATGAAAAATATTTTATGATCAGTCAAGATACATATTGTCCAATGGCATCTCTTGCTTTTGGCTACACTCCATGCAGAGGTGACTGGGTGCGGGCTGAGATTATCAGGGATAGAGGGCTTGTAACTGATGTTAAAGTTGTCATACCCCTTCGGGAAAAGAGTTTGACTGGAACAGTTACATCAGTTGGTTGTGGCCATGGGTATATCAATACGGATATATTTTTCACTTTCGGGTCATGCAGGCAGAATTATGCAGCACGAAAGGGACATACTGTGAGGGTCACAGCAATTGAGTCTAACCAAGGCAACTGCAAGTGGAGAGCTCTCAAAGTTGAACCAAGAATACCTAGGAAAGATGCAAAGTAAGATTAAAGATTCTGGCTGTATTTTTTATTTTGCTTTCAATATTACCCTATATATAATGATGATCGATACATGATGCAATTATATTTTATTAATGCATGGTCATACGTTATGAAATAGTAATCCAAACATGGTAAGAATGGGTACCACACCTGAGAGTAAGTTCACAAAAATGCTCTTGGAGAATAAAGCTGATGTTGCAATCACAGATGAAATCAATTTTTCTGATTTGATTTTTGGTCAGATTCAAGAATCTTTTCTTTTAGTAAGGTATGAAATTTTTAGATCATTCATTCGTTCATTTAGTTCATTCATTTTTTTGGAAAGGTAGTACATAGAACATATGTTTCAATGCTTTTCAATATATTGTTTTTAGAAATGATGGTGTCAATTCTGTAGTTCTTAAGTCCATTGATGGATTGTTAGAAGATAGCATCTTCAAAATAGATTTTTCTGGGCAAAAAACAAGTGAGAATGTTTCAACCTATCACTCTGGTAGACAGGAATTTGATGTTATGATAAGCCCTAAGAAATCTGCAGAATTTAAAGTTACAGTTAACTCAAGGTGGATACATAAATATAAAGGTTTTGAACCTTCACTTCACCTCACAATGGACTAAATCTTAAATAAGTAAGCTACACAATACAAATTAGGTAAAGTCAAGGATTCAACATGATCTTAGAACTAAAAGAATTCAATAGTATAGAGTGAATCTTTTTCATTAAATTTGCCTGATACAATTAGTTACATGTACAAGTACACATTATATACTTAATATTACTAAGAATAACATTGGAAATTTAAGAGGGTGCAGGTGCATTAACAAAACTAGAAAAACAAATTTTGTTTTAGAATGTTGGGGGAATTTACTCAACTTGTTGTGTTCAACTTTGGCAATTTTCAAATTGGTCGTTTTTTCAAAGCAAACGTTCGAGATGAACAACAAAATTTGCTGGATGCAAGGACACCATACCATTACCATAAAAGAAGTGTGGTTTCTGACAATGACAAGTTGCAAGGATGGGTTGTTCCTGGAGAAAGAAGAATGTTTAAGTAGGTGGAAATTACATATTACTGTCCTTATATCTTTTCATTGCATGGTAGCTTAATTGAAAATTAATGTTACTTTCTGTATTTATGAAGACAGAAAACAATAAACATTTCTACAAAGCTTGGTAAATATGAAGTACCAAGAACACTGAAACGGTGCATTTTGAATAAGATGGATTTATGTTGCCTTGTTCCAAGTTTAGCTGAGGTATTCATTATAACAATAAAGACATTGATTGAAATTAGCTTGAAAGAGAATATACTAGTAGATATACATCAGCAGGTTAGCCTTTCAATGATTTATGCCTGCTAACACTATACTTTATTGTTCGTTGGCTGTGCAAACAATCAACTTCAAAAGAAATAAGTTGCAATTTACATAGTGGCAAAGTTTCATTGGGCTGTGGCTGTCTATAGACAGCATTAGTGTTCTACATCACCTCATTTACAATGCACTGCATATTTTTATCATTTGATCTAACTAGGCAATTGAATATACTAGAGAGAACAAGTCCTAATGTCATATTCAATAAATGTACGTTTTTAGCCACTCATAGTCAGAAACTACAAAGAGAGATTTTCCGCTTTATTGCATGCAGAAGAAGTGCAAATGGAGATGGAGATGCGTGAATTTGATCTTCAGCAGGTATGGAGGATTGTTGGTTGAATTGATTGGATCAATGTAAAACATTATGACTGTTACCATGCATATGCTGTTACCAATTAAAAAATTATCTTAATAAAGCGGTGAATTTTACTATTTGAGCTGTATTTGTAAGCCTGAATAATTTTGCTCATTTTTGTGGAATCGAGATTTACTGATTTTACGCGGCTGAGCGTAATTTGTGAAAGATGTGATATTTTTAGGTGTCATTAAAACCTGCTGGAAAACTGTTGAGTCTCGCTGTTCCTGGTTTGGCTGAAGGAAGACCATCACTTTTGATTGGTGATCGAGTGATCTTGTCCGTTAGCGGTTAGTTGTTTGTTATAGTGTTGCTCGCCAAGGCATGAATAAGGTTTGATTGAAGTGAATTTTACTGTTATATTTGCAGGCGGCTCCAACAACTCGCCAAGATACGAAGGCTTCATCCACGAGGTACGCATTCGGTTTACTTTTCTTCCGAAGAGGTTGGTTAACGTTACTTTTCGTCCGAAGAGGATGGTGAATGTTTAAATTAGTTAATCTTTAGGTTCTGGGTACAGAAGTGTTGCTAAAATTCCACGAGGATTTTCACGTGACGTACGATATGGACTCCTACGATGTCATGTTCTTTTTCAACAGGTGTGAAACATTCATCGTTAATCATCCTAAATTTAGATTCACTAATAGTTCATAATCAGTTGATATTTGTGTGCAGCATGCATTTGTAAATATAAATATAAATATACAATGCATGTTTCTTGTCTTACAGAACGCCTCTCAGAAGATGCCATAAAGCAGTTGAAACAGCAAAATTCTTAGCAGATCAGGGTATTTCATTTATGATTTATGATAGTCAAAATGGAGGATAATAGCATATTTATCAATAAACTATACAATTACTTTTGAAACGTCATTTTCCCAGACGTTTTTACTTGTTATCTTTCGCACGTTTTGAACAGTTAGATTTAGCTACAATTTTAAAAAATGAAGGGTTTTTTCGATCAGTAATTTATTTCAAGGTTCGCTATGCTGAAATGCATGCAATCAATAATGAAAAAACTGAAAAGTCGTGGGAGTTTTTTCATGACACACAAGGTATTTTATGTTTTCTTTAAAGTGGTTCAAGTTGTTTTTTCTGTAAATTTTAGTTCTGTTCCCAAACGAAGTTTTAATTAAGTTACCTCAAGAGTTGGTAAAGAACGACAAAGGTCTGTTCAATTCAAAACTGAATGAACGCCAGCGTGCGGCTGTATCAAGGATTTTAATTGGGCAATGTCGGCCAATGCCGTACGTGCTCTTTGGACCGCCAGGGACTGGTAAAACTGTTACTCTGGTAGAAGCAATTTTGCAGGTCAGTAATCAGTATATCAGTTCAAAAAATATTTGTGGCAGCATTTACATTTATATTGTCATTCTGGCGAATGGAAACTAGTGCTGATGCAACATTTTTGTATATGAGGCCCTGTGTAATTCCCTCCTTCATTCCTTCAACTATTATCTCCGCGAATTAAGGTGTTTCCATAAGTTTCAAAACACTCAAAACTCATATGAATTTCATATTAATTCTGTTAGATATTTCATCGTATTCGTTGCAGCCGTATTTTGGCATGTGCTCCTTCAAACAGTGCTGCTGATCTCATCGTAAGTATATCATAAATAATACAACGTAAATACTTGCTTTTGAAGTTTTAAACGCAATTGAGCTTTAAGATTGAGATGAAGGCTGTGATAACTCTTAACAAATGACAATAGCGTTATGACGCGTGTGGGTTGTTGGAGTTATTCTGCAAACTTAGGTTTCTTAACAAATGACAATGGCGTTATAATGTGGATGGGTTGTTGGGGTTATTCTGCAAACTTAAGTTTCTTCTCTCTAGGCTGAACGTCTCCATCACAGCGGGGCTGTTTCTGAAGGTGACATGGTCAGACTAAATGCGTTTCAGCGGCAACAAAATCTCCCAGAAGACATTGAGAACTATAGCACTAACATTGACAAACTGGACGTCGCTGCTCATTATCGTATCGTGATCTGCACCTGCACTACTTCTGGTCAGCTGCAAACACTAGGGCTCGCACCAGGCCATTTCACGCATGTCATCATTGACGAGGTTTGTTGTAATGACATTATTGCTTAAGTAAAATGGAACCAAAATGGTAATAAACTAATTAATGTTTGAAGAAACTTGGCTAGTCTTCAAATCTTAAGCTAGTTATGTAAATTACAAAAATGTACATTCATGATGTATCGTTTAGGCCGGACAAGCCACAGAACCCGAGAGTTTAGTTCCTATTTCTTTTCTAACTGGGACCGAAGGTCAGGTGAGTCAGTCTGTTAACATTTGGCACTTCATCAGATAAAATTATCTTGTCAGATAAAACATGTTAAAAATTATCTTGTCAGATAAAACATGTCAAAAAATTTATACCCTGACGAAGTTTGTATGACAAAGCATGAAATGAAACAAACCAATTGCTTTTGTTGTTAGTAACCAATTGATGAAATCTTAGTAATGGAATTTATTTTTTACTGTATTTAATCGGTCAAAATGTATGTCAAGTGGCCGATTGCCGACCGTCATTATCCACAGAGATATCTGTCCTAGGTCGTGTTATGCCAAAACTGCATGTCCGCCTATTTCATGATTGGAGTGGTTGAATATTGTGGCCAATTTCTATCGACCTTACTTTTGACAATTGATACCTACAGAGGGTTGGACAGCCTCCCGCTACAGACATACTTTCAATATAACGTCGTCCTAATATTCACAGGATATTTCTTTGTACATAATAACCATGCATACAGAAAAGAAGGGGCTCATGATAAGTAGAAAATATTACAATACTTAATGTTTTCAGATAATTCTTGGCGGTGACCCATACCAGCTTGGTGCTGTTCTTCGCTCGCCAATCTCTCAAACATACGGCCTTAGTATTTCACTATTGGAACGGCTCATGACACGTATACCTTACCAACGAGATGAAAGCAAGTTCTCCAATCACGGCTCTTACGATCCTCTGCTTGTGACTAAACTAATCAATAACTACCGATCACATGAAGCGTTACTGGAGTTACCTTCAAGACTGTTTTATCACTCGGAGATGGTGACGTGTGCGGAGGATAGTGTTAAGAATTCTTTATGTTGCTGGGACACTCTGCCTAATAAAAATGGTTTCCCGATCCTATTTCATGGTATTAAGGTAATAATAATCATAACACTTCTGCGCAGCATTGGAAATTTTAGATTGATAATTGAGAATAGCATGTGTCATCAGTCAGAAAAGTTAATATTTTTCTTTTATAAATTCTTAACTATACGTTAATTATCCAAGCAGTCTGCGTTGGGTAATAATCTGCCTGTTCTGGTTAAAAGCCTGTTGAAGTTTCGGTGCTTTTAGACTTGTAGTCCAGCATTTCGTTTGATTCCCTGTTTGAACACAACGAATCCTAGAGCACGGTGCCATAGAACACACAAACGAGTGCCGGTCACCTTAGTGTAGCTAATATTCACTTATAGGGGGAAGATCTCCGGGAAGGTAACAGTCCATCCTGGTTCAATGCAGTTGAAGCAGTACAAGTCATAAGATATGTTCAAGAACTACGGAAATTTAAAAAGCATCCTGTGCAACTTTCGGATATTGGCATCATCACTCCATATAGGAAACAGGTTAGTGATTTATCAAGTAAATTGAGAATGGCCTGGTTCAAACTGGTATATTTGTTTTTACAAAACCAGCATTAATGACAACGTAATTCTCTTTTTTCGGGAACTCTCTTTAGGTTGAAAAAATTCGCTTATTGTTGGATAGACTGGGCATGAGTGAAATAAAAGTTGGTTCAGTAGAAGAATTCCAGGGCCAAGAGAGACTAGTCATTATTATTTCCACTGTAAGTCAGCTGGTGTTGTCATTCATGTTCAGCTTTTTATTTGTTTAATTGTCAACTTAATGCGTCTAAACGAAGCATAAAACATGCCTCTATTTGAGACTTTGACCTCGTTCCCTGGATATTCTCCCTGCTCCCACTGGACACACAATGCTCTGGAAACGACGTTGAGTTAGACAACATAAACACTAAGTCTTTCAACCATTTCCATTGCTTTGATAGGTTCGATCATGCGAAACCTTGATTGCATTTGATTACACTCACAACATCGGGTTTCTTAGTAATCCGAAGAGATTCAACGTCGCAATTACAAGAGCTCAAGCATTAATGATCGTCATTGGCAATCCGCATGTCTTGGTGAAGGTAAGTGGGCTAGTGGCACGTGGTTTTGCACACTTGAATACTCATCATGTTTACTTGTATGATTAAACACACGTATTGTATGATTGTATGGATACATGCACGTATTGTATGAGATTCATGCGCGTACCATTACTGGTAATCCAGGCCGACCATGTTCTTCCGAAAAAAACGGTTAGAAATATGCGTAAGGCAAATGTTTTGTGAACGACGTCGATAAACATTGTGTTAAACGATAAACATTACCGTAACCGTAAACCCGAACTGGGGAACCTTTTCTCTCTCCTGTCCGTGAATGTGAGGAAAGATTTTAGTAATATTCTTTTTGACAGTGCTTTAGAAAAATGTTGAAACTAAGAACAGGGCGGTGTTAGTTTCCAGTCCCCACTGAAAACACATACTATGTGCGTCTCGTTCCCAGGTTTTCCGCTTGTATTTGTAAAGAAGGTTCACATGTGTTTTCAGCAGTTAGCGTTTATTTTGTAAAACGTAGAGACGGGGGGTGGTCTTAATTTTCGACCACCGCTAAAAACTCTTTACTCGTCTTGATCGCAAGATAATAGAGTGGTGGTTATACGTTGTAATGTTCTTTACTCGAAGAAAGGTTAAGAACCGAGGATTAATTGTTGGTAGATTTTTGGTACGTTTTGTTGGGTCGAGACAAGAATATCAAATCAAAATTTTTGCCTGTATCTCCTATAGATGCACTACAATACCGGTAGTCACTACTATCTTCACCACCTTTGTTATTTAATTGATATCAAATGTCTTAATGCAGTAAAATTCACCGCAGCAACATCTCTCTCCTGAATTGCACCTTGAAGATGTCTCACATAAACAGTGTAGTTTAATTTTTCAATATTTGCGAGTTAAGGTGCACTCTTATGCGTTTTAGGACAGCAACTGGCGGGCGTTATTGCAATATTGTTTGGAAAATAAGTCTTATCTTGGGTGTGATTTGCCATTTTTAAATGAACACATTGAGAACGATGATTGTTTTGAGTCGTGCGAAGAAACCAGACGAAATGATGGCCAGGTGGATGGCGATTGTGAAATACACGAGCATGATGAATTTATCAGGTCACGTAACATAAACATCCAACAAAAAGATACGGTTGAAGGAATATTAGGCAATCATATTGAGCGTGACATGGACCCCCTTAAAATACATCACGCTCCAGGTAATGGTAGGTTAACTGACGATACTGCTGGTGATTGTACGAGTGGGAAGAATGGAATAGACTGCAAGACATGCAGCAATATTGGGGGTATTTTAGTGGAAAAGGTGGGCGTGAACGGTATACCCATGGATACGCTGGAAATTGACAGGGTTGAAAAGTCGAAAGGGGACGCTAGCTGTAATTCTATGAATGAATTAGTCGTTGAGCGCCCCCGTTCCGGGTCAGCTGTTGATAGTGAAGGTATCCTTATTGATAAGCTTGGCATATGTGATGAGGAAATATCGAAAAGAGATAATGCTGGACATTGTTGTGTGAACAGATACAGCGAACCCAAGACACTTGAATCCAATAGCATTTTTCGCAGTGAGATGCTTTGGTCAGGCCACGCCACGAAATCATCGGAGTTTTCTTCAGCTATTAGAAACGACAAGGTTGCTAGAGGAATAAATTGCTCTGACAGTGAAACTTCTTCGCGATCTGTTGTTGAATGTCAAGATAATGAAAGTTCGGACGAGGATATTGAAGAAATTGTGTACAAAGGTGAAATGGAGTAAAAAATGCTGGTAAAAAAGTTTATAATATAGACTATACGAAAGACAAATATATTTAAGTTACTGTTTATACTGAGGTCACCATTTATCCAAGACTTGGACTTATTAATGTCTGTTATATTAAAATGTTTCACAGCATTAAAGAGATCGATTAGAAGATGGTGTTGATGGAATGAATTAAGGAATCTACTGAGAGACAAAAACGAACTTGAGTGGGTGTATGATTTGAAAACTGATTTAAATAATGAAGACATTTGGGACTCATCCAACAAACCCTGTTTTAGAGGCAGTTTTAAGTAAAACGATAACTGAGTGTTTTACATTAAATCTTATCAACCCTCCGGCGAGAATCCAACCCGCCATCTCAAACGCGAGAGGCAATGCCAACGACTCCAACACTGACAAATCCTGTTTTATGTACTTATGTCTCTCCCTCGCCTCCGCTACTGTTCTTCATCGTCGAGAGCATGGAAAATATAATATTTTGTGTTGTGTTGTGTTGTAATAATCATCTGATTCATGCAGTAAAACGCTTTCATTAGTCAGCAAAAATTAAAAGGTTATATTCAACTCCTCTTTTGTCACTTTAAAATGAAAAATGCTCTCGTTTTTTTTATCATGCCGCCGCTATCTTTGTTGTAATCTTTATTGACTTCCGTGTTTCTTTTTAAACTTCCTGGCATTTATTAATAATGATTTCGCGTGGGATTTGAATATGAGTTTCGGGATCTAATGCATCTATAACAAAATATATGTATTTTTATAATTAAAAGAACCACGTTTAGTTATTCCTACCATTTTCATATTGGTTATAAGAACCAAAACAAATGCACGCCCATCATTTTTATTTTGTAAGTGGATTGGTGGCAGATGGCCGGATGGAGCGAATGTTTGCAAAAAAAAAGTGTTGACGAGAAACAAAACGATTTTTTCCATGACTATAATGCTCGAAAAATAGTAAGTGAAGAGATTAGAGGATTATAAGTAAAAACTCTGCCTATGATGAGATAATTTTGAATTGATTAAGTTGGTCATTGACTCGCTACTCGATGGCATATTCGCTTCGCACTCTGATATTTTGTGACCCAAAACATGTTTAGATTTGATGTAATTATTTGATATATATGTGCAGTTAATGAGAATAGAAAATTGTGTTCGGCTACCGCCTTGTTTATTTTTCAGTGTCGGTTTCATAAATGTTGTCTTTCATTAAAGATCGCTTCGCCCACACACGAGCTATTATTGTGTCACGTACGGGACTAAACGAGGTTTCTGATAAGATGTGTCGCAATAATCTTTACATGCAGTAATTGTTTTTTGTAACCTCGTTTCTTTAACACAACATGTCACAACATGATCATAATATAAGTGAATGTCGCCAAGTATTTGAACCATCTTACGACTGAAATAAACGTTCTCTATAAGGGTCTGTTCACACGATCCAATTTCACTTCGATTCAAAACCATTGAATAAACATTGATATTTTATTGATATTTTGCTTGAATTATATATTTAGTGCGTTTAACGAAGTAAGGAGGTGCTGGGATGGGAAAATCTTACTCCTTCAGGTTTGCACGGGTGGTTAACCTTCACTAATGACAGTCAGTTTAGCCACGACGGCAAAGTCGGTAATAATTCCGTGTTTAATAAATCCTAAATACACGGATTTAATCCTTGTGATTAGGTTAGATTAAGCCTCATTAAGGTTAGATATAGGATTAAGTTTAACCGTAATGAAGCATAAACCTAAACTAAAACCTAATCGTAAACTCAAGGATTAAATTCGTGTATTTAGGATTTACTGCTATGGATGTATGGAATTATTACCGCGAAGTGAACGTTTTTCAATGCAATGATAAGTTATAGATAAGTATAAATAAGAAGTCTCATTGATCAAATCATTTTGTGGTCAAAGCGTAATCGCGACAATTCTTTATTTATTGTCTCATTTTAGCTAAAGATTATTTACAATTATGTACAATTCTTTAATTATTGTCTCATTTTAGCTAGTAAAGATTATTTACAATTATGTACAAATCTTTTTACAGATTTTTCCTATCTTACTTGATAAAATTTTATCCGATAGAAGTGAATTGCCTGCCATTTTGGATTATACAGGACATGCATGGTGACTGACGTCAGGTGTTGAGTTTTTATCTTGATAGACAGTTATCAAAATGAACGTAAAACTCGCGTGGTATTTTAAATTTCTAAATGAATAGAGACTTGTTGATTGTTACTCGACTTACTCGGGAATCTGGAAGTAATTTTTAAGGCCAAACTAAGCTTGCAGTGACGTCTGATAAGGAAAATCAATGAGTTACGAATGATTCCAAGATGGCCGACAATTCATGACAACTCGTTGCTTTTTGTCATAACATTGCAAGAACCGAAATATGGAAGAACAAACAATATTTGACGAGTGATTTCAATAAGACAAACATTCTTGTCGCTATATTTACCTAAGTTCAATCCAAAACTGTATTTTACTTGTATGCTATTATATAATATGCTTTGTAAACTGAGCTCAAAGCTTTCTCAATTACAGCTCTGAGTCTCTGACGTGCTTAGTTAGTGGAGTCACCATTTGATCAATACTTCACTAATTAGCTCTGAAAACAATATTACTTTCTGATATCAAACGATTTTTAACCTTGGAGAGTCCCTTACTTCAGTTCTGCATCACTGATATAATGAATTGTCTGTTACAACGTCGTTGAGCATTGTCTATTTCACGGCCCTGAATTGATCTGTACGTTCGTGGACATTCGATTTCTTTACACATGAGATACGAATACGTCAAATCTGTTTTAAAAAGTCGCAAGCGGTCGTGTGCAACTCTTCATTAGAAGTGGTGGTGCAGGCATCTCCAAACTATCGTTTATTCTTTTCTCTGAAATCAGATTTGGATTTCTGCTGATCTGAATTCGAACTGAATCGCCGCAGGCTTTTCTTGAAGGCAACTCGAAAATCTTTTTTGAAGAAGGTGTACAAGATCGGATTGAGAAAGGATATGGAGAATCTCAGAATGTCCAAACAATCTAAAACAACTGTAGGGATGTAAATACTATAAGTAAAGTCCAGTACCATAATGTACCACGATATCCAGCCCAATACGAACATTGAAAGCATAGTAACGAATACTATAAGTACACGATGCTCTCGCTTGATCTTTGCCTGTCCCCAACGGTCCTCGTTGCTTCCTTGCCTGAACATGCGCAGTTTAGATGCCGCAATCTCGCACGCATCGGAGAGCCGCATAGCGAGTGAAGACTTCTCCACCTTCTCTCTCGATGCAATGACACTATCACTCAGGTATTTCTCCAAAGGCTTTGAGTTGGTGCCTCTCATGTTATCAAGAGAATGCGTTGAGGTCGATAAAGAATTCGTCGACTTGAAACGATGGCTTGAACTGAGAAAACGGTCATATGAACCATGATGCGTAGCGTAGCGAGTCGCCTCGTTCAGAGGTAAACTCAGATAAGGCGACTGAGTCTGCCTTTCCTCATTTGCAGTTTTCGCTTCGAGATATTGAATTTGATCGTTCTTGTGGCGGTGTTTCTCGGTCGTGAGAAGCCAAGTGGGAGACTGAGGAGGGGACACTGTGACATTGATTTGACCATTTGATTCGTTATGTGATACCATAGATTCCATCAGACCCGGGGAGAAGGAACGGGATCTGAACTTGCCATTTACAATGAGATTGTCACCACGACGTTCACGATCCTGTGCCATAGTAGGGCTATGATCCAAGCTTCTGTGGTGTTGGTCTCCGTAACAACCAACGGTGACACTCCGTGGTCTTGTAAGTCGGATTTCCACAGGACTGCGCGGGATTGTGGAATGGGAACGATCGCAAGTCCTTGAATACTTTTGAGATTTTGATGCCAACTTCCGAGCTTTGGAAATGGCGCGAAACATCCTGATGTACAACACGGTCATGATGATCAAAGGTAGTAGAAAGAACGCGAGGAAAGAGAATATGAAATAACCCTTTTCAAATTGTCTTTCTCTCATCGGGATTTCATCCTCACCGGCGCTGACCGAGCCGAGCCACGAGTACGACACGAGAGCTGACGAAATAGAAGTAGCCCAAGTACAGGTGATTAGAATGGACGTGCGAGCTTTGGTGAGGATAAACTGGTACCTTATTGGATATAATATACCAAAGTACCTCTCTATCGTGATCATAAGTATGTTCAACATGGTGGATATAGCTATGAATCGGAAACAAATAGCTTGAGCTAAAATCAACACCTCAGAAGGAGGCTGACGACAGTTTGATGTTATATGTAGTGGTATAGACACCAAGCCAGTCAAAAGGTCTGAAACACTGAGACTTAATAAAAACGCATTTCGTTTTGTTTGAAGGCTTTTATTCGTTGCCATGGTATAGATGACGTCGATATTGATGCAGACAATGAAGAAACTAATGACGATTAAAAGGGAATAATAAACTCTCTCTTCTGTGAAACATTTTGGTGTAATCCAGATATCATTTTCGCTTTCCGTCCCATTCGACATATTCGCGGGATTTTCAACGATTCACTTTATTCCTATTAAAAAATGAATAATTTTTTCTAAAAGTAAAAAGAACATTTTGTAAACTGTGGAGTTTTGTAAACTTCTAGAGTAGCTACATATGATTACAGAAACTAATAAAAGCCTTACTCTGTGTGGAGTTCTTCTAGTTTTGCTGCATGACTCATTTGAAAAAGCGTGTAATGTACAATACAAACATAATATTAAACATATAGTTTGTGAAAACGTCTCTTTCTTAATTAACTCGATTCACGACTTGATTATATATTAGACATTTATCTAATATTTTCTAATATTTATGATTTTTATACTATCAATGCGCTAAATAATTTAAAAAGGTTTTTCAATGAAAGATTTTTACAGAATAGATGTTTCCTTTTCTCCAACAGCAGCTGTTCGACCATAATTGAATAATATGCGTTGCCTTGCACACGTCAGATTGCTGCATCGCAAACTCATATTTTGAAGCATAAAAAATAACTAGTTGAAGTATCATGTAATTGCGTTGTAATCGATGTTGCAATTACACAAGCAAAGCTGTTTTTGATTGGTTTAAATGTTTCGTCGCACTAAGACGCGTTGCAACGGCAGTTTAGGGGTAAGGGAAGCTCGGGGGGGATGTGAAAAACCCATTTTCCCTTTTTTTTGGCCGATAATGAAAGGGAAGATGGAGTTCCACCGCGTTATAATTAAACAACAAATCTGCCTACATGCCAATTTTTTTATTAAATTGCGCAAAGTAACTAAGATGAATTGGTTTAGATAACGTCTTGTGTACGATAACTCAAATGAAATGTTCAAAATTTTGTCCCATATTTATTTATCCTTCCTTTCACATTATAGTTTCTAGTCAATGGATTTTAAAATGCAAATTGCATGAAATTTTCGCTTTGAAAAATTCGGCTTGTGGTTTTGATTAAGAACTCGATGCATGACAATGCATGAGATCTTGCTCTGATGTCGTCATTTTTTTCCCGTTTTTCAGTCTTCAAGTTTATCTGTTAAAGTTCTGTCTGTTTTTTAAGGATGTTTAGGCTATCCTTGGTTTTTTCGCCAAAATCTGACAGTCCAGTTTGTCTTATCTTTTTCAAACGAGATTTTTCATATGCATGGTTGTAGAACAACATTTTTATATCTTATCCAATGTATTATATATATCATGTCAGGAATCGAAAGATTGGAAAATTTATCCAAAACCGCTTCTCATCATGTCAACATTTATATGAATAATTATCTCCATTTTCAAAGCACTGCCAGAAACACAATCATCCAGTCTAGAGCGGGCAGTGCATGTTCAGAATAGGAAAATATTGCGCGTACATCGGACTGCATACTTGCCTAAATGAAACGTTATATTTAAACTATACGACGGTGTTTTGCACGTTTTCATTTTTCTAGTCGATTTATAGATGCATGTCAATACGAAAGTACTTGTGAAAATATTTGTCAACAGCGTTTCACAAAACCCAAAATCTGCACGTTTCACTCTTTAATGATAAAACTGACCCGAGAAAATGCAATTTGGATGAGCCAAAAAACCTGTTGGGCATCTGATGAAATTGGACTTGTGTATACGGGTGTGAAAAACCCCTTTCAATATGCAATAAACACAGCTTGAAATCCAGAAATGTAATTTTCGTATGTATCGGAAATGTACCCGGTCATTTCATCGCCAAAGGGGGGATTACTTTTCACAGCTTCAGTAAACCACTGTCACTGATAATAACAATATGACCATCTTTAGACCTTATACGCGTGTTTGCTATTAATCTCTTTTCCTAAGAACTATGCTTGTAGATATTACAATCTTGAACATTACACGTCGCGCCTACATGTTTATAAAAATAGACTATATCTTTACACTACTGTATATCCATGTAAGTTAGAACGAGGTAAAAAGTCGAGTAAGACTCACCAGTGATCCAAGTGCGTATAAATTGTTCAATGTCGTATTTCAAATGTGGTTTTCTCAACGCAAGATTCTGCTTCAGGAAAATACCAGGGAAAGTTGGACTTTAATTTGGCTAGCGGACAAACTGATTAAACTTTCGTCTACTCAAGATTTCTGTCTTTATAATTGAGTGACGCATGGGAGAGATTCTAAAGATTGCAGACAATAAGAATAAACAAAATTTTTATCAACAAAATGCAGATGCGAGCAAAAAAATACAAACCTATTTTGTCATGAACTTACAAATTTTTCTGAACGTTTTCATGCGGATGCAGAGGTATTTGTTTGCTAGATGTTGCTGTGAGATTCTGTGAACATGCCAAAAAGGTGATAGAGTGTATATATAACTATCTCTATTACTTCCGCTCGTAACACCTGCAAATGGCATCGGTGACTCTCTACTGCGTGTTGAAAGCAAATAGTGATAAGAAAATTCATATTGGATTTTGAAATTCTGCCATAATGTGGTTGGCGTGTGTTCAAATATTTTTGAAGATAATAGACTGGCGATGTGCAAGGGGTGGGACAAGGGTATAAGATACACAATTGTAACGATATAGGGGCCGGGTTCAGCTATAGGAATAAAAATGGAGTGGGGTAACAAGGGTGATAAGGTAAGGGTTTCAGTATTCTATATAACATGGGTGTATATAATCGGCGTGAAATTAATAATAATATATAAAAGTGTATATATTTTGCTTTGTTTTATTACTATAAGAAAATGATATTTCTTATTATGAGACTGGTTTAAATTGTTACCGTACTTACGAGTATAGGTGAATAGATGATATAAATGTTGTTGCAAAGTATAGATTATGTTGTTCATACACGAGAATGAGGATTAGCATGGCACTCAGCCTCAGTTTTTTCTCGTATATATCTTGTCAGCAATAAACAGGCCATGCATGGACCCGGTAGAATTGGTATATAACGGTAGAATTTAGTTAAAAATTAAAGCTTCTTTTTTCATCGTACGTTGTGGTTGTTTTTGCCGGTTTTTTTTCTCCCACTTTCCACTTAAGGCCATGTAATATCAGTCCGTGCCTAAAAAAAGAATTTGCATATTATTATGTATGTTATGATCAACTATATATAGCTTTGATCAATGTTTTTCTATCGATCCTCTGAAAGTTTTCATACCATTGTAACGCCGGCTGTTGGCTGTGAATAAGGCGGTGTCTCGCCATATAGGTATGTTAATTCCTAAACTGGTCTCTCTAAGAGTGTAGAAAAACCCTTGTTTATATTTTATTAATAGTGTTTTACACAACAAGTAGGTCCATAGTCATGCAGACTACCTAAAAAACTGAAATGCATGCGTGCTTCTTTCTGTCACGAAGCAATGTACTTATGTATAATGTGTATAGTTTCCGTGGAAACACCAATTTCATAAACCGTGATGCAAGACCAGGGAGATGATAACGATGAAGGGTGATGCGGAATCGTTTCGAAGGGAGAGTTTGCTTAGGGAGAGTTTCCACAACTCCGGGCATATATTCTCTTTAAACTATCACGAGAAATGCGCGGTGGATATTGGCCCGGTCTGGTTAGAAAATTTCTCTCACAAGTTTCATCCATCATTTAAATTAGCTTAATAAGATAAGATTCCACCGAAAGCGATAAAGGTTTGCGGACAAACGTGAGGTCAAATGCGAGGGATCATTGACGCTTTAATGCTCGTTTGAGGCTAAACGCAAAAATCGGGGAAACAATGTGGGTATTTTCTATATCCTTTACCGGCACCCTCTTTTTCGCGCCATTCAAAACAAGCTCCTAGCGTGACTGTTTAATTTTTAATCACATGACATATGACGAAGAAGTTAAGATAACATTTTCTCTTTGTACGCAATAATTTACCTTATTACGCAAACGGTTGAATTTTTATTGAATATGAATTTTTTGCGTCTATTTTTGAACGTAGAATACGTCACATTTGAGACTAAAAAATGCACAGTTTGTTTATTGCATATTTTCTCATTCCCTGTTGATTTTATAAGCGTTTTCAAGTCAAGTGCAGTGTTAACACTCGCCTCCCTATGCCTATGGTCAAGTAAAGCAATAGCAAACGAAATCTTGTGAGACCCCGAAGGCTAGAAGTAGAACTTACGTGTTTGTACACATAATGCATGGTTAGTGCACATGTGCCTCGTGGAATTAGTCGTAAATATTTAGTCTTCCTATATATTGACTATAGTTGTTTGTTTGTAAACGAAGAAGCATGTAGACGAGGCAAATGGAGATTTCGTGGCCGTATATTCACGCAAAACTAATTGTAAAAAGCGTGACAACTCTCAGGTTCTTCGGCATTTCTCCGTTAATTCAGTGCGTAGGTTTTGGATGAATTATTAAAAAAATGTAATATCATAATTTTCGTAAGATAACAACTAAATATATACGTATATGTGTTGTGGTACTTGAATTAATCTGTCTTTAAAAACCACGACGGGCAATTAACTGCTAATGTTTGTGTCTAGCAGTACTTTGAAAAGCCAAAGACACTGTCAATCAAAATATAATTCTATGAAAACACACAACGCGGTTGTAAATGTTCTAAATCCACGAATACAATCTTAACTTTAATCCTAAACCTGACCCTAACACCAACTACTAACACTAAAAGGATTAAGGATTATATTCGTCGGATTCTAGACATGGAATTATCGAAACATGGCGAGTTTGCAATCATGATGCGTGCATCTTCGCACGAGTTCCATGCATGTGCACGGCTGCACGCTGCAATATACCGCATATTATTTTTCTTTGATCCCAGTCCCTAACCAATCATTTTTGCTACAACCAGTCCCTCGTCTTTTTGCGCGGCTCTACGAGAACTATGCATGTGTTGCAAAAGAGGATTAGTCCCAGCTGTTGTGCGTTTAATGTATAGTCTTTAGTTTCATGCACGAAACATTTCCGCTGTATTCTTGTTTGGTCAACGCAACGTCTGAACCTTATAACCGACTCAATGACTCAATAAGGTGTTTTCCTTCAATTTTAGATGAAGTAACTAACATTTACCTAAAATAAAAGCAGACGGACTTTATGCGTTTCTTTCTATCTTTAATTATATTACGCTCTTGCAATATGACGTTCACATAAGTAGGTCGCCATCTTGGGTGGAAAGACATTTTCATTCAACCGAGGACGCTGAAACTGTACAACACTTTTGAAATAGATACAGTGCTTCAACTCAAGTAGATTCTAGTTTGCCTGCTTCTAAATTACTGTAAATTATCGCCCCAAATGGCAAAAGGATACAAATATTATCTATATATATAACAACAGTTCCAAGGGATAAACGCGGTGTTAACTATGCAATTTTCCTTGCAACTTGCAATTCAATTCTACTCCTGAGGCATCCAAAGTTGTTTAACACCAACTTGTTAAACACCATTTCTTACGATCTGCTAACGTTTTTTTAGCATTTCGAACACTCTTTACAAACTAACACCCCTCAAAATTATAATTGCATTGCAAGTTGCAAGGAAAGCTGCATATAGAGTAACAGCGCCTCAATATATATCAAAGCAATATTAATGACTTATTTCACGGATTTAGCTGTCATGTTTTGTCCATAGATTTGTCTTCACGTCTTGCGAGCTCTTCTTCGCCGTACTAGGATTCTGAACAGTGAAGGAAATTTCACTGGGTACCACCGAGGCTCTTGCTGCTTCGTTAAATCCTTCGTTTGTCTGTTGTTGGGTGAATACTGACGATGTTGCTGCTTGGTTTATTACTGTGTTTAGCTGTTGCTGAACTGATCTCGCCCTTTCATCCTCCATGAACACCTAATTGAGAAACACAAATCAGGGGTATAATCAGGTTGTATAAAACTCTTTAACTGACTTCATTTTGCACAGTTCAATCCTAGTTAACTCAGAAACACGCGACTCTGATTGGCCAGTTCTGTCCTTAATTACAGGTAAAAGTTAACTAGCCTTTTATACAACTGGCCCCAGGTATATACTATTTTTAACGCAGTGATGATTTTGTTTCTCAGCTATGTCTCTACATTGATGGTATAAAAACCAGGAAACAACGTTCTCCTCGTACGAAGGTTACATGTGCTTCGGGCAGTTTGCATTGCAGTTATTCAAGACCGAAACTAGATGCGATTATTGGGGAAATGGGTTCATATTCATATATTCGCTGCCCGATTTCTTCTGTACGGATTCGTCTTTTCAATCAGTTGGACTGAACAGAATATACGAATATGCACTTCCCTCCCCAATTATCGCGCGCTAGTTTTGGCCGTGCAGTTATTAGAGGTCTTATCGATATTCTTACCTCATTTTTCGGAGTTGGTGCCGTTCCGTAGATTGTTACGGGGTGTTGGTGTCGTTGTAAGGCTAAGCCGACGGGATCAGCGTGCTGCTGAATACTATGCATCTCATGTGGAAGGTACATCATGGTGTAACCAGGTGTCATAGGTTGACCCACAGAAACCCCCGAAATCCTTCTGTATTGGTGGAGACCCTGATTAAGTTCCTCGGATTTTGAATAACCGTAAGGAAAACGTTCCCCGGGTCCTGGGTTTGCCAAATGCTCTCTAGGATCGTAGTGTGGGGAATTGGGTGTGATATAGGATGCTTGCGGATAACATATACCCCTGAGGTTGGATTGCGAGGGATATATTTGGGGACCGGCGAATTGTGGCTTAAAGCCTGTAGGTTCTGGGTTTGGTTGAAAGTTTTCAAGCAAGAAGTCTCTTTCTCCATTTCTACCAGATGTTGAATGTTGTTCGGCGCCTTAAATAAAGAAAAATTATTATTAGTTATGTTCAGATTTACAGCTACAGCTACCTAAAACCCGTTCTCCGGCTCAGTGAATTTATTCGCGCGAAGCAAAAACTGAATTGCAACAACGTGATTGGTGAAAAATTTCACCGCGAAAAGAGTAGGTTTTTCCTGCTTTGTATCGGTTCGCGCGAATGATATGCGGGCGGAAAGCCGGCTTGTAGAAACTGTAAACTTTTCGCGGAGAAACATGCAATGAATGTTTTCCAACCTTTCCACCACTTTTCATAATTTTCATTAACATCATGGTTTGGTTTTCCATACTTCCTAAAATCTTCCTTACTCTTCTTATACATTTCTTTCCATTGACGTGAATTTTTCTTCCTGAGGGACGTTTCGTGTGAACTTGGTACAAATTCACCATCCGACTTAGAGGTATCGCTTGTACTTGTTGCCACCCTTTTAGATGATCGTCGACTACGATTTTTCTTTTTAGACGATTTACCTGACTTTGGGAGGGTAATGTTGCCAAGATGAGAGTGAAGAACTAGTGGTGATGGGACTCGTTCGTTTAATTCTTCCGGTTGGTGATTTGAAATGTTACCTGAGTAGAGTTGTGAGCTGTTGGGTGTGTCTTCATTCACTGGGCTATTTTTGTTTGTGGTTGGGTTTTTACTTTTGTTTCTCTTATCATTGTTAGTAGTTTTTCTATTCTCGCTGGTGCTTTCTTTGCCATCATTCAAATGCTCTGTATTTTCAGTCTTACTTCTGGCTGATGTTGCGACAGGAGACAAATGTTGCGTCCCTAAGCCATACAATATCAACTTCAAATTCTTTATATCCTTCGCTAACTCTTTTCCAGACCTCTTAACCTTCCCCAAATCCTCGCGAACAATTTCCAAATCAGATTTAGTCCCTTTTCCATAATGTTTTCCAAACCGTTTAGCCAGGACACTTTTAATCTCTAGCACGTCGTCATAAACTCGTTCTATATTTGCTCTATCTTTGGATTTGTTCCCCATTAATCGTCCGTGCTTATTTTGTATAATTTGCGGGGATGCGTTGGATTTTATATATTTGTAGTAAAGCTGGAGTTTTTTGTTTCCCATTGTTGATTGAAGTAGCAGAATTGTGCGTGCTCGTTGCATAACCGCGTTCGCCACCGCCTCTTTGTAATGTTGTTCAAACGTGTTTGTTACCAAGGCAACCAACAAGTTTAGCGTGATTACAGCAGCTGCGAGAATAAAGGTACCACATAATAATCGTGCCATCGTCTTATCAGCTTTTTCCAGTTCTTTCCATTCATATCCGCCTACAATTATCATCAAGAAGATGTTGTAAAGCAGCGAGGATATGTCAGTATAGCCTTCTGCGGGATGTTGCGAATTCAATCCAAATGCTATCCAGAATGCGCAAGTAAATGGAATGAAAATGGCAGTATTCAGTACAAGCCATTTTAAGATATCTCCCACAACGTTGCTGAAGATCACCACATAAGGACCTAAAGATTAATAATAGATTGTCGTTAGTTTTATTGAACTATTGCATATTCAAAATTTCCCTCATGATATTCAAAATTCACTGTCTCTGAAGTGATAGTCACTGGTCAGTGACTATAGCTTTTTGATGCTTTTTTCAAATAAGAAATTTGAAGTAATTATAATTTTTTATGAAATTGTGTTGATTCTTATTTGTAAGCACCTCGAAATGTATACAAAACAATTAGTCGCCCCAGGCTCAGTGATTACAAACCTATATAGGCTTGTAATCACCTCACCTTTGGCGACTAATTGTTAAATATCATCACATTTTAATAATTATTTGGAAGGAGTTGCACATATGAAATGTTTACTTACAGTACCTGCATTTTCAAACGGCCTTGCGTACTTAAATATTCTTAGCCAAAGGACAATCAACGTCACAATTTTTGCGTACATATTGATTTTAACCCAATATTCGACTTTTTTCGTCACGTTCCCGATGTTCTTGAAATTCTTTGCACCGTAAAATATTACCTTCCAATAAAGAAAAATATTGTTTTGAATAATATTGACATTGTTTAAACGAAATAAACAAATAACTACGATCCGGCACTTCGTTTTTTAAATTTTATCCCTTTGTGCAGTATTCTCATTCATATTTTTAAACAGTTCGTGCAGGGCCGTCGCTAGAAGCTTAATAAAATGAGTATATTCATAAATTCAACTTATGCCCGACTGATTTCTTCTGTACGCTATTGTTTCCGCGGTAGATAAACATGAACATATGAATATACACGCCTTCCACATTTAATCGGCCTTGCTGCGGCGCTGAGTTCGTGGTTCAACAAGGTTAGGCCATGGTTTGTGTTCAATTACATCATTGTTTATCTACCCCCACCCCTCCCCCCTGCTCCATGCTTTCCCTGTTGAACAATGAACTCTCTCGGGTTTCTATCTTGTAATTATATTTGTTCATTTAGGTAGAGACCATAGCTTTTGTTACAATCGCCATAAGAATTAGGAACAGACACATCCAATCGAAGTATATCCACCAGTCTGAAGTAGCCACAAAATGAAAGTTGCTAACAGCTTCTATCTCGGAGTTCAGGTATTTCTCCTCCTGTCGCCATCTTAGATGACAATATGCTTTGTCTTTCTCGAGTTGCTCACTTCGAGATTCGCGCCACTTTACGAGTTCACGTCGGGCGTTCCTTGTCTCTGAAAGTTGTTTGATTCGTAGTTGTGAACCACGTCAACGATGTGAATACGAAAAAGAAAACGAACAAACAAACAGGGAGAAGCATCAGCTCCCGGCAACAAACAATTTTCCTACCTTTAATTTGTTTTTTGATTTCCCAGAAAGTGAACAAGATAATAAAACCATCGATAATAAACCTCCAGATATTATCATCAACTGGATAAACCAACTCATAACAGTATTTTGGCATAGTCACGCCCTCTATGGTCCAGAGTATTGTATAGATCAGATTTAAGGCCAAGTCCATGATCGCTCCTCTCTTGCCATAAATCTTCCATTTGATCGCAATTAACTGCCTCATGACTGGATGCATAATGACACCAAACCTATGTTGTGTTGGTATATAGACTATAATTAGTAACATCTATTATCCAAACATACATATTTTGCGGAAAAGCTTTCCCTCTTATCTCTATATCAAACCTCTTGTTCTGGACAGCAATCTCCAGAGGAGAGCGTGCTGGAGTTTCTTGTAATCCTTCCTTTAACTTTGCTCCTTCCAGGTAATTGAGAAAGTAAAACTCCCTTCTGTTGATGTAATCTACTGTGTGAAACTGATCCAGTGCTATGAGTGCCACTTCAGGGATCTTTTCAATGAGCAGTGATAACGCAGAATTTCCCATGTGGTCATAGACACCGGCAGGAGCTCCTTCACTCACAAGAAGTTTGGCGGCTTTAAAACTATTCATCTCTGCTGCGACCTGACAAATGAATAACCATGAGTTACGTATTGGGATCATTTAGACAATTACTCTCATTTCTTGTTCAGTTAATTTAACCCTGGTCGTTTTGTTAAGAATTTGACATTTGATAAGAAGGTTTACCTGGAGGGGTGTACGATTTCTGCTGTCATGGTCATCAATTTTGGCTCCGTGACCTAGCAACATCTGCAGGGAGTTAATGGCGTCATTTTTCACTGCGTAATATATTGCAGTTTGTTCTTCTCCTTTCGTTTTGATATTAACATCTCCGCCATGTTGGAGGATAAATTCCACCATGCTGGCGTAGTCAACAGCTGCAGCAACGTGGAGTGGAGAACGACCATACGTGTCTTGGTGATTTACATTGGCACCTGTTTTAGGTGTGAAAGTAAAATTAAATTAACGCTTTGTACTACCTCTTTGTTTTACAATATCGTCGATGTGAACGAGATGACCGGTAGTATGGATAATGAAAACAAAAAAGAGAAGGATTTCGTCAGGATATCATCGCATTGACGGAGATAGAAATTGTGTGGACTATGTCCATAGGAAGAGAACAGGAACAGCAAAAAACGAGAGGATGAAAAGAGAAATGTAAAAAGAATGAAAAAAGAATGATAAAGATATTGGAAAACATTCAAATAAGAGAAAAGTGAAATGACCTGGTGAGGCAAGAGAAAAACAACAATCATGGGTAAAGAAGAAGCATTTTGTTCTTGTTTTTGCTAAAATTGCCTTGATAAGTTTTGTTTCATGGTATATTTGCAATTTTTTTTGAAAAATATGTTACCGTTTTCCACTAGAAACAGAGCCACATCAACGTTCCAGGATCTGGCAACCTCGTGAAATATAGTCTGCCCGTTTGTGTCCATACAGTTGATATCTGCGCCATTTCTTACAAGTGATTGTACAAACTCAAAATCAAAAATATCATCCTTGTCGTTGGAGTTGGCAAGATTTGCGAGGTAGTGCAAGAGAGCTTGATTTCTAACAATGTCGCTGTCCTGGTCGTTGACGTCCAAGTTTCCAAGTTGATCGTCCAAGACAGCATAGGTTGCTTCGTTTGGTCGTTTGTCTTCTGCAAGTAATAAAAATATGCAAGGTTGGAATGAAATGGTTTTAAATTGATTTTGTTTATTTTGTTGGATAGCTGAACTAATGGAGTATTCATTATTTTATGCCAACAGGTGCATGGGGATTGGTAAGAGGTGTTACCCCCTCTACAGTGTTGGTTGTCTACCCCCCCTACAGTGTATCTCCCCCTCTACACAGAATTTATCACAATCCCCCTGATACTTTACACCCTACTGCCAAACGTTACTCCGATCCTCTTCAAGTTAAATATATGATAATGTATTTTTGGATTTTGGTTACAGTTGGTCGACTAGATGTATGGTACGTATATATATAGTATGCTACATTTTTAATTATTTGGATTTTTTCAATTTCGTTTCCTGACCTGGCATTTCTTTCATTAGCATAATCTCGTACAATTTCCTCTTATTGAAAACATCTTTATCACGTCTTGTGTCCATTTTTTCTCTCTGATCATTTTCGCCTGCTTCTGCGAGTAAAAATTTTTAAAGAAAACTGAAAATCCCAGAACCGCTAAAAAGTTGAAATATAGGCTGCGAGGTTGTGTCAAACCTATTTCGAATTACCTGTAATTTGTTTTACGAGATCTTCCAGCTTCCATTTGAATGCGCCATTTTGTTTGTTTTTGTCGTCGAACAGACCTGCTCTCTCGCTTTCCTTGTCTAGGAGACCTTTTTTCTCGTTTTTGTCTGGCATTTTTTACCAACGTCTTGAAAAAGGCAGCGTATCTAAAAAAAATCTTTGTAGACTTGCTTTGCATTCTAAATTTTCTAATTTTAAAACACCTATAGCAGCATTTTGTCCACTCCCATTACTTCATTAAATGAGAATAAAACATATCATATTGCAAAGGATTATAATTTATAGTTCCAAAACACTGGGTCTCTATATCGCTGATCTAATTTGTATCTATATGTACGTGTTATATATGACAGATATATACAGTGCATGGACAAGTCAAAATGGGTCAGTGGGAAATGACCTATACCTACAGACTAGTTCTACATTGTGAGGCTATAGTAAAATAGGCAGTTGTTATTTTAGGCAGTTGTCATACCACATTTGATGCTAAGTTGTTTGAAGACGCTGCCACGCTGCTCCCTGGTTATACAGTAATATTACGACTATAGTTGTATAGCTATATAGCTTAGATGTCAGAATTCATAGGTGCATGACAAATATAAATCTTACTTTTAAATTCTAGCTCTATCCTTCTTCTCTACCCTTCTAATACCTTTTCCATTGGAGTCTTACGTATAAACATTCATATTAGAGTATACACGTACAATACTCTTTTTATTATTGCAAGATTTCATTTAAACGCATTGTCATGAATTCCTATAAATATTTCAAGACATGACGGACCACACCATATGGCGACGACTTCAAACGTTATTCACTAATGAATAACTTCAATACGCTTTTTCAGTTTAGTTAAGTAAGCTTAGGCTTTAGCTTATTGGAGGGTAGACCTTTAAATTTTCATTTCCCGTAGGCTGCAAAACACAGACTCACGTCACAAGTTTGTAATATATTTAACAGTTATTAATTGCTGTGGCCTGTGGGCAACATAAGCCAACATTATTTAAAGAGTAATGAAGTTTTCTATAGGCCTAGCTCGCGTATAAAGCAGGTGTTTACATTTTGTGAAGAAATTTCGCTTTACATACAAAAATTTCATCAAAAAATTGACAAAGAGAAAACGAATGCGGACAGGGTCATCCACGGGAGTTTTTAGTCTATACTGTCTATACCTTCTGTTAATTTAGGACAATACCTGTAGTTTCCTCCGGCCCCTGCAGCACTGATATGATTCACAGTGGTCCCATGCAAGAATAGGGATTCATTCCGGGCACTTTATTCACACCATCCATGCAGTAGTGATCATAATAATCAGTTGAACATAGCGTATACGTTTATCACGTCAATACGCCGTTGAAAACATGTCAGCATCGCATAGCAGAAAATGTATTCCCAAACATAAATTGACGATTTGTCGATAAGATTTTTAACACATTTATTTTACACATTTATTTTATAAGAATACAAACAGTTGATGTTCCGTCTGGCAAAATAATTTCTCTATACAGGGTGTATAAAAAAAAATGTCCCAAATGTAAAATTTCCGTTTTTCAAGATATTTTGCAGAATTTGGCAATTTTTTGTGTTCCTAGAGATAGTTAAGACTTATCTGGTATACCTAGGCCAAGTTTGGTTTTTCATTAACAAAATTATGTTACCGGGGGGGTGGTTCCTTTCCACTGATATTGAGAGGGCTTGCGCGCGAAAATGTGAAGCTGAAATTGAGATATTATTTAGCTGTCTAAAAGTAGGAAAGCTTTTTAATAAACTGTCAAAGTTTCAGGAAAAATAATGCAAACTGGGAGCAACGCGCGACTCCTAAAAGTGACAAATATTTCATTGCGCGCAGTGGATTAAATGCAAGGTTGATTTTAGCGTGACCGATTTCATGCAAGGCTGTGCAAATGAATAAATTAAAGCGAGAAACTCAACAAGAAGACGAAGCGATTTAATAACAAGATCTTTTTTCTTGATATTAATCCTCAACATTTCTACCATTTCTTTCTAAGCAAACTGCGGCTCGTCTGAGCATGGTAAACACTGAACGGCGAACGACATTTGTCTGTCCTGCCTCAAATTATCCATTTCGTTCGAAATTCTTTCTTGCAAATCGCCTACGCTACCACCGGCAAATCTAGGCGAATGGACAGACAAATGGTTCGCTGTTCAGTGTTTAGTATGCTCAGACAAGCCGCAGTTTGCTCAGAATGAAATGGTGGACATGCTGAGGATTAACATCCCGAATAAATCCCTTTGTTTTTGTATTCAGTTTCTCAATTTAATTTATTCATTTGCCCACCTTGTATGAGATCGGTCACGCTAAAATCAACGATGCATTTAATCCACTGAGCGCAATGAAATATTTGTCACCTTTAGGGGTCACGCGTTGCTCCCTGTATGCATTATTTTTCCTGAAACTTTGACAGTTTATTAAAAAGCTTTCCTACTTTTAGACAGCTAAATAATATCTCAATTTCAGCTTCACAATTTTGCGCGCAAGCCCTCTCAATATCAGTGGAAAGGAACCACGCCCCCGGTAACATAATTTTGTTACTGAAAGACCAAACTTAGCCTAGGTATACCAGATAAGTCTTAACTATCTCTAGGAACACAAAAATTTGCCAAATTCTGCAAAATATCCTGAAAAACGGAATTTTTACATTTGGGACATTTTTTTTGATACACCCTGTATATTACATCCTAACTAATTCCGTCTCTAACTCGACCTTGTTTCAAGATACGCCGTGTTAACACTGGATTTCAGGACTAGCATTTGAAACAATTTCACATGAATTATCATCAAACCAGGACTCCTTCTTTTTTTCGTTTTCTTTTGGTTTTTGCAATGAAACGAACTCATTGTTATCTACAAGTTCACAATGTCTCAGATACTGCGAAAACAATTGTCTGGCTTGGGTTAGAACTTTTTCCGCGTCATGTTTGCGAACTTTTTTGTCAAAAGAAGACGCCAAAGAGTTGTAGTCCTGCTCGTTGAAAACTCGTTCCCGATGAAGAATGAGAATAGCAAGACATAAAAACAACGAGAAAGGATTTCCATCTCCTAAATGATATGGATCGGGTAGGGAGACTAGTGCTAGTTTCCCACCAAAATCATCAAGATTTAAGGCTGCATATTCATCTTCGTCAGCAAAATCCTGATCATTATTTGCGCTTACAAGCGACTGATAGGAGTATGGTAAGGAACTGTATCCTTCTGACCGCAATACTGCACTGGAGTTAAGACTGCACTGAAGTTTATTGGCTGTATTGAAGGTAGCACTGCTTGGAGACTGCGGGGTGTCTTTGGGGGGAGGTGGAAGCAGTGAACTCCAAATTACCTCCATGATTTGCAGAGAATCATCGAATTGGAACTCTCGCTTTAAATCTAAGACTAACCATCGATAACAAAAGAACATATCATCTGCTTCGACTTTCATAAGATATTTGTATAATTCCGGGTCGAATTTTTGTACAAGCAAAGTTAGGTGATCAAACTTCAAAGACATGGCTTTTCCATCTGGAAGGAAATGTTTCCTACAGCGAGACATGAGGGCAGTAAAACATGTAAACGTGATAGCCTCGTCGTCCATGACAACCAAAAGTGGAGCGGCAAGGTCGCTCATGCCTTGCGCGTATGATACATCCGGGTTCAAGACAGCATAGGTTACCAGGATGTTAAATAATGACGTCAGATGATGATGATCATCTGGGACGTCGAAATAGGGATAAGTTCGATCTGTCCGCCTGACATCTTTCCATACCATGTCTCGTAGTGATTCAGTCTTTGATAACTGATCTTCTCTTCGCCATGAAGCTTGTATCTGCCAATAAACTTTACATTTCATAGCCAAATACTTCTCTCTTTCAATTTCAGTTAAATCCGGAGGAAAAACGTTTAAAAGATGTTTCCAAACACATCGCCTCAAGGAGGGTTCGACACCCCAGTTAAAGACAATTACCCATAATTCATGTACGTTTTTTAAGTGGCCTTCGTCATCCATGTGTGCCAGCCAATCAGATTCACCTAAGGGAGTCTTGCGGCTCATGTCTATAAATGCACTGGTTATTTGGTAGAAAGTGTTTTCCACTCGTTTTCGAAAAGCTGAGGCAATTGGTAAGGTTAGTCTGTTACCAAATGATCTGATATCCTTAATCATAGGAATGTTATACCCATCTAGTACTATCCAATCTTCACTGTCATTCGGTTCATCAGCTGTAAAAAATGGTAAAAATCATTTCAAACTGAGGGGTGAACAGTCAGTAAAGTGACCTACTCTCAATCTCTCATCATGAAATTAAAATACCATAGAAATAATAGACAATTATTTCTATGATCCAACTCCAGTTTGTATGCTTAGGGCCAGGTTGTATAAAAAGGCAGATAACTGAAATTGAATGTGTTATCTCTAATTTTCTTGGTTATTTACACCCCTTACTATGCCTCACAGAAAAAAACAGATCTTACTTTCACCAGTCACAAGAACTCGCAGCTCCAAGTATGGAGAATCCGCAGCTGCCCTCACTGCATCTTGAAGATCCTTGTCAGATGAAATAGCAAAATTTAGAGTAGTATTTTCACAAGAAAGTCTATGTGAAATTTCCAAACTCCTGCAAGCAAAAATAATTCTTTAATTTTAGGAGTTACTCTCCTTCCTGTAATGAAGGATAATCATCAGGGATGAAATAAAAAATCAGTGGTAGACTTGTAACAGTGGGGGTAGGGTGTATCGATTTTTAATAATCATTTTTGGCTTTTTATAATTTACAACTGGTAAATGACAAAACAAGGTCTAAAAAATAACATTTTGCGGATCCAAGATATTAAATCACGAGAATGAGTTGTAGTGCAACTTGTATTTCAGACTTGGTTTTGTCATTTATTTTCTAAAACTGCCAGCTTGTACTGAACTTCAGGAACATGTGAATTGGGCAAAAGCAAAAGTTGCCAAAATCAACATATGTGGAAAATACACTAGGGCAAAATGAGCACTGATTGTCAGTGTTTTATAAACGTGCTGTATATAAATTTACAAACATGCTATATATAAATTTCAGCTCAATTGCTGGGTATAACATTGTTGGGGGGTGTACCCCATAATATACAGGAAGCATAACATGGCCAACCTAGGCCTAGCTATTTCAGTTGATGTAAAGTTGTGTGTGTGTAGTTGTCAGATCAGTCGCAGTCTCGATCAGTTACATAAATAATCCGTTCCCAAATCTCAAAATACATATCAATAACACAATGATAATATCTAATAGATTTTTAATGAATTTTGCAATCGTGGCTTAGTTAAATACCTCTTTATATAAAATGCCCTTTGTATCCATTTATACAAATCAGCGAATGTCGTAATATTGGGGTCGATGACAAATCGACGAATGTCGTTATGATTTTTTTCCAACTAAAAACAAAATAAATATGTTATAATCAATTCCTATTTTTGGTGACAATATAAATTAGCTTAAATGGAATAATATTCTAGTTAAGCAAAACAATATGTAGCTTCGCGGAGCCGTCCACGTAGTCTATACAAATTACAAACAGGTACAATTTTAACAAAAAACTACATATCAAAAAGTCTAACTTCAATTTACTTACAGATACTTTAACTCGTACAACATCAACGTCACTTAAAGAAGTCATTTCCAAATATTTGTGTGAAAACTCCTCATTGAGAATTTATTCCTGCGAATGTTTTATTGTTGTTCAAATGCTTGCTAATTTGATTCCGTGTGCGTGGCGCGCAACCTCCACGCGTGGGCAAGGCCATAAAGTCAACAGCCAAGTCCAAAAGTTCATGTCTTCAAGATCACGTCGTCTAAGACGGGAAACTCGTGACTCGTCTAATGTGAATTCGGTCACAACGTCACACACGGATTTCTCGTCCGAATTTACCCGTCTAACTTTCCCGTCCAAACAGACGGGTAAGTTGGACGGGAATCCCGTCTGGACGAGAATCCCGTCTGGACGAGAATCGTTTCTGAAACATCAACACGGTCAAGGACGGAACAGAACAAGGCTAAGCCTAAGATACTGAAAGCAAACAAAATTTTTATCGTAATAATTACGATACCCTTTTTAGCATTACCCGACTCATCACACATATAATCCTATCCCTCACCACACATCTATTCCTATTCATATTTAGACAAGTTTTTACCATCAACTTTTTCGTCTAAGATCAGTTTCCCGTCTCTATTAATGCAGGCCTACCTAAGCGTCGAAGTTAACCACGGTTTCAACACTGATAATTGAAATATCACACAACTGAACCTACAACCACAAACTTTACGAATAATTCCCAATTTTGGAAAGTATAACTGGATTATTTATGATAATTTAAGATTATAAGAATTATGATAATTCAAAAATTATAAGAACCCAAACAGCCTATATGTCATTAGGCGATTTCAAATTCGTTCAAATATGTTTTATCTAGCGTTAAACTGGAAACAGATGCATCAGAGTCAGGGGCCACTATTCCATAAACCGTATTTGCTCTATCCATACGATATCAAGCAATCTGTTTGCATACGATTGAAGACATGCCGAGAGGGCTCGCCTCTTCTCATGCGGCGTTATGAACGACGTGTTAAAAACAATAGATAATGATAAAAAAGAAATTGGATGCTATGGCTATGCTCTCTTTTCTTTTTCGCTTAGCACAAGAGACTGCAAGTAAATGTAATGCCTTACTTTAGTTACCTATGATGACCTTTCTGTTAGTTTTTGATCTTTTTTTTACCATTTGGCATCTGCCAAACTGAAAAGGATAAGACTACAGATACGATCATCAATAATTTGTTAAACATTATTAACTAAAGCCACCTTGTAATACACACGCAAACGCCAGCTTTACGACTATTGCGATGTGCGGAGATGCACGAAAGACAGTAATTTATTCCCGTTTTTGCTAAAGTTTGAATTATTTAGAATTGAAAGAGGCAATGTCAACGTCTACATGCCCTGACCTTGGTTCATTTAAATATTTGCTTTGTTTAGGAGTCGAACGGCAATGTTTTGCCATCTGTGCACTTCAGTTTAAAATATTAATGCCCTAAGTTTAAAAATGACAATGTTTTATATTCTCACTTTACTGTACTGAACGGCATTGCTATTAGTATTGGCATTGTCGGTATAAACTGACTCAGTATAATGAAACGTTCTTAAATGCGATTTTGGTCTTGTTGTCTACAAAAAAGATTTTATTTTCGCTGAATTTAGCTGACCGCATAACGTCTATATCAAGATTAGTAAGTATACAAAAGTAAATAAATAAAAAGCTGCATGAGAATGATAAGTTATATTTTAACTGAATTGAATCTAAAACGTAACTTAATTAAGCTTGTGCAAATTAAATTTATTATTTTTGTGCCAACGGCAACGCAACGGTTATGATTCGTTATGAACGGAGCTAACTAAACTTGGTTAGTTAATAAGAGACTACGTTTAAAAACACGTTTACCATTTGCCAAAAAAGGTATAGTTTGCGCTTTTCACTTGGCAGAATTTTTCGATTGCACGGAAATTTTTGCTTTATGATTTTCGTTTCAATCGAGACCAGTCAGTGGATTCCTCATATAATTCTACAGTTCTCATATAATTGCGAAGAAGTTCAATCGAAAAATTCTGCTTAGTGCATGAAAAACCGCCCTAAAGTCAATTTTGGCCCATGAAGACAGGAAAGTCCAATAGCCTATAACTATATCCTTACTTGACTAAACGGAGGTTCATAGCATGCATGGGCTGTGAATTTGTATAAACCAGAATTCGAAGAATGAAACAGGAACAAAGAAGCTCTTTGTTGTAAATTCGTGCTCTATATACTATAGTCAGAGCGGCTTTTCACTAGGGTGGGTGCACTAACTGCGCAACTTCGTTCTCAGGGCATAATTGACTGCAGTGCCGGATGCAATAACATTGTTATTCAGAATTTAAAATTTTATTGCGGGAATTATTTTGTCTGATGCTACGCTAACTTGCACGCGCGTTACTTTAAAATTAATCACCTATTAAAATCCCGGGTTCGGTTGTATAAAACTCTTAAACTACATAGTTAAAACTAGTCTTTTATACAAGTGGCCCCTGTTATCACGGAGCTGTTTTAAAATGTATTTACATTTACACCAACCGAACAGCATCAGTGGCAACAAGTATTCAAATAAACCATCAACTCGTCAATCAAGAAGAAAATGCCATTCAAATGTTTTTTTGCATGCGTCTGTCTGTCCGAGCATGCAAGCTGAAAAGGTCTATATTCTCATATCACGACGGTTACATGAGAATAGACCTTTTCAGCTTGCATGCAAATTAACCCCCATTTCAGATGTTGTGACCATGAAATAGCCAATAAAACTTTACCATGTGATTTGAAATGGGTTAATTTTCATACAAGCTGAAAAGGTCTATTGACTATTGACTATGGGCATGGCAAATGTTAAGTCAGAAAACGATCTGGCTTTGACAATTAAAGTGTGATATATTTCCTTTAACTTTGTTCCTGAAGAGTGAAGTTATTTGCATGGGCTGGGGGTAGCGTAGTTACACTTGTTTTTATAGCTTTTTACACGCTCCTCCTATGAATCAACATATTATCCTAGTGTTGAGTGTGGATGTTGTGTCTTTACCTTTTCCTTGATAATCATCAGCCCTAAATGTTTCGCTTTTTATCAGATTGCATTAATTATTTATCCATTTTGTATGAATAAAATGTAAATTGGTTTATTCAAGTAGCTGAGCCATTTTGTCGCTATTTTTTTAACGCCCGTTTTACATACGTCAGTCAGTGTTTGAAAAGAAAATAAGATTATATAACCCTCTTCCATCTCTAAATGTTGTTTTTTTAAAATAATGTCATCGATTAATTTTAAAGAAACGCAGAGAAATGGCCGAAACCAACGAAAAGTCAAATTTGTTGGATGAAAAGACAAAGAATGTTGCTGCAAAAGACGTAGAAAAACTGGATAATCTTCCAAATGACACGACTGGTATTGCAATTGATAGTATATAATTGATCAGTAATCAGTATGACAAGACGCAAAGTGTTTCAGCATATAGTTTGTCTGGTGAACACGACACTTTGTATGCATAAACGTTTTTTGGCTTGTCTTATTGAACACTTTATAATATAAACCCTTTAAAACGCATTTGTTATTCCATTCAAGTCAACCGAATCATCAATTATGCAAGAACAAGACTGGTTTGTTGGAGAATCAAGTTTGCGCGACGAAAAGGCTTATATACCCCATAAAATTCTATGAAACTTTGAAAAGCGCTATATATAGTAACAAAATTTCTCATCAACCAACTTAAAATATTATTTTAACATTCAATTTCAAGTTGTTACAAGCTATTTTAATCTGTTGGGACAAAAACACCCCCCTGATCTGGAAAAACATTCGGTTTTTTGTTTGCCTTCTATTATAAACACCCAAACAATCTTTGTATGTCAATAAAAGATCGATCCTGATTCTACTTTGTGAAGTTAAGAACGATTTCAAATTTATTTAGGATTTTCATGATCACCCTGTATTACTTTTTACTAACTTTATTCCGCAATCAAAGTTACTTGGCCAAGAGTTGCCAAGAGTTGCGTAACCAACAACAACAAGACCAACAATCAGGATTGCTTATTGCTTATTCCGTGTAGACATGGATGAACAAGATAAGAAAGAAAACACGAGAAGAAATAGAGCTGGCGGGGAAAAGAGAAAATTGTACGAGGTTATGTTATTAGAGGAAATCCCAGGTATAGCTTGCAATGCACCCAAAAGTGCCCTACTTTGTTGGTATTTTATCCTGTTCAATGCCAGATAATATACTCCTCAGTGGACGATCTAGAGTACTGATCAGTTAATCCGATTTTTGTGTGGTTTGCCCTATGAGACAATGAAAGATTATTTGAATTTGATTATTAAATGCGTGGAAAAAAGTAAAATTTAACATTAAATTTGGAAAGTCGTTATTTCTTTTTGTAAGAGAGAGTGAGATACTGAGACTTGATCAATGGCTCGATTTTGCTAGCCCGCTTGATGTTTTCATATGAGCCTGTTAAGGGCGAGATCTCGCTTCGTTCAATTTTACAAATATAGTGAAATAATATATGAGGCGAAATCCCGGCACTGCCCGCTAAACCGGGCTGGCCCGTCTCATATGAACAGGCCCTTAGTCGATCATAGGTACACTTTCTGATTCTAGAGACCAAGCGACCTAACGAACCAACGCACGCCGTACTGGAAGGTGAACTTGGAGAATGGGAGGTCGATGGTCAAAGCAACCAAAATGTAAGAAATCATGCTCTTATTCATTATATTGCTGATCTCGCCAACTCCAATAATCCAGATGATGTATTTGATTATGATTTCGTGGAATCTTTGCTGCTGAATGGCGCCGACATCAACTGCATGGATCCAACTAGGCAAACGATCTTCCACGAGGTGTCAAGATCCTGGAATACGGATGTGGCGAAGTTTCTTGTGGATCAAGGTAAATTTCATCGCTAAATTTTAAAGTATAAATTGTAAACGTTGTTCGTTATTGTTCATACAGTCATATTTTTATTGCTATAAATTAGTCCTATTATTATTTTCCTCAGGTCATTTCAAATTTTGTACAAAAAAATTAAAATGATTTATTTTTATCTTTCGAATTGCTTTTGTTTATGTATTAACATACTGTATAATGTATGACATTACTAGTGTTTTCTTAATTAAATTTTTCTTCTTTACAAAGGTGCCAATGTAAATCACCAAGACATGTATGGTCGTTCACCACTCCACGTTGCTGCAGCTGTTGACTACGCCAGCATGGTGGAATTTATCCTCCAACATGGCGGAGATGTTAATATCAAAACGAAAGGAGAAGAACAAACTGCAATATATTACGCAGCGAAAAATGACGCCATCAAATCCCTGCAGATGTTGCTAGGATACGGGGGCAATATCGATGCTCGTGATTACAGGAATCGTACACCCCTACAAGTATGAAATATAATTTTTAGACGTGGAAAGGAGAGAAAAATTGTATATTCTATAAATTACTTCTCCATCCTGTATCAGTCTGGTTGGCGAAGAAGCTCATTTTGTTGAATTATTTACAGTAGGACATATTTAACCTTCATTTACGATTTATCTCTTTAGGTTGCGGCAGAAATGAACCGTTTCAAAGCCGCCAAACTTCTTGTGAGTGAAGGAGCTCCTGCCGGTGTCTATGACCACATGGGAAATTCTGCGTTATCACTGCTCATTGAAAAGATCCCTGAAGTGGCACTCATAGCACTGGATCAATTTCACACAGTAGATTACATCAACAGAAGGGAGTTTTACTTTCTCAATTACCTGGAAGGAGCAAAATTACAGGACGGATTACAAGAAACTCCAGCACGCTCCCCTTTAGAGATTGCCGTTCAAAATGAAAGGTATATTTTATATGTTTTAATCTGAAAAACAAATAAACAAGCGAAGCTTTTTAACTTGGGCACATTCCGGTCCAAGTTAAAAACTGTTAAAATCTGTTAGGAGGTATGATAAAACGTCTAAAACGTCTGATTAATACTTAAGGTTTGACGTCATTATGCATCCAGTTATGAGGAGACTTATAGCGGTCAAATGGAAGATTTATGGAAAGACGGGAGCATTTTTGGATCTTGGTCTGAATCTGATCTATACAATACTCTGGACTGTTGAGGGTGTAACGATGCCAAGGAATGGACACGAATTATATTTGCCAGTCAGAAAAAATGCTTGGAGATACGCTGTTGATAGTTTGATCCTCCTGTTCACATTAATGGAGATTAAACGACAGATCAAACGTAAGTAGGGAACATTATTTCCTAGCCAACTTGACAAAATATTTTTCAAAAAAGAATGAACTGATAGAAATTTTCCAGAACGCTTATTCATACCAATGAATGTAATGTAACTATTACCATAATTTATTTTACCATAGCCCAATATCATCACTGTTTTCTAATTACCAACACAACTATATAAATCAACATTGCTCTCATACCACTTTTTAGGGACAATCAACGCTAGACGAGAACTGGTAAAATGGCGTGAATGGCGCGCTGAACAACTACAAAAAGACAAACAATTTTGTCATCCAAGATGGCCACAAGAAAGCAAGCATCTCGACTCAGAAATTGCAGCAGTGAAAGGCCTTAGTCTTGTTTCGTCGTCTGATAAGTGGGTTTACTTTGACTGGATTTGTTTGTTTCTTATCCTGGCGACCATTACTACCAATATTCTGTTCTTTGAGGAAGATTCTCAAATTTGGAAAAACATTAACAACCACACAACCGTTGCGATGTTGTTAATTCTTTGGCTCAGAATGTTTAAATACGCAAGACCTTTTGAAAACGCAGGTAATATCATATCCTTTACGCAAGTGTGTTTATCACTTTGACATGCATGGTGCTTTCAATTCTGGAGAAGGTGCTTTCAGGATCACATGGATGATACCAAACATCCACAATCATCAGTTTAAACTAATTATATGTATAGATTTATGATGTCTAATGTAATCTTGTTTTCGTTTGACTGTGCTGTAGGTCCGTTCGTCGTAATCTTCAGTAATGTTGTTGGAGACATTTTGAAGTGGGCCGTCCTGAACATGATAATAATCATTCCTTTTGCTTGTGCATTTTGGATCGAGTTTGGATTCAATTCCAGCAACCCTGCTGAAGGATACACTGATGTCTCATCGTTACTATACAACATCTTCCAAATGATGATCATCGGAGATTACGGCTGGGAAAAACTCAAAGCCGCCAATCAAGGAATGGCGCGGATTTTGTGCATGTGTTTTATTTTGGTTGCAGGAATCATCACACTGAACCTGCTCATTGCTTTAGTATCGAACACGTTCGAACGCCACTACGAAAATGCTGTTGCGAATGCAGTTATGCAGCGCGCAAGTACGATTTTGCTCCTCCAGTCACGGATGGGGTACAAAAAACGGAAACAATATTACGAGTTTATTAAAGCCAACGCAAGTCCGCAAATAATTCAGCAGAAATTCGGACGGCTCATGGCGTCGAATCCCGAAGACAGGGCGAATATTGAACGAGTGTATGACGACGTACGCCAGATTAAAAGTGTCCTAGATGAACGGTTTGGGAGACGTTATGGAAAGGGAAATAAATCCGATTTGGAAATTGTTCGTGAAGATTTGGGGAAAATCAAGAAGTCAGGAAAAGAGTTAACGAGAGCAATAAAGAATATTAAATTGATATTGTATGGTATTGGAGGGCAACCTGTGTCACCAGGGCTTCCAGGAGATCGAAAGGATCTGTGCAGAATGAGCAGTGCAGAGACCTGCAGAATCAGGCGAGATGACAATGATAGCGATGAAGGTACTTTGAGAAAGATGAAGAAAAACATCGGTGGCAATAACACTAACAACAACAATTACAACAACCGCAACAACACGAACAAGAATAATGACAGCTACAATAACAACGATAACAACAATAACACTTACAATCCAAACAAAAAATCTCAACAATACCCAAGTGAGAGCAACGTTGAAAACATGTCCCACCCAAGAAAAAAAAGAAGTCGAAATCGTTCGCGAAGATCAAAAATGCCTGAGCCAACTTCATCTGCTGATTCTGACGATGATAGCATAAGTTGCCAACCTGGAACACCGTTTCCATTCACATCGCGTGATTTTAAGGAAGACGCTCATCGGCGCAGAATGGAGAAAAGTCAATTTAAAGGAAACAGCAGACTCAAACGAATTGGTGAAGAAAATTGGAATAGAGGTAAATATTGCACATCTTAAAATTTCCTATACGTGAATTAATGCCGATTACCAATTTAAGTGAACAAACATGTCCGATTGAATAAATTTCAGGTGATTATAATCAATGGCTGCCTTATGACCACTTTGGAGAACAAGATATTCAACACTTTTCACCAAGATCAGAAAGGAGATATGTGGATCCGCATTATGGAGGACATGAGTCTCCAATACCTATGCATCCTAGTATAAACGTTGTTTATCCCAGGCATCGAAGAGAAAGCTCCATTCCTTATTACCCCGAAGTGTCCTCGCAAACGAGAAGCCTACCACCAACATTCAGCCCACAACATGGAAGATCTTTAGTTAGCCTCCACCAACGAAGGTTAGGAGCTCAGATGGGTCCCTACCCACAAGAATATTTGATGCAGTCAGATGATTTTGGTAGCTCGAGTGTATACAGAAGGCCGTCTAGGGACGTTTTGATTCGATCTGCTACACAACGAAATGACCCAGGTTCCCAATATTCAGACTCCGATTACAAATCAACAGAGCAAAGACAACGTGGCGGAATCACAAAGTCTGAGGTATCAATTATGCTCAAAACTGATAAATCCTTCTGCTTGAGTAAAAAAAATTAGAAATAACTCGATAAGGTGACGAAGTATACTTGCATGTAGGGCCTTGCTTGGGGGGTTAAAACTGGCAAGAAGTGCAGCGAAGTGTTTTTGAAAACGTTTTAAAGTTCTAAGCCTCTAGTTCTTTGGAAACAGCCCATTTTGAGTATGACTATCCCTTCTTTTTTCGGATATAATCACGCAGTACCACGCCCCTGGACGTGATCGATTAACTGATCAATCTAAATGATTGATCATATTTCAGGTTCCGCGTCAGGCAGGTGCCGGAGGTCAGGTCTCAAAAAACCAGGGTGAAGAAGAAATATTGCAAAAAAGACAACGTGAGAATTCTGTCTCCAATGTTAAAAAATATAGCGAAGAGGAGGTAAAAAGTGAAGAATCTGTGAAAGGGACGAAAAACGAAAGTAATTGCTAAAGCTGAAGCATGAAAAAGAATCGCAAAAAAACATGCATGCACGATAATACAAAGGCACTATAATTACAGACATTAAAATATTTCAAGTTGTAGTATCTAGCACAATAAACGCGTTGAGTAGTAAAAAGAGGGGAACCCACGTTGAAATTATTCATATAGAAATATGTATGATAAAAAGAGTAGCTTTATGTAGTCACAGCAAAAACTTCCTGTAATGAATAGTTGATGATTATTAATTAAAACACTGGATTAACTTGAACACCAATTAATCTAAAATTGATCAAACTAAAGTGCCCAAGCTGCTTGAACTTTGAAACATTATAGAAATTAACATGCATTGCATGCTCACACTTATAATAATTCCAAATTATACTATTTGTTGCCGAATTTCTGGTAAAATTTTCTGAATCGCAGCAATAAGTTTTTTTCTCTCACTTATACCAGTCATTTTACATTTATCGCCTCGCAATGTCTCGTTGTTCAAACAAATTCTAGCCTTTAAGCCCCCTACATTTCTGCCAAATTTCCTAGCCCATAAAATGTCTTTTTCACCTCCAGCAGTTTGTTCAACATTTTGGGATTTATTCTCGTACGAGTTCAGTTCGTCCTCGATTACATCAATTTTTGTACAGGCGTTTTGATATCTGGAGTTTGTGAGGTAGCTTGACTTCGGATCAACACGTGAAAATGCGAGACAGTCAAACCAACTGTTTATGTATTTCATCTGCACTTCTTGAAGATCTGAGTCTTGTTTTAGTTGTTCTGCCATGCCCATGTTTTAAAACTTCAGCCGTACATTACAGCAGCGATGTTCTGGTGTAGATGTTTTCACATAGAAATGGATTAATCTCATTTGCTCATGGATTTGAATTTATGATTTACGCATTTTTCTTGCTTGCCTCTGTTGCGTTAATTAATCACAATTTAATCACGTGCGTCACAATGCAATGGTCAATGACGTGAAGATCAATGGCAGAAGCATGATGAAATCATAATGTATTGCTGGCTTTTAGTTTAGGCATTAATGACTGAAAAAAGCATTCGCTCTGCCCACAATTCTTGGTACAAGATTGTTGGTGGAAGGACAAAAATCAACCTCGTACCCAGGGTTTGAAAATTACCCTGGGTACGAGGTTGGGACAAAAAATAGGTTTTCTTATGCCTGTCATTGGAACAATCCAATTCGTTATTAAGTCGTATCAGTTCTATCAGCAATATTATGTTATGGTAAAATGTAAACCCTCGATTCTTTTCCCAAAAGTACATGGCGTTCAAACGAGAACGTGGTTTGCTATGTTATATGCTACCCACATAACATTAATGAATAATGACTGACCAATTTGTGCTCCATATTTGAAGCTATCTGTTATTATTACGTATCTCAGTGGGAAGATCTCGAGGCATTACTGGTTGAGAATTGAGACCATTTTATTTTCTTCTGATTATATGGTCGACAGGGCTCTCAGAACGTCATGCAGAATATTCCTTAAACTCAGCTGTAAAAATTCCTTAAATGAGAAAACATTTCCTCAAAATCTGAAAATCGCGTGAAAATAGTTTTTAGCATTGCAATTTGCAAAATGGCGGTTCTGAATCAGGCAACGAAACAGAGGCAAAGTTTAAGTCCTTCAAAAAAGGCGAAAATCGTAAAGAAAAAGTAAAACAGTGTGACAAAACACTGTAATAAGTAACGTTATTTTTGAGAATTGTTTGTTTTGGGGATGTTTTTAATCTAAAAATTAAAAAATTACGGTTTTCAAACTTCCTTAAAAATTCTTTAAAACTTCCATTTCCTTAAAAGTCTCCTTAAAAGAGCCTAGTTTTCTTCAGTTTAAGGAAATTTCCTTAAAAATGAGAGCCCTGATGGTCGAAGACCATACTAACGATCAATACTCAGCCTCGTACCCAGGCGCTTTAATAGAATAATAGTAAAATATATAATGTTGCATTCAGTTATAGTATAGAGGTCAGTTGAATAAAGGCGAGCGCGCGGGGGTGCTTCCCAAACCACCCCAAGCACCCCCGCGCGCTCGGCTTTATTCAACTGACCTCTATACTATAACTGAATGCAACATTATATATTTTACTATTATTCTATTAAAGCGCCTGGGTACGAGGCTGATCAATACTCCATATTCATATAGAGCTCACCTCGCATACACTGAGCTATATACTTCACTGAATTTTGGAAGAAACGAAGAAGATGGCGACAAATTTGAAGGCTATAATGTTTTGTGAATTTCATCCAGTTGCAGGACCAAAAATTGTTTACCAAGTAAGATAGAGAAGTAAAAGTATCAAGTTCACAATGTTTAGTACCAAACTGGGTAGAACATTTTTTTAGTTTGGATCAATATGTGGTTTTATCACCACATATTAAAGTACCATGTAATTTATAAAAAAAATCGCATTAAATCAAATGACTTTAAGTGTGAATTTGTCAAATTTTTTTTAATTTGCACAATTAATGGATCCCATTTGGATTAGCTACAAACCTTTATGTTTTGAAGTTGAACCAAACCTTGATTGACCACACCAGTTTTGCGGATAATGGTATCATGAATATATTAATTTGTTTTTTCAGGTACCTGAAGATTTTATTTCAAAAGAATTGTTTGATTGTGTTGCAGTGTACATCATTACCAAACCAGAGTTACAAAGCCAGCTTATTACTGTGTAAGATTACTAGTTACAATAGATACCAGTATACTAATAGGCCTAAGGCCTTCCCATTTATTCACTTTTGATCCTGTTTCATTTCCTTGCCATTTATTCAATTTGGATCCTGATTCATTTCCTTGCACATTTGCATACATAAATCATTACATGCCATAATAATTTTGCAGCAACTAAGCTCAATAAAACTCAAATACTAACCAGCTATATAGTGCAAGAGTTTATGTAAAATCATATGTGAGAACCTACATGTACATTTGGTCTATAAAGATTTGGTCTGCACACTATTTAAATCACTTACTGAAATTGTAGTTATAATCATATAAAGTATATATAAACTACCTTGTTTTTTCTTTCCTAACAGAAATGCATTTGGTTACAAGTTTATTGGCTGTCCAATGAGTATTACAAATGCCAAATACACTCGCAATGCTCTGTTGTTCAATGTATGTTTTATCTTGGATGCCACAGCTGATGTGCATTGTTTTAAGCCTGTTGTGAAAAAACTTGCTGCATATTTAACATCACTTGAGGTAATGAATTACAGCTCTTCTTTACAGGCACCTCTTCTTAGCTCCTTTGTGCACTGGTAGAGAACAAGAAAATATTATTTCCATGTCACTGCACCTCTTTTAATATATATAAACAATGTTTCTCAACATGCATTCAGTTTAAATAAAATATTTTCCTTGATACAGCAAAGAACTCTTCTAATAATTTATCATAGATTGATTTTATTTTTCATCCATAATGTACAAATCTTCTCTGGACATTGTCAATTTCAATTCTTGTTATAATTTTCAGCTAGAGAATGGCTTTCTCTCTCAAGAAGGCAGTAAGGAAAGAATTCCAGATATTCTCACAAAAATTCTTCATGGTCTGAATGCTGAAAGAAAGTGCACTATTCCTATAAGTAAGAAGTTCTAACTTTTTTCAAAAACTTTGATTTCAAAGAAAGGATAGATCCAGAATGGTTTCATCAAGAGGGGGGGGGGAGGTGCAGACCTGTTGCTGGTGTGGGTTGGGTACAAATGCAAGCTGTCTAAGAGATTAGAATATATGTTTGTTCAAAAAATTAGAGCATAAAGTGCTATCATAACTTGGACACTGATTTTTCTGTATAATTTCCTAAATTAGAAATAAAGCTGCCACCCGGGCCCACCCCCCTGGATTATGCTAGAAGGGCTCTGCATCCCAAGTAAACCCATCCCTGTGTCAAAATGATTTTTAAAAAATATTTTGCAGAAATCACAGCCTCATACCCAGGTGCTTTAGTAGAAAATTATATAACATTTCAATCAGCTATTATATAAAGTTCAGATGAGAAAAATCACTTTTTTTAGCTGACCTCTATACAATAGGTGAATACAAGGTTATATATCTTACTAGTAAAGTGCGTGGGTAGCCTGTTACGAGGCTTTAGAAATAATTTATTGAATCAACTGGGTCAATTTATGTGAGGTACAATATAATAGGTGAAGATATTTGAATGTAATTTAATTATGTTTAATTATAGATGAAGCAACAACAATTTATCTTAGTTTGGCATTCACAAAAGATCATAACCCAAAAGTTTTAGATCATCATGTACCAATATTTCTTTGGGAAAGTTCAATTATAAATGAAGCTCAGTGGGACATAACAACACAACAGGTAAGTGGTGATGTGGGTATGGTAGGAAATTTGCATGCCATTGTATTAATTTTTGGGATTGGTTTGGTTTACCGATTTTAAACTGACTATCCCTTGCTTTCTTCCACCTCTTTTCTGGTTTGATGTTATGATAGCAATTGGTTTGTACATTCTTAGATCTTGCCGTACATTGATGGCTTCAGACATATTCAGAAGATAGCAGCTCAAGCAGATGTTGATTTGAATTTAGTGCGAATTTGCATTCAAAATATGGTGTAAGTCAGCTGGCTTTTTATATATTATGTGATAATGGGCGATATTTCCAAAACCGAAATTCATGATATTTTTAAATATCATCATACCCAGTCTATCAGTCAGTTGATAGACGTTCGCAGTTTAAGTATGACTTAAAGCTCACTGACACTCACACTCAAATTGTGTTATTTCTGATCAATGAGATATTACCTTCCTAATCAATGGGAAGATTTCAGGTCAAACCAGTTCACTGGGTAAAACAATGCAAATCAAATTTTTATTCCAGTGGAAATCCTGCAAATGAACTAGAGAAATTGGAATGGGAGATTATTGCTGGAGATATCCTAATAAATGAGTTAAAATGAGCTTTGAGAATAAAGGCATATGTTCTGAAAGGAATGAAATGAGATTTTTAGAGCCCTTACCTTAAACATTGGATGAGTGACAGATTACCACAAAACTTTTTAGGCCTAAGCCTACATTCACTGGCCTTGAGAGGTTTTTCCTATCTTTGTTCTAATGTCCATTATCTCTTGCAGGCATTTTCAGGTTGTGACCCTAATATCAATATTTCAGGTACTTGGTTCTTAAAAATATGTTCTTTCATTTAATTTATAATGCCAGATACAAAGCCATACGACGTTATGATACTTTGTTTTTATATATTTTTTAGTATTCTAACGTTTACATTCCAACTCCAAAGATTAACAATCTGTTTCAAGATAAACAGCTTCAAGAAGAATGTATAAATTACGTGGCAAGAAAATGTGAGTTACTCTACCATGAAGAATGGTTGTCATACGTACGTTCTATAGTGTGGGAGATAAGGTTCATTCCTAGGTTCGGGAAGGGCTCAAAGATGATGAAGGTATAAGAGAACGAACGAGTGTACCCATGAGACTCCTAAAATTGATTCTTGGCTGGGCCTTCTCTGCGAGTCTGTCAATTAAAATTTATCGACATTTGATCTGTAGTAACTGAATGGCATGCAAATGAATTCTACATTCAATCTATAGCCACTATTTTGTAAGGTAGTAGTACAACCATAAACGATATTTTACGGCTCGAATTGTCTATTTAATTCGACAATTATCCCCGCTAAATGGAATTGTATTTCCAATTTCAGTTCGTCGTCCTCCACAATTTTCTGATGTTTTCAAGCTGTATTGTGGTCTCCAAGCTGGTGCAACAGTTCGCGACCTCTGTTCAAGATACAATCCTTTCTTTTTAAGAATAGACGAACGGTAATCTCTCTTGGTTCAATAATGTTATACAGAATACATACCTCATTGGTTTAGTAAAAGCTAGGAACTGAATTAACTAGGATTTTTCCTAAGAAGCGGTCATATATCAACTCAATATCACGTTAAACTAAGCAGAACATTTAGACCAGAGTCACTTGCATGTATTATCTTGTGTAATGCGTTATAATAAAATACTCTCTCGGTCGATGAGTCGATTTTGAGACTTTTTGCAAGAGAATGCGTTCTTCAAAGAATCAAATTATTTGTACCTTAATACAATTTTCATCTTGGCTATAACATTTGTCCTTTTTTACTACGAAAACGTTTATATTCTTTCAGGTGTTTAATCCAGTTTGGTTTAATGAAAGGTTTTATTCGTCGTTTACGTAAATTCCCAGTTCTTAAACCAGAGAGCAGTATACAACCATCGCAAAAGAAGCGACTAGCAAGGTGAGAAAAAATCTCACAAAAATGGGAAAACAAATTGATCGTAGTTTTGCGATTAAAGCATGTACGGACAGCTTTTCCTTGGCCAGTTTTGATTTCCCTTATCTTGCTGTTGTAGGTGGCTCAACGGAAGACATAATTACGACGAGATTTGTACAGAGACTGGAATGAGTCATCAAAATTTGGATGAAATCATTGAAAATCATCCCGATATTGTTGTCGTTTGGAAGTAACTGGCTAAGAAAAAAAATAATACAGAAGTGGCTAAATGAGCCACAAATAGCTGCAGCCAGGAGGAGGCAGTTGGCCCCAGGAGCAGGATGAACCACAAGAGAATATCTGGAGTTGAGTTAGAGCCATCTGTCTAAATGAAGCAATAGATCAAAGGCGTGTACAATACAAGAATACAAAATCGATGAACGCTTTTGCAGCGAACGCTGAACTGAAGAAGGTCGGTGATCACGCGAAGAAGGTCGGTGATCACGTGAATAAGATTACATTAGAAGGTAAGATTTTCGGTTCTGTCGAACTTCTTATTACTTTACAAAGTAAAATGACCCACAGTTTGTTCAAAATAATTTTAATCTCTACAATGGAATTTTACTAGGATACTCAGTAACAAAACAGCTTTACATATATTTCTATCCCCACGAATTACTGACTTTTTTAGAGAACGTTACTTAGGCATGTATGCGTTTACTATAGATATACTGTATTTAGCAATGCAGTCCATATAGAGTTTGCAATAATAGAAGAATCTAACATTAAAATAAATAATTGTATGTTGTGGAATGATACCGCACAGTGTAGTTTCTTGCAAAAATATCGTTACCACACAGGGAACAAGACGTTCACTTTAAGAAACTAATCTATTACTGTCAAATACAATTTAATACAGCTTTATGTTCAGCTTAGAGCTCAGGCGAAAAATAACACTGAAAATTCTAAATTACAATATTTTTAACACCATAACAGCCTTAAAATGAAATTATTTAATCAGCCTGGTTTGAGAAAACGCTGACTTGCTGCGGACTCATTACCGATGGATCATTGAAGGACCCATTATGCATCATTAGCCGTCGGCACCGTACGCAAACTGCATGGTCTGAAATGCTTCATGCAAGATGCGCCAACTGCATGGGCTGAAATGTTTCATGCAAAATGAATCTCGCTTTGGAATGCTAAATTGAAAGATATTTTTGCCATGCACGAGTTATCCTGGATTATAATAAATTAGAAAATGAAGTAAAGGTCTTTCCCTGCAGGAGTACACCGTGGTAATACAGGACAGAGACTGTCCATTTCTACAAAATTGTGCAACAACAGCCACTTTTACTCTTCCGCCTTACTATGGCGGCTCGTACCGCTGCCTCGAACACTTCTTGTACTCCATCACGTTTGAGCGCTGAGCATTCCAAAAATTCGATCGCTCCAGTCTCATTTCCCATCTTTCTTCCTTGTTCCAAGGAAACTGGTTGCCATCCTTGTTCTTCAAGATCTTTGATCGTATTCGTGTCATTTCTGAGGTCCTTCTTTAAACCTACATTGTGTACAATAATGATAGAGTTGGCTTTTTTTTACATACTGAACGATATCGAGTGGATTATTCCTGGATATCATGGAATCTGAAGAAAAATTCAATATAACCGCAAACAACCATAGGATTGCCCCGATGTCATGAGCAATTAGTGACGAGTCTGCAAACGCTTCGACACGATACCCTGGATAATTATTTTCATATATAATTTGCCAAACAAAATATTATCATTTATCTAAGTTTTCGATTTATATGATCTAGAAAACCTTTTTTTATTATTTTATAGTATAGATAAAATACACAAGCTAAGTTATAATGAAGAAAGTGACCAGTGGTCATTGCGAGTGATCATTACAAAAGTGGCCTAAAGTGTTAGATATCACAAAACTCTTAACTTATGTAAAGGTAGTTACTACTCTGGTGTTATTTATATTAATGGTGTCTGGAAAGGGATGGATGTTGCATACGCTTACTCTAAGAACTATGTTTCTAAGAGGGTGTTTGTAACTCATCCGTACCTACGAGTATAATTGGAACGCGCGGACAAAATTGCTCAACTTCTGGGACCCATCTTTCCCTGACGTTATCATAACTGTTTGGCGAGTCCACGGAATAGCACACGAGTATGACGTCACTTCCTGGATAGGATAGTGGCCTGAGCCTATCGTAGTCTTCCTGGCCAGCGGTATCGTATAATTCGAGTTCAATATCCTTGTCATCGACCACCAGTTCTTTGACATAATTTTCAAAAACTGTCGGAACGTAATCGGGCGGAAATTCGTCATTACGAAACACCATGAGTAAGCAGGTCTTGCCGCAAGCGCCATCGCCCACAATCACCAGCTTTAGTTTAATATAGGACATCGTTTATATATCTGAAATTTAAAAGAATCATATAAATAATTGTTGAAAAATCCCCTTTACACATAAAGCCTTTTCCATACAGTCTATAGGGTGGCTATATTGAAAAGGAATTTCTTGAATTCTTTGTGATACCCAAGTAACGCGATACTAAAAGGAACGCAACGCAAAGAATCCTTTTAGTACTTAGCTTCTTAGATGTAACCTAGAGCAGTTATGATAAACGTATCCATATATAGGAGTGTATCTAGGCCCTCAAAGAATTCAGCTGATTCAACCTACGGCTCTAGGAATCCGATCGCGGAACCAATGAAGCTATACATACAGAGTCAAGCTGCATACCAGCCTCGCATCTTGATTTCATTATTGAGATGTTGTCTTTCCAGAAATTATGAAATTCATAGAGTGTAAGGGGTGATGGGTTACTGTTTATTTAAAGTCCAGGGGCCGATTGTTCAAAAGCCAGTTAGCTTAACCCTGGGTTAGAGCAAATCTTTACATCAATATTTTTAATCGCTTGTTTAAAAAGTTGAATATCTTTCCATTAATAATTTCCGGAGCGAGAAAAGCCATGTTTTGTAAATGTTTAAAAACGCACAGCAGTTCAGAAGCACTTAACCAAAACAGTGGGTTAAAATTCAGAGTTAGCGCCAGCCCAGCTTTGAACAACTGGCCCCATGCAGGTTCAAAGTTTTAGGTGTCCAAAGGGTAACCATGATTCGATTTAGCTGTAAATAAGTATGACTCAGCGATGTATTGTGGGTCCTGGTGACAAAAAATGTATGTATTCAAAATAAAACACTAACAATGGCCGACGATTGCGATACTTGAAAACCTTTCTATAGTATGTTGTAAAATTCTATGACACTATGTGGAGTATGTGCTAACTGAATTAAAAGTTACACTCACAGGTCAGGTAGTCAAGCTAAGTTGCTTAGCTGTTGGTTCAGAGTAAAGACAAAGTACAGTTTGAAAGTTTCTATATTGTAGTAAAATCCATTCTTTGACAATTAAACCTGCTTCCAATTGAATATAGTTAAACGATGCATTTACAACAGTTATGTCCATGTATGGGAACATGCCTAATATAAAAATACAATGGACTTTCACAAGTTTCCTGTATTTTAAGTGCTTACGTGATATGAATGTCCTTTTTTACGCAATATTTAGGAATTTAGCTTGTCCGGTATGCACTCAAATGTTAAATATTTAACAATAAGAAAAGTAAAGTCATTAAATGACTAATTAAAGCACATCCGTTTACGCTATGCGATAATTCACATTTAAAGTACTTAATCCAAGATGTGAGCTTTGCCCTTTGCCTTGAGAAAAAGAAAAGATCTTGTGGAAACTTAATGGGAAAGTTGTCATTGCCATTGGGGGCAAGTTATTCAAGCTGTGTAGGGATCTAGTACAGATCTGTGTCTCTGATCAATAGGGGCATGCACTAAATAACTGTGACAACTGCAAACAAGAGTTACAAGGCTACTTGTTGTTATAATCTCCTATGAGACGAGCAAAACTTTTGTTAATTTGTTTACATTTCAACAGAAATTCGAACCAGTTGAAGAAAGAACAATATTGATTTTAAGCAGGCCAATTTATTTTAGAAGTTTTTTTGTTTACATTGATCAATACATTTATGAGGGCAGACACTTTGCTTAGTGATTTTTACTGACAAAAAGTTACAATCTTTGATGGAATGTCTGCATCTGTGTTCCCACGGTATCTCATGGTCATATTCATTGTTTAAATTTATCTGGGTTTTTTTTTTGAGACATGCCGCATGTTCCTTGCCACAAACGTACTGCCTTTTTGCAAAGTATTTGCGACGAAGACTAAGCAGATTGTGTGCATTTTTAAAATACTTGATTTAATACGTAACTTATACTCCATAGCTATAGAGCACCAAGTGCTACAGCGATATTGGCAATGTACTGCCTTTATGGCGGATATAAAGAACTGATTGGTGTTTATTGTGCAAACTGCAGATCATGGGTGTATAGAAATCGTATATATTATACAATCATGGGATCCGATTTACATAAGAATACTGCTTGATTTATTTTTGGGTTGTTGCAATGTTGGACCTTTTGGAGTCATGGAAACTAGAGTCTTCGCCTTATGGAATTGATGTGCATGCAACTATTAAAGACGTAGAATTGCGGGTGTGGGAAAGACCACAGCCGGCAGGGATACACTTAGGCATTAGATAACCTTTTATATATGCCTGTCTGTTTATAGCTTAGTCCATCATTCGGTGATTAAAAACGAAAGCATTTTATATATTATCTTATTTCAATTCTTAAAGATCATTAACGACAGCAATAACAGAGATTCGAACAAACGATTAGAACGTTTTTATTATGTTATTTGCGACAAATTCTTTGTTGGCTTGTGTTGTGAGCATTCGAAAAGAGAGAAACAGCTAGAATTATTATGCAACGTATATATATAATATAGCGAGACACAGATGATAAACAAGCTAAAACAAGCCGGAACGATCACAAGACACCCTCCCAGACACTCGTTCAAGCAATCGAACTTGCAATTTACATTTACTGATAAATAACTATTACTGGGTAAATGATCATATTGATGTACTCATGTACACTAAAGTCACTAGACACTACACTGCCAAGCTGTACACTTCTTTATCGGCCTTCGCTACATATTTTAAATACTTCGTACGGTGATTATAGCTGATACAGACAGGAACAATTTTATACTATAGTGAAGAATTTGACGTTATATAGTATTGGCTACATCGTTTATAGTCAATAAATAAGTTTTGATTTACAAGATTTTGCACAGAAATGAAAGCTTCAGACTCGAATATATACAAGTGTTTTTATTTAACTGTAGATTTTATACAACAGATAAATGCAAACATTTGCATTCAAACGGTTATTTGAATTTGCTTCGATATAATAGGCGACTTGTTTAACTGTCTCGTTTTATAATAGAACTCCTTACATTTACCCAGGAAATTTAGTTTATGAACTACAGGAGAACAGATGAGATTTCTACAGAACGAGACAGCCATCTACAAGCTTATATCTTACATGATCGATCGTTCATCTCGATAATTGAAACAACATTGGCATTTTAATGTCGCAATACCAACTATTCTTTATTTTCACAAGCACGACAAAACTTTACTGTATAAAGATAGTTCGAAATCAAACATACCTTACCAGAAATTCCTTCTAAATACTAAGAAAATATGTATTCAACTCCGCCCCGCTCTGTGACCTCGTAAACTCAGACGTAAAGCTGTTTTATTTTGGTGATATTTCCGGGCCTTGACTGTGGGCATTGTAGGAGGTATAAGGTCGAATATTGAATAATTTATGCCTTTCCCTACTTTAAATTGTTAATTATTAGAATGCAAAATTTCTTCTTTTAAAAATTCACAAGGCGATTGGGATAATCGTAGGCGGGTGTAGCACAAACAGAGATGAAATTTTTTAATCACCAATAGAATTTTTATTACATATAAAACCTATCGCCCTAGTTTTTATCTGTGTATATGCACCGCTTGCATGACTGGGTAGATAAGCATAGAGACGAGGTTTTATTGTCTTGAATAAGTTATGTATACTGATAGTTATTTAAAATATAGCTATACTCATGCTAAACGCATGTCACACTGGCATTATTCTTGAATATTCTTCAATGATGGATACGGTTGGTGTTTACTAGAATGATAAATCTCTCAACTTCTCGTCTTTTTTCTTGGCTCAAGTGTTTCACTTCATGCCGCTTCTTTTCTTTAACTGCTTTTCCTACCTTTGTTTTGCCTGCAATCTCTTCGGATTTTGCTTTTCAGATACTCCTTTTTAATTGTTAAAATATTTCATTTATTAATCAAACAGTAAAGTGTATTTCAGTACGATTTTTATAATTCACCCCAAAACATTTGAAAATGAAGGTTTAAAATAAAACAAAATATCTGTCTCAGGCAACCATGAGTCGGGCATGCGCATAACGTCATCGAGAGTCGGTAATAATATGGCGACTTCACATCGGTTGTACGAAAGCTGGACAGCGGACAGTGCGATCGGATAGTGGATATATATTTATTGTATAAGTCATATAAAAATATCTCAATGTTTTCATATTTTTTATTGTTTATTGCTACAAGTATATTGCATATTGTCCTGCAATATTGTCAAGCATATTGTCCTGAAGTAAAATGAACATTTCTGATTGGTTTTGCTAGACAGCTCATTTTGATTGATCTCCTGAATTAATAGTTTATATGTTTATTATTTCTCTTTATGAGCTGTGATGATTAAAAGTCACATGAAAGACGTGTCGAAAAATCTTATTTGGTCGATCAATATGTCATCATGAGATGAGACATCGTCCGATTTAATTATGATCCATGAGGGAAAAATAGTAAACAAGAAGTTATAAACTATATTAAAATACAAATTATATCTCTCAAATCTTTTAAATGACCTGTCTATAGGAAAGACCAATCAGAAATGTTCATTATAGTTCAAGACTATATACAATTGTAATTAAAAACAATTTCCTAAATTTCACATCATATCCTTGTATTCACAAGCGCTAAAAAAATGTCTCTAAACATGACAAATGGAAATCTAAGCTATCATCTTTCGTGTTTTCAATGGGGAGAAAGCCTCGAAATCGTTCGTTCACAGCCAACAAGTACGCCTTCAACCATTCTGATTTGTATATCTAACGGCATCCTAGCTATCCATTCAGCCGTGTTAAATTTTTTGGTGGTTGTGCTGTATTTCAAGGACAGGCGACTTCAAACTACTGCAAATTTTCTCATCCTAGCTTTGGCATTCTCGGATTTGTTCGTGGCTTTGCTTGTGCAGCCTGTCGCTATTGTCATCCACGCACTAAAACACAGTGGAATTTACAGTTGCGTTTCGCATGTATTGTCGTTTTCTTTGAACGAATTTGGAATCGGTCTTTCATATTTAACCGTGTGTTTCACAATATCATTTGAAAGACTGTTTGCCGTCTGCTGGCCACTAAAACACCGAGTAACTGCAACCAAGTCGATACTGAAGCGAATATTGTTCGTCCAAGTAACTTCATGTCTTATCGGTACTGTTATATTTACTTTAATCGTATCGCCAAAGTTATTGCTTTTATTCCAATCAAGATCCATTGTATTTGGAACCGTATTCATACTGGTCGTGTATGTGTATATTTTTGTTGTGATTATTAAAAGATCCAGAACCATGATCAAGTTTCGTGCGACAAAAAATGGTTTGAAAAGTGTTCCAGAAAAAACCCCGGAGAATAGTGTTTCCCAATCATCGAAGAATACGCCCCATACTGATTCTGTGCGGCTGAGTGACCCATTATACAGTATATTTGAGGATTCCAAGTGTGAGGTCAATCGCTCCAGCAACGAACCACGAAATCTAGGCAAGCAAAAGCAAAGAATACTTCGCATAGTATCCCAGTATTCCATTCAAAACCCACAGGAGATTTCCCCTCAAGATTCTCATCAGCGTATTTCGCCAGAGACTGCGACCCATGACTCTGGTTTTAACGGGAACAAAATTCCGCAGAAGAAACCGCAGTGTCCGTTCAAGGCATGCGCGGTGTTCCAGAAAGCCATGTTGAAATTGAAGCAAGAGCTTCGAGTCTGCAAAACAATGGCGCTGGTTGCTGGAGCTTTAGTGTTATGCTTCCTTCCCCGAGTAGTGCTTATTGAATGTGCAACAGCTGGCGTGATTACAATGAAAACATATTATGTCCATCTTTCGCCGTGGATAGATGTGCTGGCTTTTGCAAATTCATCACTTAATCCCTATATATATTTCTTTCATAATAAAGTCATAACTGATGGGGTGAGGAAAATTTTATTTGGCAAAAACAAATTAAGGATGCAAAAACTGAACTGATGAATGAAGGAGGAGTAAAAGTATGAATGTTTAGACTAAATGTTCTAAAATTAGACTGGTGGGCGCGTCATGCTGACCGCTGGTGCACTGAGAAGCGTAATAATGCTTGCTGCGAAAATTGCATGAAATATATAAATGCGCCACTAATCACTATAGAAAAAGGGAAATTGTCTGCATTTCTATTTCCTAAACGTAAAGAGACAAACCATTGCGTGGATGTTTTGAGTGGATACTTGCAGAAATCCTAAGAAAAATTTAAGCAACCTTGGAGGAGAAAATTCTTCAAGCATCCATCGATCGTATATATAAGAGATATCACCGCCCGCCATATTTGCCCGAAAAGGGCCTGCGGAGGAGGTAGTATATAAGAGTAAAATACTGTAACATGCCGTGACAACCCTTCGCATGAGACGGAAAATACGAACACCTCATTTGTGAAGGTTACGCAGGGTGGCAAGACCTGCCTTGAATATAAAAACAAACATATCTTCATTTAGTATAAGATAACGGACGATTTAAATCATAACTGTTTTCATGAAGGTAAACTCAACCTAAATATATTATAAGATCCATTATGAAATATGTAACTAAATATATTCAACATACTCGTATCGTTGCGGATTTGGGACGTTCGACATCTATACGATGAGATGACCGGAAAAAGGAACTACAGCTATACATCACTTCCGGTTAGATCACCTTCGGCCGCCTGTATCTCATGTCGAAGAAGAGGTTTATGCTTTAGCATTATGACCTGCCCCTATTTATAAAAAATATGAACCAAAACAGAATTCGGCCTCCATGAAAAAATGCGGCAGCCACGTCCTAAATTGTCTAACGATCCGTCCCTATAACTATATCCCAAACTGAGGTTGTGGTTTCTACCACAAAAACATAACATAATTAGTGTCATTTCTTCTCCTCCCAAATTAAACTTCTGCAATGATACATACAGGTCAAGTCTTCGCTGCTGTCACATGCTGGCGCATGCACGGCTTTATTTTTAGTGATAGATACCGGATAAAATGACGCTGTGTACATGTGCGCCTACGTTTGTGTGATATGGAATCATGGCCTTGCAGGGAAATTTGAGAGATGAAGGCAAAGATCCATCCATCCTTATTTGTCCCCTTTTGTTCTCTTGAACCATCATCAATGATAATTGTGTTCCTTGGGACACTTATTGCCCTGGGGCACATGCAGTTATTTATTCAATTTTTCATTCTTTCACTTATTCAATTACTCGCTCCATCTCTCGTGCCCATTCATTCATTCACTCACTCACTCACTCACAGTCTTGGAGGAGAGGGCAATGACAGAATGAACGAGTGAATCACTCAAGCCTCTCCTCCAAGAGGCTTGTATATATATAAGACTTCTTACTATAAATTTCGTGGTGTGGTTGCCAGGGGCGCCGAAGTTTGGGGAAAATGAAGAGGAGATGGTGTTAATGTGTAAGAGTTGTCTTCTATACATGTCACAGAAACACATTTTGGCCTACACGGGTAGAACTGTACTTCATGTATTCCAGCAGTTTTATGTAGGTTTCTTTGAAGCAACCACGACCCAGCTAGTGCATAAATGATAATCAGATGATGAACCTCATTAAGCTTCATTGCATTCTCATTATCTATAATCTATTGTTTGAATTGCATTCGACGCGACCAAAATGCGACGTATAACCTAGACCTTAGGCGTTAGTTAATGCATAACCTTACTATCAGCTTATATAAGCATAGTCGAAGTAATGAAATTAACATTAACTTAATTTATTTGAGTTTGTGGTCGCTTTAGTACCTGTTCTAATCACTGCTTGAAGACGCGCACACGGACTTAATAATTAATCGTTTCTTGCAAGCGTCTAATGGAAGAGAGTTTGTGTCTGTAACGTCTATTGACATTGTATGATACATAATGCTATTAAATATATCTATTCATCCGAGGTAGTGGGAAATAGTGTGGAAAATAAGGAGATGATGTGATATTGTTCAAAGTTAGAAAGGTATATTAATCATTATTTGAAAATAATATCAGTACAGCATCATAACAATCATGATAATGTAACAGCGATACGAGAGTTACTTAAAAGCGAGCTTGTTTAGCTATAATTACAAACATGCATGAAATTAGTCCAATGATGCAGTTTATTCTAACTCTCTAATAATTGAGACGTTTCTAACATTATTTGCGATAATTAAGATGTTCTGTCAATAAATCAAAGACGAAGTTGATATTATTTGATCACTTTCAACAATTGATGTTAATTTTTCACGAAAGCAAGTATCAAATTTTCTTTGTCAATTTTTACTTCTTTGGGTAAATGCGGAACGATTGGCGGATTGCCGCAAAATGAGCTTGCCATTCTTGGCATTAAAAGTCAAAGAATTGGATAGAATCGATTAGAATATAAGAATAATAAAACAGAAATTATTTGAATTACCAAAATACGACTGTTAGAAACTTCTTCCTAACTCAACAGGTAGATAAATTGTCCCCAACATGCAGATCGCAGGCAAATGAAATGCATTTTGAATTTTGATGATAAAGCAGTTAATATCTTGATTATATTATACCGAGTTCATAATCATTCACCCCATCTTACTTTAATATTTAACGGATGGTTTTATTAAAATAATGATGAGGTTGAATTTGATATGAAAAATTATCAAGCCGCGATTTTGTCGGTGTCAACCGAAGGAGATGCCTGAGGTTGATAACGGCAAACTGAGGCTTGATAATAATTCTTCATATGTGAAAACCAAATTCAGTAATGGTTTTGTTATTTATTTTAAAGAATTATTATTTCAACTTTGTTCGCTCGTATGGTGCGTTATCTCACATTCCTGCTCTTTGAGACGCCAGCTCTTTGATATCTTCGTTTTAAAACCACTTTAAACAAAGGAATATTTGCCTCGCGTTACGATACATTTGAAGCTTTAACGAAGTGCAAGACTATTCCGCATTTAACAGGATTTCGCAATCAAACATTGCATTCTACTAATGCTAGTACGCTCTTTTCAGCTGTGGTGATATATTTGAATTTCCTCAATTGCTTTTATTTGCTACATTCCACATCTTTCCTGTACTACTTTTCACACTCTCTGAAAGGCTGCATCATTTAACGAATAATCTTTCTTTATAGTCTTCTATGATAGGTTTTCCATAACGCTGAGCAATGGAAGAACAAGAACGCGGTCCAAAATTGGAAGAGAAAATGGCTGAATGGGAATCATTCGTGAAAAAGGCAAAGATTAAAACAGCAAACCATACAACGATGGTCCGTTTTTATAATGCAGTTTATAATTTCATGATAATGACAGTCATATTGATTGCAGGTAAGATATTTCGTTTATTTGATCCGCTGTTGCCCTCAGTGTTACCAACTCTGTTGTTGTTGTTGCATGTTATTGTCGTTGTTGTTGTTTGTGATATTGCTGTTGCTATTGTTGTTGTTTCTGTTATCATTCTTATTGTTATTGTTTTTGGGGTTTTTTGTTGTTACTATTGTCGTTCTTGCTATTGCTGTTGTCAGTGTCGACTCGTTGTTTTTGTTGTTGTTCTTATTGTTATTGTTATGTTTTTTGTTGTTGAAGTGGTTTTTTGTTGTTTCTGCATGCTGTTAATGTTGTTACTGCATCCATCCAACAGCGCTGTCATTGCTTTGCTGCCGGGCGATTCGTGCATGGTGTTGCTGGTTTCTGCTAAGTTATTCCTGTTGCCGTTGTTGATGTCATTACTGCTACCCTACTTGTAATGTGCTGTTACTTCTGATGCTGTTGTTATTGCTATTGCTGGATGTTTTCGATTAAAATTCCTCTGTTTCAATTTAGGAATTCTCACATGTATAATCCTCCTGGGAGGTATAGACAAGATGGTGTTGGCGGCTCTTAGTGGCGCTTGTACCATCCTCACAGCTTGTTCAAAGTTCTTGGTAGCTGACCGCAAAAAAGCTGGACATAAACGCTTTGCTAAACTATTTCAGACATTGTTAATACGTATGTTAAGATGCGAAACAATTGTTGAGTACAATGCTTTAAGGCATGAATTGACAGAGGCTATAATCCGGGAGCCCTTGGTTCTAATTTGGCATCAAAGAAAGAGTAGAACGGAGTTGAGCTACACAATGACAGCTCGTTTAGAGCTGGTAAGTGTGTATCTTGTTTTAGATTTGTTACAGAGACAGTGTGCATCCATTATAAGGGAAACACAAGGGAGGTTACATCAAGATAAAAACACGTATATTCCTTTCCAAAGCGTTTAGCTTAAACGGCGGATAAGTTTGAAATGGAAAACAAAATTATTTATTTACTGAACAAATGAGCTGAAATATTTCGATGAAATAGTACTTTTGAATGGTATACATATTTAATGAATAAGATGCAGGTTCATTAACAAGATTTATGAGAGTATTTTTAAATTTTGCCTCATCCACCGTTTAAACTAAACGCCTTTTGAACAACCGGCCCCTGCATGGGGGTAATTTATCCTTAGAAGACTCATGACAGATTTTTATCCTCAGATCTCTATATAGCAGCTGAATGCAATCCTTTATGTTTTTATTATAGAGCCTGGGAGTGTGACTGAAACGGAACTAATATTTTTTTATTTATTACTTTATTTTTAGGCGCTTGATGGCAAAGAAGAAACACCTCTGAATAACATGTCACCCGTGCATCAACATCAATATTCTGGTCACGGGTCCAATAAACCATTTGATTTTAATCCACATGACTTTCACGTGATGTCTCTTGGTGAACCATCAGTAAATCATCCGGTTTGTATTTAAAGAGATTCAGGAAAAACCCGCCAATAAATATAAGAGAATTACGATGAGAGAAAAGCTCAAACTACATGACGAGTTTAGCAGAACAGTTCATAGCTACTTTGAAAATCTTGATTACGTTTAATTTTTTTCCTGAAACTTTTACTTCTGGTTTTGTTTGCCTGTTTAATAAATATCAGAGAATGCGATGAAAGAAGGCTTAAACTACATGATGAGTAGAGCAGTAATATATTTTTATAATCTTGATTGACTTGATTAAGTTTAATGGTTTTTTTCTGAAACTTTTACTTCTGGTTTTGTTCACTTATTTAGTAATTATTTTGTACGTATACGACAAGAAATTTTAAAATCGTAGAATAAAAGTTGTAAATCGCCTGAAGACGGGTGTTGAAACTAATAAAGATAACTAAAGTCAATAAAAACAATTTAGTTTGTTAAGGAAGTTTCAATTCTCAACAACGATTTCGATTCCAAATGTAGGGACGTAACTCGCGCGAGGGTTATGTCGCGATTTCTGGTTTTCAAGATCAACCACAAAGAAATACTTCCAAGAATGGCAACCACGAGAAAAGTATAATGGAACAGGTAGAAATCTGAACTTCAATATAAAGTTTATATTCAGTTTGCTCGGATACTTGTCAGTCAGAGGGAGGGAAGGGGCAGTAGCTCCACACCTTGACATAAAGATTGGCCTTTTTCGTTGAAAACAACCATAAGTTTGCAACCACGTAACAACAGGATAGATTCAAAACATATCTATGTTCAAGATAAAAAGGCAATATTTAGGCCCACAACTCTCTCCAGGCCCAGTGTCGTAATAATTCGACTCTGGGCTGTATATTGTTTTGTAATAACATTATAATCAGGTAACAAATAGCGGGTCGAGAGTATTTGAGTCTATACGTAGGTTGGCAATCATTCCTCTGCTTATAACTAATTATTAATATTAGTTGTGATTTGTGAATCCAATCTGAATTTTCGTCGGAATGCCCTCTGATATTATATTTCAAACGTTCTAGGTTCCGGAAGAGAAGATGTCACTCATCTCTTCTTCAAGTAAAGGAAAAAAGAAGAAAATGAAAGCTGAAAGTGAAAAGGTGCTTACTGAGGATTGCTCTTATATTAATCTTTATCCGTTATCACGAGCTTTTTGAGTCCGCCTCTCTTTCTGATGTATGTAATTTTACACAATTTTGGGCTTCCTTGTGACGTCATAGTTCCGGAGGGGGATTAGTTAGTTTATTGTTTGTTTTGACGTCCTGCAATTTCGTATCATTCGCTGCTAATTCCTGTGCAGCATAATTGTTAAACGCAAAAAACACGTGAGTCCTTCTCAACGAATTATTTGCATCAGGAAGGGCAGTAACTGGGAAATCAGATAGTTGCTAACCCGCTGTTACCTATAGATCAGATAGAACCAAGGTTCAACGTTTCTCTTTTGCTACGTATATTATTGCTAAGCTTTGTATAGTTTTAAAAGAAAATTATTAATTTATAAATGTTTTTCCAGTCATTTCAGTCAAAAAACACATTCCTAGCTGCGTCATCTCAGGGGACACTTGATGAAATTGAGGAAGAACAAGAAACTGAAGAACAACAGGTGGGTTTTATATTATTGTGTTCATTCTTATCCACTGTCAACAACCCCACATTTGTTGTTTGGGATAATTGCAATTTCGTAAGTTTTGCACGTCCAAAATTCATGAGAATTAGGCATGAAATAATTGAATTGGCAAAACATTGCCATTGTCATTGAAAACAAGACACCCCCCCTCCTTCCAATCACATTCTGAAGGCTTACCCCTCCGGATAGACACCTTGGTATTACATATACCATCTGCTGTGATCTGCGGAAGTAGTTTAAATTAAGAAAGACAACGGTTTAAATTTTACCTGACTTATAACAACTCTACCAGTTTCCTCCAGAGAGGAGAACCTTGCATGGAATGACATTGAAATTTAATCACTATAATAATTGCTATTCTTTAAGTAAAGAAAGGTGTATGTCCTGAGAATACATCTTGTGTTTTTTCGTCATTCGTAGTTCGAATGGGATTTATTTGTCTTGTCAGAACCTCCGTGAGACAAGTGAGACAATGTCATTAAATAGTCTGCGGAAAGGAAAGAAAAAGAAAGGGTCAACGCAGGTATACCAATTTTTTTAATTCTGGCGTAGTCTCTCTAACGACATAACTACATGTAGTGTATGGTGAAGCTCGCTCACCATTCAAATCCTGGCTGATATGTATTATAAACGCCTTTAGGCTAGCCAATTTTCCAGACTTGAAAGGCAGCCTGCGTTTAGTTTTATATATTGAAGAAATGTTCACAGTGTTTTAGTGTCAGTCAGTTACATATAAATTTATGTTTTTTAACCTTTTACAGTCCAATTTTCCTCCGCCCCCTCCAATGACAGAAGGTGATGATGATTGCGAAAGCGGATCCCAGCAGGTGAGAATTCCAATTAAGGAATAATATATAAAGAATATTAGAAAGATGTACCTCTTTAGAGTCGTGTTTTAGTGCTAAGACTGCATTAGTGCATTTGGCTAATTTTTAACGGAGTCCAGAGACAAAGATATTGGATAAAGATTACTGGACTAAATTCAATCTCATACCCAGGGTCTGTTCGCCGTGCTCGGACTCTGGGTCTCCCGCTAGTTTGAGCGCGGAGAGAATACCCTGGGTACGAGGTTGGACTAAATAGGATTAAAGGGGATACAGTTCGATCCTGACCTCTCGGCTGATCATTGCAAGGGGGAATGCCTACTCTAATATTTTAAACTGCCAAAATTATTAATTTTTTTATCGAAAGATAATTCAAAGTTAATTAAATTATGGGTATAAAACGGTATTCAATTTTCAATAATAAATTAAAAATATTTTTAATTGTGAAGCAACTTAAAATACTTTTAAAACAAAGTTAAAATTTAAAATATAAACAGTCTGTATCCGATCTTCAGGTCCAAATCTCAAGTCGAATGGGCACGTCATCTTCCCGCAATATTCGTGGAATGTCGGGCCGTAACGACCATAGGTCGATAGTTTACGACGAGGAGGAAGAGAATATGTTATCTGAAGATTCGGATAATATGGACGACGATATGACATATACGAGAAATTAATTTTTTAAGAGTAGTTAGAATAATGTCAATCTCTATAAGAGAGCACTCGGTCCTCCTCTAAATAACTGGATATTTTTGTCGTATTTGATAAATTGATTGACAGTATCATAATATGCACATAGAGACACTGTAAGCATTATTGTTAGTCGTAGAAATTTGCGCGTAAATAATTTTTTACTGAATTACTTGTAAAATTGAGTATAAAGATAATGCATTAATTAAACTGTGTTTAGATTTCCTTCGGGTGTTAAAATATTCACGAAATTATTTAGAGGACACGGATATTTTTCCTATGCTTTATCTAATTTTTCATTTTAATGTTATGCTCTACAGGTCTAGTATATAGCATGTTACTTGTCCAGACTACTTTGCATTTCGGAACATTGCTTTGAAAATCTGCTCTTGCTCCTCGAAAACAAAACACGTAATGGAGAATTGCCTCATCTCTCTTATTCACTGGAAAGGGCAGAACGATGCTAGGGCCAGGTGGGGGTAACGTTCAGTTCTAATGATCTCTCAATATTCGATGATAAATGATAATATTATTTTAAGAGAGAAGGCCTGTTTATCTAGATATTGAAGTGTCAAAATAATTCATTTTCATTTTTTAAATATTCAATCTAAGAATAATCAAGGTATGAGAAGGTCCCGTGTTTAATAGTGAATTGTGAAACAACTAAAACACTTAAAGTAAAGTGACATTAAAAAATGTTTTGAGGGTTTAAATTAATGTACGTAAGTTTAATGTACTGTAAGTATAAGGGTTTAGATTAATATATGTAAGGCGTTACTGAAAACATGCATATTTTGCAAACGTTAAAGGGAAAGTCATTGCTCAGGACAACTTAGGCTCAGATGAAAGATAATACCATTCTTACTTTACATACGAAGTTTTAAATCGCAAGGTTAAATAGAATTCAAGATATAAAGCAATAAAAACACAACTTTTGCCATATTTGCCGCAGAAATTAAATAGATGCGAGTGAACCTGCGATCTAGCAGCGGATTTACTCCGTGACGTCACTGCACGGTTTCGCGGGAGCGCTTCATATTGAATAATTGAAATATAAACAAAGCTATAAAATACAGCAACATTTTACAATCAAATTTGTCATCAAAGGAAACAGCGAACAAAAACTTTAGCATCGAGCTGAAACACTGCCGCTTAATCCTGTGAAAATGAGCCTGCGAAGGTACTGAAAGATTATCTGCGGTTCATTTCTCAGACAATGCTGATCGTTCCAGGACTCACTTGGTTTAGCGCGGACAGACATTATAAAAAGAAAAGCCTGTGTTTGAACGATCAGAATCAGGGAAATCTTTGTAGCAGACAGAGCGCACTCAGTTAACAACGCAACATTGATCCAGTTAATGTGAGTAATAACTAATTTGGATTTGGGGCAGTAATTGAAGTCACATTGTCTTGGTTCCCATACATAGTAGTTGTTGGTTTATAATTTTAACATTATAATGTGTACTGAATCTTTTTTATTTTAGACGAGACACACTGACACGTCATGAAATTTGTTTTGGTTTTCGCAATCTTGTGCTGCAGCTTAACTGTCGATGAAGGTGCTAAACAGGTAAGTTATTGAAAAATTGCCTTGTCTCGAATTAATTTAGCGATGTGAAAACAGGTGGGGGTATTAAAACTATCTCGACCACTAAGCAAACAGAGTTAAAACTTTATGGAAAGTGGCCTCTAGATCCTCTATATAGCTACATGGAATAAGAATGGTATAAATTATCCGAAGGTCGATATAGCCATTATGGTTATACGAAGAATTTTGTATTGCCCTCAGTAAAACATAGAAGCTCTTACGTCTCAATAATAAAAATTTAATGAAAATAAACTAAAATTAAACTACTATAAGCATATTGAAATGAACCAATATTACATTTAACCTTGTCTTAAGTTTGCTTAAAAGCTTCAAATTGCCTGTGCGGCGCAGTTTTTCATTTCCCACCAATCATATATAGATCTGGGACTGGGTGCTATTTTAACCGCGATATTTCTAACCTTGCTTCCAATGTGCAGTTCGAGCTTTTTTGCCATGGATAATAGTCGGACATCATCTTTATAAGGCTCAATGAAAAATATATGCTGCTTAATTATTCAAGAGTCGAATCTATTTCTATATTTTTAGCGTATTCCAGCACTGAAGAGTTATGATCGTGGCTTGTGCCAACAAGAAAACTTATGGACATGGTAAAGAAGTTTTAGTGAAGGACAGAAGCGATGAAGAAATCGTTCTGATTTGTGTCAAAAATAAAGGCGTTTAGCAGTGGAAGCTTACAGCTGGTTAGTTGAATTTAAATACTTGTGGTATAAAGTCTATATATGGGTAAAGCAATCTATATATGGTAGAGCAATTGATCTTTTTTACACTTCCGTGCTTCTCTCAATTATCAGGAAATTTCAATTCAAAAGGGGTAGAGAGAGCACACTGCTTTTGCCTTTGTGCTACTGCATTAGCAATACCACAAGAATTATAGGAATGGACGTAGTTATCAAACGAGAATTCGTCTACTTCTTTTGCACATTTGTTGGTTCTTAAAAGAACCGTTTTTTTTTTTAGTTAGGTTTTGGAAACCTTTTTACTTGCTGCTTGTGTACTTCGTCACGGCTTTCGTTCCTTCGCTGACGGCGTGTTTTGCCAACTCTCCAGGCAAGAGCAGACGAACAGCAGTCTGGATTTCTCGGGAAGAAATCGTTGATTTCTTGTTGTAGTGAGCTAATCGTGAAGCTTCGCCAGCAATTCGCTCGAAAATATCGTTGACAAAGGAGTTCATGATACCCATGGCTTTGCTGGAAATACCAGTGTCGGGATGAACTTGTTTCAAGACTTTGTAAATGTAGATTGCATAGCTTTCTTTACGTTTTGATCGTCTCTTCTTATCACCACCAACTCCAGCTTTCTTGCCTGCTTTCTTTCCGCCTTTTGAAGCAACACCAGGTTTGGGAGGCATTTTCGTTCCAAATTTTTCTTCTCGAGAGTTACGATAAGCTTTAGTGTGTAGAGTCAAACTCCTTGTACTGCATGAATGCTTATTGCTCGAATTTTGAAATGTTTTATAGTAAACTGTCTGGTAATACATATTAAGTAGGATAACAAAATATTAAATGTTGATTGGTCTTTATTACAGTCGGACGTCTGCGAACTCACTACGTTCGCCCCCGCAGCCCAGTCATGAAACCAGTTAGACCGCGCCGCAAAAATAGCTGGTGTCTAGCGCGTCCCGCCGATATCAGTACATATCGTTTTCATGTGATCTTGTTATCGCCCAGATAAAGACTTACACCAAAGACTTAGAAGGGAAGGCTAAAAATCATGGTCGTTGCTGTAAAGATGACCATGGTGCCAATGTTGACTCCAACCAAGGTTTTTAATAGTTCTCGTTCTTCTCGAGGAGCCAAGAAAATATCAATACCAAGAACAAACTCCTCATGAAATACACTCCGGTCCATTTCCTTGAACTTGTGAAACTTGTAATAGACACATCATCGTCATACCTCTTCATTTTTAAAAATGTTCTCATTTCCTGTTTTAAATCATATAGTCAATCCAGAAAATATCTTAAAGTGAGGTTTGTCATACAACAACTATACGTCTACAATACCGTGTTTTAATTACTGATTTTTCCAGGCACAAAGAACACAATTGGTCAATTTTTCAACCCTGGTCTTAATTGTACTGATATTTTGAATATATTGGAAGACGCCAAGGACAGCTTTTACTGGATCACTCTCAAAGGCTCTAATGCGAAAAGGGTAAGAGACGTATAAAAGTATTTTCCGATCTCTATAAATGCATAAATTTATTCTAATCAGTTCCACTTTATGGTAATGCTTTCCACGCACTTCAGTATGTCGTCATATTCGACAGTTCAGCGGCCTTCAAATACAATTAGAATCCGCCTCAAAATTGCTAAGGAACTGTCTTTAAGCCTTGGGATTTCTCGTTTGGGAAATTACTAAGCCCTTGGCAAGGGTACATTTTAATTTCCGATATACCCCGCATACAACGCATGTATTTTTATAGCAATAAAGCTAATCTTTGCGGGGTAAAGTTAAACTCATGGCAACGAGTCAAATGGCAACGAGTGAGGATTTTAAAGCAACAAAGGCACACTGGTTGGTTTTAGATAGCATCATGCTTTGCAAATTAATTGTGATTTTTGGCATTTCACTCGATGCACGTAAATTCTAGGGTTGGAAGGGTCTTAAGGGTCATCGCACCGGCATCGCAAAAGCGTAGATTCGATTCCTGCCGGAGGACCTATAGTTGACTCATTTTTCCTATAGTTGACTCATTTTTCATTTTGTTATTACTGCATGCAATACAATATATTATAAATGTCGTTACAAAGGAAGGTTCCAAATGGGAAACTATAAAGTATAAACGCATGAAGCTCTAAACGCTAGATTTTTATTACGCTCCACATAATTTATTTTCGAGACTCAGTGAGATCATTCGTGGCTTACGGACAAATGAGCCTGCAAGTCTACTGTGAAGATCCTGCGGTTGTCTTTTTTTCGCTTGGCTAATTTTTCCAGGCTTCTCAATTATTTCGCGGACAGACGTATAAAGAGGCCCGTCTGGGAAACTTGTGTTGGAAATTGGAATGATCCAGAAGTGGTAAAGTCGTGAGCGCAATCATACGCTGTTGAAATATAAAACGGTGTTTTTACGTTTATTCACGCGCTCTGCAAATATAGCTAAATCAATTTGCATTTTAGTGAGTAAATGAATTATATGTGATATGTCTTTATAAATTTGCTTGATCCAGAACATGATTTCTTCAGTTCATTTTTAGAAGCACTGACACACTGACACGTCATGAAATTTGTTTGGACCCTCACCATCTTGTGCTATAGCTTAACCTTTGTGGAAGTTGCTAAACAGGTAATAGTTGTTGATCATATTATATATGTTGTTAATTTTAGATCACTTTCCAACGCTGACCATTTCAGGCAGCTATCACGTTTCGAAAATCCTAAGCCTTCGCAATGAACTTCGCAATGAACCGCTCTAAACTTCGGTTCAGATTTCAAACTTCGCCGAGTATGGATTGTCTTGCCTAATCCTTGCAGCACAATGAGAACAATTCCGTTGAACATAAAGAAATTGAAACGTTAGTTTAAATTATATGTTCGATATGTTGACCCAGATGCCACAGCTCTATAGCGTGTGCTCTTAGTGGAAACTTTACTATACTCGTTATACTCCCCCAATACCATCAATAAGGGAGGCGTTTGGAAAAGAGTATACATATATAATAGCGTTCGGCGAAAAATAAGGAGTTAGTAAAAAATTCCAGAAAATACATATATAGCGACGAGAAGATTACTGATGAGAAAATATCACACTATTACGCGTTATAAAAAATTCCATAATATTAAAAAGCATGCAAAAGAAAGCACTATATTGCATGGGCAATTATCAAATCTTAGACTTGGTAGAAAAAAAGACAAACAGCGACCGAGTAGCAAAGCTTAATTATTATTATCAAGTCGACGTAATACTTTTTCTGTATCGCTAAAAAAGTTCAAACATCGGAATTTGAAACATGAAATTTCAAGATGGCCATGCAAGACGGAAGATAAAACAGTAAAAATCAGTGTCATATCAACTCCATATCGAAATTTGGCTCTTTTAATAGTTTTATTTATATAGCAGCTATTTTTTCCTATAATTTGAACTGTTAAATCACATTTGATGACAAGTTATTTCATGCAGGAAACTGCCAAACATGCAGAAACTGAAATTTGATCAATTTTGATAAAGTAGCTAAACATCAAAGTGCTATGTGAGTATGACTATTTACCCGCGAAACATTTATAAACCAGTTTGTCTTATGGCTTAATTAAAGTGCCTATATCACTTGTGGGATCTTTACGGATTTGAATAGAGCTTGAAAAATTAGTTTATAAGTTCTACAACCATTTTTGATATAATTAAATAGTTTCGAAAATACGTCGGTTGTGAGGACTGGGACTCAGGAATGATTTGCAAACACGCCGTCTTTTATAATGTAAACATGAAAAGTTTCACTGGCGATATAGTTTGCGCTTTTCAAGAAAAAAATGCGGGAACGGTGCGTTGTGTATGGCTGCAGCAACTGGGCGAGTTTTTCTCAAAATATTTTACGTTATTGGAAGATCGAGGTAAATTACAATTGATTTTATTATGTTTGACAAGAACTCGGTTCCTGAGTTCCAGGCCCCCAAGCACGACGGAAATTTAGGCAAATCGTCATGTTTAGATGTAAATATTTCCGAAACTATTTAACTATATCAAAAAGGGTTGTAGAACTTATAAACTAATTTTTCAAGCTCTATTCAAATCCGTAAAGACCCTACAAGTGATATAGGCACTTTAAATATAAGGTAAAGAAGTATGTCTAATAAATTCATAGTTTCAAAAATTCTCATATGGCCAGACTAACGCGTGCGGGGGGCCCAAAACCTACTATCAAATCTGGCAATAAAATCCTTTTAAGCAAGAGTAAAAAAATGTCTTCATAATTAAAATAATGAGTTGGAGAAACTTGAGGAACTCGACGACATGCAGGGGTCAGCAAGAAAATGCAAAGGAATTAGGTCTGCTTGCGTCAAGCGGAGTCTGCTATTTAATAAATTCATGCTTGAATTTGAAAATGCATGATTCATAGTTTATAATAAGATTTAAACCGGCTGACTCGGGCTGAGAGATAAATGAGCGTGATCAAGTAAGCCGCAGTTAATTCAAGCCACATACATTAAATTCTTTGATGTCATCACCAGAAATTTGGGTTAGATTTATTAATTAAAACATGCATCATTCCCGTATCGGCTAATTTCGGCTAAGGTATTATATATATAAAATAAATTTTAACTGTCACAAACCAAAATGAATCATGTGATTGTGATGCAGTGATAGTCTTTTCAAATTAATGTATAATTGACATTTTTGTCTCATTTATATTTCACAATGATATAAAATTATATACCTTTTCTTTTCTTCACCTAAACATATACCTATGGCCATGGATGCATATCTATCATTCATTAGATCAGTCGGTCATTATGTATTATATAAAAAAATTTTCCTTGGCATAATGTGTCTTGTATTTAATTCAAAACATGTCAAGGTGACTGATGTGATATGACTGATGCCGAATATTTCTTGTTTCTGATGGTCTAAATGACCTGTTCACGACAGTTACGACAAACCATAAAAACTTTTGTTAGACAAGTTTCGACCAAAAACTCGTGCTTCATGTCAAATAGGAAAAGAATCACTGCTTTTTTCTGATACTATTCTTCAATGTTCGATTCAATCTCGAAACCAGAGCCCGCGATCCATCGGGGTTCGATTTCCAAATTTTAACTGGTGATCCCTGGCAGCGCAGACTGGGTACGAGTTTGAAGAAACTTATAAATATCATGCAACATTGAGATCATGGAAAAATAATGCCATGACGATTCCGGAACGGTACTGATTTTTATATAAATGGAAAGAGTTCCTGGGGCCGGGCGAGATACGACAGCCATATTGACGCTGAAACTAGAAGAGTTTTCGTATTAAACACTAGAAATATTTAACTGATTTTCTTAGCGCATCCGAGCCTTGAATAGCTACGATCCTGGCTCGTGTAACGAGACAACTCATGGTACAGAAGTTTTAGTCAAGGACAGAAGCGATGAAGAAATCCTTTTAATTTGTGTCAAAGATAAAGGCGTTTATCAGTGGAAGCCCACAGTTGGTTAGTCCACCTCGTGTACTCTCTTATAGAGAGATTTTTATTGTACTTTTTTTGAAAAATCGCTGTACTGAAGTACATTCCGGTTTCTATTCGTGTAGGAAATAGGAATATAGAAAAAATGAAAACTATATATACAGACGTTGCCAAAAAGACATTGGCAACCAAAAAATTTATTGCCTCATTTGAGAGAACGTTTCAAATTATCAAAAAATCTTGTTATAAATTATATCTTAATGTTAAAAAAATCTTGTTTGGGACAATAAAAAGAAAGAATTAACCCTCTCAGATGGCACTCAGTAAATTGACCAATTAATTGTAACTGTTCAATGACATGCCGTCAGATTTGACTGACAACTTGATTTAGAATGTTCAATAGGGAGTTTACGATTTCCACAAATCCTGAGCGGTGGTATCGTCTGCAGACTCCGACAATCAAACATGAATGCATGTTTGATTATAAATAAACACCGCGTATATATTTTTTTAGGCACGAAGAACACAATTGGTGAATTTTTTAATCCTGGTCTTCATTGTACCGATATTTTGAATAAACAAGAAGACGCCAAAGATGGATTTTACTGGATTACCCCCAAGGGCTCAAACGTGGAAAAGGTGAACACTTGACTGATGTTTCTGTGGCCTTGATCTCTAGTTCTTACTTCTCAAAAACTCTTCTACATATATAATAAACAATTATTGGATGAGGTTGAGCGTGATATATTTAACAGTTATTCTACGAACTCGAGTCGTATTGAGCTGTTTTATTATATACACAAACTTTGTCCCCCTTTCGGTGCATTTTGGTGTGCTATTATCAACTAAAGCTTGGATTTCTATATCACTCAACTCCCCAAATCTTTCAGCCATTTTGTTTACTTTCTCTACTAGACAGATATGAGCTAATATCTGTCTAGTAGCCAACCAATGAAATTGCAGCATACCTCATATCTGGCGCTTGTGTATATAATAATGAGAATTATTAAGGCAGAGGTTGGCGTTATCTGCCAAAGCCGTAGGCTGACGCAGATAACGCCAACGGAGGCCTTAATAATTCTCAATATCACGCGAAAACCGAGTTTAATAATTCTATTATTTACCTGATTAAATTGTAGTAGATAAGGTAAAAGTGATTGGAGATTGTATATATAGTGAATAATTATATGGTTTATAAATATATGTTATTCATTATTTTCAATCGACAAAGGTTTTCTGTGATATGACTACCGACGGTGGAGGATTCATATTGATTGGTCGCCAAAACGACTCAATCACATGGACTGTTTCCTCCAATAACAAAACAGTTGAACCGTACGGTGAACCTCATTGGTCGAGCTCTCTGGGTGATGCACCAATCCTAGACTTCAGAGTGCAAATGGCAACGAGTGAGGATTTTAAAGCAACAAAGGCACACTGGTTAGTTTTAGATAACATCATGCTTTGCAAATTAGTTTAATCTAATTCTTAGAATTTTCAAAATGTTCTGCTTAAATATATATATATATATATATATATATATATATATATATAATAATATATATAATATAATATTATATATAATATATATAATATACAGGGTATATATACCCTCGTAAAATCTTTCTTAGTTAGGGTTCCACTGTCGCGTTTTTTTCATGTAGCTATACATACACGCACGTAAAAGCTTAAAACCTTCTAAGTTGTTCTATAAATTATTTCATGCCAGAAAAAACCTCATGAAATCATCAACAGAATGCAACCCTATGCATCTATTTTAAACTTTTACGTGCATAAAACGCAACAGTGGAAAGCAGCCTTTACTCTCTCTTTTTTCGGTTTCTGTGACTGTACATGCATGGATATAGATCTCTGCCATTTTACCACGTGAGACAGATTTTTATAGATTTGACTTTGTAGAACATACCAGGCAATGGGGTGTGTTTTTGTTGTCACTTTATAGTTAGTTCTATATTAAACGAGTCTTCATGCACTGTTAATTGTGGTCTATTAACTGCATGCAAACTCTTCCCGAATGTTAAATGCAATTTTCGTTGGCAATAATTTTAGGTCCTACAGATTTCAGTCAAAACGTCCAATGAAGAGTCTAATGATGAATAATGGTGGATGTGATGAAAGATCTGCTGGAATTGGAAACATTGCTTACGTTAAGGATCTTCTAACTGAGAGCATTGTCACTACGAATCTCCGCTGCGCAAAATTTGGACACGCTCATCACCCTTTGGTAAAATTTGGATGGGTAAATATTTATATACTGCGTCTGAACTCCTTTCCTGTATAATATTCATGCCAAAAGCAGCATTTGTCATGCAATTGTTTAAATCTATTATTCAATTTTCAGAGTAAGATGAATTTGTGCTTTCAAAGAGCATGTCCATGGGGCTTTGCGTTTCTTGATGCTGTAAGGCATCAAGTAGATTATAACGGAGGATTCAGGTGAGACCCCTTCTGGTTATTGCATGGTATTTACATCAAAATCAATATCACTAAATATCTTGACTCCGATCCAGTTTCAGCATCGGAAGAAAGATGTCCGGCATGGAAAAAAACGCAACCGCTTCAGTAGGATGCGACAATGGATATGTAAGGATATTAGCGGATATGTGGGATATCTAATGTTATACAGCAGACTAGGAAACATTAGGGCCACTTTTACGCTAAACAACTCATATAAACCCTCAGTTTATTATACCAGCTAGTCCATTCTTAATTAAGGCCATCTTTTATCCTGGGGTCGGTTGTATAGAACTCCACCGGCTACAATATGGAAATTGTATGATTATCCATTCATTCATATGGTTTCTAACCATGGAGTTATTGCCCATGCAATTTGTTCCGAGAAATTTTAGGCTAGTCTGTGAAAGATACTATAAAGGAAAGTATTTTGTTTGTTACTTTCTCTACTACATTTTGTTGTCTACTCTCCATTTCCGTGTTTAGTGCTTTGAATTTTCCTTATTCTAAATATGATATACAAGCATATTGTTGATAGTTAACCAGAGATAGTTAACGAAAACCCCAAATTCGTTTATTTTTCCTAGTGCTGTGGATGCTATGGTCCCGTGGGTGGAAAAAAAGATTACTGTGCTGGACATTGTAAAGCTATTAATGGTGGTACTGTCACGAAAAGAGCATTCACGTGGTTTTGGGTAAGATCCAGTCTTCCTATGAGACTTTGGAAGAAATGTATGGATTATCAAGTCGAGAGAGATGATGGAAAATTGATTTCGTATAAGTTGGTGGGACACAGTGTTGTTCCGGTTGAGGTAATTAGGAAAATATCACGTGTTTATCTTCAGACTAAAACAATTCACTTATAGTTTGAAGCAGTCTGACTAAGGCAGTCTGTTGAATATTTTAATTTATAAGTATACGTACCAACAGTACATATTAAGCGCACCTGGCTGGGGGCTGCCAACTTTGATATCCATAGTGCAAAAACAACTTTGTCATGACAAAGTATTGTTTTTCGTTTTGATGCTGTTTTAATGAACATATCATTCGTCAACGTAGAAAGCAACCTCAACTAATGGATATGATAGCCTACCTTCTACAATAGACCTTTTTCATAATGACGTCAAACGCGGAAAGTCTGATGTTACACGAAGTTTGATTGGCTCGACAGTTTTGTGGAGCCAATTAAATTTCGTGTAACATCAGACTTCCCGCGTTTGACGTCTTTATAAGAAAGGTCTATTATATCTTGGAGGTGGTTTTTTATTTTTATGCAAAATAATTTTCTGTACTAGTTAAGAACTGGGATAATTAAGGTCTTATTTGAGCCAGTTATGACTCTATTGATTTATTAAAATAAGTTTTTCTTCGTGAGCATCTTTTCCTTACAGGAATCAGAATCCTGTACTTTGCAAAATTAATATAGCTAGTTCTCTCATCCATGTGCGAACTTTGCCGAAAAGCTATTTTAATAAATATGGCTGGACTCTTGATACTTTTGGCACCAAGTATTTGTAAAATATATCAATCTCCTTTGCTCTTTATAGGGTCACTGCAGTAAAGACTCCACACTTTTGCACGATGGGGTAAGTCTTGTACATGGAACCACAGCCCCCCAGGCATGATTTGAAGCTGTACTGTAGACTTCAAAAGGCAAATAAATGAGCGGTATATTATTTATAACATATAAACTTCACTTTAGATTGTGGTCGTACCAGATTCCTCTACCGCACAGAAAGTACCAGCTGTTGATGGATTACTGGAGTATCGCAAGGACCAACAAGAACTTTATGTAAGATCAAATAAAACATGGAATGTACTGGCCAAGGAGAATGAGGTATAGAGCATATATATTAAATGGTTTTTTAAATAAATGTAAATAGATTATGAATTACAAATGTAGAAAGTAAACTTGCAATGACAATGTTTTTGAAACAATTGATTGTTGGTTTGTTGGTCAAATAATCCAATATATATACATAAGGGTTTTCGAAGATTGTTTAGTATGGAAAGTTTATTATTCATTTAACATTGAGAACGGGTCACTCAAAAGCATAAAAAAGCAGTGAGAATGTTCAACTATTTGTTTCTTACTGAATATATATAGGTTGATATCGCCTGACAATCTTTTACGACATTTTCGGAGAAATGATGATGATATATTTTAGATTGTACAAGAAATGGACAGAAAACACAACTTGAATTTGAATGAAATTAACAAACTCGAGCAGGAGGTCAATAATGTGAAGAAAATTGTAAGTCAAGAATGAACTATATATACCTATGTGGCAGTATATGTGATATGCCTGTGTTTTACCGTTACTTAAATCTGTTTAGTTGCAGAATTTGATAAAAAGACATGACAGTGAAATGAAAAAGAGTAAGTATGCATGCATAATACCGGGTGACATGTCCTTTTCTAGCGTTCGTCATTGACACTTTAGCTTCTATTCATGCAGTTATTGTCTTATTTTCTACATCACTGCTCTTGTTTTCCCAGTTCTTCAGTCGAGCAAATGGCCAAGCAGCGCCACGACCGTTTGCCGGCCTTCGTGAACCATGAACCGGCTTTAGAATTAAATAATCTGGGACCAGCTGTGTAAAACTATTTAGCCACATTTTGCATAGTTAAATTCTAGTCAACTCAGAAATACACGACTCTGATTGGCCAATTCTGTCTTTAACTATAGTTAAAAGTTAACTACAGTCTTTTATACAACTGGCCCCATGCAGTGCAAGGCAAAATTAGACGACGTAGTTTGCCCGCATACATGCATACAAAACAAGACAGTGTGTCAGGCTATATATATACAAGATAGAGTAGGTTGAAACCGAAATTACAATAAAAAAGAAAGGCATCTTGAAAGACGATTTTCGAAGATGGTTGCAGCTAGACGTAATTATAAGACTCGTCGCGATCTCAGCGGTCGTTCACATCCCAAGTGCATCCATGCATGGCCTTGGTCGAATTGATCATATGTCTCCAATCAAAAAAGGGTATAGGAAGAGAAGTTTGAGATCCCTAAATAGGCTGTGCGTCAAACTCGGAGCATAAAGTTGTATATTTATACGAAATCGGCTCCTATCATTTTAATTATGCAGGGTTAATATGACCATGTAGTTCAGCGTAATTCAGAAAAAAGAAAAACCTTATTCTTCATCTGTTATAAAACATCAATTTTGGGGGCGGTGTGACACCTCCATGCATAGCTTTCGCCTATTACACCTAAAACTAAAATATACTATCAAGCTCTAAAACTTAACATAAACACTAACTGCATGAACTGCATGTTGAATACTGACTTTAATACTGATCTTAATTGTGATGATGTGTCATGTATTGAATTAATTTAGTTTTGCCCGAGCATAAAGAATGTTTCGGTTATAAATGGCTGAGAGAAAACAACAGAAACCAGAAATATTATTCCGGCAGCAATTGTGACCAAAGGGGACTTTCCCAAGGTTGGTATAGATTTGGAGAAGGAGCTGGGACTAAAATGCCAACATCGTGTGTACCTAAGTACAGATGTGGAACACATGCCCCAGGTTGGATGAATGGCGCTCACCCTACAGTTGCCCAAGGCAAGATCACCAGGACAGTGTGTTACCATTATAATAGCAATTGTTGTAACTGGTCAAATAACATCGAGGTTGTTAACTGTGGACTGTATTATGTCTACAAACTAAGCTCTCCTCCCGAATGTACCTTAAGATACTGTGGATCAGATTGAAGCCCAAGTTTAAACGTGTCGCATGTGTCAATGCATTTGCTGAGAGTTGTGTGATAAGGTCAACATACGCATTTAAAATATAATCTATGTGGTAACATTTGGTAGAAGCTTCTTGTAGTATAATTAAAATGCGTAATTAAAATGTATAATCTTATAGTTATAGATATTGGGTAAAATAAATAAGGCAGTTCAAAAATTTTCAACACTATATGAAAGTGTGAGAGCCTGAGAGGGAATTCTGCGATTTCCTGATTGCGGATATAAACTCGTGAGTGCTTGTGTTGGCTATATGAACATGTTTTATTTTGCGGTTTTGTCCTTTTTTAAATACTTCGTCACTAAGTTTTCATACCGCTTAACCTGCATGCATCGTTCTCTTTTATCATGCACCGACAGTCGGCTGGATATTTGCAGGTTCAACTGTGAACGTTGGTGTTGGGCAGCATAGTTTATACTAATTTCGTTTAACCTATTGCTTTGTTAGTCAATCATGACATGATATGATGAAACTATAAACCAATAAACCTCAACAACATATGCAGTCGCCTTGGTAAATCACAGCGAATGATTTAATTACCTGCCGTTATTTCAAGAGCTTTACTCGGTAACCTGCTATTTCAGAAGCGAAAATGTTTCAAAACAAACACGTCTCGAAAACTATTGATGACACGAATCAACTCATATCTCACGCTTTAGGACGATATAAGGCCTCAAGTCCACAATGGTGAGTTTCCTGAAACAATGCGTTTCTTCTTTATAATGTTACCTAAACTATTTCTCGAAGAGAAAGAACAAATTTGCACGGTTTTGTTGCATGTTTAGCTCGGTTTTGTGCATAGCAACGTGGAAGCCTTAATGGACATAAACCACTATTCAAGAGCCCACTCAAAATATAACTCACCATGTCATTAGGAAATGCAAAAACTGGAATAAATCCCGTTTGCCGAAACAGGTTTTTTGTAACGAACTAACGGTTGAGGAAGTTTTACTGTGCGGACTGATATTGCATGTGCATGTGCATCACTGAGAACGATTACTTTGCTAACATGCATGCAGTGTAAGACCGAGAGATGAAAGAAACCAACTGTCCACTAACTCACTGATGCAAATACTGTAGTTATTTAGAATAATCCTCAGAGATGTGAAATATTAAATTCATATATTTGCAAGTTCAAGGCGCATCGTCTGACGTCGAAATCCAAATATATAGTCCGTTTGATTGTTTGAGGCAAGGAGTTTTTCGTTGTTTCGGCTTCAATGTCAGCCACTGAGGTTACTGATGTTAATCCCAAAATGCTTTTAAATCTGTTTTTCCCTCTAAAAAGGCTCTAATTTTGTAAAAAACTTAGCATTAAATGTGGTATAACAACTGCCTAAAACATATAGACAAAACACTTCTCGACATTTCGACTAAGGGCCCTCGTCAGGAGAGTTTATTGCATGTAGATATATAATCCTAATAAATGAAAACAACACTACACTTTAGTTTACCAGCTAATGCATTTTCTCATTCTTACATGATTATATATGTGTACGTATAGATATATTGATTTTCACCCTGACATATATGCATCGTATAAAAACATGCACTAGCTATAGTGCAAAATAAATGAGATAAGGCATTGCCTCGTTTATTTTGCACTATATATAGCTATAGTGTATACGATGCATTTTCAGGGTGAAAATCATTATATCTTCACACATATAAGCCGGCAAAGCTGTGCGAGTTTCTTGAAAATGAGCAGAGTTATAAAGGAACTCATCACAGCAGACCTCATAAACTCAGAACAACTGAAGTGAAATAACTAATCACTAAGGTGTATCTTGTAACGGCATCATATTTCACATTTGGCAACATATTTCGGTAGCAAATATTTTCTATTACATCTCAATTCCCGAGAGGAAACAAGAAGCGCTGCGGCCCCTTCCTTGAAGTCCCTTCTCTATATGGTATAATTTAACAGAGAAATACTATAATAGAATAGTGCACTATTGCATGCCTTAACTGATACAATACGGTGTGAAACCGCATTAACCCTATCATGACAGGGACAGGTGGCTTCAAACCTTGAACCTGTTTTGGGTGCTTTGTCTTGCCCTCTTCTTCCTTGGTATACTGCATGATCTCGGCGTTTTTTATAAGAGACATATTCCACTGTTGTATGCATGGGCCTGTGGGAGATATCAGTCATTGTATAGCTGCAGTATATTCACAAATATATAGCAGAAAATATTCGCAAAAATGAGGCAAGTATATCGTTAGCAAGATACTCGATATCTATAGTAAACCATGATATTTAACATGATACAAGTTTGTTGTGCTTCAGTACAAAAGCTATACTGATATTTAAACTATAAAAACTGCTTGCATGTTTCAGGAAAATAATTTATTTATTCACTGTAATCTTTAATGTTGTATTACGATTGTAGTCTCAAAGTTTAACGCTTGCAGAAAAACTTCGAAAGAGTCTTTACTACTAAATTAGTTCCTTATGAAACCACAGTCCAGTACAGATTACAGAAAGACTTGCATGGTTGCTTTACAAAGTGCTGATTTGACGTGTTTGAGATAAAACTTTGTTTGCATAACTCCAGAGATTCAGAACTAAAATATTCATAATTCAGTTCATTGTGTTGTAGCGATGGTACCAAAGTGTCCGCCATGGAAGGACAGTGGGAGTTCTTCGTGTCCTGTGCAAAAGATAAGGCAGAGAGCCATACTCAAGCAGCGAGGTTCTGGAACAGAGTGGACACGTTTTTTGGACTTTCTCTAATCTTTTTGTCAGGTAAAGATCAAATGCATGATTACGTTAAATTTAGACACCATGCAATAAGTCTTGAGTATTGAGAACAAATATATAAGGATGAACTGATTATCGAAATACAAAAACTTTGTCTTTGTCTTTGGTGAAAACTTTCGACAATCAAACATGATGTAATATTCTTGATTAATATGAAATAAAACTAAAATAGATGCATCCTTATATTATATGAAACTTATGCTAAACTACTTAATCTCAGCCAGTACAACCGCATTGGCGCTTCTTGATGGAGTTCCAAAAGAAGTCGTCGCGGGTATCGGAGCTGTGTCAACAATGTTAGCAGCCTCGGCGTCTTTTCTTAAAGCCGCCGACCGCCGACAGCTTCACGAGAAGACCTCGAGAGGTTTCCGATCCTTGATGGTTAAAATGATCAGCTGCGAATCAGAAAAAGATTATGAGAAATATTGGGCGGATTTTAACCGAGAAATTATGGACGAACCTATCATGCCGAAGAAGTTTACTAAAAAGTTTAAAATGAATTTTATCATGACTCCTGAATTACGAGAGGTATGCACAAGGGAGGGAGGTTTTATCGATAATATTATATCGCAACTGTAAATCATCCAATCAGAAAGCTCGATTTGTACCACGTGATCAGTAAATTAATCATGGAGTTCCATCGAATTTTTCACATTATGCTATAAAAGTCGAATACCCCGCTGCAGCGGGGTATTCGAGTTTGCGTGTACCACGCGTGGATGCCTCGCACACGACTCGAGGTTGTCAACAATTTCAAACGTTGTTTCGATATAATGTATAATTTATAGACCTTCCGCTCGGGGAATTTGACGAAATATTCACCCCTCGGGAAGATATATCCCGAGGGCTTCCGGTCCACTCCCGTGAAGACAGCATATACGTAGAGTTATAGCTGTTATACGGAAACAGGAAAGAAACCCATCGCATCCATGACGCATCCGTATCAAGCTCCTCTACATATATGTCGTAGCTTATTTGCATTATACTTTTCAGGTTGTGGAGGAAAAAGAACTAGCCATTGTCCAGCTGGAAAACAAGAAACTGCAAGAACAGGAGGCTGCCGAGAAAGCAGCAGAAAAGCTGGCAGAAAAACAGGCTGAAAAGGAACCAGAATACAGCACTTCCCCCAGGAAAGATAACTGGCAAAGCCTTATTGAAATCCCAGAAATTGCCTCCGTGTCTGATAAAATGTTTAGAGATCAGTTGAACCGCTCTGCCCAGGCCAATGTCTGAGACTTGAGAACGAATTTGACCACATGCTAGCTAGATTTAATTCTTTGAACATGCACGTTCTAATTCTAAGCACGTCATTGCATTGTGGTCATGCATGAGAGCTCCAGAGCGTCCGAGCCATCTTATATCGCTGGTTTAACCACACTGAACAACGCAAATGGAAAGTCTGTGGAAAGTTACTCGGCGAGTATTTGTAGTTAAACGACGGTTCACAAGTTAACAAATCATTCAAACTCCGCCATCATTCTTGTATACTTGCATGTTGACCAACGGCCAGAGTGCTACAGCAACTTTGATCCAGTTCATACGCCGCATTTTGGTCGCGTCGAATGCAATTAAAACAATAGCCTGTGCACCAGTGCTGTGCACAGACAGAATCTAATTATCTATTGTTTGAATTCGACGCAACCAAAAAGCGATGTATAAACTAGCACCTTAGCACTAGAATACATAATATATAATTTTATGACACATTATGATCAATTGATATATTATCGGATTCTTCAGAGTGGTAATTAAATTGCTATCAAATTTTAATTTGGAGGCTAGGTTGTTCTTCTTTTTGTTTGCTTGCGATAAGGTTCGATGATTGCATGCCAATATGACTAGCCGTGCATGCATGTGAAATGAAAGGGGTTGTTCCAACTCCCAAGTCGTTTTGACTCTTATGTGGCAAACGAAAAAACCCTTGTTCACTCTCATGCATGAAAAGTTTTCAGACAGCTGAAAAGTAAATCAGTGAATGCTATAACGAGAGTGGATGACTGATAGGATGAGGGTTAGCGATCAACTCTTATCCCTCATTTGAATGTGGCGCGCAAATATGATCTGAATTTTTCATTTTGAAATGTGCTGTAATGTGCTTAGTAAGCCTTAGTTAGCCTTCTTTTCATTGATACTCGCCAGAAAATTTATTCAAAATAACAAAGCACTTTATTCTCCGGTGATCACAAACAATAGAGCTCGAGATCGCCGATTGTCGGTGCAATGTCAATGAGAATTATAATAATGACGAGGTTTTTCCTCTTGTTCTTAATTGTTTATTTCCATTGCATTTGATAAGCGTCATGCTAATTGTGACTATGCATGCATGTGTTGACTGTTGAACGAGGCATCTCAAATTATTATATCCATGCATCGACTTTAACCCGTAGTTCGGTGCCGGCAAATGGGAGGCGATTTTGGAACTAGTCTGGAACAGACCTTTTAGTCTAGTCAGTCTTCGGACATCTGAAGCCTTTTCCAAATCAACAGATGATATCTGAAAATGTTGTGTAAAAGCCGAAGAGAAAGGTAGGTTTAAAGAAAATATCTAAAACAAAAGAAATCATGAGCTATAACAGCCGAGCCGCTCTATACATAGAGCGACTTCAACGTTTTCCCGTCTAGTTGACATTACACAAACATCCAGCGTTTTATTTTGAGTGACTGTGGTGAAGCCTTGTCCTTGATATGAGTATAGTAATAGTATGTAGTGAATCGTGTTTGGCCGTAGCGCAGGAAGAATTGAGGGTTGAAGAATTGTCATGCACTAAGCACGAACAATGAATCTGTGCATGCATTAGAAATCATTGTTATCCTTTATATATAATTTCAGCCATGAAGGTTCTCTTAACCGAATACATGCACTGACTACATCAGCTAAAGTTTAGGCGTTTAACATCACTGAGTTGTGTCGTGACGAGTAGGTTTCGGTGGTACATATGCATCGTGCTAAACAATGTGGAATATCTAGCTTTATTGGCAGGCAGGAGAAGTAGAGAACTGGCAAATTTTTGGAGAAGAAACGTAAAATATTAGGATCGTGAGGCTGTCAGAATCCTCACCCTGGGTAAAACAACATCTGAGCCTGAGGTGAGAAAAACGAATTTCAGTTTTTCTTTATCAAATTCTTTTATAAGTTCTTCATGCATCTTTGAAAATACCCAAGCGTGACAACGGATAAACGCCAAAACGTTCTCATAGGGTGGGCCATATATAGGCAAAGAGCGCACATTAGTTAACAAGCGATGTTGCATGGGTGCTACATTACCGCGGTTAACAAATTATACTAAAATCGATACCTCCCCTGTGAATATTTAATCTATACACCTCGGTGTGAAACCACATTGAACTTTTGGTTACAACAATGGCAGGTGTCTCCGACCGTTGAATCTATTTGGAGTGTTTGGTTTGCCTTTGCCATGACTAGTATATTCATCTTATTAATGATGTTTTTGTATAACTGTTACTATAATCCTGTTGTTTGTGCGGCGACTAACTGTGCGAGAGCAACCTCTACGGCAATATAGTTTTCCTACAAAATATTTACAAAAATGAGGTAAGTATCAGAAGACAGTTCTTTTTTTCTATTTCATTGCTATATGACATCGGTACTGAAATATTCAGAAAGGTTTTAGCTTTTTTTGGATAAAACTGAAAAAGAATACATGACTTGTGGGCCTTTGTGGCAAAGGTGTAGAATTTTGTTTTCTTCTTATGTGGCTTGAACTGCTTCAATCATGATGTTTTCATCGCAACTCTTTATCCAGTGTTGGTTTATGTGATCCTCTGACAGTGTAGACCAAAGGAAATAGGAATTTATTCACGAATGTTTCAGTTCTATGACTTCTATATATTATTAATTCCTTCGTTCACGAGCAACAAAATTTGTTAATCTCGTGTGTAATTTCATTTGGATTTGGTAATCCCAAAAAATTGACATTTCTTTCCTATAATTTCACACAACTTCAAATACAATTAGATCACAGGCTTAATCCATAAATTTCAAATCGCGGATTCTTAAACAAAAGTCGGAAATTTAGTAGAAATCAAGTTGAACCCGACACCCGTCACGTGAAATAAAGATTGCTTTCTTGATATAAATTAGGCCCAGTTTATACGTCGCATTTTGGTCGCGTCGAATTGAATTCAAACAATAGATAATACAAGATTTAAAACTCATTAACATCTAATTATCTGTTGTTTGAATTGCATTCGACGCGACCAAAATGCGACGTATAAACTGGCCTTTAGAAAACGTAGGGGCTAAAAAATTATGCTAACTTTGCAAACTGTGAATTAATTGATGGATCTAAACCTGCTCGGATTTTGAGTCGCAACACTGTTTTGTTGCTCCCACTGTGTTGTAGCGATGGTACTAAAGTGTCCGCCATGGAAGGACAGTGGGAGTTCTTCGTGTCCAGTGCAAAAGATAAGGCAGACAGTCATACTCAAGCAGCGAGGTTCTGGAACGGAATGGACACGTTTTTTGGACTTTCTCTAATTTTTTTGTCAGGTAATGAAATTAACCTTCCTTTACGAAAACATTGGTCCTTACTGATAAAATATCGTTATTAAATTAATGCATGCATTGTACTGACTTCTTTATACTTTACTATATGTTACCATAAATATACTTATAAATACAATATAATGAATTGTATGTTTTCAATGATGTTGTAAAATTTATGTTGTGGAAAAATTCTATAAAACTGACTCTCTTTCAGCAAGTACAACGGCATTGGCGCTTCTTGATGGAGTTCCAAAAGAAGTCGTCGCGGGAGTTGGAGCTGCAACAACAATGGTAGCAGCCTCGGCGTCTTTTCTCAAAGCCGCTGACCGCCGAAAACTTCACGAAAAAACTGCGAGCAAATTCCGATCGTTGATGATTAAAATGATCAGCTGTGAAACTGAAAGTGATTATGAGAAATATTGGGCGGATTTTAACCGAGAGATTATGGACGAACCTATGGTGCCAAAGAAGTTTGCTAAAAAGTTCAAAATGAGACTTATCATGACTCCTGAATTACGAGAGGTATGAACGACATTTTCTAAATTTCGAACACATGCAGCGAAGGTATGAATAGAGTATTCTTCAAATGACATTGACAGCAAACCAACAACGGTCGAACGACAAACTTTAACGCAGTGATCACGTTAGGTTATTTGATACAAAATTAAAGATCTTGATACTAAAGATTGAAGCAGAGACAAAATCAGTTCAGACTGCAGTAAAGCCTACTGAACTTTATTAAGGGTAGAAAACGAAATCAGCTCAAATTACGACTTTACAGTCTGCCGGTCGTTGCCAGTTTGCCGTAAACGTCAGTCATAATCATAGGCAGCTCGGTCAATGCGGTTGCGTCATATTATCTCAGTTTGTATACTTATATTCGTAACCGCATTTACCGGGCTGCCTATGCCATAAACTCAAGAGATGCCAACTCTCCTGGAAACGACCTGGTTTTGTAATACAAGGAGGAGACAAACCGCTGGGCACATTTGTTCCCCTCCCCTCTTTTTTTGAAGTAATATGTTCAGTCCCATGCATTGTTCATCATTCGAGAATAATCTGCCCTATCTAAAATCTATTGGCTTTCACCATCATAAGTATGGGATTTTTTATTATTAGCCATAGTAATTATAAAGTCAGCATAAAGATTCTCAGTCTCAGTCATACTTTAATTGTATATTTACAAGGTTGTTGACGAAAAAGAAGAAGTAATTGCCTTGCTAGAAAACAAGAAACTACAAGAACAAGAGGCAGTCGAAAAAGCAGCGGAAAGGCTGGCCGAAAAGTCGGAAAGCAGCAGTTCTCCAAAGAAAGATAAATGGCAAAGCATCCTTGAAATCCCAGAAATTGCCACTATGTCCCAGGCAATGTTCAGAGACCGCTTAAATCGCTCTGCCCAGGCCAACGTCTGAGATATGAGAAGCAGTTTCTACACTTCACAATTTCAAAGTGATTCTTTGTATCGACTAGTATTTCGAGTTGGCACTAACTGACTCTACGCAAGAGATCATGTAAAGAAGATTTACCATGTATGGGCATAGCTTGTCAGAAATCGTTTTAAAAGTTATTCACTTCCTTATTCAGAAGGATATGCTGTCACATGCAGGCATACGAATTTTAGCATTGCATTGTGTGAAGCACAAGCTCTCGTGGTTATCTTTCAGCAGTCATACACCACCTCCCATCCTTGTTAACCATCGCACTAGCACTGACAATTAATTCCTAACAAAGCAGGCTATAATATAATATAAGATATATCTTTATAACTTTCATTTATTGGATTAACTCAAGTTTGATAAAAAAGCCATATCTTCAAAGATCAGCAGGGACGCCGGAAGATTGATAATTGGGGGGGCATATATTCATATATTCAAGTTCACAGACCGTAAAAACAATTGATTTCAAAAGAAACAAATAATGCAAAACTCGAATATATGAATATATGCCCCCCCAATTATCGATGTTCCGGCGTGCCTGCAAAGATGAAGATATGAATCAAATCAAACCATGGTTGTAGTTTTGTCTCAAAAATACGCCAAATCGCCTTTAGTGCTGTCAAGCTAGAAAAGGGAAGAATAAGACAAGGAAAAATATGTTTTCAGGCTTTTTCGCCTATTCATGCACCAGCCCTGCTTCTCTCGCATATAACTGGTTACTGGAATCACATCACTACGCTAAATACAAGGGTACATAAAAGGGTTTGGGTGTACAAACATAATTTGATCTTCCTATTGGGGGAAAGTCTATTTCTTGAGCGTTGTTTAAGACTTAAGTACATTTCTTAAAACAGGCTGAGTAGAAGTACAGTAAACATTGCCACTGTGTAGGCCGTAGGCTAATGGCAAAAAAGGTTCCTATTTTGTGACGAAACTATCATATTTTTTTCCAACTTTTTTTAACGAGCCTTGATGTATACTTCGGTAAATAAGTAATTAGTATTCATTTTTGAATGCTGCTTTCAGACGTAGCATTTTCTCCCTTTGAATAAGACAAGACGATGCAGGTTAATGGTGCTTAATAGTGTTATCTTCATACATATTGTTTTATTGTATTTGACACAATGACACGATCAAACGTGACCAGGCCATATATAGGCATAGTTCCAAGTTCTAGTACATTCAAACCCATTTAATATAGACCTATTCCTGTGATGCCATAATCCTTATAAAGAGTTGTCCTCAAGATGTTTTCTAGCCTCACTAAGATTAAGAGAGTTCATATGGTGGTAAAAAGCAACTGAAAAAGTTTCTTCAATATTTCTGCACTAATATTTCATGCCTACTGTGACATCATGTGCAAAGTATTTATAGGATACAGCCATTTTAACAAAAACTTGGACGCATTTTCATTTTCAAAAATAGCACATTTATTTTACCAATTATTTTCCAATAGCTATTTACAATATGAATATCTTACAGAACTGAAATCAAACGTAAAACCTATATTTTACACCACTAATGATACAGATGCCTAATACAGACACCACCAACATGAATGAATGGTATTTCACACTTTGAACTGAATAAATTTACAATACTCTTTTTTGCATATTGCATAACACATCACAAATGATCAAACAACATCAAACAAACAGAAAAAGGTCCCTACAGCCTCATAATTTTACCTTTTGATAGCACATTTTGCAAGAATATATTATGTATTATTTTTACATCTCACTTGTTAAGTTCCTGTAACCTTTGTGGGTCGTATTTTCTTATTCAAGAAACCTATATATGGCTAAGAGCATCAGTTCGTGGTAAGAAATTTGCAATAACTGATGTTTCCAACATGACTTTGAGCTTTGATATAATAACCAAAATTCATGATCAGTATACCACACCATCAGGTTAGAGAATAAAGACCAACTATTCTCAAACACAAAGTCCAAGCACACAACTAACACCTTGGGAATCATGGACGCATGCCTTAATCTTTTCTCTGTTTAAACCAGACAAAGTTTTCTTTAAGATGTAGTCAATAAGCTTTCTCCTAATTTGTCACAATCCCCTGACCGTTTGCTCAGGTGTGAATTATCATTTAATAGTAGACATTCAACATGGATGTTATTCAATAGATCATCTGTTCTTTCCACTGTAACCCTAAATACCGAAACACCTGTGTAAGAGGAATCCCAATTCATTCTGCGTCCAGATCTTCTCGGCAGCTGACAACCCAACTCAGAACAAAAATACCGTAGCATTTCCCTAATCAAGCCTTTGTGGCTAACCACCAAAACATTAGCAGGATCTTTTGAATGATTGTCTATAACATCAACATCACAACTATTTCGACTACCACTTTCACATTGGTCATCTTCAACATCAAAGCTTTGGGCATGTTCCGTCCGATTCAACATTATGTCACATATTTCTGAGAAAAAGTCTTCTGCTCTATGGCGGATATCCTCTAAAGTTTCAAGTTTATTTAAAAAAGAACTGTTTATACTTTCTATTCCCTGCTGTTCATTGAGTAATCTCTACAAAAAGAAAGAAAAATAAACAATTACAAAATTGGAAATATTAAAGAAGCAAAAGAATGAATTTCATATAACATAGAGCAAAAAAGTTTAGGGAATTGCCTTTGGTGTACCCAAAGGGTACATTCAAATTGCAGCGACCACATGTACAGTATCTGGCCAGTGACATTACACATGGTCAATCTGTAAACAGGTTGAAACACAAACAAATTTTTAACAAACAAAACAAGTATAATGGCAACAAGCAATAAATTATATTTGTTCCTACCAGTTCTTCTAATCGTGGATCTTCATGTATGGGCAGGGATGAACATGATCTATTGTGGTTGGTAATTGCCATTGCAGTCTAAATTTAAGATTGAGCAAACTATTTAACTGCTAACTCACTATGTTACAAGGGGTCAAGGGATTATTATCCAAAAGAAATTTAAAAGATAATCGGTAGATAATTAACTGAATGTCTTCTTGATTATCCAAATTGGTTAAAAAGAACATAAATATGTCAAAGATTATGTATATGTTGAGAAACCTACCTCTTTTGCCTTAGTGATATCACTACAATAAATGTGAGTGAATTTTTCACACTTTAATCTTTGGCCGAGCAGGTCTGCTTGACAGTAACCCTTTCGTGATAACCTGTTGTCCTTATTATCTAAATAAATTTGATTAAAAAGTCAGAAAATCATGTTGTCACAAGGTTTATATCAATCATACACAGGTTTTCTAGGGGAGTTTACTAAGTGTTTAGTTTAATGGTATATTTTGGGCCTTGTGTACTTGTATCGGCCTTAATCAAATAAATTATTGCATGCAGTAATCAGTATGGTATGTAAATCCTTGTAGACTCACACAAGGGGGAATAAGAAAATGACATCTATGATGGAATTGTATTTACCTTTTTATTATATTTTCAACTTTAGAACTATATTTTTAATTTTATAATGTCATTTCATATCAGACAAAAGAACTGACAATTGGCTTATATAAGATAAAGTTTAGAATAATTTTAAAATTTAATGAGTTTTTTAAGGTCGTTAAATGAGTCCAATTTATCCTTTTTTGAAACTATATAAATATATGCTGGACTAGAGAAGGGGAAAATGCATTATCAAAACGACCTGTTAGTTGTTTCCTAATTTAGAACAACACTGAAAAGGTAATATTTTAATATCATTGACATTGACCTTGGATAGACCACAGGATAAAATATTAAACAAGTCATGTTTTTATATATAAAATACACGCTTACTCTAGAAATACTGTATTTTTATTTATTTCTGCACAAAAGTTAAACGCAATGCATGGAATACAGAGAATTCTATCATTTTCAAAGAAAAGCTGCCATACACGTGCGATCACGTGAACAGTTCATGATGATCAAAATTCTCCGGCAAAATAGCGGGCCTTTTAACTTTCACTTTGCGAGTATTTAGGACTTCCTGACAGAAAGAAACTACAAAACTTCAACTTTTTCGACTCAAAAAACAGTAGAATAAAGAACTTGTTATTACAATATATTATTAGATTTTTTAAAAGGACAAAAATAGGCTTGCCGCTTTGATATATTATAATTATAAAGCTTGAAATTCATAAGAATAATATTAAATTCATACGAACATTCCATGCACACAATTAGTCAAAACCTTACTGATACGTAGTTTAAACGAACACAAAACGCTTTATCTTACCGATTGTCTTTGGAATTCGTCTTTTAGAATCAGGTGTCGCACTAGAAGAAATAATTTCAATAGTTGGACAACGGTAGCATATTAAATAACAATTATCACAAAAATATGTTCGCTAATTTAGCGATTTAAAAAGGTTTGGGGAAAGAAATATGAAGAAATTATATTTTATACTCACTGTCGTACTAGTGTTAACAAAAAGCTTGTCATTTTAGTTAAAATTTAGTGTATAAATTAGACGGTTTATTTATCCCGTACTCGAGGCGAAGGCTGTGTTTATGTTTCAGCCTGTCACGTCTGTTGCTCAGTAATATTCCAGTAATTTCACATTACGCATGCGCATTACGTTTCGTAACGTCACTACTAGGAAGGAATGTTCTAATCAATCCGAAATCCAATACTGATAAGTCATGCTATAATATTATGTAAACAAATGATGCAACCGTGATGCAATAGAAAAGTTCCTATGTATGTCTTTGATCGTAGCCTACGCTATAAACCTCTGATGACGCAGAGAAAGCTTGTGTTCCAAAACCTTGTTGAAGCATAGGCAGCCCAAAAATAAGCGTGCGCCATCAATGTTTATATTTAACAATTAGACAACGAGTCCGAGTTGTCTATGAGCGAATAGTCAACGAAGGCGAGTTATATAATTCATCATGTAGTATAATATATATGTAAGCGCCCTGTTTGATAACATAAATAACTTGCGTGACGCACGCGCTATCACGCTTTTAACATTACATAGATACATGTAGATTAATTATCTTTCTCACGATAACGTTTTTGGGATACTTTCAACTTTTTCTCAAATGGGTTTAAAAGTTATAACAACATGAAAAGCGTGTTTTTAGAATCAACAGACCATTTGAAGAATATATTAAGCCTAAAAATAAAGCTGTCGCCGTTACGAGGTCTCACGATTTGGGTTTTGAAAAAAAGTACCCCAAAAATGGCGGAATATTCATCATCGTGAGAAAAGCTGTTTGATTGATTGCATTACCATATCAATCATCTGCTAAAGCCTTTAACTTAGGCAAAGATTTTTTATTTTTTTCTTCATCATCACCCAAGTCACAGAGACCCTAGGTACGAGTTTGCCAATATAGAGGTCATGTAAGCTGGGTAGCCAAGATCCAAAATACACTGCTCCGGTAAAGATAGGTTATCCACATATTTATTGAGTCACAACTTAAAGTAAGGTCAACCTAACCTTCAACCATAGGAGCCCAAAGGTGTACGCGTAAAAGCGTGAGAAAAATAGAAAGGTTCCCATATTAGAAAGACATGCCATTACACTGTCACTGGATAGACCAACCGACGGGAAGCTCTTATAGCACGGTAGAAACATAATAATTTTTGAAGCTTTCATTTAGTATTCAAGGCAAGTTCAACTTCATTTTTGACATAGAACAACTGCGAAATATTTACTGTACTAAGTACACATGGTTTCATGCTTAAATAAATTATTCAACAATATAAATCTCTTCCACCTTAATTATTAATTATTAGCAAGATGAAAACACTGTAGCCCAACAAGTAATTTTGTGTGCAATAGACCCTTTGCATGTTAGACTACTTTTTTATCTGTGCAAAATAATCCAATCAAATCACCACAGCTGAAAAGAGCGTACCAAAATTAGTAAAAGTGCAAAGTTTGGTTGCGAAATGTCGTAAAATACGGAAAATATAGCCTTGCAAAGTTTGCAAATTTGTATACTTTAGTTTAACGCATGCAAAAAGTTACCATTTTGGGCCCGAATGTGGTAACGTTTTGCGTGCGTTAAACTAAAGTATACAAATTTGCAAACTTTGCAAGGCTATATTTTCCGTATTTTACGACATTTCGCAACCAAACTTTGCACTTTTACTAATTTTGGTACGCTCTTTTCAGCTGTGGTGATTTGATTGGATTATTTTGCACAGATAAAAAAGTAGTCTAACATGCAAAGGGTCTATTCTTATAGGAATAATTATGTATGTAAATAATTGACCAAAAAGACATTTCTAGTCATATGTTTGAACCATGTAGTTTATTTCATCACGGCAATAAGCCAATAACTGCAGTGCTTTTGTTTTCTTAACCCTGGCCTTTATTGTCCCGATCTCCGCAAATGCCGCAAACCATACGGCGTATACGGCGTGGGACGACGGGCCGGGCGGACTATGGGGCGGACCGCGGACCACTGAGTGGGGCGGACGAGGACGTAAATAAAAATAATCGACCATAATGCATTGCGCTCATCGCGCTAAAATTCAATTAAACTACAATTAGCACGAGGATACAATAATACATGGCGAAAAAACTGCAAAAACAACCACGAGACCTTCAAGATCTTTAGAAGTTTCTCTTTTAAGAACCACGTCTCTGGTCCGGAAAAGTAAGTTGCGAAATTTTATCTTGCAAACATTGGTATGTTTTTAAAACGAAGCTTACTGGCTTATACTTGGCGTTGTTTACACTGGCAATTTACACGATTATTTTAATAACTACATGTCATTTGAGAAATGTTTTAAAATTTTAAACTCTGTTTCTTGCAGGAAATTTTATTTCGATGAATGATTCGAAGGCAGATGTAACTGATAAAAGTTCCACTGTGCCAAAGCAGGTTGTGTTCTAATTATTTACAACCTATTGAGTATTGAATATAGACCATATGGTGCAGACTATCAGTCTGTCAAACAGCATAGTTGTCTGTTGGTTTATTAATTAAAGCATGCACCTACTAGGGCAGATCTGTTAGACCACCATTTCCTTCTAAATTTTGACATACTGATATCAGAGTAGAGACAATTTTCAATTTCCAGCCAGCAGCCATCTTGATACATCCACATATCTATTAAAGTCAGCTGTTTATAGCCTGTTATTACTAATAGTTTCTTTTTCATTAGATTCCAGTGAACAGTAGATCTTCAACATTATATATTTTGCAACTTTTTGTTGCTGTGACAAGCTGCTTTGTGTCGGCTGTTTGTATTCAGAGATATTGTATGTAATATTTCCTAATTAAAACTTTTCCTTTTGATAAAAATTATATATATCATCATGCAGTAGTCTATTTCATTATTATATATTAATTTTCTAATTTAGATAACCAGACTGGTACCCTAGGTCTGTTAGATTGGCTGACATTTATCGATGGGATCACTGGTTTAGGATTAAAAACTGACTGTTTAAAATCATCACTCTTTAGTTGGCCAGGAAAGCAATTTCTTCAGGTGATATCACTAATAACAGGTATTCATAATTGGTAAATTGGTAGTTATGTATTCTCGTGCAAAATGCCGGCTAGATCGATCATTATGAACGATAGTCAATAGAGTGCATACTATATTCAAATTACTGATATTTCTTTCCTAGCATGGTGTTCTACTTACTACATATCATGCCTTTTAACCTCCCTTATCACTGAAATTTGTGTGATGTACTTCATCTCGAAGAGCCAATGGTTAGTAAGTATATATGCAATCATTTTTTGTAATGTTTTTAGTTTTGCTAAAAAATGGTCTAATGAATGCTAGTTCTTTACTTGTTACATACAGATGTCTGTTATTCTCTTCTAGGCATTCTGAAACATGCTCTATTTGTTGTCTGTCCTGGGTTTGTCTTATGTTGTTGTCTGCACAAAAGTCTGAACAATGGTTGATTTATAGCATGTTATTGTCTGCATTGACATGTGTGGGGTCAATTTATCTCTTATTGGTGTTAATGTTTGGCAACAAAATTTTTGGTCAAAGGAGAAAAAAGAAAAGAAAAGTAAGGTATGTGGTAATCATTTCATCATGTAGTAGTCTATCCTTTTCATGGAAGTAGCCAGACCTTAAAGAGGGGGGGGGGAGCCAAAGGGCTAGAGTTTCAACTTGTCTGACACCAACAACAACAGTCAACACGTACTGAGTTTCAGCCTGGACTGAATAAAACAAGCGGCTGCGGTTCCCAAGACCCCACCCTGGCTATGTCTCTGATCCCTTTTGGTGGTCTTCCACTGGTCATTTGTCATTTATTGCTAAAATATTACTAATATTACTAATAAAATTGTCCTAATCTGGAGTTAAAGTATATATCTATTCAGAAATACAACTATTACAGGTGTTAGTTAATTAAATTACTACAACTCATGCACAACAGGCAAAGTCTTCTGTACAATTTCCTAATTTACATTGAAACAGGGCTTACAACCTATTCTAAGAGAAAAACTGTAATTCCCCCTACTAAACCACCCAGAAATTAATCTTTGCTGTATAGAAAGTCCTTGAATTTCCATATTTTTCTAATGAGTTACTTAACCACTATATATTAGCTACTATGAAAACAATAGTAGACCTATTTGTAAATTTTATTCATTTAGAGAATCCAAAATTGGAGTCGAAAATTCAACAGAATTACAGATAACCAATAATCAAGAGCAACAGTGTGCCAAGAAACTGAAAGTATGCGTTAACTGATAAAGACCTTGGCGTCCCTGAAAGATTCTTATAGCACAGAATACCTAACAGAAGTAGAACTCTATACTATTTTTTCGTAAGTGTGATTCGTCATGATTCGTCACTTAGCAAGTGCATTTTTTTGAGGTAGTCACCCCCCTGCCAATACTAAAAATGGGCTGATTTTAGACATTGGCAGGGGGGTGACTGCCTCAAAAAAATGCACTTGCTAAGTGACGAATCATGACGAATCACACTTACGAAAAAAGTTCAGGAGTTCTACTTCTGTTAGGTATTCTGTGCCTATAGTTAGTTTATTCACTAATCTTTGGCTTCTTTATTTCCTTCTCTTTATTAGCTACCAGAGGAACTGGATGAGTTGGAACTTGCAGAGGAAAATTTATCTCATGATGAAAATATCTGCATGAGTTCATTGTCACTTGGTCCATGTGGTATCAAAAATGGAATAACACATAATAACAATGGTAAAAGTCATTTATAAGATATTTCTTAATACACCAATAAATCTGTCAACTAGGTCAAGAAAAATGAAGTATACTACAAACTATATGTGTTTTTTAGGTTCATGGTTTCGTAAAGAACTGAATGGTTCATTCAAAGACGGTAGTGACAGTTCTGTTTCCTCATCTGGAAGCACCACCTTAATAAGGCCAGCTAGATTCTATGTTAATGGACTGTCTGTTTGTGCAAAGACTACTACGAATAATCCAACATCCGTCAGCAAAACTTCAGTTGGTACATTCGGAGGTTTGTGCTATCGAAGTATAAATTGTGAAATATAATCAAATTATCACCCAGTATAAAACGAATGGTTTGCATGTTCGGTCCAGTGTTAATGTGTGCATGACCATAAAAGAAACGTTTACACCTTGGTCAAACATTAGACGAAAGTTGCAACTCTCCCGATTTAAGGTATCCCACAAACTCTCATCGACGTTGAGCCGTCCCATAAAAGTTGCCTGTGGGAGTTGAAGGCTAGCGTTTTGTACATCTTTCCGCGACTCTCGTGTAATTCTTATTCTCGTTTGACCAAGCTTATGTCTAGGGCGAGAAACTCTCAAACTATAACTCTTGTTTGCTACGCCCGTTAATGGAGCGCATTTTACTTCTTAAAACAGAATTCTCTGACGATGAAGGTAGTTTATTTCACAGAAGCAATTTAAAAGTAAGTGTTAATTGTTTTTGTACTAATCAATACTTTATCTAACTCTAACACTTATATATGGGCTTTCCTTATGGGGACTTCTATGGTTTTAATTATTAGTTTCTTTTTTGCGTCATACATATTGATTCCAGTCGGTTTGTACTCAAAATCGAGACTCATACATATTGATTACAGTCAGTTGTTTACTGCATGTATGAGTTGGCTTTGATTCTTGGTGATTTGTTCGAAATGAAATTTCGTATCAATTGCTCATTCCGGCGCAGCGTAAGCGTCCAAACAAAATCAAACATTTGAGGCGGGAAACTCACCATGCCATAATGCCAATCATGTCATAACATTTATATACGGTGACTATTAGGCACATTTAAGTACATTCATGAAAGACAGAAATTTTCTACTGATATTTTTACTATTGTGATGGTGGTCCTGGTGCTGAAAAATTAGCTTGACCACGGTGGGAATTTAACCCACGATCCACGATGAGATATAATTGGCTACAATGGTAAAATTGAAGTCCATGCGGGCGAATAAAATATTAAAAAATGTGCTTGAAATATTAAGCACCAATTTCATATTATTTAAAAGTTGGAAATATTTAAAAAATTTATCTTATGGTTAATTATGGTTAATTATATGGTTCTTTTTGTAGACCGAAGAAAAGGGAAATATTCCTGATTCAAGCGCGTCTGGGGAAAGGTTGGGTTGGAGAACGATCTGTGATCGTTGTCACATACAACGTGTTGTGTTGGTCTGTAGTTTAACTTTAAATATAATCTTTTTGTGGATATGGACTAAGTCCTGATAACGCGGCACTCTCGTTTACCTATACGCGAAAACATATTGCTGATCTAAAATATAAACTGAATACTATTAAGACTTAACTATTTTGTATTTATCATTTAATTCGACAGGTTAGCATTATGCTGTTCTATGTTAGCATTATGCTGTTCTAAATTATTCTTAGAAGTTTTGTTTCAGAATATGTGCTGGTTTCATTTTATCTGCGTGTATAATAGAGCAAACAAAATCTATAAACTTGCAGAGGTCACATTTTTAACCTGTTGATTTTAGCGACGCAATGTATTCTTTTTAGCATGCCTAACTTAGTAACTATATTTTTACTGCCAAGGGTCTCTTGCTATACGGTATTGAGTATTATTTGTGGTGTTAAAATGATTGACATATAAAGTACAATGTATGGAAACTAGATATACTCGTGACAAAGTATCGTAAGGCGGGATTTTAATTTAGAAAAAACTGAATTAAGATATTTGTGATGTAAAATACAATTTTATTCAAAGTAGCTGTTTGATTCTCTATTCTGCGTAATTTCAAATTCCTCTGTTACTTGAATCATGCCGGCACTCTGTAAAGAAAGATTGTTAAAAGAGCTAATTTAACATTGGTTGTCTCATGCACGTTCATCTCTTTTTGATCAATTTTATTTGGTAAAAACAACCAAAGATTAAGATTGGTTGTAAAAAAATCGTCCAATGAATGAATCCAATTGATGACAAATTTTAAATCCTTTACTGTTTCCACAATGCATGCAGGTTCAAAATATTTCTCTGAAAAACCGCTGGGTCATATAAAATAACACTTACCAGGGATGTCCGTTATGCTATTGTATTTTCATATTGCATTCAAGTAAGCCTTTTGTGGTTAAGGACATGCAATACGATAACTTAGGAAATTAACCCGCGTATTGCCATTGCCCATGCAAGTCCTTCCATGCAATCGCATGCACGCATGTTCACTGACATCACTCCTAAATTTATCATGATTCACGTTGGATCTTCCATCCCACTTCGTCCATCCTCAACATCTTTTGGCTTTTCACTTATCCAGATAATTCGGCGAAGTATACTGGGTCCATGCGTCTCGGATTGCCCTTGTTATACCTAAATCTTAGTCGAGATGATATATATGCACCAGAAAGCATTGCTTTATCGAAATTCGTGTTAAACAAATAATTTAAGTGCATATTTCAATCACTTTTGCGGCTGTCACCTTTGTTTTCTCAAGCCAAGCTAATCCAAACATTTCCAGTAGCTTTCCGAGGGGGGTAGAATGGACCATATATACTTAGTATTCTATATTTCTATAATTCCCTCCACTGTTTTAACCTATTTGGCTATTACCGACGAATTTGTCTTCTGGGGGCGGTTGCCAATAATTTTAAACAGGATAGATTTACCGGGAAACTTCAGAGCGATTGAAAAAGAGGCGGAGGAGGTTTCCAGTATATCGTGAGTTTTCCTATATATGCATGTGCATGCAGTGTTCCTGTTTTGATTCGTTCAATATTCTGCATAAACAAACCAGTATCAATCGATTTTTTTGTTTTTTAATAAACAGAGAGGCGCTCATCAAGATTTTTCATCAAGCTAGTATTTGCTCTTTTTTTTCATCATAAAGATTAAAGTTTGAAATCCGGTCGCTCAGCAGTTAAAACGCTCAACATGCAATTAAGTAGTTTACGCACAACGGAGACCGAAGTTGTTAGTTGCTACCTTAGGAATAATGTTTTGGCAACAGTCTGTCATCCTACGGCTATGTCTGGTATTTACGAGCAAATCGCATTCATTTATTATGCGCGGTTGACTTGAACTAAGTCGAGACACTGATGATACTTTAGTTGCCAGACGCTTTTTCATTTTGCTTATGTTCGCGTTTCCGTGGAAATTAAGCCAAATGTCAGAGTCAATATTTGTCTTATCCTCCAAGTTTACATTAGCATAGCTTGGAAAAATGATGCTAGAATAGTTGAAACAGTACATTTATTTGCTTGTGTCTCAATAAACGTATGAGCAGGAGAAGCATTTATCGACATTCAGACGTTTGAAAAAGTAGTTATTATCCTTAATGTTATTTTAATAGCTCATCTTAATGGCGTTTAATCGCGTTCAAACTTGCTGGACAGATCGCATTTTGGACCGACAGCATGTCCCACAAAGGCAAGTGGTTTGTTTAGGGAGCGGTCATAAAGTAACTGCTAGGGTGGGCCGGAGGGAAAAATCTGTTTTCCTAAAAAAATTCGGTGGCCCATCCTGAAAATCTAGAAAAGATCTAAAAGCCCATCATAAGTCATTGGAAAAGTTTCATGACCCATCCTGCTATATATGTTAATGTACAGCGTGTCTATCACTTTGATCAAACCAACCATGCAGCGTCGCTTTCTCGTATAACCTTTATAGAACAAAATAATTCGTTGATTCTGAGGAAGGGTGATGCATATTTTTAAAAATCATACTGGTAAATATGACTGACAAAGTATTAATGCCATTAATACTGAATTATTAAAAATATTAAACAGGATCATGTAAATTTTGATATTATGTTTGAATATATTATTTTGTTATTTTAAATAGTTTTTCTTCTAATGGGATTGTTGTGTAGTAGTTATAGTATGTATTGAGTGCAAACAGGCTGTATTTTGTTTCATGGCCCATCCATTTTCACAAAAAGTAATTGATGGCCCACCCAAACTAATGAAAATAATTTCATGGCCCATCTTTATTTCCTCCGGCCCACCCTAGCAGTTACTTTATGACCGCTCCCTTATTATTTGTTAGTTTTTACACTTGGCTTAATTGCACAATTACACTTAGGGTGACCACTAGCTAGAGTGCTATATATATATACTTCTGGGGACTGGTTCTAGGATGTAGAACGAGCTATAATCTATTCTACTGTACAGGGCGTCCCCAAAAAAGCCCCCTCTATTGAAATCATGCCTTTGTTAGAATCTGATTGCCTTAATATTATGATAAACCCAATTGAAAGCAAGATGCTTTATTTGAATGCCTCAATCTAATAACTATGCTATTTACACACTACTGCGTTGATCTTGCATTCAAATTCCAACCAAACTTCATTTCAATAAGGGGTACTTTTTTGGTACACCCTGTATATAAACTGTTCGTTCCAAGGTAATTGTGCGCGGCATATTAATTAAAAGTGATAGTAAAAATTGCAGAATTGACTAACAAAACTCGTTGGTTAATTTTAAAATTTTTCGAAATAAGCTAGATGGCCCAAATCCTACAAATCATTTTATCGAAGGGTTCAGTCAGCATGCAGTTACATTTTACAGTTATCCCTAATCTTAATTTGGCAGACCTTGGCTGATAGATAAATACCGCATCGTGATGGAGATTTTTAAGTATTTCTTTAAGGTCCGATTCAGACGTCAACTTTTCATGTGCCGAACCTAATAATGGTATATAATAAGCTAAAGACAAAAGTTCATTTGCATTCGGTACATGAAAAGTTCGTAATCTAACATTTTTTATACTTTTTTTAAACTTTTTTTAGCATTTATGATGTTGCTATCAGTCCGGATGGTTCAACTGTTGTGGCGACGGCGGGAAACATGCTTTTGGTGAGTAATCATTATTATCAGCTGAACAACCGTGGGAAGGAGATAATTAAACCGATATTGCGTATTGGATGATTATGGACGTCTAAGGTTTATATAAGTGGTTTAGTCGCGGTATGACTGAATTACATATTATTTAGGTTTATGACGCACAGAATGGATCAATGATTGACATGCTCAAAGGACACAAATCTGCTGTATACTGTGTTGATTATGCAAGCGATGGTAGGTACTAGTTAATACAGTGCACAATTGTCATTACTATAGTTGTTGTTACAATAGATTCAAATGTCACGAGCATTTTCGTTGAAGTGGAATCAGTGGCGGATTACCCGCTAGGCCTACTTGCCCGGCTCAGGGGCCTGTGATTGAATTCTAGAGCTTATTTGTTCTTTGTGTTTACGATTTTCTACGCTGCTGAGTACTGACCACCTAGCTGGTAACCCGCGACTGGGATGAATGGAATAAAACACGGTCACCATACTCGTTTCCCTTCCTGACCCAATTATCTGTGCTCTGGCCAATTATCGCATGGAAATCTGCCTCAGGATCGGCAAATTTTATGCACAATACACATTATATCAAGAATATTCAGTTCAGTCAACCAATTTAGTAAACGCCCTAAAATTTCACTGTTTGAAAATTCGAATTGCGAGAAAATTCCCAAACCAATGTGTTGTGAAGCAATTTTTCCGGCAAGCATCACGTTGCAGTCCGAAAGGAAGAAAGTCGCATGCAATGCTGACAACCCAAAAGAGACGGTGACAAGATCATTGACTATACACAATACAATTATAATGATGGCTGTTTATGTTTACCACTGGTGATTATAAGAATACACCATCTTCAATCTTCATGGTTAAATCATAGTTTGAATTAACGTAACTTCCCTCCAGAACTACTACTATATCCATCACACGGATTGAACAAGTAGGAACACGGGTGCTTTTTATCCATCTTACGTGATTAAAAATAAAGGGGTTTAAACTATTTTATTTCATCTGAAACAGCTTCTAATTTTGGACTTGACGCTGGTGACTACCTTGTCTGGCACGATAATTATTTTTCGGAAATAATCGTAACTTGACGTATTGTGTTCGGTACTTTCACAAAATATGAAGGAAAATGAAGTCGATTCCAACATGGGTCGATAAAGTACAGGATAAGGACAGACAAGATCAATGGTAATGAGCAAAATTTCTTTACTTCAATTCAAATATCAAACTCGCTCCAAATGCTCATTCTTAACTTAATTTTCCAGTGTATATGACATCGCTTTTCGACCCGATGGCAGCCAAATAATTGTCGCTACGGGCTCTGTTGTTTTGGTAAGGTTTCCTGCAATAGTTCGATAAACCGGTGTCTTTGTTTTCCTGAAATTTTGTTTAAAAATTCCTTCGGAATATCGTAGGTTTACGACACATCAGATGGGACTTTGATTCAACCGTTAAAGGGCCATAAAGATAGCGTTTTCTGTGTTGCCTATGCGAAAGACGGTGGGTTTTTTATTTTGGATGAATACAGTTTATAACTCTTCTACTTGTAAATTTGCGTCAAGTAATTGCGAAATATATACTATTCAATCGTTTTGGATTTAATTTCTTAAGAAATCGTATTTATTTCCAAAGAAGTAATGTGTATTTTGCAGAAATTTTGCCCATCTTTCAAGTTGTTTGCAGTAACTTAGGCAACAGGGTTTCAACATGGCGACATATATTTGAGTAAAATGGTTGAATATTCAGCTTATGATCAAAGTACTTGCAGTACTGCCCTGATTTTAGCCTTACAATGCAGAACTATAGCCTTTTATCCACAACGAACTGCTTGAGGCATATTGTCATAACAATTCACATGGATTAATTTGCCTTTAATAATAATTAACGAACAATTCACTTTTATGACATATTTTATACCAGTCAGTGAATTAATAGCCTTGCCACTTATTTTGTTTTTAGGGAAAAGATTTGCATCAGGTGGTGCAGACAAATGTGTTATAATTTGGACAAATAAACTGGAAGGAATATTGAAATATGCGTGAGTCATGACAATTATCTAAGCAAGCAAATGCCAGTTGTTCCCAGAAGTTATTAGTTAGACTGGGAAACTAGATCCTACTTGCCTTTTATTAATACCTTGTAGTTATGCACTGCATTTAGTTTATGCATAAATGTCTATTGTCCAACTCTACTATATTTTTTGTATCATTGATCTAGACACAATGATGCAATCCAGTGTTTGTCATATAACCCTGTGTCACACCAACTTGCAAGCTGTACAGCAAATGATTTTGGTATGTCCAATAAAATGTGTGAATATAGCTAATATATTTCTTTCTCAAGATGAGCGGCAACCTTGTTTCTTTGCTGATGAAAAACATATTCAATTACCTTGAGTTCTATTGGCCAACATACACTATATATGTTCCAAATATTATTAGTGACTGGAACATGAAAATGTATGTATCACCATACCTGTTTTTTCATACCTGTCTCGTTTGCTTACTATGTCATAATTACCACTCATTCATTCAAGGTTTGTGGTCAGCTGAACAGAAATCTGTTTCGAAACACAAGGTGTCATCAAGAGTAACGTGTTGCAGGTGAATACTGTAATGTTTGTCTCATTGCAAATATCACAATTAAAATGTCTTTTAAACATTATTTTTATTCTACTTGCCTAAATCCTGCCTGCATGCTCTTATTTTATTAATATATTATTTTAGTTGGACTAACGATGGCCAATACCTTGCACTTGGATTGTATAATGGAACTGTTAGCATACGCAGCAAGGTAAGTGCCATAGCATTGAATGTTATCATCAATCAATAATTCTTGTATTTTATTTCAATATAGTACATAATTGTTTAATTTTTACTACCTGCAGAATGGTGATGAGAAAGTGAAAATAGACCGACCTACTAACCATCCTGTCTGGACAATTTCATGGAATCCATCTAAGTATGAACATTAGATACTGTATATTATACAGATGGATTAATTGGGACATGCAAAGTCTGATTTAATTGGTTTATATTGTTTATTAACATACTGTATGTTTTGTGAAGGGATGAACCTTATGATGTGCTAGCTGTTGGTGATTGGAATCAGACACTATCATTTTATCAACTAAGTGGAAAACAGGTTTCTTTTCATTGAAATTTTAACTAACAAATGAATATTTTATGGACATAAAGATTCTTCTTTGATAATAATCAAATGCTTAAAATCTTTTAGATTGGTAAAGATCGACATTTAGGATTTGATCCATGCAGCCTGGCATTCTTTTCCCAAGGGGAATATCTTGTTATTGGTGGATCTAACAAAGAAGTAAGATTGATTCTTATCCTTTCTATTTTCCCTGAATATTTATCTGATTAAAAATTTCATTATGTTTGAAGCAGCCTTGCCCCTGCATGCAGTCACATTCTGTGCTAACATTGGCCTTGGTGGAATTTTGACATGCACAGAGTTCCTCAATGTGTTCTACACAGTCACAGCTGACTCACTGTTTATACTTTATTTTAGTGCTCCTTATACACCAAGGAAGGTGTAAGATTGGGGTCAGTTGGGGAACAGCAGAGTTGGTTATGGTCGTGTAGGGTCAGACCTGGACAGAATTTTGTGGTACTTTAATTCAGTTTATTAATGCTGTTGTCAAACATTAATTAATGCCTGCAAATGTATAAAGGATTTTAGAAAAAAGCCCTGACAAAGTGAGTTTACACACTTTCAGGTCACCGGTTGTCAAGATGGAACTATTGCATACTATCAACTTGTTTTCAGCACTGTCCATGGGCTGTACCAAGATAGGTAAACTAAATATTCCTATAAGTTATATTAGAATAACGTTTCTGGTGACTCCCCTTAAGTTTGTATTCATAAAGTGCGTTAAGCGGTAAGAATCTGAGTAGGAAATCAAACAGGACCTATATATAGATAGAGCTGTACCCTAGAAATTTTGAATTAAATAATAGATTATTGAACCCCTAATTTCCAGCCACATGTACACCTAGAGAAAGGTTAATTGAAGCATACTTAAACTTAAAGTTGTTTCTCAGAGTCTCTAACAAAGTCTGTTACCTATTTAGATATGCATATCGTGACAACATGACTGATGTCATTGTTCAACACTTGACTACAGAGAATAAAGGTGGGACTCTGTGATATTTTCATAAATCAATGCATGCATGGCTCTTTTTACCAGTTCATAAGAGGTAGCAGGCATTCAGGTATATAGCTTGAAATGTCTCATCATTAAGTAACTTGAACACAGACATAACTGTTCACAGGAGAGTGAGCATTTACGTTAACGTAAGTTCACAGGAAAGTGAGCATTTACGTTTAATTCTTTTTCACCCTCGTTCACTCGCACTTATTTTTGACAACATCTCGTAATCTGAATTTTGCTTATTGTAAGTATTGATTTTCTACTTTGAATGTCCTAACCTCTAGTGAGAATAAAATGCCGGGATTTGGTGAAGAAGATTGCGATATACCGTAGTCGACTCGCAGTAAGTGACCTGATTATATTCAATCTACTTCTAACAGTAAAACTATTTCAAGTATACAATTAAGATCTCCGAGTGAAATTACTGTAGAACTCTCTCTCGCGGCCCTGAAGCGTCAGCTCAGGGATTACACCTGTTCAGATTCTATAGTTTTCCTGCAACTTCCTATAGTATCAATTAAGGGTTAATTAATACTACAGAAGAAACTGCATGATAATGCATCAAAAACATGAACCTTGCAAACAAAATGTTTATCAGATAACTGCATTTTAGAGTTTGCACAAGCATGAATTGCGGGTAAAATACAGTATCGTAAGCTGGTCTTTAGTAATTAACCCCCATGTGTAATTTCACTAATTTAGATGCAACTTCCAGACAGAATAATCGTGTATGAATTAACAAGTGATGATCCAACAGACATGCGCTATCGCGTTAAGGTAAGTTGGTTGTTTTTATTTTTCATGAAACGGACACAGTACACATGATACTGTACAACCTAGCTGTATATAGAGAGAATGACTCAAGGTACGAGACGTAATATGAACGTATCGCATCTTATTTGAAATTTGCGACTTATTGATTTTGTTTTTGCAGGAAAAAATCGAGGAGAAATTTGATTGTAATTTACTCGTGGTTTGTGCGAATAACATCATTTTATGTCAGGTAAATATTAATACATAAAAAATCCATTTATAAATCCATTAAATCTGGTGTGATAAGAGTTCGTTAAGGTGCTATGAAGCTAATATTTTTCTAGCTAATTCCACTCGTATTTGAAAGAGTATGGAACCAGCGCATGACATATTACAAAACATGTTTTATATTGTTCAAACCAAGTTATAAAAACTCCATATTTTTGTGCGCTTCTTAAAAACTGCGCAGCCAAAAACAGCTGAAGACTGGCACTACGCGGCAAAGATGGCAGCCAAATTAACATTCCAACTTCTTCAATGTATGTCGTAATGATTGAAAGTGGTTAATTGCAAGAGCTCGGAGCTCTCCGATACGCGTTTCAGGCTATTCAAAATAGCTTATATCTTGTCTTGTGATCCTTTCTAATATGTCATGTTTTATCTTTCTTAGGAAAAACGTCTCCAGTGCCTTAGTTTCCGTGGTGAAAAGGAAAGGTTTGTGTGAATTTTCAGTTTGTTGGTTTTTTTGCATTTAAATTTTATCCTAGTGTAACACCTGTAAAAGCAAGGCTTTTAGTTCAGGGCTAAACATAATAGATAAAAAGGTGTAATTCATTGCAGAATTTTACTGAAATCTTTGCAGCAATAATGGTTAAGTTACCGCTCTCTTCTGTGCTTCTTCATTCTGTAATGTATCTTCGTGATTCGAACTGTTTACTTTAAGTGGTTTTATTATCACGACAGTGTACTTTGAATTGATATAGTGCATTAATAGCTATGTTACTAGACTGTGAATCTCATTGATCAGATATCTGTGCTCATGCAGTGTACTGAAATCTAAGAACTGCAGGATTGATTGCCGCGAGAAATAAGCCTTAAGTATCATGGATCATGTATTTTTTAACAAACTTGAAACCAACATTTACAACTCGATAAAGCATGCAGCAGCCTGTTAACCGTTGTAGCTTTGTGTGTACTGTGTAAGTAAGTAAGGTACTCTACGACATTGTGCAGTTACAATGGGTGTTCATGAAGTATTGAGAATTTGCGCTAGAAAGTTCAGTGAGAAATGATATGAATCCTCCAAAGAGAGAAAAGAGGGAGAAAGTCAACTGCAACGAGTAACCCCGTGAAACCAAACCTGGCGTTCTTCGTTTTAAAAAGCGCGTAAAATTGTGAAACTCTTCGCTTCGAGACGCGAATGTATACGCTGTGTAATTCGAAGCATTGTCGGAATTTTCCGTAGACGTTGAAGCGGTGGAATGTGCGGATGGTATTCCCTGAAGATGTAAATTTGCGGCAGAGAGTGGGTGGTCTTCTCTCAGAGTGTGCACTCTGCTCTTGCTAAGATCAGGACTGTCAGCTTCCAGCAACCAAGGAGAGAAATCGTTTATATGATCATTGAATTTCATCTCCCGTTTCTTTATTTGTTCCCCGACGTAAATGGGCGCAAGCCAGATTGTCACGGTGAAAATCAAGTAACATATGAACTGTGGAAGATGCTTTGAAGGATATTCCCTCCCGGAAACAGCCTGAGCCAGTTCGTAGCCGTACAGCGGTATCACAAGTGCAACAATGTTATGGACGAGGAACCACCAAGAAATTCGTTTCCAGGAATCTCTAACGGGCTTCGCGTAGGAATGTATAAAGAACGAGACAGCATCGACTGAGGAATTCTTCCATTTCAAGAAAACGTTTTCAAGGATTTTCAGTCGAGCAGCGTAACAACAGTAGAGTAGCGCTAGGGTCCAGGTCAATGCCAGTCCCACGCCAAGGTTGTAGACGATTGAGAAATATATCGAACCGTATAGAATGTAATCTAATGGGCCTTTTAAGTTTGGAAATTCGGCCGAAAATCGTCCATCTCCTTCGTTCCACAGGATTCCTGTCACTAGAAACAGCGTGCAGAGCATTATGGAGAAAAGTGTCATCGATACCACAACGGAAATGTTGAGAATCTTAAGCCTGCGATTCAAAGGTTTCGTGATACCGATCAGCGGTTTCACAGGCGTGAGGACATTTTTTTCCAGGTCCCTGGAAGCGAAGTATCGATTACCAAGGATATGACCTAACCAAACCACAACCTCGTGGATGATAAACAGAAGCTGAATATTTAGCCACGTAGAATTTCCCCTCGCTCGTAGTGAGTTGCGTATAGGTCCTGTGATCAATAATAGAAGACTGACGAACACTGGGTAGACATACCGTTCTAAGATGCCCGCTGATTCCGGTCGCCATAGCGACAATAGGCGCAGAATGAAGCGGATTACTCGAAAGTCCCGGGAACGAAAGAACAGGATATCTCTGGTATGTGAAGGGACGCTTTGAAGTTCATGGAGGTTTCCAACGGTCTGCATTTTCATTGAATAAAACTCTTGATAATGTGAAACCAATTACCTATGATATAAAGAAAGATTGAATTGTAAATTAACATTATAAATGACGAGCTGCCCCTTGAACTAACTAGAAATTATATGTTTGAAAAATATTCTTGGTTACACCGGGGAAAGTTACTTTTCTTATACAAAGATAATTCATTTAAACATCACTAACCATAACATGCAGGCATATGTTTGTAGGAATAAGGAATAAGGAATTTGTAATTGTCATTAATAATTATTTTATTTGCCACATGCAAATGATGCAATGATCACATTGTTTCGTTTCATGTGTTTGAACTTTACTATAGGTTATTTCTCTATAAAGAACTCGTACAACGCAATGTTTCCTATTCCAAGTATATCTGACGTGCTTCATACAGAAATAACTGAAAGTTTTAGCTGTTCAAATTAACTTACAGACGTTTATGTAACCTTGAATTAATGAAGAGAACTAATGCATGCAATATTTGATATTCTGGCTGTTTGGAAAACGTGGCACACATTGTTTCCTCGCGTGATCAGTTATTCATGCACAAAAGCTCGGCATAACTTAAACTTAAATTTAATATCAGTTTGAAATCTAATTCATGAGCTTTGCAGCTATCTGCATGCATGTGATGCACGCACTGACTTAAAAAGTAAAGTTTAGATGATTTCCTTTCTGATTGTAAAACAGAAATAATTTTTAAAGCTTGTTCAAGCGCAGTTCACCATAGTTAAATAACATGCAGATAACTGTTGACACCTGCAGTCAAAATATTTCCACTGGCATGCACAGCTGTCACCGCACTATCGTGATCGAGAAAGCGTCGAATATGGCCTGTTCACAACTTTACAACAAGGCTACTAGAATTCTTCAAACAAAATCAAAAACAATATAAGAATAAGGATATTGGTATAAGGAAAAATACGAGGAATAAAATATAAGGATGAGAGAGGTATATAACAGGACACTCGTGAAATTATTAGAACAGAAGTGGAGAACCTACCTTCGGGCCGAAACAGCAGAAAATTTACAGCGACCGCGGAGTATGTTTGTACTTTTTACTTAACAAACCGAAAGCTATAGGTTTTGTTGTGTACACAAAGCCATAATGAATCTCGTCTAGATAACAACAGTATTATACGGAACTGGCGAAACCGTCGGGAAGAATCTATTATTATACACTGACGTCATTTCACAACGTTTTGATTGGTGTAAATGGGTTTCTATATTTGTCTTTGGTTTTATGTTGCTGTTGTTGTTAATCCCAGGCTGCCGATGCTGGGGCCTCGCACTTGTCGTAAGAAACTGGGATTTCCTTTGTCTGAGACGGAGGTCACTGGTGCGACTTTGTCTATCGGAAAATAATGCAATGGATCCCCGATTCTTAGAAGCTAGAGCCTGGTCCTTGTGTCACCGGCGGTCGGCGATGACTATTGTCGGTGGTCACTAATCACTAATGAAAGAAGTACTTTATTTTCAATAAATTTTCTTCGTCACCGGCCTCAGACAATACGTCGCCCGATTGTATGTGACTTATGAGAACCAGAGAAAGATAAGAGAAAGCTTAGTGCAAATTGGGCGTCAATTATGGAATGACAAATTAACAATTGCTACAAAAAAACACTTCTCGACGTTTCCACGTAAGGACCTTCGTTACGAGAGTCAGTATGAAAGTTGTTGTACCACATTTGATGCGAAGTAAAGGAGGACGTTAATATATTAGTTCATTTGGCCAGTTTTAAAATAAAACCTGCAAAGTTCATTCAAGACATGAAGGCATGCATGTTAGTTTCCGAGGCTTTCCTGTGGACTCTCAGATCCTCAGCGGTGCAAGTTTTTAAACCGTATACAGTTGCGTAAAGGCCCGTTTACTCTTGCAATTTTTGCTCCGGAAAAGTCCCGGATTTGAGAATGACGTGTATTTTTTCTTTTCAGGGAATGGAACATGGAATCATTGATCAGATATATAAAAGTGATTGGAGGTCCTCCTGGAAGAGAAGGTCTCTTGGTTGGTTTGAAAAATGGCCAGGTAAGATTTTTGCGAATGATTAGGTTATTCTCATTAGTATATATGCATGCATAAATGCGATCTCTTTTATTTTTGTAGATTTTTAAAATCTTCACCAATAATCCGTTTCCAATCTTGCTTCTGAAACAACAGACCAGTGTACGTTGTCTAGACTTAAGTTGCAGGTACATATTGATAAATGAGAATTCTCACAAATGTGTGCTTTGACTGCTTCGATTAATACTGTATAATCATGGCTAAAAGCTTCTGCCTTTATGACACAGCTGGGTGCCGTATAATTTACTAGACTGTTCTTTTTTTTGTTAGTCGAACAAAGATAGCAGTTGTGGACGAGAATAACACTTGTCTTGTGTATAACTTGAAAAACAAAGAGCTCTTGTTTCAGGAGCCTGGTGCGAATAGTGTTGCATGGAATACACACAATGAGGTGAGAACTCGTCCTCTGCTGTGAGAAACAGTTCTCTCTAACACGAGTTTTTTTAATATTGTTTACCAGTTTTTAACGACCTTTTCTCAATTTTCTTGTCAATTGCGGTAAATAAAGTGGATTTGCTTTGGTTGACTTTGGCACACAAATGAAAAATAAAACACATTTAAACGACACTTCATAGCACAAATTCACTTCATAGAACAAATTCTCTATCGGGAAAGTTTGTCTGGTGGAACATAGTTTAGTAGACATAGGTCAGTGGTAATAGGTCTAGTATAGAACAGTGATAGTAACCGTGGGCTAGTTAGTTACCTAGTTTCTCTCCTATGCCTCACCCCTGGAAAAACGTTGGCTGCAAAGTGATAATTTTTGAGTCGTTTTGCTGGCATAAACTTGACAAACGTTATTAGACACCGTATCGTGTTTACTCGCTTAGGATATGTTGTGTTATTCTGGCAATGGCGTTCTTAACATTAAAGCCAGCAATTTCCCAGTTCATCAGCAAAAACTACAGGTAGAATTCGATTTTATTGATTCTCTAAAATTCAAATTATTCTGCTTCTATATATTAACCCTGAAATAAAGCAATGTTTTGTAAGGACGTTCTTGTCTTGTTTTTAGGGGTTTGTTGTTGGTTTTAGTGGTTCAAAAATCTTCTGTCTTCATGTTTATGCAATGACAGCTGTTGAAGTTCCACAGGTAAAAATAATGATGATTATCTTTTCCCGTAGTTCCCATTGTCTCTATGGTATACCTACATGTCTTCTCTTATACACCCTTCTTGTATGGCCTCACGATTACTTTTTCCGCTCGCATGGTAGCCTCGTTCTCAACAGTGAAAGAAGCAAGGCGATTGCTCACGACTCATGAAAGCGAAGCTCTAAGGCTAAATGACGTAGTTAGTTATTAAAAAAATGTATGGTATTCGGTCTGCAAGTAATGATTCGTAACTGCACTAAAAAATATTTTGAACCTCTCGACTCCGGACCATATGTGACAACTCACCTGATATTTTATTATATTTAGTCTGCGTCTATGTACCAATATCTGGAGACGAAAATGTACAAAGAGGCTTATAAAGTCGCTTGTCTAGGGGTCACAGATGGGGACTGGAGAACACTAGCCATGGAAGCAATGGAGGTATGCATGCGTTTTTATATCATGTTCATTTCTGATTTATCCCATATTAAGATTTTTACTTCTGATTCATTCTTAAGGGTCTGAATTTTGATATTGCCAAGAAGGTATGATCATTGTGAAACATAACAAAAAATAACACGTTAAATCTTTTCCTTTGTCTGCAAATAGTCAATCAACGTGTCAAAAAATAATTCAAACCTTTTCTTTTTTCAGTCTTTCACAAGAGTTCGTGACCTAAAATACCTTGAACTCCTTCAAAATATCGAGGTTGGTTTTAAAAGTCTTGTACTCTATAAGACACCGTTTAGCCTTTTGAATGGTGCCTTTGTTTGAGGCATATTATAACCCTAATTGTCCTGTTATAACCCTAATTAAAGCATCGTCAAATGATCAAAAATGGTAAAAATATGAACGTATAACATTACACGTAATTCTTTCCCAGGAAAGGAAAAAGCGTGGAGAAACTGAAAGCCTGGCGTTTTTAGCCGACATATATGCTTACCAAGGCAAATTTCAAGAAGCCTCAAAGCTATACAAGAAGACTGGTAACGACGAAAAGGTACATGGTATAAAATCAACTTATTGACGTGTCCTTAAAATTGCTAAAATATGATTATGATTAAACAGTCTCTGTTTAATCCAAGGCTTTGGCGATGTTCTCCGATCTCAGGCAGTTCGAGTACGCTAAGGTGAGTTTTCATGCAATTTGTTTTGAAAAAAGACTGAAGTTTCAATCGGACATTAATGTAGCGTTTTTCGTTGCTCAGGAATTTATTGGTTCTGGGGATGCCAAGAATGTGAAACATTTAATCAAACAGCAAGCAGAGTGGGCCAAGTCCAGTAATGATCCCAGAGCTGCTGCGTAAGATCATCTCATAATTTCATCTAAATCCCTATCCAAGGATAATCTCTAAACCACATTCTTATCATTATCATAGCTTAATATCCTATTTTACCACACTTCCACACGATCATTATTCCAAAACTAATCCTGACTTAACTCAAATCCCGACCGCGTAATCCATACAAACGTATAAATCTTAAAAACGTGTTTTGTGTTCTGCAGTGATATGTATTTGACTGCTGGGGAATACATGAAAGCCATAGAATTGATCGGCGAGAACGGATGGGCAGATAAGTAAGTATATATACAGACTGCATGTCTCTTATTGACTTTTCTTAATCCTAAATACTTTTTCATCTTATTCATAGGCTTCTTGAGGTTGGAAGAAATCTAAACAAGGCAGAGACTGAAGCTTTGAAAAAGTGTGCCCATTATTTCGCAAAAATGGACCAGGTTTGTAGTCATCTCACTAATAATTATAATTATAGGGTTATATGCATGTGAACTGCTATATAGTTATTGCAGCTGTTGCGTGTAGTCATCAGTCGCTTAAGTCATTCCATGTTGCCTTTTTGTATTTTGTAGCATGACTATGCGACAGAGATGTACATGAAAATGGGAGATCTGAAGTCATTGGTTAAGTTACATGTTGATACACGACATTGGGACGAGGTATATCGCTGTTGTTTTATAATTGAACAGTAAAGCAACCATTCTTTGCTTTCCTTAATTGTTTAACCCTGACTCTGTATAGGCATTCCATCTTGTGGAAAAACAGCCAGACTTAAAGGTGCGTTTGTCGAGCTTGTGGATTTTAATTCATTGAGAATTTATAATAAAGGTAAAGTCTGGTATTTTTTGTATACTCACGGTTTATGCTCGACTCACAAATTTATAACACTGAACTTCCAGGATGATGTTTATGTACCGTACGCCAACTGGCTTGCAGAGAATGATAGATTTGATGAGGCACAAGAAGGTTGGTTGATCTTTTTTATTTCCCCATTCCTTGCGGTCTTACTTGGAATCACGCAGAGGTGTTGGTTACATTTGCCCCCCTCCTCATTTGTTCCACTTGACAATTAAATTTTCATTTCACGCTTTTTTCAAGCATTCCACAAATCAGGTCAACAGCATAAAGCGGTGGAGGTATTGGAACAACTTACCCACAATGCTGTTGTGGAGAACAGGTGCTGTAAAGTTAAAATACTTCGACGAATTCACAAACTGGAATTCACAACCACTAAAAAGACTTTTCTTAACCTCTAGATTCAACGATGCTGGTTATTATTATTGGAAACTATCAATTCAGTGTTTACACGTAGTGCTCGACAAAGGTAATGTTTCCAGTCCCAGTGTTTCTTAATGAAGATGGGCTGGGTCCGGTTGTACGAAGGCTAGATATCGCTATCCACCACCGGATAGTGATTTTTTTTCAACCAGTGCAAAAATGCTTGAAAAACAATAAAATTGTAGATATTGACCCAGCAATAAATGGACTTCGCACAACTAGAAATATCCTAGACTTTGGCATCAACATTTTCTGCGATGCTCTTTATATACATATGGAAGTTTGTCATGGCCTTTCGGCTGACATTATTTTTATCTTTTTTTAAATCCTGCAGAGCGAGCAGCATGGCAACTTCTTTAAAGGAAGGTGTGTGGGAGGGGGGAGGTGTGTGGGATAGAGGGAGGTGTGTGAAAGAGGGGGGGAGGGGTGCACACCATTTGGATATTTAAGGAGGCTGCCAGCTACTCGAACGAGAGTTTTCTTCCTTAACGGTTCTGCATAATTATTGCGGTGGCAAAGTTCTGTTTTACCCTCAGTGGATGAATTCCCACTTCATTAATCTGCATGTCATGAATATTTCTGACGACGCATCTTTTCTATCATAGACGGGAAAACGGACGCTGAAATGCTAAGAAAGTTTTACGAATATCAAACGAAGGCTGAAATTTATCATCTTTACCATTCTATTCATCGTTACACAGTAAGAAAATCCTGTTTTAGTTAGAGAGTCTTCTCCTTTTTTTTTCATGTTTTTTTTTTAATTTTGTAATTTCTATGTGTTCTTAGGACGAGCCATTCACAGATCATCTCCCTGAAGCCTTATTTAATATCGCTCGTTATTTGTTGCATTTATTGTTAAAAGAAACGCCATTAGGAATATCAAGAGTGTATCCTTGTTTGTATAAGCATATAGTATAAGAGATCTTGTTTGTATAAGAGCTTCTCGGACGTTTATCTAAAGAGGTGTTTCCTAGCTTAGGCAATGCAAAAAAATTTTTAAACAAAGATCATTAATATTAGGTTTGGCACATGCATGAAAAATTCGACATCTGGAAGGTCCTCAACCATCGTCCTACGTTCTCAGGACAAATTTTCGTTTGATATCATCTTGGTTCTATCCCGAAGTAGGTTAACAATAAAGCGGAGATACAGCGTCGTATACAATGACAATTATTTTGCCACTGTTACAGTATATGTCTTATTTTGAGCAAAATGTATCATCGAGACACTTGACAATTCATGCAAGACGTGAGAGCCGAAACTTCGGTAAATTAGCGTCTAAAAATATTGAATGTTTCGTATCCTTAACCGTGTTACAGTGCAACATTGTTCGCCCTATCAAAGCAAGGCAAACATCTTGGTGCTTACAAAATGGCGCGCTATGCTTTTGACAAGTTACAGGTTGGTTATCTCTATTCTGGTATGTACACAGAGGCTCTGATCATTTGATGTTTCATTTTAAATATTTCCTATTTCCGATTTTAAATGCGCTAAACGAGGAATATAGATTGAAAGAGAATGATAGAGAACAAGTAAAAAGCTTAGTTTCGAAATCATCAAGGTTGTTAAAGCCATGCATTTCCTGCATGATATTCCCGCGCCTTGAGACAGGGATTGCCACAGCTGATGTTTTTTTTTCGTTTTCAGTCTCTCAAGGTTCCTTCGCGGTTTCAAGAACTCATTGATGTTGGAAGCATAACAATCAGGTCAAAACCTTTTTCTGACAATGAGGTAAACGTTGTAATGTTATTTTGTGTCAACATTTCTAAATGACGATACCGTTTTGGCGATACCATGATTTTTCTATACGCTTTATGGCACAGTCTACCAGGACCAAGTGGTTGATTATTTTAGGGTTTCACACTCCGTGCATACGCTCTTACACCTATCTATCATCTAATTTCCATCCTGCGCTAATTTTGATCGTGTTTTATTTTTCAATATACAACAGGAAGTGCTACCATTGTGCTATCGATGTTCAACCACCAATCCATTGTTGAACAGCAAGGGAAATCATTGCATTAACTGTAGACAACCATTTGTTTTCTCATTTTCTTCATTTGGTAAGAAATTATAACAGTAGAAAACTAAACTATGCCCTGAACATTCTGTAAGGGCAATAACTATACGAGAATGCTTGTAAGGGTGAATCTTGCCGACCTATTATATATAACGCCCTCTTAGCCATAATAATCATAACTGCATGCTTAATTCTTATGCATACGCTATCCTTAATCCTTAAGCTATAAAAGGATGATTATTGCATGCATGTTTTATAGCCTTATTTTTCAGTTGGGTTCAAGACTCGCATATATATTTAAGCATAATACTGTAAATGTTCATAAAATTTTTATTTTTTGCAGACGTGTTGCCTTTGGTCGAATTTGTCCTAGAAGATGGAATAAGGTAGATTATTATAATATCTTTCCTATTTTATGTCATCAAATTAGTTTGACGTTAGCCCTAACCATGCATTTAAGGAGCAGATCATTTTTTGGAGCATAATATTTGTGAGTGGAACATTTCCACCTTTCCACAAAGTAACTTATTATTTGTTATTTGTTAGCGATGAAGAAGCTGTGAAATTGATCGAGGCGGATGTTCCAACAAAACGAAAAAAAGATAAATCACAATGGAATGAAGTTGATATGGGCAGTATCCTTTTACTCGGCAATGCTTTCGTCTGAAAACGTTCTTACAAGTCTCTACCTACTTTTCTTTCTGCAAAATAATTAAATGCACACCATTTGTTCTGTCGACTTCTGAATTTGTTTATGACTAGTGTCCTCTCAGCAATGCCTTTGTTTAATTTTCATGCATGTTTTGTGCTGGAATATATCTACTGGCTGCATTTGTGCGCGAAAGTCGACCTAGTCGGGACGCCATTGTTATAAACTTTAACCAGTATATCAGATGTACAGTCATTACAGATTTCTGATGAACCAGATGGCGGCGATGATGATGATCCATTCACTGAGAAACTGATGAGTTTTGAGGTAGCTACTTTGTTAATGGAATAATTATTGACCCGCGTACAAGGATTTTCAGAGTTAGTTTGCAAAATGTTCTTCTCCCCTATAACAGCTATACGTAATCTACGTAACCTAATAAACAAATTTTTTTCTTCTTGTAATTTCCTTTATTAGCAAGGAGGAACGGAGTTCATCCCAGTTAAAGTTGGTCGTGGCGTGTTACAGTCAATGAATCGTCATGAAGTGTTTATAAAGAGATGGCCGAAACCCTTAAATTATAACTATTATAAATCAATTATGCCCGATGTCGGAATTACGCTTTGTCAATCCTGCAACAGAGTAAGTAGCTCATATTGTCTCATTCTCGGCCCCAGACTCTTTTCCTCAGTGGAGAAACAGAGAGAGGGGCATTATTACATCATCGATGTTTTACACATTTTTTCTTAATATTTGCAGATGTTCCACTCGGAGGATTATGACTTGCTAGTTCTACAAAAAGGACACTGTCCATTTTGCAGGAAAAAGGCAGAAAATGTTTAAATGCCATGTATATTATTGAAAGTATAGTAGACGTGATTCGTTTAGTAATTGTATATATTGTTACGAAAGATTTTTACCACGATATAATGTAACTAATTTATTTATACAATCTGTATTGTATTGTCATCATCACACAATTAGAATAAGCAATTTGTATTGTTTGAGGGTTTGTGCCTCGATTTTCAAACATTTGTCTCTACACTGTGGGGAAATTTTTCATCATATTCTTCTCCGCCAAAAAAAGCACTTCCAAAAAGAAATGCAATTTGATATCATTGGGAAAAAAGCCAGGAAGTCAAATTCAAGCTAGGTCAAACTGAATTGCCACAGCTGACGTGATACGTCTTTTAGGCAATTGGCGATATTCGCTTTCTAAGTTACAAATTTGTTGGGTGGAATGCAAATAGAAACATTACACAAAATGATAGTTGATAGCAGTGGTTGATACGATGGCACATGACTGCTCTGTTTGTACAATTACCCCATCACTGGACATGCTGAGTTGGAAACAATTTAGTTGGAAGTTGAGCTTTAAGCTAACCGTTTAAGCTGCTGTGTCAGAAACCATAATTCAATACTTTAAAGGCCCCAGGTGGTCATCACAAGGGAGGGAAACAATGAAAACACGACGAGGCACGTCAACTGTTTTTCTATATTTATCTTCAGTTCCTCATGTGATAAAATGCATTTTCCACGCAATAGCTTTTGTTATCGGGCGCGCCTTGTCATCAAACCCTTGTAAAAAAAATAAAAAGCTATTCTTGAATAAATATCTAATTCTAAACCAAAAAAATCTTGGGCGTATCGCATCCAATATATCCGATCCCACCGCAATTTTTATTGATAAATTAATATTTTTGTTTACTGTCCTACTGACGTTCAAATCGGTAAGCAATATCTAGATCAACTTCGGTTAAAAAGAGTTAAATATACATACAAGGCCGAAAAAATACCTTGAACTTTGATGATGTGTAGCTACATAGCTACCCCTCAAAATGGCCATTTTTAGCTGACAGAGTGTACAAAACGTTTTCAAAAGATTCTGAAATCTTTATTTGGTCGAAAAATTATACTCGAATTTATCTCATTTCACAGTAAATTATTTCGATATACATGTAGCTGTTTCTGAATGTCAATGGTTACTATTGGGATATGTTTCTTGAATTTGAAATTTCCACGGTGTTGTATCGAATTGGTTGGTTTCACGTATTGTTTTCATAGTGATTTGAGTGGGGGTCAACCTTGAGTGGGGGTCAACCTTAATTGCTTTGACCCTTATGCAAAATTGTATGCGAAAATTAATGTATGCGAAAAGTATGAAAAGTATGCGAAATTGGGTATGAAGCACAAAGCCAGCACATACTCACTCCAATTTATTGTGTCTCGATTTCGAGATGACCCCACTGGAATTATGACGTCACATGAAACCCAAGAATACTAGTTTTACGGCCTAAAGATTTAAAATCATGTCCACCCAAGTACCAAGTATCATCATTGACAGATGTCGTGGTTTATTGTAAATAATTTATACACATATTAATTTTAAGGATACTATTTGACACGTTATTTTGTCCGGCTATCTGTAAAACAAGGAACGGGGAATCGGGGAAAGGAATGAGGAAAGGAACGGGGAACGGCAAAACAAGGAATGAGAAAAGCCGGAATCTGTAAAACAAGGAATGAGAAAAGCCGGAATCTGTAAAACAAGGAATGAGAAAAGCCGGAATCTGTAAAACAAGGAATGGGAAAAGCCGGAATCTGTAAAACAAGGAATGAGAAAAGCCGGAATCTGTAAAACCAGGAATGGGAAAAGCCGGAATCTGTAAAACAAGGAATGAGAAAAGCCGGAATCTGTAAAACAAGGAATGGGAAAAGCCGGAATCTGTAAAACAAGGAATGAGAAAAGCCGGAATCTGTAAAACCAGGAATGGGAAAAGCCGGAATCTGTAAAACAAGGAATGAGAAAAGCCGGAATCTGTAAAACAAGGAATGAGAAAAGCCTGAATCTGTAAAACCAAGAATGAGAAAAGCCGGAATCTGTAAAACCAGGAATGAGAAAAGCCGGAATCTGTAAAACAAGGAATGAGAAAAGCCGGAATCTGTAAAACCAGGAATGAGAAAAGCCGGAATCTGTAAAACCAGGAATGAGAAAAGCCGGAATCTGTAAAACCAGGAATGGGAAAAGCCGGAATCTGTAAAACCTGGAATGGGAAAAGTTTGTAACTAAATTAGTTACAATTTCCGCGCGTAATACAAAATATGCTAATTTGACATGGCTATATTTTCCGTATTTTACCAAATTTCGCAGCCAAACTTAGCATTTCCACTAATTCAAGTACGCTTAATTCTTTTATCTGTTATATGGAACATAAACTGCATTCTTTTGTGGGCGAAGGAATATATAATACATATATAATTATACAAACGATGAAACGATCACAAGGACTGACAAGGTTAGTTTGCAAACAGTTAAATTTGTTGATTTGTCTTATTCATAAACCTACAAAGTGGAGCTTTGCGCGTTGCTATCTACCGTTTAATATCTACATTGCTATTGAAATTGAATAATGTTTGGTTGGAAATGAAAACTTTTTGGATCCAAATTTGAATTTCCAAATTTTCATATGAATTGCATACTGCATGATATAAAATATGCAAGAACAACTTCATTAAATACACAATATATATATTTTTTTCTATATTCAGTTCATTGTATTTACAACTACCTAATATATCAGTATAAATCTATGCAAACAACAATTTTGCTCCATTTAATACATACATGTTAAGCTTATTTTGCAATATATATTTGTCATAGTTCATTGTAACAGCTTATCATTATTGAATCAGATTACCCCTGAACAATGCACTACACTTTTGTTGTCCCAAATATAATATAATTTTGCTTGTAAGTAAAATTGTATAGAAAATGAAAATATTTTAGTGCATTTTGTACCTTAATTAACTCAGAATATAATTAAACAGTTACCATTCTCACCCAAGGTTTTAATGACTGGAGGCTGATTAAAAATATACAATAATAATCTGTAAGTAACTAACAGTTGCAATTAATTAAAATCTTGGCTCTTTGAGAACAACTTTGTGTTGGGATGGAATTTTGGAATATACCCTAGGTCTTGTTTAGAAAAGTATAATTTCCAACCAGCATTTACTTTTACAAATAACTTATTCAAATAAAAATGCATTAGAAATTGTGTAGGGAAAACCTAGCTGTGGTTTTCTAGGCTAGCATGATTCAATATGAAAAGCTTTTACTATGAACTATGACTATATAGTGCAAAATAATGTATTAAGTGCAGCAAAATTAATTGTTGTTTGCATAATTATATATGTATTATATATTCCTTCAATCCTTCCTCCACAAAATAATTCAGTTTATGTTCCATATAACTGATAAAATAATTGAGATATGTTGTTAAATTTTATAATATTACCAGTATATTGTATTTGCTGCTACTTAATATAAATCTACTCTACAGTATGTAAACAACAATAGGATATATTCCAAAATTCCATCCCAACACAAAGTTGTTCTCAAAGAGACAAGATTTTAATTAATTGCAACTGTTAGTTACTTACAGATTATTATTGTATATTTTTAATCAGCCTCCAGTCATTAAAACCTTGGGTGAGAATGCATGGTAACTGTTTAATTATAATCTGAGTTAATTAAGGTACAAAATGCACTAAAATATTTTCATTTTCTATACAATTTTACTTACAAGCAAAATTATATTATATTTGGGACAACAAAAGTGTAGTGCATTGTTCAGGGGTAATCTGATTCAATAATGATAAGCTGTTACCATGAACTATGACAAATATATATTGCAAAATAAGCTTAACATGTATGTATTAAATGGAGCAAAATTGTTGTTTGCATAGATTTATACTGATATATTAGGTAGTTGTAAATACAATGAACTGAATATAGAAAAAAGAAAATATATTGTGTATTCAATGAAGTTGTTCTTGCATATTTTATATCATGCAGTATGCAATTCATATGAAAATTTGGAAATTCAAATTTGGATCCAAAAAGTTTTCATTTCCAACCAAACATTATTCAATTTCAATAGCAATGTAGATATTAAACGGTAGATATATAGCAACGCGCAAAGCTCCACTTTGTAGGTTTATGAATAAGACCAAATCAACAAATTTAACTGTTTGCAAACTAACCTTGTCAGTCCTTGTGATCGTTTCATCGTTTGTATAATTATATATGTATTTATATTCCTTCGCCCACAAAAGAATGCAGTTTATGTTCCATATAACAGATAAAAGAATTAAGCGTACTTGAATTAGTGGAAATGCTAAGTTTGGCTGCGAAATTTGGTAAAATACGGAAAATATAGCCATGTCAAATTAGCATATTTTGTATTACGCGCGGAAATTGTAACTAATTTAGTTACAAACTTTTCCCATTCCAGGTTTTACAGATTCCGGCTTTTCTCATTCCTGGTTTTACAGATTCCGGCTTTTCTCATTCCTGGTTTTACAGATTCCGGCTTTTCTCATTCCTGGTTTTACAGATTCCGGCTTTTCCCATTCCTTGTTTTACAGATTCCGGCTTTTCTCATTCCTTGTTTTACAGATTCCGGCTTTTCCCATTCCTGGTTTTACAGATTCCGGCTTTTCTCATTCCTTGTTTTACAGATTCCGGCTTTTCCCATTCCTTGTTTTACAGATTCCGGCTTTTCTCATTCCTTGTTTTACAGATTCCGGCTTTTCTCATTCCTTGTTTTACAGATTCCGGCTTTTCCCATTCCTTGTTTTACAGATTCCGGCTTTTCCCATTCCTGGTTTTACAGATTCCGGCTTTTCTCATTCCTTGTTTTACAGATTCCGGCTTTTCCATTCCTTGTTTTACAGATTCCGGCTTTTCTCATTCCTTGTTTTACAGATTCCGGCTTTTCTCATTCCTTTTTTACAGATTCCGGCTTTTCCCATTCCTTGTTTTACAGATTCCGGCTTTTCCATTCCTTGTTTTACAGATTCCGGCTTTTCTCATTCCTTGTTTTACAGATTCCGGCTTTTCTCATTCCTTTTGTCCGCTTTTCCTTGTTTTGCCGTTCCCCGTTCCTTTCCTCATTCCTTTCCCCGATTCCCCGTTCCTTGTTTTACAGATAGCCATTTTGTCCAGCAAAGTAAAAAAGTTATTTACAAAAACATACGAGTCCATAAGAATTCTGAAAACTAGAACACAATTCTTATACTTGAGCTGGTCTGCTCTGAATAGGTATATTCTTGAATAAGTTAATGTAAACTTAGAAAACTTGGTTGATTATTCATCCAAATTCAATATATCAAGCAATTGAAATCTGAAATAAATGCTTTTCAAAGCATTAAAATACTAATTAATTGTAGCTATATATATACATAATTCCACAAAAAAGATTTTGTCATATTTACAAATGTGTTATAGTTCTGAGTTTCAATACTTTATTATAAATCCGTCGGCGTCGTTTTCGTAACCCATCTCGAATTTTTTGAAGCTGCACGAGCACCAACATGTCTGGGCGAAAAACGTTGTTCGAATTGGTCTCCTACCCGAGAAAGGATTTGCCCGATCTCTTTGCAAGTGTTCTTTTTCTTGTTCAATATAGTTGTCCTTGAATCCTTTTTCTCGTCGTCCGATTGCGTACTTTCTTGCATCGAGTTCATTTTTGGCACGCGAAGGGCCTTTTGACAAATGTTTGTTGCTAGTTTGGAAAATGGCTTTAAATATTACCCAAAACTTCTTCTTTCCGGAAAATCCTAAATAGTTAACCACAGCTACAAGAAGGAAGAAACATATTCAACCTTACGAATTGATCGCAAGCATATTATTGAATGATGTAATAAAAAATCAAACAAGTTTGAGCAGGTCGAGTTTTATACCTGTTGTCTGTTGAGGACAAATACTATTAATTTCCCACGCGATCGGCTCACTGTTCACAGCAAAAGCAGCTTTTATTCGTTATTATACTGACTTATGACTCTAAGTCCAAATTTAAAGAACTCCAGCAAATCGGGTTTGTCGCGATATAATAATTGAAAATCGACTGGTCACTGTAAAACAACGTATCTACAATGTTTTGATCTTGGCGACTTGGCCTTCCCAGTTTCCCGCGAAAAATGTACCTATTATTGATAGCATTGGTTCATCTCAGCAAATCAAAATGCTTCATTCCATGGAGACTATGTAAATTATTTTAAATGAATTAGCGTGCGGAAAACCGCAAGACCATTCATTTTTCTCTCACTGAGTGTACTTATAAAAAAGCCCACTGCTGATTTACAGTCCGAGTGAATGAGATTATTTCTAAATAGTGTTGGATATTTACTTTGTGGTTGTAAATTGTAAATATTTAAAATTACACACTGTTCACCCCATTTTCATGCATTACGGGCAATACGGGGGATTATGGAACAGAGGTCAGGCAGGTAATTAGGAGATACTATTGGAAAATGTTCCCTGAACACAGTATAGTCACAGCGCTACAGTCAGTACTCCGAATTCACTGTGTATTGATGAAAAAGAAAACAGGAAATGTCGGGTCAACCTCGTACCCAAGGAATTAAATTTCAATAACAATATTAATTGACAACAACGAAATTCATGAAAATTACGTCCTGTAAGTGAGGTTGGGCCTGAAAAAGGAATAAAGTGTTTAAGCGCAAATTTTTGTCATGACTTGCAATTTTCTGAATTTTAATCCGTGTCCTCGAAATGTAAACAAACTTTTCTTTGCTTTCTCATATGTCGCGACTGAAAAATAAGCCAGATGTTTTCTTACTTTTCTACAGCCAATCAGATTGAATTGTTATTTTTTCTTTCCATTTGATTGGCTGGTCCCTGGAGACCGATGTCAAATGTCAATCATCATGTATTTTACCACCAGTTCGTTGCTTCGCGTTTGACTGTGTCGAAGTTGAAGTACGGTTCCAACGATATATTACCCTTTCTTAAATCTCTTTTACTTGTTTCTAACCTGTACAATCAATCCCTGTGTTGTAAATACTAGTGCTTATTCTACAACTTCTATTCAAGACTAGACAGTGAGTATTCATGATGAAATCTTGTGGTTTCATTTTATTATTGTGTTTACGTTTTGTGCTGTTTGTACTGCGTGAAGCAAGATACAACAGTCTGCATATATGTCTGTTATAGTCTGATATAGATGAATTTTTTTAAAGGAAGTTCGAAGCCTATCCACTAAAAACTTACTGAAGGCCTTGGAATTACTTGTTGTCTTACATGTGAGGAGGAAACTCTAGAACTCAAAGTTACCAAAGTTTGGGAAAGAGTGTGTCGCGGCAGCCATTACTGAAGTTCAAAAGTTGTATAATGTCATTCGACTCGTGTAGCGATTGTTCGTCTTCGGATAGCCAAGAAAGCCCAACTGAGGAGTATACTGAGCCTTTTGTTAAAGCTTTTTTGAAAGAAACTAGAGATTTAGTCGTTGACTATGTCGGCTTCCGTTTGAGATCCAAATTCAAGCAGTCCTGTTTGCGCGGACTTCCCCGTGAGATTTTAGTTCCACCAGTCCAACCAAGCAACAGAGCCAATAGTCTTCGGTCTCTCGCTATGAACCTAGAAAGCCAACACGAACAGCTCTTCCAGCAAATATGCTTCAGAGTAGATTTGTCAGATTTTGAAGCACAGAAAAATTTTAACAGCATTTCGGAGGAGATATTCAGTAATGAAGTGAATTGGGGAAGAATAGTTTCGCTCATAACGTTCTCTGGCGTTGTAGCTCATCATTTTGTTGAGGAAGAACGCCCTGAAATGGTGCTTGAAGTCATTGACTGGCTTTTAGATATCTTCCGTGTGCATCTCATCATTTGGATAATTGAAAAAGGTGGCTGGGTATGTAAATTGCTTCTGTAATAGTAAAATAATATCACATATTTTACAGTATTTGTTAATCGTGTCAATATAATTTCGGTTGTTTTTGTTTAGACTAAATGATATTCTGTTGAAATTTCGACCATAGCTAGAATTTTTACCAGATATGACGATAGGTATAAAAAAATGAAATTGTCTAAAGTGAAAGGAACCTGAACCACGGGATATATGATGTGTTTATATGAATATTCCTAGTTTCAATGATATAACAATTTTCCAGACATAGCAAACCATGTCAGGTGATTGGACCTTGGCTACCAACCAACTGGGTAGTCTTGTGATGTGACCACAATTGTTAATTTTCTGGTGTCATCATCTGATCAACACTGTGGAGGTTGGCTTTAGTCTCCAGTCATGCATTTAAATATCAACAATTGCTGTTGGTAATTAAAGACTATATACACAGTTCAAGAGCTGTTAAAACTTCTTGATGCTGTGTAAAAACAAATTAGCAGTTCATAGAAGTGACCTTCACTGCCAAATAATATTGTTTACTTTAATATTGGGAAGATTATATTTCAACAGATTTCGTACATTGATTAATTTGATTAATTGGGAAAGTCTGTCATATTTTGAAGTGTTTACCTGATTATAGTCCAATGAACATACAAACTTTCACCAAAATATTCTGAAGTTTATTCGGAATTCACAAGTTTACTTTGAGTTAGCTTGAAAGTCAATGCATATGGATTTAAAACGAGGTTGCATTTGATTGCCTGTCTTTATTTTTGTAGCAATCAGAAGCTTTGTAATGAAACTAGTATTAAAAAATATTTTGGCAAAAGTGATATGAAATTGACTGTAAATCCAAGCCTTCCGACTGTTAATACCAAGCTCACCAGACACAATTTCCCGTGTGTTTGAAAAAAAAAGTGGGAAATAAAAAAATGTGCATAAGGTTTTAAATATTTATATTCTTTATACATAGGATGGATTTGTGAATCATTTTAATGGAAACAAACCACCAAAGTCATTTTGGACTGGAGTACTTGCAATGGGTGCTATTGGAGCAGCTGGAATTACACTTCTGGCAATGTCAAAATAGACTTATTTCTGTTGTGACTTCTGTTGAGTCAGTTGGTACATAAAACATCTGATTCATAATCTGTGAATTAATTTTCTTCAAAGTTGTCTCATTATTTGAGATGTTAGAATCCACTATTTCACTATGTGAATAGAACATGTATAGTCTATGTGGTTTTATGCAAACCTTACTAAGATTCTAATTATGACCCCAAAGCTCTGTAAAAAGGTAAATTACTAGATCTGATTAATTTCTATCATCCATAAAACATCATGTGTGCTAACATCAGCGTATACGTGAATTTCATAGTGTATATTCAGTATTAAAAAACAATTGAACCTTCCATTGTATTTGAAAGCATACTCAATTACATTTTAACAAAATTTCTGTTTTGAATTACTCCAGTCAAAACTTTGTCAAATATACCTAGGCTACATTATTTGCCATGGTGAGTTAAATTTTAACCAATAACTGTTAGACAATGTTGTATACAAACTGTTAATATTATTGCAGAAAAATCTAAGCATGTATATAAAATTATGTGTATTAGACCACTCAAAATAGTGGTTTTGGAACTTGTACTACTGCCGATAGGCATTTTGAAATAAAGTTTTGAAATTTGTCACTTCTTCTGTGTTAAATTGTAACTATTATCTAACTTTAGTTAACTATTATCTAAGACAAGTTATAGTTCTCTAAAAATGAAAAATCTCACACAGTTCACCGTTTTACTCTCGAATAGTGTAAACTTGCTGAGGGATTGTCTTTTTTAGGTCTTCATACCGAACCAAGTTCGTGTTTCTAAATCAAAAATAGGTCCGCTAAGCGTACATGAATCAGCACATTTGTTCAACTCTAGTGCATTATTATCAGGTGACGCTCCTAGCCATATTGTACATGTCAACGATAATCGAAATTAAATTTCATCAAAATATATTGGCAAATGTTATATATATTTGAGGGTGGGAAGAGAAGCCATATACCTGTATGAAAACCAGAACAAAAGCCCTATTACACTACGTGCGGCATGTCTATTTTAAAAGCCAAACGATCAATTCCCAAATAACCTCGATATCGCACCCCACGACGAGAAATTCTTAAGGTCTCGCTCCCCTTAATGCAAAGAAAATCGTGCTAGATATGTCTAATGTCCGGTTAGAATCATCTCGCTAAGAGTTCTAGAAGTTCAATCGTTATCTTATTGTCCATCGCCGACTTTCCAATGTTTAGCACCGATGAAAACAGAAATTTGCAAAAGAAACTGTGGTTTCTGGAAGTGACAAACACAAGACAGGCGTCGTATATGAAGGGCAAACACGTGCCAGGGGAACGAGGCTGTGAAGGGCATACGAGGTAAGACCGCGTCGCAAACATCTCGAGGATGGGTGAATCACTCTATTCTATGGGTGAATGCATTACACACTTTAAAGAATCTTAAGATACTACCATGACAATGCCTATGCGCTATTTCCATCCATGTTTCAAGTCGCTTTGATCTTCGCGCTATACTCGTGATTTTTTGGAATATGCAAAGAGTAAGCCGCTATACGTATACTGCAGAAATTCATTTATCTTTAAACTCCATTTCGTATTTCTAGGACATGGTGAAATATTTTGCAGTTGGGACAATAAGAGTACTACAATCTTATTTCTTGACTAGAAATCTGAATGCTTGTAATATGAAATATAGCATCAATCAATGTCAATTGTTCAGAAACTTCGGTGGGGACAAAATCCATTTGTCCTCAGTTATTCAAAAAAGACACACTCTGCACTTTCACCCCGACGCTTGAACGTGATATCTCCACAGAAAAGAAACATAATTAAACAGAACAGAAACAACTTTATTTTACAATTTAATTTTCACGTGTTGCTTGGCTGACTACCCACTAGCCTTTGATTTACCCGTGAGTGTTACTCACCCATGAGTGTTACTATACATTCTGGTATAGCTTTTACAAGCCGAAGTTTTAGGCAGTTGTTATTCCACATTTGTTTGAAGACGTTGCCACGCTGCTCTCTGGTTATATTGGAACGCACTATAATATACATACATAGAAATTATTCTACTATTGCAATCTGAATGCCTGAACGCCATGCTAAACCCCAAGGTACATGCATGGTCCTCAGCTCGAACCTTTAAATACAGGGTGATCCCAAAAAAAAGCAACCACTTAAATATGCAGAACATTAATACAGCTCTAAAGCGCAATAGATAAGCACCTCTGGAAATGGCTCTTAATCCTTCATTTACAATGCTAAAAGTCATTTTAGCTGAACTATGGTGCAAACCCGAACAAGAGCATATTTAAGTGGTTGCGTTTTCTTTGGGACACCCTGTACGACTGCCATTACCATGATATTTGACTAACAAGGGAATCATGGGTCAACTGACAAACAAGTAATTGTTGTAGCACAGTTTTAAAATAGAATTTCATCAAATTTCCTTGTGTTTAATGCGAAAAAGAGCGGATTAGGAACGAGATAATTTCACGTTTTTGGGACACTCTGTATAACGGTTGTTTATTACAATTATATTCATGATCTATTTAAATTTTGTGCAATTCAGACTCAGATTCACTCTCATTACCTATTGTTTTAAATGCGCTGCTCTTAGCTTTGTTTACTCATTTTGTGAATAGCAAATATTGCTAGTCACACTGTGCTCGAGTTCACTTCACTCCGTCGACTGCATGGTCAATTTAAAATATCCAACCAATCATCTGCGTTCATTTGTACCGATGATACTGCTTAACCAATGAAATGCACGATTTCCAGACCCTCCCATGCATACAATACTCGACTAAATTCTTATTCGCGAAATCAAGTTAATTCATTTGTCAAAAATCGTTGCGAGAACCAGACGTTTTCGAAATGCGAGCTCGGTTGAGCCTGTGGATGGTTTGATGACTGCTATATTTAAGTTCTTCAATACAGGGCACCATTCAAATAAACTGGTGAGTATTTTATCATTTTTAGGTATAGGAGTTAGATCCTGATTAGATCTTGTATATTTCGACTGAAGATTACTCCTAATACTCAATTTACGTTCCTCTTTGAATAGACAATTGCTCGTTTGAAATCGGACAGCAAAGCTGCTTATTAAGATGACTTTCGGAATAAGGACTGATGTGCCTCAAAATTGAACAGCCATTCGAGATCGCCTCCAGGAATCTCAACAAGGGATCTCTCCGCTATTTTATTGATGTAAGTATGCTTACTGTAAAGTTTTTGATGGTTTGATCCAACTTGAAGACTGACAGTTTGAGCGATGTTGTTCCCGAATGTTCTCCCGTTTGAAACATGCACGATACAAGTCCTATTTTTCTGATATATTAATGAAACAAACCCATCTGAAAGAACATGAATTGTGGAGCAATTTCACTCGCACGAAAGTTTTTCTGGACATGACTGAGTTTTAGTCAAAACGATAAAAAAGTCGTTGGCCTGCATGGGGAATACAAAAATGAAAAATAAGTTCGTAAAAGCATAGACTGGCAACACCTAAATACAAAATACAAGAAAGGATTAACAGACTTTTCGATATTAGCCAGGATTGAAATGGATTGTAAAATGGACGGAAATGAAATCGGGACACTAGGTTCATTTACGGACGCAGTGTCGGAGGCGAATATTACGAAATAGAATATTTAACCAGCGAATTAAGGTTTTATATCATTTAAAGATGAAAATTCGAATCGCCAGTACTAAATATAGCTATTCTTCTATTCTTTCGCAGGTTTGCACATCAAACGTGAACTTCTAGAAGTGATTTATCTAACTATAAACAAAGGCCAATTCCAACAATATGGATGCAATTACGCACAGACCATACAAATTTGTCCTCAGAATATATAAATTGGGGTTACAAATCAAATTTGATGCAGAATTTTGAACTGTCTTAAATAAGCGAACAGTTTTCGAGGTTAAAAGTGACTCATATAAAAAGAGTCGTCTGAGCCAATTCAGAGGAAAAAAAAGCTACTACCAAACAGCGTACCAAGAACGAGGATTAAATATTGCCCACGAAAAACGATCACCGAACGACGATGGCCGACAGCAACGCCATGCAAAGAACGAGGATTAAATGTTGCCTGGGAAAAACAATCACCGAACGACGACGGCCGACAGCAACGCCGTGGAAAGAACCAGGATTAAACATTGCCTACAAAAAACGATCACCGAACGACGACGGCCGACAGTAACGCCGTGGAAAGAACGAGGATTAAATACTGCAAAGAATAAGGATTAAATATTGCCTACGAAAAACGATCACCGAACGACGACCGCGCGACGACGACGAACAGCAACGCCATGCAGAACCGACGATTACAGTGCCACTACGAAGTAGATGACCTGGCTTTTCAAGTTTGTGGTTTATTTCTATTTGGGGGCCCCTTAGGAATTTTTAAAATACTTCGCACTATCCTGTCTTATATATCTACTAAATAACTTTGCAGTATTGCTGTGTTGGGATGCATTTCGGCAAAACGCGCAATCAATTCGGTCAAACGTACAAGCGGTTATAATATAGGCATAAAGGGTTGGGCCCCATAAATTTCGGACTATAAGAAGTTTTGCTAAATTATGAACATTGTAAATACAAAGTAGATACAAGCACAAGTTTCTTCACAAGATATTGCAAACTTCATGAACCTTGTAAATATAAAGTAAATACAAGCATATTTTCATAACGCGGAATTAGTTCGGTCAAATGTACAACAAGCGGTTATAATATAGGCATAAAGGGTTGGGCCCCATAAATTTCGGACTATATAAGAAATATTGCTAAATTTATGAACATTGATGTAAATATAAAGTAGATACAAGCACAAGTTTCTTCACAAAAATATTGCAAACTTCATGAACCTTGTAAATATAAAGTAAATACAAGCATATTTTCATAACGCGGAATTCGTTCCGTCAAACGCACAACAATTAAGAAGTTACATAATAGGCTAAAAGGGTTGGGCCCCATAAATTTCGGACTTATAAGAAATATTGCTAACTTATAAACATTGTAAATACAAAGTAAATACAAGCAAACGTACATAAGAAATATTGTTAACTTTATGAACATTGTAAATATTATGAAGTAAATACAGGAACAAGTTTCTTCCATACTGTAAGAAATATTGTTAACTTCAGGAACACTGTACATATATAGTAAATACAAGCAAAAGTTGTTTTTTTTGCACCATAAGAAATATTGCTAACGTCATGAACATTGTAAATATAAAGTAAATGCAAGCACGTCGTTTTTTCAAAAAAAGAGAATTGGATGGATACACTGTTATGACATAAAAGAGAAAAAAAAAAAAAAAAACACACAGATTTCAAGTGAACATGACAATGTTTGCAAGTAAGTGATAAAGCCCTTTGTAAATGAACAATTGCTGTTAATAGAAATACTGTAGTTACAAAAGAAAGCATAATCTATAATTTTATAGGATATGGCTTCTTAAAACAAAAATGTAACTAGAAATAACTAGGACTTTCCATTTTAGGGTAGTTAGTTATGCACCTTTTTTTCAGGGTAGTCGAAATTTAGACAAACGATCCAGAACTGGACATATGCATAAACCTTGTTA